GGCAATATACGTTGCATGAAGCTGGTCAGGTCGGACAATGGGTGATCTCTACTGTAAACCATTTAGAGTTTTCTTGTGGACTGTGAAAAACTTGATATCCTTAAACAATAGGCACATATGTATGTAGCTACAAGACTCCTCGGAAATGTCAAAAGGCTGCTTGGTTTTCGTAGTCAACTTGAGTTTTTCTTAGTCAATTTGTTGAATATTTAACACAAACATTTGGCCATGGCTGCATGAAGTGTTCATGGTTATTACGGGCTAATCCGCGAATTCACCTTTTAATTCATCTTTAATTATTCAGAAAATAATGTACGTAATAAAGAGAGGAATATTTAATTTACAAGTTAATGTAGAAATCAAAACACAATAGAACACAATTTATGGTTGCCTACAGTTAACAGCTTAAACATTTGCTAGACATAATCAAAAGTTAATCTTCCATTCAGGATTCACAACTATCTTTTGGGCTTATTTAGGTTTTCAGGTGATGATTCCCTACTCCAATGAATAACCAAAAAGAGAAATAAAATATGGAAAACTATGTCCTTTTCTTGGGCAATTGAGCCCCTAAATCTAGGTGCCATTAATTTGACTCATCAAACGATGTAAATGGAAGAATTGATGAACCATAATTTTCAAAAGAAGCTACTTACTTTCAAAGATAATAAAAGGAGTCAAATGGAAAGGAAAATCTTCATTATTCAGGTTGTTAAGTAGCGAATTATGTCCATTCATTGGGGAGGGAATGATAGCCAACTCCACACACTTGCAGCCTTTATTATATACCCTTTTTCCTTTTCTTCTGGCTGCTACATACTTTGCCTTGCCTCTTTTCATTATTTCTGCACCGAAAGATATTCATTGCTTCATATATAATATGATTATATCCTTATATGACCTCTTTTTCCGGTCGAAATATGACTTTTTTTTATTGGTCCAAATATGGCTATACGGCTATTTGATAAAATAAAACTGCTATGGGCCTTAAGGCCTATAACTTTGTAGCTGGGTGAATCCTTTAAGCCCCAAAAAATTGATCTACAAGTTAGCTTTATAGAGTTGTGCTATTTGCACATTAATTCCATGAAATAATGATTCTGAATATGTGACATATGTGATGCTTTGCTTCTTGGCAAACCCACGTGAATCCAAAATAGAAAATTTAATGATTCTGAATTCTCATAGGTTTTGTTCTTTGATTTTGGACATAGTATTATTCCCATAGCATGGGATACCCCGTCGGTCGCAATTAAGAATGAGAAATGGTAGTAATTAATATAATAATATTTTATTTGGTTTATTTTTGTTAGATGTAATTTTCTGAGTTCACAATTTTTAAAATTTTAACCCTTAAAAGATCTTGAATAATGATTCATGTATAAAAAAAACTTATCCAAATTCATACAATCATTTACAAAAGGAATATGAAATTATCTCTGCTAATTGAAAAATTACATACTACTTAACAGTATTTTGTTGCAGTATATCATAGTCTTTCTCTTAAATCCATCATTTGTAGGTAAAATAGAATTTGAACCGAAATTTGTACGTCCACTATAAATAATTTAATTAGTAAAACCAAAAATTTTCACTCAAACTACATTTAATCAACGAGAAATCCCATAATTGTAAAAGTTTCACTTGGTGAATATATTCAAAAAGCTAACCTTAAAATATTAATAGTAGATATGAATTGTAAAATAGACAAACCTAGAATGAAATTCTTTAACCTAATATGGCTCACAAACTAATCATAGTCCGTATCATATTAGTTCACGGGCCAATAGCTATTAGCCCAAACCAATTGGGCTATCCTAGTAATTAGTCGGTGGGCTAAAATATGTTAGTCCACTAACCAATTTAATTGGACCATTGATCGATACTAAGTATTGTTTATAGGCCAATCATAACTTGTCTATCGAGTGGTGTCAACCTATGCATATTAGGCATTTAATAAAAAAGTCAATGGTCCAATCATAGAAACTTGGCAATGGTACAATTATGAATTATATCTTGTTAAATATGAGAATATTACAAGAATTTAGCAATATGTGTTTGTTTATCTTGACCATTTGATGGACGAGCATCGTATAGGTCTTTAAGTTTTCAAAATTGGTTTATTAATATAGGGATTAAGTAGCAAAATTTATATTCTTTTAAAATAATTTGTGGAACCGGTAAAATGAAAGCTATCTTGACCGTTCATTATTTTATTGTTGCATCTAACGGTTAACACATAAAAAGACCATGATGCACTAAGTTACCAAGTGCACGTTAAACGGCATCGTATTTGCAAATTCTTTCTCCCCTCTCGGAGTTTGTCTCTCGCATGCTGTCACTGCTTTGTCTCTCTTTCAGGTTCTTCTCTCTCGTGTGTTCTCTCAGTTTCTCTATGCATGCTTCTCTCTCTCTCTCTCTCTCTCTCTCTCTCTCTCTATTCTCTCATATTCTTATTAGATCTCTCATTTATCTTAATATGAATTATGTTTCTCAGGTAAAAAAGTTTGAAGCCATATCGAGTGACTTGTTCCCAGTGCTCTCTTTCTCTGGTAAACGTTTTACTATCAATTTTTTAGCTATAGTATCAATGTTTTGGACAACAACGTGTTTTAATTACGTATGTGCAAAAATTTGAAACTAATCAATGATCCTCCTGTGTGAAACATTGTTACCTGAATTGTTGCTTGAAATAATACTCGGCATAATGATAGTATTGAAATTAAGCAGTTTATAGTGCTTGATGGAATTTAGAGGTTTGGTTACTAGTTTATGGTGCATGCTCGACACTAAACTGTAATGGTGTTAGCAATATACGTTGAAGCTCTGTATTTTTTGGAGGGAAGAAGTGAATTGAGTGGGTGTAGATAAATGGGGACGATGACAAGACAAGGTGAGTGGTTTTTGTGACTGTGGGAACAACCTGTTTTGATGCTCTTGTGAGGGTTGTAGATTCCAACGATGTTAAACAAGCCTTGTTTGCAAAAGGCTACACGCACCTTCTCATCCAAATGGGCCGTGGATCCTATCTTCCTACTAAGGTAACCCCCCTTTTCTCTCTTCGTGCTTTCTCATATAATACTACCTTCTTTGGTTGTGCATTTTCATTTATGATAATTATATTTTACAATCAATTTTTGCTGACATGAGCGTGTGAAATTGTCACTTCAACATTTGCTGAGTCAGCTTTTTATCCTTGCATGAAGAAAGTTTTACATTGCATTGAGTCATTGATCACTGGATAATATGTATACATGGATTTAGCTCTTCTTAACTAAGGGATATACATAAAGTTTAGTTGTAAATGATGATTAGAAAATCAATGGTTAATAGTTTGATAAAATACACGCATGTTTACAACAAATTATGAAATTTCAATCATTGATTTTATATCTATTTACAAACTCAGAGACAAAAACTAACATCTAGTAACTGTGCATCCAACCAAATTTACCTAACATTAGAAATGGAGGGAGATAAATATGGAGAGTTTGTTATTCTCTTTTCTATTGCCTATACTTCTCTTTTTTATGAGTTTATTATTAGTAACATTTTAGTTTTAATTCTAGTCTGAAGAAGATGGTTCGTTGGCTGTAGACTACTTCACTTTTAGTTTTAATTCGTTGCCTTTCATCACGAATTGACTGCCACTATGCCTATATTGAGATAAACTTGATTTGTTATCCAATACCTTGAATTACCTGTACATTATTCATTATGATTTTCTCCTTTAGTCACAAGGTTGTAACTTGAATTTGAAATGAATTTTGTGAGATGATGTTTAGAGGGATGCTATTCCTTTACTAGCCAGGAAGAAAGTATTGTTATTTCATTCTTCAAATGCCTTTTCAGATATTTTTAAATACTATTTTTTTCGAAAAGACAAAGAATATAGAATAAAAGAAACTTAAACTGACTCATATTTTTGTTATTGTTATTATTTGGGGCTAGAGATAAGTAACTAACAATAGATATTTTAAATTTTATGAAGGATCAGGTAGTATATTTGAAACATTGCGGTTGGAAAAACCTTTAATTGTAGTTGTAAATGAAGATTTGATGGATAATTATCAAATTAAGTTTGCAGAAGAGCTTGTTGATAGTCCTCATACACTCCATTAAACTATAGCAGATATGGATTTAACATCTCTCCTACCTTATTCACCAGGTGATGTCAAACCTATAGCTAAGCATGTAAACATATTTTTTGATTTTCCTAATGATTGATCTAAAGACTTTTTTTTTCCCTACTTTTTCCTTTGAGTTAAATTGTATTATCGTGAACCATCCTATTATGCTATAGCTAATGTGCTGTTTAACTTTGCTTTTTATCCAACTAAGTTCACGCACAACTATTTAAACTCAATTGTAATACTACTAAAATCCAAGCAAACATATCTTGTACTTTAACTAAGTTGCGTTTAAATAATAACTTAATTAAATATTTATTCAATATATTATATAAGAAGTTTTTATTTTAAATGCACCATTTGTCCTACGCAATTATTCTCGTTAAACGAATTTTTGAGATTATGAAATTTGAAATCTTGATAAATTAAATTAAAAAGATAAAGATTTTAATTTTTTTTTCTAAAAATTGTGATATGTTACAAAATCTAATAAAAATAATTCTGTTACCACTCGACTTCTAATTTTAATTAAACGAAAGGACAAATAATACTTAAAAATAAGATTAATTTAATAATTTTTATCAACTACGGTGGTTCTACTTAATTTAAACAAAATTATTTTATAAGGAGAATATCCGTAATTTAAACTAAAAATAAATTTTAGAATCAGAATAAAGACGTTAGAAAATATAATTATCATATTAATTATCCTTATTGATAAAGTGTATGATTCTGTTGTGTGTCTCAAAAACGATTTGTTGATATCCTAATAACAGATTAAAAACATATGAAAAATTGATTTAATTATTTATTAATTTTGGGTACATTCTTACTTGGTAATATATATATAGGGATGGAAAATTAGGGAAAAAAAGCAGTGTGGCGAGAAGGGTTTTTCTGATTCCCTTTCTCTCTTCTCTTCTGTTCGGAGCTGCGCGGAAGAGAGAGAAACATCGATCAACGATAACGGAACCGAACATCACACCATCGTCAACAACAACAACAAAGAAGAAGAACAAAAGTCTCCTACGGTGAGTGATATGCAGCAAGGTGATAGAACGGTCCTAAGTTTGAGGCCTGGTGGTGGTCGTGGCGGCGGAAGCAGGCTTTTCGCTCGCTCCTCTTCTCCCTCTCCCTCCGCCGATCTTCCTATCTCACGCCCCCATGCCTCTCTCTCTCTCAAGGTCCCTTTCTTTTAGATCTCTTCTTTTCTCTATTTGGATCTCGTTCCCAACATCCCTCTCAATAACCCAACTTTTTTTTAGTTTTGAATATGAGTGTGTGAATGGATAAGGTTTTGGAATGCAAGTTTAGTTGAATGTCCTGATTCTTGGTGGGGGCACTAAGTTTTGTGTTTCTGCTGTAAATATGGACGGAAAGCAACGTGTGGGCTTTTAGGTGGGCGTGATTCAGTTTCAGATTGCTCATAAAGGACCCGCATACATTAGGGTTTGAGGGGTTGTGATGATGGATGAATTGTCGATCGTAACTTCCTTATTGTGAAAGGAAATGCTTGTAAACACGGTTTTTTTTATTCGGAGGTTATGTGCCTGTTTGGTTTAAAGTTGAGTAGAATTGATTTTGAGCCGTTGAATGCGATTGAGATACTAGTGTAAATCAACCTGAAGCATATGTTTTGCATGGGGAAATGCGATTTCAACTAGTTTCCGTACATGCACTACGTCATTAGTATATTTGTTTCTAATGAATTAATTGAAAAGGGGAACGGATTTTTACTTACAAAATATTGCTTGACGGATTGGTTTGTTATTGTGTTTCAACAACGTGTTTTAATTACGTATGTGCAAAAATTTGAAACTGATCAATGATCCTCCTGTGTGAAACATTGTTACCTAAATTGTTGCTTGAAATAAGACTCGGCATAATGATAGTATTGAAATTAAGCAATTTATAGTGCTTGATGGAATTTAGAAGTTTGGTTACTAGTTTATGGTGCATGCTCGACACTAAACTGTAATGGTTTTAGCAATATATGTTGAAGCTTTGTATTTTTTGGAAGGAAGAATTGAATTGAGTGGGTGTAGATAAATGGGGAACGATGACAAGACAAGGCGAGTGGTTTTTGTGACTGTGGGGACAACCTGTTTTGATGCTCTTGTGAGGGCTGTAGATTCCAACGATGTTAAACAAGCCTTGTTTGCAAAAGGCTACACGCACCTTCTCATCCAAATGGGCCGTGGATCCTATCTTCCTACTAAGGTAACCCCCCTTTTCTCTCTTCGTGCTTTCTCATATAATACTACCTTCTTTGTTTGTGCATTTTCATTTATGATAATTATATTTTACAATCAACTTTTGCTGACATGAGCGTGTGAAATTGTCACTTCAACATTTGCTGAGTCAGCTTTTTATCCTTGCTTGAAGAAAGTTTTACATTGCATTGAGTCATTGATCACTGGATAATATGTATACATGGATTTAGCTCTTCTTAACTGAGGGATATACATAAAGTTTAGTTGTAAATGATGATTAGAAAATCAATGGTTAATAGTTTGATAAAATACATGCATGTTTACAACAACTTATGAAATTTCAATCTTTGATTATATATCTGTTTACAAACTCAGAGATAGAAACTAACATCTAGTAACTGTGCATCCAACCAAGTTTACCTAACATTAGAAATGGAGGGAGATAAATATGGAGAGTTTGTTATTCTCTATTCTATTGCCTATACTTCTCTTTTTAATGAGTTTATTATTAGTAACATTTATGTTTTAATTCTAGTCTGAAAGAGATGGTTCGTTGGCTGTAGACTACTTCACTTTTTCATCCAGCATTGCAGACCATCTCAGATCAGCTTCTCTTGTCATTAGCCATGCAGGTATTATTGTTTATTACATGATTTTTCACTTATTGTTATGTAAGTCTACCCGAAAAGTTTATCTGTTACTTGATCTTGGTGGCTTATACTGTATTCTGCTTTTCCATCCATGAGGATTTATCAGCTGTCAGGATTAATGATTTCATACCAATGTTTGATTTATATTTTGATCGTATAGAGTTATGGTGTTAATTACAGGGTTTGGTTATGGCAATAAGTTGAGTGTTTGTTGTTAGCTTTGCGTTGGACAGAATTTTCTTTCCACCAAGGAGCCAGCAGCTAACAAGGAAAATAACTCACATGACAAAACCCATGCTATTTAAGCTTGCTGATGTGGCTGCATTGCAATTTGAAAGTCAGATTTTATGTATTATAAATATATTTTTAAAAAAATGGTAAATTTTATTGAATACCCTCCTCCAACACTGGATCAAAGGCTGTCTGAATGTTAGGAACTGAATCTGTTGGAACTACCCTGCTATCTCTTTTACAAACACTCATCAAGAACACTGAATCTTGACACAAATTGTAGGGTCTCTTGAATGAGAAACCTTGATCACAATTCTTACTCCAATTTTCATGCATGAATACAATTTGCTTAGACTTCTATTAAGACCGTACATCCTAACTAACCAACTTTTCCTTGCCCAAACCAACCAATGTTAGGTGTTTGCAGCTGACCTCTCATCCTCATACAGCTAGGACTATTTGACAATTTAAGAAAATGAATGGCTAAAAATACATTCTATTGATAGGTATTACACTGTCCTGAATCAAGAAGAGAAAGAATGGTATTCTAATAAAACAGGAGTTTAAGAGCTTGGTCTCGCTCACTCAAAACTGACTCAAACTGGCCAACTAACTGTCTTCCCTTGTATTTTCTGCTTCTACTTTAACTGGCTAACTAATTAGCTACTCTTAAGTCTTAACTGCTTTTTAACAAGCTTGTACAAACTTTTCCTTAGAAAACTGTTGATTGGTTCAATGTAACTTGGTACAATTGTGCTTGACTGCACTAGTTTACTGGAGGGAAGTATGCATTTTTTCTGTGAGTGGATGCGTTCTTATTCCTGGTTGTGGTGCCTTAAGGCCTCTTTGTATTAATTCCTATTTGTGCTGAAATCATGCATCCATTTATTGCCTTTCATCACGAATTGACTGCCACTATGCCTATATTGAGATAAACCTTGATTTGTTATCCAATACCTTGAATTACCTGTACATTATTCATTATGATTTTTTCCTTTAGTCACAAGGTTGTAACTTACTTGAATTTGAAATGAATTTTGTAAGATGATGTTTGCAGGGATGCTATTCCTTTACTAGCCAGGAAGAAAGCATTGTTATTTAATTCTTCAAATGTTTTTTCAGATATTTTCAAATACTATTTTTCTTGAAAGGACAAAGAATATAGAATAAAAGAAACTTAAATTGACTCATGTTTTTGTTATTGTTATTATTTGGGGCTAGAGATAGGTAACTAACAGTAGATATTTTGAAATTTATGCAGGGTCAGGTAGTATATTTGAGACATTGCGGTTGGAAAAACCTTTAATTGTAGTTGTAAATGAAGATTTGATGGATAATCATCAAAGTGAGCTTGCAGAAGAGCTTGCTGATAGAAAACATCTGTATTGTGCTAGTCCTCACACACTCCATCAAACTATACCAGATATGGATTTAACATCTCTCCTACCTTATTCTCCAGGTGATGCTAAACCTGTAGCCAAGCATATAAACAAATTTCTTGGTTTTCCGGATGATTGATCTAAAGGCTTTTTTTTTTCTCTACTTTTTCCTTTGAGTTAAATGCCCCAAATATTTGAAGTCTTAGTTGTGAAGATCATATTTCGATGCAAGCAATGTGTGTGACATGTTACAATACATATATGGGAACCGATGCACTTTAATATTCGACGTGTAATTTTGCAGTTAATATATCTACGTTTGAGAGGGTTGTGATCCTGAAATTCAGTCACGAGAAAATTGGTCTAGAAGAAAGGAAGTCTGTACTACACGTTCAAATTGTGTGATTTGTGTCCTTAATATTTAGATATGAGTGAAAATCGACATTATAACAATCCAAACATCATACTTAGATATGTTAACTTCATACTTCTGTCTTGTTCATTGTTACTAGTTGTGCGTGAACTTAATTGGATAAAAAGCAATGTTAAACAGCACATTAGCTATAGCATAATAGGATGGTTCAAGATAATACAATTTAAATATAATGTATACGCCATTACACTATATTCGGTACTTTTCGTCAATTAATTAAACAATAATTATGCTTACCTTAACTACTCTGATTTATGTCATGCACTGGAGAGCTCCATTTTTTTAAACCCTACACGTATAGGACTTATTTTAACTTTAAGTCTTGATATATAAAAAAGAAAAATAGGTGATTAGAGTTAGTGTTAAGGGTTAGTTAACCCATTTTTTTTAGAGAATAATTAATAAATAGTATGCTATTTTTTTAGTAAAAGGTATATGTATTTATTTATCATTTTTATTAAATTATTTTAATTAAAATTATATTTTAAATATAAAAATATATTTTAAAAAATAAAAAATTGTCAATTCTATTAAATTAAAAAATATTTATTGAACATGTAATGTTCTTAAAATAATTTTATAAAATAAATAAATAAAAATAATAATATAAAAATTAAGATTAATACTTAAATAAAATTATAAAATAATATATTAAATAATTATTTATAAAATTATATGAATAAAAAATATTATTATTATTTAATAATTATCAATAATACAAACAAAAATTAGATAAATATTTAACTTAATTTGATAATAATTATTATATTTTATTTAAGAACAATGATTTATTTTAAATATTTAATATTATACAAATTTAATTATTTTTCATCCATTTTTAAACAATTTTATTTATTTACAAGTTTGTAGTAAAAAGATATTATATAAAATAAATATTTTTAATAAATTATAATTTTTTTTAATGATAATTAACTTATGAGTTAATCCATTAAGTGGACTTTTTGACTCTAAGCTTTTCACATTGTAGATTTTTGGGTATTAACTTGCATGAGTTAGTACTAAATCAGTTAAAGCTACCGATTTGACACCTTGCACATTAGTCATAAATGTTGTAAAAACTCAATTAAATATCGATACGTAGGATGTGTCCCGTAATTTGATTGAATCAACCGCCTAATTTATTGATTTAAACTGGTCAAATTGGATAACATAATAAGTTACTGGACCGAAAACATAATCGGTTCAGGTACTGACGATTTAAACCGTAAATTTAGTTCTTAAAACATTGATGCAGACCGATAACATGATATATATATATTTATTATTATTTTTTATTATTTTCAAAATAAGGTAAATAGCATTACGGATAACTTGACCATAAATGCTTAATGGCCTATTATTCATGTGAACGCAGTTGCATGGTTTCCCATACTGCAAAGTGCGTTTTCTCTGACATTTTTATTTATTTATTTTTTATTTCAGCTTACACTTTGTGTGAATATCATACAAACAGGCACTAGTAAATATCACATTCTATGTTTCTAGACATGATGGGTAGCTACATAAATGATTTTGTCAAATTTGTGATCTCCCAAAACTGCAGCTATCAAGTCAAATGTTCACAGGTCCTTGCTTTAAGTTTCAACTTCCAAGCACCATGCAAGCATCTGGTATGCTATTCAATCTCTCAAGGAAATGAATGTTGAAAGTGATCATGTTCCTATCTCAGCCCATCAGTCTGGAAGACAACCTTGTCAGCTGCACAAATACAACAGAAGTATCATCATAACAATTATAATCAATGATTTTTCCATGACAAGCTGAAGCTTACGACTCTGCTAGTAGACAAGAAGAAAAGCAAAATTATAGCACTCCCTCAAATTTTCAGTAGGATAACCAGGAAATTGAACCTCTTCCTACAGCTGATCTATATAAAAAAAATGTAGCAGATCACTTGTTTAAGTTGGCGTCTCCTCACACCAAGAACAGTGAAGCTTCTCCCTAGTACTTGACAAATGCGGGATTTGGAGCCTTGCCAAGAACAGACTCAACTTCTCCCTGGAATAAGCTGAATTTTTTTGCCACAGCAAAACCAGCATGCATTCCATCTACTGCTGCACTAATGATCCCACCAGCATAGCCTGCTCCTTCACCAACTGGATATAGTCCTTTTACTGAAGTGCTTTCATAAGTGTCAATATTACGGGGAATTTGGATTGGGGAACTAGTCCTTGTCTGGAACCAAAACATTGTTTAGCATAAACAAATAGCAATTATGAAGTAAAGTCATGATAATCACATGCTTTATGCAAAATTCTGATCAATATCTGCAGACTGAACCAGAAGGTAGGAGACAGGGAATAATTTGAGGAATTTACCATATGACATATTAATGTTAGACCAAACTGCAAAGGCTGTCATATTGACATTTTTTATTACCTCTACACCATGAAGGAGAGCCTTATTGCAGATAAATCCTGGTAACTGGAATGTTTGGAAGTTCAAATTAAAAAAATGTTCTCAGTAATTTTGTAGGAAATTTTATTAAAGACTATGCAATACTACTTTGAAGGACATGGGAAACTGCAAACCTCCTTGTCAAATGTTAAGAGTGAATGCTTCAAAGATTCAGTTATATGAACAGGAAATAGTTGATCGAGGCTTGCTGCCTTCACACCCAAACGATAACTTGATGGAGGCACAGATGTTACTGGCACAAACTAGTCAAGCTAAGTTTATCTAAAAGCTGAGAATGTGAGTCTAATAAATAACAGGTAATAGTTGATAAATTTACCTGACAACTTGTTTTCGAGAAAGTCTGTAACTGTCTGGACAGGCACTATAAAGTTTCCTCCTCCCATCATAGCAGCTCTTCGTTCAAACTCTCTCTATATAATAGAAGTATTAGATAAAACAGAGATTCAGTCAATTTATAGCATCAAGAACAAGGACAATCTACTGGAACAAATCTGATACAACGTTGGTCCACTTAGCCAAATCACTTTTGCTTAATGGCCAGAGAAACAGAATATAAATTTACCTATTTTATTATTTAATAATTAAAGGGTTGAAATATGGCGCTAGAGAATGAAAGAAAGATTATTTTCAAAAAACTGGACTATGAAGTTCCCACAATTTATCGTCACTTTGCTTTTGATAACAATAAAGATGAAAATGGAATGAAAAAAAGGATGCTTGTTAATGTGGTTAAATGTTGTATTTATGATATTAATTGTAATTTATTGTTCTTATTTCAAATGTTTATGGATTGTGTTTCCCTCTTTCCTATATTTACTAGAACTTCAAGACCATACCTAATGTCTCTTTTATCTTATCGATTTTTTTAACTTGAGACATTACACAGACAATAAGAAATCAATAAATAGTAAGATTTTATTAAAAATTGTAGCACTTAATGGTATCAATGCATTAAATTGCATTTAATTTTGTAATTTTTAATTAAAACTTACTATGTATAACTTCTTTTTATCATGTGTAAAATAAGTTAGAAAAATCGTTATTTTATATACACTACAAATGTTATTCATTTATTTCTTCCCTACCCAAATCCCCATAATGTAAGCAAAGGACACTTAGTTTAAATATTAAAATGCATAAGAACTGTTATAAACCCGGGAAAGAGGAAAAAGAACTTGATAGAAACAATCAATGAAATTTAACAATTTTAGTAAAAGATTGAGATCTCTCGTCCATGGGTTCCCCCTTCACAAAAAGTTTCTCCTTTCACACCCAATCTGCCAAATTCACAGAATGATCCCCTCTAATCTGATTTCCCCATATTTCTTAAGAAAATCCCTCCTAACTAAACTAAGCAAAGTGACTAACTAATAGATTAACTAACAGTTGTCCTTATTATTCACCTCTCATTATACATCCAAACAATAACACAATAGGGATTGCAAGAATTCAGACTTACCTGAAATTCCACCCCTGCCAGAGGACCATAATAATTCAAAGCTCCAAAATCCTTCATTGTGACTGTTACCACAAGTGCAGCATTTGCCCACTTCGATGCTCTCCGAGAAAATGACATGCCATTGATGCATATTTCTGATGGATTGGTACTAGTGAGAACAACCTACAAGTTCCAATATTCCATAGTTCACTACCAGATGATGACATCCAATAATTGCTCAGGTAAATTAAAACAGTGAAAATATAGTTACAATTGTCTCTCACTGAAACCAAATGTGTTAGACACACCTCCCGCTTCCTCCTTTGCAAATCAATAAGTAAATTTTTATACCATGAGACTGACCTTATGTGCATGGTTCCCAATTAATATATGACTTGAAAAAATAGAAAAGCTGAAAGTATTTTTCTGTGTATTTTACAGTGTACAACAAGGGTTTATTTATACAGCTATGATCATAAATTCTACGCTGAAATTATGGGTATCAAATCAACCTCAATTACAATAAATATGGAATTAAGGAGCTAATCAAATAAAATGAACATGTTAAAAACAACAAATAAATGCATGTCTCAACAATATGATATGCAAGCAAAATGAGAACACTTACCTGCCCACCTGGACACATGCAGAATGAGTAGCAACTTCGATTTGCCACTCCTGAATCAGATGTTTCATAGAAATTCTCCATGTCAATATAATTGGCAACTTTATAATCTGCCACTGGAATTCTACCACGTCCATTACAAACCTCAGAAGCCAATTCAGCATACTGCATATTTAAATGAATAAAATTGCACGCATCACAATCACAGCAAATGGATAAATGAGTCTGAGAAATAGCTTTTCTGACACACAATATACAGGTTAACCTTACCTCATGCTGACATTTAATTTTAAGAGTAAATACAGATTTTGGTCCTCCAAAGATACAAGCGTCATTATGTTTGCTTTCTTTTACAAATACACCAAAAAGGCCCTTAATGTCAATTTAAGACATCAATTTGATCTTCAAAAGGACAATAAGTTGTAAAATGACTTTGAAGGACCATTTTGATGCATTAGTAAATGGAGGACTTACCAGATGACAATTATGTCTTTGAAAGGATAATAAGATGAAGCTGCGTCAATCAATATAGCAGAAAATGCTTTTTATACCCCAATTTCTATTTCTATTATAGGAAGGCTGAATTTCTCTAGGGGAAAGGGATAAATGACTAGATAAGGATATCTTATGACAACAAGAGTAGATAGATAGAGGGCATTGTCCAATTAAAAAGGGAGTATTACTTCACTCAATCCCTCCACCTGGTCCTTAGCTTAGGTTTAGTTCTTATTTTTCATTAACGTAATGAAATGCCATAGAAAGAGCTATGCTGGATCTTGCATTTGGATTTTTGTTGGATTCTTAATTTCAGTATAATTTGTTAATTTCTTCAATTGGATTCATTTCATTTGATGAATGCATGTTATGATTAGAACACCTTGGCATGATTTAGTTAGCTAATTAAGTAGTGACCACCTGCAATTGATTTAAGAATCTATAAAACAATCTAGGATTAGAATAAATGTGGACAAATTTTTGGTTCTTTTCCATCAATTGAAATAGCCAACAAAGTCAATTTAACATCTTTAAAGTTTACGCTTTAATAATTCCTTAAATGAGAAAATAGGGAATTTGATTAAAGAATAGATTATTAGTATCTCATGACCGTCGATTGCTAATAGAATTGGTGGATGTATTCACTTATGAAGTTAACAATCAAATTATAGAAAGATGCAAATTAAAATTTGAATGCAAGTGAAGCCCAAGCTCTAGATATTTGCTCCAACAGAGAGTTCTTGTGTTGTTTCAAAATCACATTTTAATTCCTCTTAATTTCACTTTTAAATTATTTGCATAATCTCAATTTCAATTTTCTAGATAATTAAAGGGTTGTTTTGAGAATCTGATGATTTCCATTATGGGAATGATATTTGAGCACTTGTCATGGGCATAATTTTTATACTTATCAGAAAACAAAAGCGCTGAAACTACTTGACTAGACACAAACCTGTATGCTGTTTATTAGTTCTTGAGGATGCTCAATTCGTAGCCCTACCTGTAACCAATGTTAAAAGCAAGAGAAATAAGAAAATCATGACAAAAACATGTCAAAGCAAACATCACATTATATGATCATTTTTATTCAATTGAAAAACAAAATTACAAATGAACCAGAACAGGGTGCATCGTGTTATAGTAATGACAAATATGAATTTGGTCAATCTAGGATTTTCTATGAGAAGTTGGTCTATCCAAAAGATCTACGTTAGTTTCTCCTTATTAGATCTAGAGGTTTTGGCTTCTGTAAAGGTTTTCTGGAGTCTTTGGCTGGGAAGTAAAGCTAGAAATTTCAAGGGAACATCCACACCTCCAGATTTGGGACAAGGTTATTTATTGTTTTAGCTTGTCTTTGAAGTTCTATTCATGGATATTTTAGCGGGGTCTCTTTGCTAGTCATGTAGACAATTGCCATGCCTTGTTACATGACTCAATCTCAAAGGTCAAGATATTTCATTTCTTGATTTTATTAATTTGTGTAAGAAATGGTGAAAGACATTTCTTGTGAGGATGTCTTATCCTCTTGCTTTGTACTCTTCTTTTTCTTCCTTCATGAAATTCCTTTTACATCAAACAATATAATTTGGAAGTTTGGACTGTTTGAGGGATACCCAAAGCTTACAAATGGATATGCAAACAGATAAGTGTTATGAATACAAATAACTATAAGTATCCCAACTTTAATAAATTGAAATAAAGATTGAAAAAATATATCAATATAAACTTACAGCAAAATCTTTTGGTACTAATTCCACGTTGTGAGCAACAAGCATTTCATAAATATCACGAGCAGAATGACCAACAGCCAGAATAACTGCATCATATTCCATCTTCTGACTCCTTAAAATCAATTTATCTGCAGATTCAGATGCCATAACCCCCAGAATATGTCCATCTTTCATAACTAAATCATCTACTCTTGTTCCAAACTTTATGGTGACCTAGAATAAAGAAGCAGCAGTGTTGTTGGACAAAATTAAGAGCTAAAATAAATGCAAGAAGAAAAGCTATAGTGACAAGAATTTATTTTCAAAACAAGGGAGTTATTGGAACTCACACCCAAATCCTGCAGATGTTGCCTGAAGTTGCGAAGCAATGGAACCAACCTATCTGTTCCTAAATGAGGCTTTCCATCAATCAATATCTGTTTTGGAGCTCCAAACTGCACTAGAGTTTTCATAACCTAAAATGGAAATATCAAATCAACCATTCGGTAAGACATAAAGGTTAGCCATTGATAGAACAACAATTGATAAACCTATAAAATATAATACTAAACACAATAATCACACACTATACAATGAGTACACTTGCTGCTCCAGAGACAAAACTCTCCTACAGAGAGTATCAGATATAATTACACACTACAAATAACAACATGCCTAACTAATTACACACTCAACTATCAGATATAATCCTAATACATAACTTCCATGAGGTAGTTTCTACTACAGAATTAGTTATTTTCTATGATCTATATTCCTTAGTCCTAATTAGAACTACTTCAAATCCATCAACGGATCCTTCCTAACTAACTTTTATCTTGTTCCCATCATCACCACCTGTTGAAAAATCAGCCTTGTCCCCAAGGCTGAAAGTAGGAAAAAGTTTCTTCCTTATCTCTTCATCCACTTCAATAGCAATTGCTTCTCCTTCTTCATATGGGGCTTCATTATCTTACAAAATTACCAACCTTAACTATTTCTCCTAGCAGTGGTGTAAAGGATGGAATTTCTCTCCACAGTGAAAACACAAAGCTATGGTTTTACTCTCTTTCTTGATAAGTTAAATGCCACAGCCCCTTTCTTTTATCCATAGAAATCCTTCTACCCCCTCATTCTTCCTCCCTATAGAGTATAGACATTGAAGAGGAAGCATGGTCTCTGTTTTGTGAAAGACCCAAAGCCACTAACCAGAATTCATGCCATTTCTCCCATTTCAACAATCTAGCAATATATTTGCTGTCCCAAAGAGTACTGTATGTCCACAAACTACAAATAACAACACACTTACCTAATTACACACCATAGTATCAAATACAATCTTAATACCTAATTGCCTTCAGTTATTTTTAATGAATAGCCATCAAACAGGTTCTAATACAGAACTGCTAATGCAGGATATGTTATTTACTCCTAAGTATTGACATTTGCCTCCAATCCATCAATGGATCCTTCTTAACCGACTTTGGATCTCAATCCCCATTAGGCATGAAGGCCACAACAGGGAAAAGTTCACAAATCTTAATTTTGGTCATATTTAAAATTTCTACTAGCTAACAAAACCTTCCCAAATAAAAAACCAATTTTTGGGTCAGATACTCTACATTTTATGGTGGCAGGAGTTTTCCCTAATATTTTGTTGGAGTGGGCATTCAAATTCTTCTTAAAGTTGTACACTTTTCTAAGCAATGAAAGTCTACTGAAGTTCTGGAGTGACATATTCAAACTAGTCAATTTGATTTAAGGTCTACAGACAAAAGCAACAGCATGTATTTATCAACTTTCCACCAAACAGCATGCATTAGAGTATCCCATTCTGACATCAACATTGAGTAGAGGAAAGCCATTACGAAGTTAGCACTGTTTTCTTAAGAAATCTACAGGAAGAAAAGATCAATTTAACATAGTAGGATGCACACATCTATTTCATAAACACAACATAAGGAAACTAACCGCAAGAACACTGCCACTGTTGCGTCCAATTCTGGTTACTAACTTTCCATCACTCCAGGTACCTGCACCACCCTGCCACACATAAGTCCTTAATAAATGACAAAGTAAATAAACAAGAAGACTATATGATAGAAAAACTAGTGGAATAAAAAACGACACAAGAATCACAAATGAGCTGATCAACTATCTTTAACTCAATGTAACATTCGATGATTTTCATAAGCATTTCAGAAACTCTGCAATGTCTAATATTGCAGCTTAGATGAGCATTAAATTGTGCACATACTTTCCACTGACTCAAATAACATGTCACAAAAATCTCCTTCCCTGTTGGCTTTTGTGGAGAAAATTCAAATTGTAGCAACTAGCAACAAAACTGCACAAATAGTACAAAAGTGTACTCCCATGTGTTTTATTTTGAATAAATTCGCATATTTTTCAGAACATGACAACTTTAAATAAATAAATAAATAAAATAAGTGGATGTGACCTTTTAAGATGTGTCCAAAAACAAACTCCTTTAAGTCCAAAGTGATGAATGATGCAACCATGAATGTATCATCTATCATACTGAAAGAATAAACCATCATTCAAAGAAGTAAATGAAGATGCACATTGCATAGTACAACCTCCCCAAAGCAGAAGTTACTTTCCAACTCTAAAATTCGACGAACAACAAGAGCACCAATGTCACGCCCCCTTTTTTCGACTGGTTGACCTCTTTCTATCAGTGTAACATCTGCACCAAGCTCTGCAAGAACTAGAGCAGCAAATAGGCCGGAAGGGCCACTACCTACTACTGCAATTTTTGGCTTTCCAGTATCCCGGTTCCCTTTTGGCTCTGTTGAAAAAAAGCTATGTCCATTTTCCCCTTTCAACGCAGCTTCTTTATTTTCTTTACAGTCATGAATGATACTCGTCAGATCACCAAAATCTCTTCCATCGTGCCCACGTTCCACAAGGCCAACTTTAGGCTCCAGCCGAGCAATAAAGTCCCAACAACGAGGCTCCAGACTGATTAGTTTTTGAACATCCATATCCACAGTATGCACAAATTTGGGCTCTTTTAATTTCTAAAAAAGAATGAACAAAACAAAATGAGAGGATGCAAAGGCAATCATAACTGAAACCATATGGCTATTTAATATATTTTCATTTATAACAATACTAATTGAAATGAAATGCTTCAAAGTTCTACACATCTACATATTTATAATCGCAGGTTTGTCCATCAGCAATCATTTTTTGCATTGCGTTTAATGTATGGCACACATAAGTCAAAACCAAATAATCGAAATATTAACAATGAAATCTAATTTGTGACATAAGTTTTCAAATCAAGATTGAACACAGCCATGCTAGCAGCAGCAGCAGCATCAGTAGAAGTAGTGCTGCTAGCCTGCTATTACTACTATTATTATCCTTATTATTAGATTTCAATATTCAATTTGAGTCTACAACTGCAAATGCAATCAAATATTAAGGTTAAGGTTTTGGAAATCTCTACAACTGCACAGCGATTGCATTTACAGCCACGTCAGCCACATTTTCGGCAATTTCAGTGACCGGCTAATCGCAATGCAAAACAAACGCAATTCAAAACTTACTGTTACTGTTATTAACAAGAAATGAAAGTGATGAATTAATTTGAGTTTGTCATTGAACATTTGCACATTACATACCTTCCTAGCATCAAAGGACTTCCTAACGACCGTGAAAGCTTCTCGTGGCAAAAGCGAGGCAACCTAACAGACACGGAAGAAATTGAAAATTAAAAGAAGTGTATTTATTTATGAAAAAATGTTGCTTCAGAAGTTTGAATACCGGGAACTTGAGAACTTTGGCGATTTCTTGGAGAAGGCCATCGGAAACTTGTAGAAAGTCCTTCCCAGGGTCCTGATCCAGTGGTACTGCGAGCTTGAAGAGCCTCCATGTACCCTCAAACTTGCTCTTCACTTTAGAATCGGATAAAACCTCTTTGTGCTTTGACTTTAGCTTCTTCTTCTCCGACGGGTACCTCTGTTTCCCGGTTCTCTTGGCACACCAGATACGCCGCGTTTGGTTACCAGAATAAGGGACTCCATCAATGGGACCGCCAAACCAGAACGCATTATGGTGCTTTAGGTAGCAAGTGGAAGAGGAAGTGGAGGGAAGAAGGAGCATGGGGCTGTTGTTGTGGTCTGGTGAGTCAGAATAAGCGAGTTTCTTAGTTCGTTCGGATAAGACCGTTAAGCTATAGAGCTTAGTCTAGGCCTGTCAAATTGGGCCAACCCACTCCCTTCAGCCCTAGCCTATATGGCTCAGGCCCAAAATAACTAACGAGGCCGAAATGCTCACATTGAATCAAGGCTATACGTTGACCGAAAATAAATAGTTAAAGTTCATAAAATCTTAAGGGCTAGAACCAGTTCATGGGCCTTAAAGTAATTAATTTAGCCTACTTTACGTGGGTCAACTCACTGTACAGTTCATTAGTTCAGTCTTATAAATTAATTATTATAATATTCTATATTAATATTTTACTAGTAAATATGTCCGTGCGACTAATTTATTTTATTTTTATTAAATTAATTTATTTTAAAATATAAAATATGTAAATATGGTAAAAAAAATTTATTATATTAAATATAATTATACTAAGTAAAATTATAAAATACTTTTTTATATACAATTTTTTGTATATTTTATATATTTATTATTTTTTTAATAATAAGTATTTTTATTTCTTTTGTTGATATTATTTTATATAATATAATATATAATTGACCATGATTAAATATAGATTTTGGCAAATATAATCAAACATTATTTAATAATTTTTCTTGATAAGGTGTCTTGTTCCAATGTACATTCTTAATGTAGGATTGATGTTCTTATATAGCATAATTAACATTTATTCTTTAAGTTGCAAGCAATGGGAAAGAAATTCATTAAAATTTAAAGTATTCAAGAACTCTACGGGATAAATAAACTCTTATTTAATGATTTGATTTGATTTATCACCTACAAATTTTAAAAAAATATTAATAAATAAGTAAGCATAATTTTAATTTATGATTTATATGATAAAATATTAATTATAAAAGTAGTTATAATAAATTCTATAAGTATATAATTAAATTATATTAATAAATAAATAAGTAAATATTATTACAGTTTATAATACTAATATCAATACATGCATGAATAAATTTTTATAATTATTCTCTAATTAAATTAAATAAGTAAATTAATTTTAAAATATGAAATAATTTTAAATAATTATTTGTTAATGTAATAATAATAGAATTAATAAAATTAAGATAATATTTATTAAGATAATAATAGATTTAATAATATGTTACGTCTTAAAAAAGATCAATAAATAAATAAATGAATTTTTAATTTATATATATATATATATATATATATATATATTATACTGTCATTAAAATATTTATAGGTCTGTAATTATTTTAAAAAATATAACTTTAATATAAACACATTAAAATATTATATCGTTATTAAAAAAATAGATATGTTCTAACAATTTTTATGTAGATCTGGTGTATTTGAGATTTCATGATTACTTTTAGAAATAATTTTTGTGTGATGTCTATGTATCTATATATGTAATCTAATATTTGATATATCACATAGTTTTAAAAAAAATCAATATATTAGTGAACAGAATTTAAATTTTTTTAAAATTAAAAAATATAAAATTTTAAGAATATAACATAATAAATAATTATATTAATAAAAAAAGATTTGTATTGAATTAACATTTTTATGTATAATACCTGTATTTTAATTTACATCTTGGAAACTAACTTTATGTCCACAAAATAACTGAATTTTTCCATTAGAAAGCATGGTTCTTTACGTTTATAATTAAATACTTTTAGAAAAAATTTCAAAAACATTAGAACTTATATTCCAATCTAAAAATTTTGAATAATCATATAGTGAGAATATAGAACTATAATAAATGAATATAATTTAATATGTTACTATAAAAAATATTTTTAGTTATACTCAGAAAATTTTAAAAGTAATAAAGGGAAATGTTTGTTAACTTTTGAAACAAATGATATATATAGAAATTAAATCTAAAATTAGAACTTAATTCAGAATTAAAATGTTACATTTTCTTTACATATTCATTCATTATAAGATAAAATTATTAAAAAATATACAAAACGAACGGTTACCTAAAGATTTAAATATCAAATCATATTCATTTTCATTATTATGATATTTAATAATGTTTAATTTATTTCAATTATTATAATTAATTAGTTTTAATTTGAGAGTTTTGAATTTATCATCATCATTATAACATTTTATAAAAAAAAAACTGCAACAAAATTATTAAGTAAAAATATGGTTAATTTTTTAATTTAAATTTGTCATTGTAATTATTATAATATAAAATATAAATAAAATATTATCTACATTAATAGGTTATACATAATTATGATAAGTCAATTCTTATTAAATTATTTTTAAAAAAAATTAAAATAATAGAAGTAGAGAAAAAAAAGAGTAGTTAAAAAAATTTTAATTAAAATTTAGGTAGAAACTAAAAGAGAATAATAATTTTATTTAATATAAAAATTAATCTTTATATCAATTAGAATTACAGATGTTGGTATAATATAAAATTTATGAATCACATATAAAATTAAAACAAATTTTATGTTAAGGATAAAGTCAATACATAATATATATAATAATAAAATAAGATATATATATATATATATATGTAAAATAAGATAACAAAATAATTTTTTAAAAGACATAAATATTTGGTGACATTTTTCTTTTCAAATTCTACATAATATTAAAAGTATTTATACAATATTGTAATAAAAATAATTCCATCCTCTAAATCCTTCATTATTGCCTTTTGCTCACTATTTTTTGTTTTATCTTCCTCAAGTTGCAGCCTAATTGAAAATATTAAATATAAACTAGTGTATGATCTAAGAAATTTGAACAATACATTACACATTTATAATTTATACATTAATTTTCTCATTCTTTTATCTTGCCTTGAGCAGTTATTTTTTCTTTAATAGAACTTGTGTGCATGACCACTCCAATCACATCTAGTCATAAAATAAATAAATTTAAGAAACTAATTGATAAATTAAATACAACTAATATAACAATTTTAGTAAAGTTCTACAACAAAATATCTATTAAGACGTTATTTGTACAACAACTTTTCAAATCTTCAAAGTTCACAAACTCAAAAGAGATGGTAAAAAATTATGTTGTCATCATTTAATTCTTTAATAATAATTAGTGGCATAGAATTGCAACATGAAAGAATTATTTTCAATAGCATCAAATCTATCTTTATTCTTTGTCACTAAAAAATTTGTTATGAAGTATAATTTTTTTTTCTTTAATATACCTTTGAACCGGTAATTAGAAATTATAATTTTTCTTCCTTTAATAAAATAATTTAAATATGTAAAAAAAATTTGATTAGAAATTTGATTTAACAATTTTTTTACTACAAACTAAATATTAGTCTTTGAAATATAAATCAGATATAACTAATTAATAAAATAATTCAATTAAAAAATAACTCAAAGAATGTATATATATTTTTTTATTCCAGATTTTTAACATAATATAACCATCAATTCTAGTAAATTCTTCTTAAAGATATTTCATAATAAGTATGAATCAGATATAATAATTTTAAATCGTAAATTATGAAAAATATTATAATTAATTTTAATAAATAGTAATTTAAAGTTACCGTTTATAACATAATATAACCATTAATTCTAATAAACATTCTTCAAATACAATTTAAAGATAATAAGTATGAATAAATATAATTTAAATTCGTAAATTATACGTTTCAAATTTTAATGTATATAGTAATAAGTAAGTGCAGTGAATAGGAGTGACTTTATAGTTTTCGAATTTTAATGCAATAAAATATAATTTTAATTTGTAAAATATACATTTCGTATTTTAATGTATAGACTAATAAGTAGATAGAGTCACATATATAAAAATGACTTTATACATTTTAAAACTTAATGTATAGAGTAATAAGTAAGTGTGCAATTAATTTTACATATACGTATATAATATATATAAAAGATAGAAGATATGGGTGATATATAATTAATTACAAAATATTATAGCTCAAAATTTGTCATGTTGCTGTAAAGTTAATGACAACATGAAAAGTTATGAAATATATTATCTAAATAATTTATTACAAACTTATTCATCTATTATATATCAACGTTAACAAAAAAACGCGTTCCAGAATGAGTTACAACGATAGATGTTTTCCTATCACAATTGAAATTTGAGCTTTCGTTTTTTAAATTAGAATGAGCCAACAAGGGTGGGTTTCATCTTTGAAAGCGCAGTGGCTCCCAACAATGAGATGTTAGGATGCACCATTTAAGTGAGAAAAATTACAATGAGCGTCTATATTCATTATATTCATTGCAAATTCATAGTGGAGCAACGTTACTAATGATTTACGTCATTCACGACTTCTGTAGTGTGTTCCCTTTGGCAAATGAATTGGTACCTTTCATTGGGATGAAAAGGAGAGGGAGAGGCGTGCTAGTTGCTGATGAGTGCAATGAGTTGTGGGTTACAGTTGCTACTTGCTAGTGCTACTCCGTGGCTTGCATGTGCTGGGTCATGTCCTTGTGGTGAAAGAAGGAAAACAGAGCATTTGTGTTTTCTTTTCAATTTTTAATAAAATATTATGAATCCTTGAAATATTTGACGGTATAGACTTGCTATACCCTCTAATATGATAGTACTTTAAATAAGAGTTAGTTCCAATAAATAAAATAATATTGTTCAAAGAGTGATTAGTTAATCAACCATATATTGAGTTTTTTTTCCCTAGATAATTCAAATTATAATTGCCCAATATTAAGTAAAAAGTTCAAGTCTTCCAGATGATCTGAGCCTAATATGATAGTCCGTTGGTACTAAATTGCGGGTATAATCTAGAAGACCTTAACGAAAAATTCGATTCAACATGGTAAAAAGACATGGCACTTAGAACTGTCATACACTCTCTTCAGGCAATAAGTTCGGTGTTATACTAACAAGTACATCATAAACCCTACAATTGATTAATCGTTTGAAAATGTTTCCTGAGTCATTATGATTTCTTCACCAACCCACCTGATAAATTAATGGGACAGTACTCTTAGCTCATAACAAGGATATTTAGCTAGAGTTATAACAGGGTACCAGTAATTGTGAGCCAGGCATTGCTCGAGTATGACTTTTCACCAATTGCCACCATCTGCATCCCGTGCCTGGTAGAAATCATTTGGCCGGACAATGTTAACCTCCTCAAATTCATTATCATCTGGAAACAAACAGATGGCTAACTTTACATTATGTAGTTACTGGAAAACAAAGTTATGCATAATAATTCTAATAGACAATGCAGTCAAAATGGGAGTTTCAGGAATATCCACAACTAAAGGTTAGGGATGAGAAGAGGACACAAACTACATATAAATGCCAGCAGCATGATTGTACAGATCACCTCGGATGCAAAGTCACCCATATCTGTGTCTTAAGAAAAGACAAGGGGTTGTGGATGGGGAGAAGGAGGAAGAATAGTTACTTGAACCCATACCAAAAGTTAAAAGGATCAATAAAATGGCCACCCCGAAGGCCTTCATGAATTCCTTCAATTTCTTTATTTCCATCAGTTACCACTTAACCGATATAAAATACTTCATTAACATGTGAATTATTACTTTGATGAGACCATTTTAATTCCATGAAGAAACCCAGTCCAATCCATCAACAGCTGCAGCTGAACAAATCATACGATGTATATTATCAAAATGAAATTAGAACAAAAGTTAACTTTTGGATTGAAAATAATTCTCTTTCTTTTCATCTTGGCCTCTTGGGTCCAACGTCAGTAAATTCCATTAAAGGGACTACTAGTAAAGTCCAGCTGTAATGATTTTTCTGAGGTTATAAACGAATAATGGATGCAATTCCAAGCAAACAGAGCATGCTAAGTACCTATGACAATTACTTTTTCTTTTCTGTGGGAATAACAGTACAGCAAAAACTGAGAATTTGGTTCCTCTGTAATTAAAAGGAAACCCAATGCCAAATAAAAAAAAACCCCATTGAAGCCAAAATAGTAATGAACTATTATGTCACAATTCACTACACAACAACCAAACCTTTTCCCACGAGTCAGAGTTAGTGGCTAGCTACATAAAGATCAACCGATGCCATAATGTTCTATAGTGAATCACATCCAAGCAGTCAGGGACAAATCATTAACCACTAAATCCTTCTTAATGGTTTCACCAATAATTTTTTTAGTATCCCTCTAGCTTTCAAAATAAGCTTTCAGCTATAGGCTCCCTTCTAAATGGGGCTTCTACAAGTCTTTTCATGCATGCCCAAATCACCTGAGGCAAGATTTAATGATTTCTCCAACAATGGACGCTACTTCAACTTTTTCTCTAATGCATTCATTCCTAGTTCTATCTTGTTTAGTATATCCACTACTCTAAGCTGGAGTTGATACAGCTCTTGCTAAACTTACATTACATATAGTATACTCCATCTTACTTCTAATTAAATAAAAGCCACATTCTTCCAAACCTTATCTCCACGGCATTTCTCCATCAAAATTCACAATATAAAATAAATTTACATCAGTGGGATTATGCTTGAATGCACACAACACAGGTTGGATCCACTCCTATCATTTGTAATAGGAATACAGGATAAGGTCTAGTAGAGAGAAAAAGACTTTTTTTTTATCAGTAAAACATGAGCACACTATGATTAGTTTTAAGATCTTATAGTAACATTTAAGAAAAATGTCTTTTTCAAAAGAAAATTTCCAGAAGATTAAAATTACAAATAAGTACACAAGCTAAGTTATTAAAATTACCAAAAGCACATAACTCCTATGGATCTTCAGAATATGCCAAAAGAAGATTTGAGTTTATTTTGTATGCCTAAAGTACATTTCAGAAATTCCTAAGGTAGCCCATGAATACCCGAGACTTGGCCCCAAAATTTGAGGACTATTACAGTATTATGGCTTTCTGGAACAGTTCCTAGTTACTGCAATTCCTCAGCAGGAATTAATTATCCAAAATTAATCCTAAAAAAACCCAGGATGACCAGAATAGTCTATCTCTACCATTCCAAACTGAAGGATCCTTCAAAGAACAACATAGGCAACAGGCAATAGGACTCTGCATACATTCAGAGAAGCAAGAAAGGAAACTAAATAGGCAGCAAGGAAAACGATAATAACATAACCATTACCTTTTCTCAAGGTCAGTGCAACAACTGCATCATTTTCAACCTGAATAGTAAAAAATATATCAGAAAGTGTCAACATCTTTGGCATTTGTGTACAAGTCATATGGGGAGAAGACAGAACACTTTGGCTAGTTAGATATTAAGAATAGATGTGTAAAAAGACCCAGGAGTTAGATGCATTTTAATTCTAAACATTTAAAGAAAATACATGAAAAATATACATCAGATTAGTCTACAGCACCTTTTGATCTGCCAGAGTCCTAGAGTCATCTAATACTTCCCCTGTACCAGGGAGAATTAAGCGTTGATTATTAGCTGGCTGATCAACGAGTTCTTGCAACTTCTGCTTTATGTCAAGAATTTTATCAGATGGCTTGCACCGGATGAAGTATGTTGTCTTACTACGCTTAACACGAATGTACATATCCTGTCAACAAATGATAGTATAGATTGAAATCACTCGAATTTTCTCATTATCCATAACAGATACCTAAAATCAATTAGCTAACAGATCCCCCATCTATGTTATAAGTAAGATTAGCATCAACATTATAACACTGCTCACTTATTAAAAATCAGAGTATCCATTTTATAATTGAACATGATAATGATATGATCCTAAAGCACACCAGCCAGTTGCTTCTAAAAGATGATAATAAATTTGAAAGAAAACAGGGAATAGTCTTTTCCTTTTCAGACAAGCATACAGCAAGATTCAAACATAAATTCGATGGGCAGCTTAAAGGAAACGAAATTCAAACAAGTTATAAGCATTTCAATACAATCTCCTAACATCTCTACCATATAAAACCCAGAGACTATGTCAAGGCTCAAGCACTAACACACCGTTGGGTTAAAAGAGGAAAAGCTATCTCCTCTTTTTAATCTCATGAAACCACCGCAAATACAATTGTCTTTAATAATACCCTTTCTCTTTTATTATTCTTCACAACCTAGCAACATCAAAGGAATCGAACATTTTGTTGATTTTTATAACAATTCCAGCCAGTTTCCTCACTTTAGTTGGAATGACTTTAGAAAAACACACTAACCCATTTCTTAACTTTCAATTAGACGCCATATTTCACTGCGAAATTTCACCGATTCGAAAGAAAACAGCACAAAAAAGTGAAGCACATACCATTTTAGGACGCTTCGGGCGTTTCCCCTTGGTAACAGAATCTAAGGGTGCTGCAGTCCACGGAATTGAAGAAAAATAATTAAATTAAATTAAAAAAAAGTTGAATACATTGATTTTAAGTGAAGGGGAGTAATTGATTTGAAGAGGAATGTAAATGTTAGAATTGAATTGGGAAAATACCTGAGGCTGGGAATTGGAGAAATTTTGTAGTGAGGTTTGGAAATTGGAATTTGGAAGAGGTATGCTTAGTTGCTTGTTCACGGACCCTCTCGCATTCACTCCTTCAAATTTTTCTTTTTAGTTTTAACTTTTTTAGAAATAAAATTAACAAAATTCGTATTTTAAAATAAATATTATATAATTTAATAATTTAAAATAAAAATTATATTTTTAAATTAAATAATAGTATGTTTAAATCAAGATACGTTAATTATATCAAATTTATATATTAAATTTTAAATTTAAATTAATTAAGATAATAATAATAATAATTATTAAAAAAATGTTTTTCTCTTCACTATGTTAAATATTCTTTTAATTAAATGACACAATAATCTTATTGGTCTAGTAAAATTTTAAATAAGCTTTATCTTATCTCATGGACTTATTTTTTTCTAATTTTGTACGAAGTTATTTAAAAGTATAATTTTTTTTTGTATCATACAGTGTCAAAGAGATTTTAATTATACAAAATAATAAGTATTTTATTATATTAAATAATAATAAATTATCTTATTATTATTATATTCATTTTTTATCAAATTAAAATTAGTAATTATTAAAATTTCAAACATATTTGTTATCTAATTCATAAGTAATTACACATTTATGTTAAATAAAAGATAAATAATAACAATAATAAGAAGTTACAAATAATTTTAATATAAATGAGCAGATTAATCGCATTTCTTAATCTATATTATTCTCTTAAATGTAGGGGTAGACAGCTTTCAATGGACCAACCCGTATCAACTGAACATTAAAAAATGTGTAATGGGTTGGGTCTTTCAATTGATATATGTTATTCTCTTAAACGTGGGATTACTTTAGGCACTTTTTTTTTTCACTCTACTATAATTTTATAAAGATTGTCTCTAACAAAAATTCTGAAAATAAATTTAACATTCTGATTGAAACTACCCCATTTTTGGTAATACGTTCAAAACGATTAAGTTATATAATTTTATTAAAAATGATCTAAATCAATAATAGTTTTTTAAACATATAAAAAATTATTTAAAACTGATTAAAGGCTTAAGACAGCTACTTCATTTGTGAGTTAATTTTAAGTTCAATTCTATGATCATTAGTTATAATAAAAAAATCAATAATTTAGTATTTCTCAGCAAAAGTCATTTTCACAAATAATTAAATTTTTTAAAAATCGTTTGAAGTTAGAATTCTTGACTTAATTTTTAGTTTTTTATTTATTTCTCATCTAGTTTAATTCATATCCAACAAGAATCGTGTACTTAGATGTGGTGAGTAAGATTTTTTTGCATAAACAATAACTTAAACTCAATACTTTAATTAAGCGATATCAAGTCGCTTATCACTTGTACCAACTTCTATTGGTAATTTTTAACTTTTTTTTAATTTTGTTGATTTCATAAATAATGATAATTTAATTGAGTGTAAGAGAATATTCACAATATTACTATTACTTCTGAATTTGTATAATTTATAATATATTTTTAATACAATAATTTATTAAAATTATTAATATTTAATATTTACAATTAATCTTAAGGTCCAAATATAATAAATTATAATATAAAAATATTAATTAAACATTTATTTTAACAAGAATTTACATCGTACTCATTTCAGTATTTTTTTTTCTTGAAAAAGATGCATTTATTAAATTTGAAAGTTTGGAGAAAAAAAGATTAATATTACTTCTAATCGTTTTTATAAGAAATAAAAGACTAAATAATTAGAATTAAAGAAAATAATTAAGTTAATTATATTTTTTATAAATATAAATTTTATTTTAAGAATACTTATAATATTAAATGGTATAGTTAGTAATTTGTATATTTAATACTCATTCCGACTCACTCTTTTTATAAGAAATAAAAGACTAAATCATTATGATCAAGAAAAATAATTAAGTATGTTATGTTTTTCATAAATATAAATTTTATTTTAAAAATACTTATAATATTAAACGATGTAGTTAGTAATTTGTATATTTAATTATACTAATAAAAGAAAAATATAAAAGAAATTTAACAATTAATGCATATTGAATCTATCGTTTATTTTTTATAATAAGGATTAAGAAAATGTTCTATTATATTTTTTATAAAAAAATCGCAGAAAGTAATACTAATAAAAGATGAGTATAAAAAAATTTAATAATTAATGTATTTTAAATTTATTATTTATTTTTTATAATAAATAATAAAAAAATACTCTATTTTATTTTTAAAAAAAAGACCGGAGAGTATTTTTGAAAGAAGAAAGGCACCAAAGAAGTCCTTATCCAGTGTGCAAGAAGCTTTGGTGAACTGTCAAAGTCCAATTACTCCAACAAAGAAAAGTTTCACGGATTACATTTTTCGTTTTTATCAACCTTATGATAATAACTTTCATTATAGTCATCCATTTGTCAAATTAATGTCCCACACCCAAAAACACTGTAGATAGATACCCTAATATTGGTATTGTATGTAGCAGAACAACAATAAGGTTCAGTAGTTCATATGATCATGTCTCAGCATGTGTAAGAGTTGACCCGACGTATTTGACCAAAATTATAAATAAGGTGGTCGGCAAAACACCATCGTGCTGTCCTTCACTATAGCCAATAGAAACCCCGTCTTTGACAGGGTCACTGTCACCCTCCCCCAATTTTATCAATTCTTTTATAAGAGAGTTTCATTAACAACAAATAAAATTTTGTTGATCGATTGTGATAAATGGGTAAAAAAAAGTATAAAGAGGCCAATTTCCAGCAAACAAATGTACGTGGAAAAAATCAATTAAACTTGTTAAATAAGTTAATTGACAATAATTAAGTGCACGAATAATATTCTTAAATATCAATAACTTACTTTTTGAATAATAATTTGGAAAAAGAAGCGCTCGAAAATTCGGGGGAAAAGGAAGGCATGATTAATCAGCGCCAATAATTTAAATAAAAAAGAAAAAAAAATGAATGTGAGCATTAAAACAAACGCAAAAACGTTAACGAACAATGATTTTGTCTGTAACTGGAAACCGAAAGCGAGAGACTGTTCTTTTCCTGTGTGTGTGTGTAACTGAGTGGTGTTCGTGTGGCAATAACAAAAGCTAACACCCATAAAAGTTTCCTTTTTTATTTCTTCTTAGTTGTGAAGATTCTGGCACACGCAGAGTGGTCCTTTGATCCTTCTTACCCAATTTTCTTCTTCACGCTCCACTGCGACATTTCCATGTTTGTCTCATTCACTCTCTTTTGGGAAGGTACATAGATAATAAACACACTAGATTTGGTCTCAAGTCTTTTCATTGTTCTACAAGCGTGTACAGTTTTATACGGTTTAGTTCATTCCCCTGTCTAAGCTAAGCAATCGTTTTCACTTTTTTTTATTATATTTATTTTTCTTCTCTTTCTTTCAAGCCAAACCACCCCTTTTATTCGTGGAGATCCCATCGGCGTTTTTTCAAGTGCTATCTCTTCTTTTCTTTCTCACAAACAGATTTCTGATTTTGGGTTTGGTTGAGATTTTGTAGTGGTAACTGGTAAGTAGTTGCTTTCTGCCATCGGTTTATTCTTCGTTAAGGATCATAATCATGTATCTGTTAATGGATTGAATCGTGTTGTTCCTCATTTATCGTTGGAATTTTGCAATTATGCATTTATTTTGTTGCTCGAAATTTCCTCCATGGTGACTTGTATCAATGTTCACGGCACATGCACTATTAGACTTTCAAAACTACCTTTCCTCATTTTCGTGCGGGTTTGCGTGTTTGTTTATTTACTTACTCACAACCTTTTCGTTTTCATTTAATATTTTATCTTAAAGTGTTGAAATTGATCTCTAAAGTCTATTCTTTTATTAAATACTACCAATGATAACATATTAACAATGCTTTTTTCCAACCATAACACTTTAAAGCTTGCAATTTGAAGGCTAATTGTGACATGTTTCATGTTCAGGGATTAGTGAATTCTTGGATTGAACAAAAAATCAAGGTTTAGCATGGCGGAAACCAGCACGTGTTCTATGATATCTCGAACTAAAAGTGATGTAACAGCAATGAAGGAGACACTTTTTGCTCAACAGCAACTTCTGCAAAATCTATACACAGAGTTGGATCAGGAAAGAGAGGCTTCGGCTACTGCGGCAAGCGAAGCACTGGAGATGATACTGCGTTTGCAAGGAGAAAAGACTGCGGTGAAGATGGAAGCCATTCACTACCAGAGAATGGCAGAGGAGAAGATAGGCCATGCTGAGGCCTCTCTTGAAGCATTTGAAGAGATTATAAACCAGAAGGAAATGGAAATCACATCACTCGAGTTTCAAGTGCAGGCTTATAAGCACAAGCTTGTGAACTTGGGTTGTGATCTAAATGCCAGTGAGTTTGAGTTCTTGAATAGAGGTGATATAGGAAATGGAGAAAATGTTGGTCAAAGTAGCACTGTAAGAAGGCTACATTCAATGCCCCCAATTCAGTTAAAGAGTCCCTTGAAAGCTTCTGCTAGAAAAAGGGAAAGATCACCTAGTCCAATGCTTGATGTGATTCCTGTGGTGGTGGAGGATAGCATTGACCGGGATGTTGCTCCACCTAGCTTGGATTTGTCAAGAAAAACAGTTGACTTTCGATGCGACAATGGAACTCCTGATTCATATTTGAATCAGATAAAGATGTTGAATGAACAAGTGAAAGTGGTTTCAGATTGTGGAGAAGGAGAAAAGAGTGCAAATTTGAGTGGTAGAAGTGGGAGGTCATGTTCAATTGTTTCACAAGCTAGCACTGAGATAACATGTGACATAACAGATAGATTGATCTCTAGTAATTCAGATGCAACAAGTCAAGGTGGAAGTACAAATGATGGAGAAGGGGCTGCCGGTAATTCTCCTTGCTTGCTTAATGTACATGATGTGTTTGAAGTTCCAGAAACTAGTGAAATGCATGAAGTTAGTGAACATGGGAAAAGAGGGCTTGAGAAATGGAACTCTGATGCAGAGAACAGATTGACAAAACCGGATCCGGTGTCTGAGGGAATGGTTGAATCACCAATTAAAGATGGTGTAGAAAAGAACAAGGGCATGCTTAAAGTACATCGTGAAATAAAAACTCCTTGGCCTAAAGATGTGATGATGACTATTGGCCAGAAAAGAGAAGGGATGGGTGTGGATTGCGATGCTGAAGCTGAGTTTCAAAAGTTGAATCAGAGAATTGAGAGGCTTGAGAGGGAGAGAAATAGTGCAAGGCAAGAGATTACACATGAAGAGAATGGTGAAGAGCAGTTAAAGCTATTAAAGGACATACAAAGTCAACTCAACTTAATACAATCAGAGATTAGAGGCTGGAAAACCAAAAAAGCCACCCCTATGGATGATGTGTCTTTGTCTTTGGCTTCTCTCCAGGAGGTAAAATGCTAAAACAAATCCCTATTGCCTTAACGAGTCTTTTTCTTTGATTCTCTGTGGTATATACCCTATTTTACAGTTGGTATTAGTGTACAGGATATGCTGAAACTGGCTTTTGATGAAGTATTGAATTATTTTTTCTCTTTATTTCTGACCTTTGAAATAAGAATTAATTAATGATAGCAAATTTCTATGAACAGGCAATGTTGCACTTTTGGCTTTGATGAAGTAACTACAGAATGACCATCTTAGATGACCGACCAACTCACTGCATTTTATGATGTAAATACGGTTTGTATCCAGTACAGAACTGTAGAATTAATCCTCTAATTTGAATTTAGTTACCCAAATGTGTAGATTTCCATAAAATGTGGTACACTAGGCACTAGTATGACGGCAATTTGAATTTTTGTTAAGTCAGAATATGGTTTCCCTTGTCTTTTTAATTCTTGAGATTGGAGCTGTGATAGTCATGGCTTATTCGATTGGAGAGCTTTCTGTCGTTCAAAATTGATATTGTATGGACACAATTTTATATTGAAGTGGAAGTAAATAAATGAGTGCCCTCGATTTTTACTAAGAGAAATATTTGTGGGATATCACTTTAGTTTCACCCTCTTATTAACTATTAACAACAAATTTGATTATGCCGTGAATTGATGAAAAAAGTTTTACATAACAGTTACATATCTGGATTGAGCTTCCTCAGCAGCTAAAGTATTAGATTGCGACATCAATTTTCTGTCAAGTTTACATAGATCACCTGTGACATCCAGTTATAATACAGTTAATCACAATTAGAAAATTTACCATCTTGCGCTTGCACTTAGTATAAATTAAAATTTTTTTTCATTCATTATTAGCACATATCAATACATGATCTATCTATATTAATCAATTATTCTTAAGATTCAAAATCACATGTTAGGAAAATACCCCTTTCTCGTAACACACTTATATGTTTTTTTTGTTTTTGTTTTTGAAAATTTTAAGCTTTCATGGGATAGGCCAAAATTTTTATTCAAAATAATTAATCTCAAGTTCTCATTACTTAATTTTTATTTCCAAGTTTCATTATAAAAATTCATTAAAATTTGTTACTTGTAAACTGTTAGGGACGTGCTTTATTTTCATGTATGCGTGGATCAACAAAAAATTTTCAATTGACAAAATGATTTTTTTCTAATTTTATTTCCTAAATTCCAAATTCATTAAAATGTTTCTGCAATTCATGAAGTTTTATGAATTTGCAAATATGTCCGCCTAATCTTTTCCCTAAATTTTCTACTAATTACTCAATTCTCTTCTCTCTCTAATTTTTGTTACTAACATTTTAAATTCATTAATCTATTCCTATTTAAACTAAATCTCATAATAAGCTGTTATTATATTAACTTATCACTCTAAATGTTTTTAAAATAGAGGAAGTTTAGTTCAGCTTGAACCTCTTTCAAACTTGTCTCAAATTATCATTTTCTTTTAAAAATATTATCACTTTTTTTTTACTTATTAAAAGTCTTTGTTGCTTTTTGTTTAATGTGCATCAAGGCCTTTACCATCTTGTTTTCCCCCAAGCTTATGAGAAAACATAAAAAAAAAAAAAACTCAAGATAAGTGGAGTCATGAAAGTTGAAAACGAAATAATTTATTGGGTCTATTTGTAATTTTACTACCATACCTTAAAATGATAAGCAAATGGGTAGTGTGTGATCTCTCCATTAGTTCTAAGCATATGCTTCATGAAAATGACCTCACTAGTTATATTTTCTAGCACTTTATTCAACCTCTTTGCAACAATTCTAAAATCGTGAATATTTCTTACCTAAGTAAATTTATTTCTCAAAGCTCATATGTCGATTTGATGATAAAAGTCCATCATGTGAGTAAATATGTCAAATCTAGCCATGAAAACTGATTTATATAGACTTACGAGGGTAGTAAAATTTGATTGAAGTCCTCCAAAAAAGCTCAGGACATATCAATAGTACCTTTCAACTCATATAACTTAAGCTAAGTATTGAGTTTGTATAAATTGCACTTTAGGCCCAATAACTATTTCCTTTAAAAATACAAAATTTAACGATTTAATCATAAATATCTAAAACATCAAACTTGTAACTAGTCTTTATTAACAAAGATATACACATGCTCCCAGAATGACCTGCACTTCAATAATGTAACAATTCTTATATCTTTATATTATATTAAAGTGTACTCTAAAAAGTGATGAGTGGTGGAAAAACTAACGAATTTTCACCGAAGTGATAAAAACTGGACGATGCATGCCCACGACTTTGTGCACTCATTACTTTGTGAATGTTCCAAATCAACATATCGAACTCTTTAAATTCTATCATTGAAGATTTAAATTTTGAGAGGAAGAAGAACAAATTAGCTTGACAATAGGCTGGTGGTACCCTAGTTATAGCTTATGAACTCCCATGTTGGACTTGTGTCAATTTCTAACTCCATGTAATTCTCCTTAAAAGGCATAAGCTCTTGCTCAAACGCTTCAATTGTTTAGTATCTAAGAATTTAATTTTTTTTTCCCCTCAAACTATATCCATGATTGTCTTAAAGGAACTCTCACTAATTTTTATTGTTAGATTAGTTTTGACTATAATAATTGCTTTGTTACCCATGTCTTTAAAAATATCTGTATGAGAGATTCACTAAGCATATATTATAAATAGATTTAAGATTGATAGACGGCATAGTAACGGCTTCAATTTCATTGTTCAATCTTGCTTCTTATGATCTATGTCGGGATGACTTGACCTACCGAAGCAAATAATCACGGTGTAGCTGTTTTCTCGCATGGAAGTGATACATGTATGCATATTATAATGATAATGTGGCTATATCAACCTCCACTTGCTGATTATATATACAGAAAGATGGTAGGCAAAAAGATAAATAACTAGCGGAATTCTCTTGTGGAGATCACTTTGGGACGCCACAATTTCAGGCCTCACGTTTGTAAGAGATGATAAGACCAATAGGATTGAAGGCTGAAAGGGTTGGTTCAAGTATAATTCACGTTTTGGATTTATTAAAGTAAAAAGTAGCATGTTATACGAATATAATTGGGAGTGAAATATGATGAAATAAACCATAAAATCAATCCTTAGATAATAGAGCTGGTTGACTCTCATATGAAATGTGGTTGACCCATTTACCCATCATAAATGTTCACCTCGTGTTTCACATAAATCATAGTATTATTACGGTTGCGATGTGAAAATGGGAGATGCAATTACATGATACTAGTGATTCTTTATTATATTAAATAAAAGGGATAAATTTTAAATTAAAAAAATAATAAAAATATTAAATTAAAAAATTTGTTGTATGAAAAATGATTGGTAAAATAAAACAAAAAATCAACTCTTAAAAATACTCTTGTTTGAGGAAACATCTAAAAATATTTTTATTTAAAATTCGTATACAGTTAAGTGACGTTGACTTTGAATTCTATCAAAATTTACTTTTGTTGCAAAAATTATTGAAATTACGACATGTGTACTTTTCTTGAAATTATGTGACACATTTAATATTAGAATGAAAATGTACATACATATCATCATTTGATCGGAGAACTTAATAAGCATTATGAAAACTTGACTTAATCTTTCTCCTAATTTCAATTGTCCAAATTCACGATGCCAATGTTGATTAGTTACTTATTTTCCGATTTAAGTTTATCTTCAATCAGCACAAAAGATTGATTAGAAAGATAGTCCTTCAACCTCCCCATTTCTTGGGCTACATCCAACATACTTGGTCTTGTTGAAGGATTTTGATGCGTGCAAAGAAGCCCCAACTCAATGAGTTCCAGTATAACATCTTGCCCAATTTTGTGATGGTGACTTGGCATGCCAGAATGAGAGTATTTTTTCAATGCTTGTTCAACAATGTTCTCAAGTCTGTGTGCATATTGCCTCTTAACCCACTCATGCAAGCAAGACCCTTCATGGATAAGGACATCCGTGGGGCGTTTACCTGCCACTATTTCTAGCATAAGCACCCCAAAACTGTATACATCACCCTGAGTTGATGCATGTTTTCCCATTCCATACTCTGTCAACAAAATGCAGGAGGAAAATCAATCGTTTCACTTTTAAGGCATGAAACTAAGCGAGAATTCGAAAGTGTAATAAATGTTATAAAAATATACTATTTACATGTGTTTAAACTCAACCATAAATTTTAGTTAAATATTAGATGATTTGTGATACAGAAAATGTACACTTAATAAAGTTAAATGAACCATAGACATATTCTACTTGGCCTTCTTTAGACAATTGATTGTAAGAAACACTAAAAATAGAATAATCTTTTCATTTTAAAAGAAGGGTAATAGTGAATTGGAATCTTGTGAAGCATAGGGGAATCAAGATAATAATGGGTAGTGACTCATAAAAAGTTCTGGTTAAGTAAATTACATAAACTAAGTCCTTGAAAAGTGTCGTTATTCATAACAATAATCCAGGCAATAATGTAGAAGAATGTATGGAAAAAGTATATACCCGGGGCAATGTAGCCAACGGAGCCACATAACAAACCATGTGTGGAACTGAAAGATGTGGTGTCACTAGTGAGCATGTTCTCCTCACCTTTTACAAGCCTTGCAATACCAAAATCAGTTACCAAAGCTGTTAAATCATCATCCAAAAGTATATTGCTTGGCTTAAGATCACAGTGCACTACTCTAACCGGAGAATAGTGGTGCAGATAGGCCATTCCCTCAGCTACATCACTGCAGATCCTCACCAACTGAACCATATTCAACCTCTGGCTTAACCCATGGCTCGGATATAAGTGGCTCTCAAGACTACCATTTGGCATCAGTGGAAGAACAAGAGCCTTAAACTCTTTTTTACTGCAAATTGTGATGATCCTTATTAAATTTCTGTGCCTAGTCCTTTTCAGGATTTGACATTCCCTTCTAAAGCTCCCAGAAATCTCACCAGCTGTTCTTGCGTCTAACACCTTCACTGCTATTCTTGTATTATCTCGGAGAACTCCTTTGTAGACCTGTCCAAACCGACCCGAACCAATTAGGCTTGAAGCACTGAAGCCTTCTGTGGCTTCAAGAAGTTGTCTATAAGAAATTCTTGGGTACTTGAGCTCCTTTGTTTCCTCATCTTCATCCTCCAAGTCCCCTCTGTTGACTATTTCCAATTGCTTTTGGACTTTTGGCTTAATTATTGTGGGGTACCCCAACATACATAGCAAGGGAGTGCCAAATAGTAACACTGGAATTAATAAGAGAACCAAATGATATTTATGTTTCGTGTGGCAGCTTTGCATGCCTTTTACCAAGCCACAAAGAGCATCATTTCCTAGGAAAGAGTTTATGGTCAAAGATGAAAATGCTCCCTTGTTTGAGACACACCCTGAGAATTTGTTGAAAGAGAAGTTGAGTTTCTTGAGAGTGGAGGACAACTGAAGGGACTGTGGTATTACCCCTGTCAATTGATTTGAAGACACATCAAGTTCTTGAATATAAGGCAAATGGCCTAATGAATCTGGGAGAGGGCCTTCTAAGGAGTTACCAGAAAGGTTAAGGTACTCTATTGCTATGCAACTTTCAAGCTGTGGTGGGATTCTGCTGGAGAGATTGTTCATGGATAGGTCAATAGCTAGCACCATGTCCATTTTGGAGAGCTCTAATGGTAAAGGCCCATCTAAGTTATTGCTTGATAGGTTCAAGTAAAGTTTCAAGCTAGACAAGGCTGCAACTTCTTTAGGGATCATCCCTGAAATCTTGTTGTGGGACAAGTCCAAAATCTCTAAATTGACACATTTTCCCAAACTTGGTGGGATGGTTCCAGAAAGCTGGTTGTCATAAAGTAAAAGCCTTCTTAACTGGGTTAGGTTAGCAAAAGTGTCTGGTATTGAGCCAGAAAGCTTGTTTCTCGACAAGTCAAGAAGTCCCAGATGCTGAATGCCACCAAGGGTAGAAGGAATCATCCCAAATAGTGAGTTGTTTGACAAATAAATTCTCTCTAGCCTCCCCATCTGACAGAGACTGGGAGGTATTGATCCATTTAGCAAGTTACTAGAAAAGTTCAAGAGAGTCAGGTTGACAAGTTTTGCTATGTTTGGAGGTATAGAACCATATATGAGATTGTCTTCTAGGTGAAGTTGTAACAAGCTGGTGGGAAGATCACCAATTTTACTGGGTAGCTTCCCTCCAAGATTGTTTCCCGCCAACTCAAGTTCTTGCATGTAAGACAAGTTCATCAAGGAAGAAAAGAAAGGTTCAAGGTTGGTGTTACCATCATGGCTAACAAAGTCATTATATGATAGGTAGAGGAATTGTAGTTGTGGCCAATTGCTTACAATCGTAGATGGTAGCTCTCCACTCAACCGATTTGACTCCAAGTCGAGCCATTTAAGTTTTGTGGAGTTGGAAAGAGCTAAAGGGACTCGGCCTACAAACTTGTTAGACCAAAGCAAGAGGAACCTAAGTTCTTTGAGGATACACTCATTGCTCAAGGGTATTTGTCCTCCTATAGAATTGTTAGAGAGGTCTATATACCTCAGTGTGGAAGACCCATTGCAGAAAAGTGATGGGGGAATATCACCCTCAAGTCGGTTACTTCCCATGTTAATGTAGTACAAGTTGTGAAGAGAACCCAACTCAGAGGGGATTTGCCCTTGAAGAAAATTCCAAGATAAACTAAGTTGTTGAAGCTGAATCAAATAGCCCAATTCCTTTGGAATGTGACCCACAAAAAAATTCTCAGAAAGATCAAGAATTTGCAAGGAAGAGATGTTAGAAAGAGCAGGGGAAATTGTGCCCCCTAGTGAGCTTCCATTAAGAGCAAGCTCTATGATCATGTCACTTGCATTGTTGCATCTGACGCCATACCAATTGCAAACATGTACCCTTGGTGAGTTCCAACTCTTTAGAACGTTTTTGGGGTCAGAAACAATGCATGACATGAATGACACAAGTGAATTTTTTTCATTCACTAGTGTCACGTTTTCCTCCCCATAAACTCCAAAATGAACAATAATTAAATAGAGAAATAAAACCATAGAAAATGGAAGCAAACCCATAATTGCATGGATTAATATGATTTATCTTCAATCTCAAAGGAAGTTGAAAATCAAAGAAAGATGCAGAGGAATTGGTGAGTGCAAGTTCAATGTAGCTGAATATAAAGTAGCCCTAAGGATTGAAGGCAGTGGTGTAAAAATCTGAAACTTACCTAACTACCGTTTATCTGGTACATGTGTGGTGTTTGACTTGAAATAGACCTATCTAAGCTCTACACGTGGATCCAACAACCTAAGTAACGTTAACGAACGTTTGGCTATGGTGGTAAATATGTCAGCACGCTAGGCCTAACACTAACGTTCTTTTCTAATTGATTGATGATATAAAATAGTAATTTTTGCACCAAGCGTTATTGTCATTTTCAGTAGCCTCTTGGATTGCATTGAAGTAGTGGATGGTGTGTTGTTAACAAGGATAATCTTGGTTATAGGCATGCTCACTGGGGGACTACACTTTCTACTCATTTTGGTAGGTTTGTCGGGTGCAAATGCAATCACTACACTATGTTTTGATGTAAATTGCTAAGTAATGGGTGAAAGGATTAAGTTTCAGGTTCACATTGCAGAAGTAACCATGAATGCTCATTAATTGGTTTATAGGCTTAATTATCCAAGTTATCTTCCATAATGGACAGGAATCTTATTATTATTTTCAATTTACACGTCAGAAGATGAGCTACGAAATTTCCTATACTAGCTTGGTGATTCAATGGACAGAGTTTGTGTATAATTTAAAATATAAAATTTTAATTATTACTTTTTTATGATTTAATTTATTGTTAAATTGAATCATTCATTCATGCTATTCAAATCATTCATGCTAAAACTACATTCCTAATATCAGTACTTCCACTTCCAATGTCTTTCCCGTACTCTTAGACTAAAAAGTACCGTAGCCTATATGTGGAGTTTCTAAGAAATCCAAACCAAGGCAAATTTACCATGAAAGCTAACCAACTAAAATGAGGTCAAGTTTAATTCATAATAACTTTTTTTATTGCATGCAATAAACTAAGCTAACAAATTCCTTGCAGAACCTATGATTCATAAGTTTGAGATGTAGCCACCCGAATCATTAACATGGTAATTTATCTATTCATGAATTATAAATTCTTGTTTATTACTATTCATTTAATAAGGAATGCAAGTAACACACTCTTAAATTTATCTTTTGTAATTGGTTATTTGAAAATATTTTTAAAAAAATAATTAATTTACTAAACAAGTACTTTAACCTATTAATAAATGAACCAATAACTAGAGATTCTTAAAAAAAAAATATGTATCGTATACCTTTAAAGACAAAGTAAAATAAAGTATAATTTTAGAGATTAAATTATTTATTTACTCATTTAAGATTTATTTAGTACTTGGCATTTTAGTGTTCTTCTTTGCAAATAAAAAGACAACAAAATAGATATTTCTGGATTTAAAGAGGAAAAAAAGAAAAGAAAAAAAATCTGGTGGCGGGTCCATGGGATTACAAGGTTTTAGAGAGGTTTGAACCTCATCCGCATCATCCGAGTGAGTGACGCAGTGGTCTCTCTCTGCCTGAAACAACGAAAGAGGGATTGAAAAATTGATTGAGAGAGTAAAATGACATTGGCATATTCATTCCCCAGTCCACAACTTCACGCATTCGACAACAGCACCAGGAATCAACTTCACCGCCTTCAGATAAAAAGAAAGCCTCACAAAACCCTCCATTTTCTCGTAATCTCAACCTCTTCCCCTTCCTCAACGCTCTTCTCATGTTCCTCTTTCCCCCTCACTCACTCCACTCAAATCCTTCAATTCCGCCACCCTCACCTTCTCTCCACCAACGGCAACTTCGTAGTCGAAGACGTCGTCGCCTTCGAGGACGAGCCCAGGAGGATCTTCGTCCAGGAACCGCCCTGGATTTCGTCGCTTTTGCTCAAGGGATGGCTGATGCGAGCGGAACAAGAGCAAGAGGAAGAGGCCAGGAAGAAGGAAAAGGAGAAGGAAAAGGAGAAGGAAAAGGAGAGGGAGAAGCACAATTCGCTCAGGCGCCGACAGATTGAGGCCGAGACCGAGGCGTGGGAGAGGATGGTGGAGGAGTACAGGGAATTGGAGAGGGAGATGCGCCAGAAGAAGTTGGCGCCCAATTTGCCGCACGTGAAGGCGCTTCTATTAGGCTGGTTCGAGCCGTTCAGGGAGGCCGTGGCTGCGGAGCAGACGGCGCACCGTGCTCGGCCTAAGAAGCAGCAGGATTCCATTGCTCCACATGTGGATGACTTGCCGGCTGACAAGGTGGCGGTTATTGTGATGCATAAGATGATGGCTATGGTAATGGAGAATGAGGAAGGGTGTGTTCAGCTTGTTCATGCTGCTGTTCATGTTGGCATTGCCTTGGAACAAGAGGTACTGGTGGTTGTAGTGTCTTGTTTTCCTATTAGAAGAAGAGTGAGTTAGTTTTTGGTGAGGCATAGCTATTAGACAATTTAGACTAACTCTTGGCTTGAATGTAGTGGTTGGATATCAATATGGAGATGTAGAACCACATAAGCCTGCTTCCAGTGCTTCTGAATAAGCACTTATAAGTCATGTACCTCAACATTTTCAGAAGCTCCCTTGTGTAGCTTCTCCTTAAACACCTATTCTTGCCTTAGGAAGGTCTTGGTGGTTCGGTTTTACTATTGAAAAGTTCCCATAAGCTATAATCTAATCCAAATTGGACTTCAATCAATTTTTTTAGAAAAAGCTCCTTCTTTGTAGGAGTCACTTGACTGAAACATGCTTGAGGGAATTATTTTATAGATGTTTTGATTATCTTATTGTATTTCAGGTTAGGATTCATAGGTTCATTGAAGGAAATAAAAGTAGCCAGAGTAAGAAGACAGAGGCTGGTGCTGAAGATGGTTCAGATAGTGACACAGAGAAACAAAGGAAGTATTTAAACAGTTTAATTAAAAAAAATAGACTGAAAGAAGTGCAGATGGTATTGAGAAAAGAAGAATGTTGTCCTTGGAGCCGGGACACCCAGGCTAAGGTCTTTCTTTGAGTAATCGATTATCTTCTCTCTCTGCTGTGGTTTTAAAACTAGAATTTCTTGTTAACGCTATGAAATTATGCAGCTGGGAAGCCGATTAATAGAATTATTAATTGAAACAGCATATGTACACTCTCCGGTTAATCAGTCTGCCGATACTCCGCCTGATATTCGACCTGCTTTCAGGCATGGGTTTAAAGCTGTACCATGGCATCCAGGGTAAGGTTTCACCTTTTTTTTTTTTTCGAGGGACAGGGGGGGGGGTATTAAAGTGATAATTAAGATTTAAGGCCTTGACACCCCACAACTAAATGACACTGTCTGGTTAGAGAAAGTTAAGAATCATTTTTTTTTTGTGGTAGGAGATTTTTTGAGTATTATGTGTAATGTATCTGAATGTCTCTTGTTAATTATATTTCTCTTTTACACACACACAGACAGATGCATGTGCACATGCAATTATGCATGTACAAGAGATGCTGATGCCCTTAATTATAGAATTTATTGTGATGAAGTATGACACATAATCTGTGCTTAACATAAAAATAAAAATAAAAGAGTAACAGTCCACATTTTCCCCATTTCTATTGAGTATGTTTTAAACCGTGACCAAGGATATGCCTCAAAAGAGTAGGTAAGCAAGAGATTGGTGGAAGTGCATTTATCACACTTGGTTTTCAAAATAATTCTGACTAACTTTTTGGTGCTTGTAGGCAAAAATTTTCAAAGAAGTATGGCGTTATACAATGTGATCCCTTAATCCTAGCTGGGCTTGAAAAATGTGTAAGTTGAAATATCATCTCTTTTTAGTAAATGATATCATTCCATAGATGAAGCTAGTCTGCACATTGTAACAACTTTTGGGATAGCTTCATGAGTGCAAAGGAAATCCATTATTATCTCAATATGTGTATGATATTCCTGTAAATTAGAACTATTTTGTACCTCACTTTCCTCTCCCCCGAGAAAAAATCAGCATTTAGATTTAAAAATAGAACAGGATGGTGACAGTTTTCTTTTCTCAATCTGCGTAAACATTTTGTTCTAGGTATGCCATTAGTATGGAATCTGACACATTGTGTTTATGACTACCTTTTGTTTGGACTAGCAAAAATCATGAATGTTAAAATAGTGAAATCATCAAACATGCCCATAAATGTTATTTGTTCTGTTTTTCTCAAATTTATCTGCTATTAACCATGCTGTTAGGCTTAAATTAAACATTGGTTGTTTCTTATCTTTTCAGGATAGTTAGCATGGACTACCTAAAATGTATGGCTTAAGTTGTGTATTTTACTAATCCATGTCTGTTTTTGCAGGCTAAGCACATGTTAATACCTTACATGCCAATGCTAATACCTCCCAAAAAATGGAAAGGGTATGACTAATGGAATGGGTGTTCCTCTCGTATTCTTTTTTGAAATGCCTGCATTTGGTTTGAGTTTATTTGTTATACTATGATTTATTGTGCTTAGGTCCAACCTCATAATACCTAAGAGAAAGGAATGCAACTATTAAGTGAACTTTTAGTTAGTGCTTTTAAACATGGAAATGAACTTTAATGTGCAAAAAATAAGGAAATAGTAAAGGATACGCAGAAACTGTTCTCAGTTATTTTTTATGATCCTTCATGTCCTAGCTGCTTGTCCATGTGTGTCTAATGTTTTGTAATGCTCTTTCCAGATATGACAAGGGAGGGCACTTGTTCTTACCATCTTATATCATGCGTACTCATGGCTCTAGGAAGCAGCTAGATGTAATGAAGAATGTCAAAGGGGCACAAATGCAAAAAGTTTTTGAGGTATTTTATTGTGTATTGTAAATTTTCATTTCCTCTTTTGATTGCCAAGGAAAGAGTGTGGCAGTATTGCATAGAAAATATGATCTGGTAAAAGTTTTGGTTCATTGTATATGCATTATCAAACCAGTGATCAGTAACTTGCTGCAAGTCATATAGTTTTATTTGGCAGTTACAAATTACTTAATATAAGAACTTTATTGTCAGCTCTGAATGTCTAAACAGTTTCAGTATTTTTAGTCTTCTACATTTGCTGGTTCATTGAAATGTATCTAAAGTCCTGCGTAGGATATCATTCTTTTTAGTTTTCCTTCATAAAAAGCAATGGTTGTTTTGTGCAGGCCTTGGATATTCTTGGCAGCACCAAATGGCGAGTAAATAGAAGATTGCTTGGAGTTGTAGAGGCCATCTGGGCTGGAGGAGGTAACATTGCAGGACTGGTCGACTGTAAAGATGTAAGCATAAATAAAAAACTTAATGGATTACTTGTAATATTCTTCTGTTTGTCGAAATGAATTTTTTCTTTTATGTTAAAAAATGGATAAACAAAATTTTCAAGATATGAGGGTGGGGGGTTTGCAGATGTTGAAAACTTAATGTGGCAGATGATTGGGCTTCATAACTGAGACTCTAGTGAGTCAGAAGTAATCTAATAAAACCTTGGGAGAATCATATCACAAATGCTAGCTGTTGTAGCTGGAGAGCCCAAAGCCTTATAAATCCCATATTAGAATTCCATACATGATACATCCAATCTCACACCTTGCAATGGGATTCTAACATCCTACCACTCCACAGCCTCGGGCCCATGTGTGCTGGCTGTGCACTAACCCTAGTTCCATGCTAAAACTGCAATGCTGGCTTCACCACCCATGCTGCTTATTTGCAGCTGAGAGACATGGTGGAAGGCTTTGACCAATTGATTATAACCACCGGAGAACTAAACCACAAAAGCTAGTCATTATAGTTGAAGAGCCCAAGACTTTATAAATTGCACGTTACATTTCCATACTCCCAAGACTTTATAAGTCTCATGATCCTAACATAATCACAATATAAATTTTCCAAATTCATTTGATTGCATTACACAATTAAAAAAGGTACTCAATGTCAGGTCCCATGAACCTTAGTTGATTAATTAGCCCAGTTCAACTTAAGTCATGGGTCTTGGGTTTGGAAAGCTTATATTTGGGGAAATAAGGAGCAGAAATAGAATTTGTGAGGGGGTTAGTTATGAGTAGGAAAGTGGGCAATATGTGTAATACTTTTAGGGGGCTTGATTCTTCAGAGACGGGGGTGTGATTCATTTTCTGTTATAGTGGGACAAGGCTTTCAGCCTTTGTAAGGAGCTTTGCTGTGTGGTGCTGTAGGATTTTCTTTCTGTAGTATAGTCTTTATCAATTAATAGTTAATAATACAAATCATAAATAGCTTGGTTTCTTGGTCTCTAACAGATTGTTTTTATCTATCATATAATGAATTCTTGTTATGTGTTTCTATGCAATTAATCTGGTCTACATATATTCTTCTTTGACTTGTAGGTGCCTTTACCAGATAAGCCACCTGTAGAGGATTTAAAGCAAATTCAAGAGTGGAAATGCAGAGTAAGGAAGGCAAAAAAAATTAATCTAGAACGGCATTCTCTAAGATGTGACACTGAACTTAAGCTTTCTGTAAGATCTTCCTTCTCATTGTAAATATCTTTCAATACTATGTTTGAACAATTGGGAACAGCTGAAAATTCCAATTTTAGTTATATCAGTTATCTATGATCTTGCTTACATATTGCATAAAAGGATGTTGGTCAATCACTTGAATTGGATACTCTTATGTTTCTTACATGATAGGGTTGTGTCATGGGACACAAACACTGATACTGCACAGGATAATTTTTGGAGCCTGGTGTAGGGTTTGGTGTTTTTTTCTCTGTTCACATGACATGATCAAATGAAATGATACAAGTACATAGACTTGATTATCAAAGTTTATGTTTGTTCAATGTGTTAATGGCATAATCTAAACAAAGTTTTCTACTATCACATTCAAATTTATCCCACATTTCACTGGATTAGCAATGATTACAAGAAAATATATTCATGAAACAGGTGGCACGAAGAATGAAAGATGAGGAAGGATTTTATTATCCACACAATCTTGACTTCCGTGGCAGAGCATATCCTATGCATCCTCATTTGAATCATTTAGGTTCTGATCTGTGTCGAGGACTCCTTGAATTTGCTGAAGGGCGGCCATTAGGAAAGTCTGGACTACAGTGGCTGAAGATACACCTTGCAAATTTGTATGCTGGTGGTATTGAGAAGATGTCTTATGATGGGCGCCTAGGGTTTATAGAGAATCATATTCATGATATATTCGATTCTGCTGATAACCCTATTAATGGAAATCGTTGGTGGTTAACGGCTGAGGATCCTTTCCAATGTCTTGCTGCTTGTATTAATCTATCAGAAGCCTTAAGAAGCTCATCACCAAATTCGGTTCTCTCGCATCTGCCAATTCATCAGGTAAATTCTTCATTGGAAGCCTTAAAAGCAGTGAAAAAAATTATAGCTTTCAGGAGTTGTTTTGTTATTACGTAACCTAATTGACTCCAAGCTCTCCTATAGATCCTCAAGACAGAAATTGTGATCTAAGATCTTCAATTAAAGTTTACTGTCTAAAAGGTAATCTGCAATCAATGAGAAAACCGAAAAAAGAAAAAGAAAACATGAAATTTGGTACCACAACCCTAGAAGTGAATAATGCATCGTGGACTTTTTCATGTTGCAAAACTCCATCATAAGTGTGTGATTGCTTTTGAATTTAAATTTTTTTCTGTAAGTTTTCAATTTGTTAGTAATGCTACTCTAATGAATTTTTAGGATGGTTCCTGTAATGGCTTACAGCACTATGCAGCTTTGGGAAGAGATAACGTAGGTTTACTTATATCTCATTTCTTTTCTTTGACAATCACTCTTAGTATAATCTATTTCTTTTTATTTCTTATACTTCTTGGATCTGTGTTGATTTTAATGTTATATAGTGTCTTTGATATGACTTTTCAATTAGTTAAAAAGCTTATTTAACTAAAATAACCTTGTTTAATAAAACAGCTGAAATTAGTTGCTAGCATTTTTTTAAAATGCTCCTAGTAATGTTTCAACTTTTCAGCTCCTAGCTGCAGTACTTTTTTCTTTTTTATCTCTGATATTTTTTTTTACAATTTCTCCTTTACCTATTTAGTTTTGGAAACCTAATATATCTTAGTCGGTGCAGTGTTTATTACTCTGTCCTACATGCATAAATGGTTCCTTCCTTACTAAAAGAATTTGATCCAATGATTTCCAATTTCCATTACAAGGGTGGTTAAAGTCATAAATTATTTGATAATTTTTGTTAGTTTTGATCAGTAGCATTTGTTATTCTCACTTTACTGGAATAAATGTGATTTCTCAGCTGGAGGCTGCGGCAGTTAACTTGGTTGCTAAAGAAAAACCTGCTGATGTTTACACAGAGATTGCTGTTAGGTTTGTTGAATTCATTTTCACCTATTTCTTTGTTTTGCACTAGATGCTGTAACTACATTATTATGAGCTCCAAACCTTTCTCGTTGTTACCTTAATGCCTTACTGAATGTAAAATCCTATGCTTCTGAATGTAAGTTTATATGTTTATGTTTTTCATTGGGGTAGTTGCATTTTTGTTTAAATCTTATTTATTGATGTACTATGCTTGAGTAAGTAACCCAACTAATCAAAAAACTTTTGTGATCCATCATCACATGAGTGTACACTTGATCTTTGTGGTCATTGTTATGGAGAATTAATATTTTAGTGACTTAAATTGTAATATGAGCAGGGTTTATGATATAATGAGGCGAGACAGCAACAAAGACCCAGATACCTTTCCAAATGCTTTATTGGCGAAGGTGTTGATTGATCAGGTCAGTTTTCATTTAAAGTTTCAAAATATACTGACTGCTAAATGATAAAGTTTATTCTGTAGCGGTTGGCTGTGTTCTCTTTTTCTGTTCACCTATTCTTAACTTTTGGAAGTATACAGATTGATAGGAAACTGGTCAAACAGACAGTAATGACTTCTGTCTATGGTGTTACTTATATTGGGGCACGGGAGCAAATTAAGCGAAGATTAGAGGAGAAAGGTCTCATTACCGATGATAGACTCTTATATTCTGCAGCTTGCTATGCTGCTAAGGTGAGTAACATTTACATTATATGCTAGGATTTTATCTGTTAGAGATTGTGACAGCTTATTATTGTTGCATTGTGAGATTACTTTCTTCTGAAATGGTTAATTCAATAGAATAGAATAGTGAAGTTTTCTTTCTACTAAGATCTCTGCTTTTCTGCAAAAGAAGAAGAAAAAATAAACATCTTTCTTGACGTGCTTATACAGCTTATCCGCTTTCCTGAAGTATTTAAATGTCTTATCATTCTGAGTCATATTATGAAGTTTGATCAACTTTGTCATACTTAAATTCTATAGGTGACATTGGCTGCCCTTGGAGAAGTTTTTGAAGCTGCACGTGGCATTATGGGTTGGCTTGGCGATTGTGCTAAGGTTAGCTCTCTTATCACATGCAGCATGTTGGATTCCAAACAGTGCTAATGGTCCTATTGGTTACTTTTGATGCTTTGCATATGCGTTTATGCATATATGTGTGTGACTGCATTTTCCTTTGCCTTGTCCCCTTTCCTGAAAAGTGGGGTCTGAATTTTGAAACATTCTACAGGTGATTGCTTCTGAAAACCAGGCTGTTTGCTGGACCACTCCTCTTGGTCTTCCTGTTGTACAACCGTACTGCAAAACTGAACGTTATCAGGTGAGCCTTCGGTATATCGATTCAAAACTTTTTTCCTTTCCTTTTAGTTATTAATATACACGACTGCAACTGGTAAAATCTAATGTATGAAATATACAGTGTAAACAGTTAAAGGTTTAACTTAAACATAGAGAATGAAAAGTATAATTTAGCCTATATTTTATTTTCTTAGTTTGTTTATTTTAATATTTAATTGTAAGGTATAAGACTTAAGTTCCACCTTAGAAATATGAAATTCTTGTGGGGAACTTGTAAGGCTTTGAGCTCTTCAATTACAATGACTAGTTTTTGTGTAGTGATTCTCTCAAGGTTCTCATTAATTGGTATTAGAGTCTTCTACTATGTCTCTCAGCTGCAAATTGGTGACGTGGATAGTGACACTAGCATTGCAATATTTGTCCGAGACTAGTCAAAAGGACTGGTATATAGCCAGCCCGCAGGGGTTTATAAGGTTTTGTGGTGTTATAGAAAATATGGAATGAGAAAGTTGTGATGATGGACATAGTATTTAATTGCACTTGGAATTACTTACATATAGACAACTTGGTATTTCCTCACAAATGTCTAGGCCAATAAGCCATAGTTTTCAGTGGTGGACTGCATCTCAAGTTACAGCACGAATATTGAGAAATTCAAGTTTTCAGTAAAATGTTGTTGCCTGTGTATGACTTTTATAGTATAAATTATAGAAATTGATGCTTTTATACATTTGAATCAAATTACATGGATTATGAAATTTCTGGCCAATCTCCAAACTACTTGCTAATGATGAATCTCACTGTGGACTGCAGATCCGAACATCTCTTCAGCTTTTGGCTTTGCAGAGGGAAGGAAGTGCGGTAAGTATGCATAATCTTTATATTCCAATTTTCCTGTCTTTTTGAACTATTTTCATAATTAAAACTGTATATTCCAGGTATCTGTCAAGAAACAGAGAAGTGCATTTCCTCCTAACTATGTACATTCATTGGATAGTTCACACATGATGATGACTGCTCTAGCCTGCAGTGATGCTGGCTTATGTTTTGCAGGTTTGAAGACCTCATTTTACTAATGAAGTCAAAAATATATGTGAAACTTCCCTTTAGAAGTAATAAATTATTAAAATATAGTTTGTTATACTCTCAAGTGCATAGAAATTTTCTGTTTTGTCTTTGGCCTCTGGTTAATTGTATTTGGAAATAGTGATGGAGTTGGAATTGATTACCCCTACAATTGTAAAATATAATTGCAACTGTAAGGAAAATGAGGTTTGTTTGTGACATGCATTTAGAGGAGTTTCTTTTCTTCATATAATCCAATTTTTCTAGTTGAGTTGATAAGTAGGAAAACCAATAAAATTGCTTCTATGTGAAATTAGCGACGAATTTCAAAAATTGCCTGAAGAACTTTCTTGCTTGTGTGTTCTCTCACTTTTTCTGAGATAGAAAATGCAATCTTTATTACTTCACTAACAGCATGTTAGGTTAAAGAATAATCACTTATGTTTCAAAAGTTCTCTCAAAAAACTAAAAGAAATATGCAATTACTTTTCTAAAATAAGTTGAACTAAATATGCACTACGTATGAGTAACATTGGTCCTAAAATGAGTTATTATATCATAGTTTGTATTGTCGAAATGTTATTCTTTTGTTATGGTGTCTTGATCCTTTTCTGATTTCCATCTCAAACCTCTCAATTTCATATTAAATATGTGCTCTATGGAAAAGTACAGAAGAGTTGAAATCTTGCTTCAATCAACTTACATTTGAAATGTTCAAGACAGCTACACTCTAAAATAGTTACGACTGTAGTTATTAAATCCATTTTTAGCTTTCAGGTTCTATGAATATATTTACATTATTCTCATTTTTTATGCTCAACTTTGAGAAATTTGGTGGTGGGAAATATCTATGAAAGAAACATGTTTTTTTTCTTTCATGTATTTTGTTGAATAAATGTGGTGAAATTATTGTTTGCAGGGGTTCATGATTCATTTTGGACACACCCATGCGATGTTGAGCAAATGAATCAGATTCTTAGAGAAAAATTTGTGGAGCTTTATAACATGCCTATACTTGAAAATGTAAGTTCTTGCTGTGGCCTGAGAAATGTGTGCTTATTTTGTTGGAATACATGGGGAATTACTTCTCATCTTATTGTCAAATATATGCAATATCTTGTTGGCCTTTTATTGCCATGTGTTTTGTGGGTGAATTTAAAGAATATCTTAATCTAAACCATACTCCTTCTAGTCCTTTTATAAGGCACTTTTAACTAAATTATATAAACCCATAAAAATAATTAAAGTTAGTTGATTTTTTTATTTTTGAAAGGAAATAATATAATTTAAAAAGCCTTGTCTCGACAGTAAGGTTGCTCCTTCAAACCTGGAGTTCACAAGTTTAACTCCTAGAAACAGTCTCTACTTGTGGGGGTTAGCCTATGCGCATCTACCCTCTCTAAACCCCATTTGGTGGGAGCCTCATGCTCTGTATCTCATTTAAATTATTGTGGAATTGGTTTAATATTCATTTATTCAACTTGTTTGCATAGATTACTTTCCCTATGAACTTGGAACTCTGGATGTTCATCCTGCTATGTACTTCTATTACAGATAACTGGTTGAGAGAATGCTATCTCGTTTTATAAAAATATTTGTCCATAGGCTAATATTAAACTAGCATAACATCTGAGTTCAAAGTAAACTTACACTAATTATATCATCCATTTTTAATCCAAAACTGTTACCTTTTTAAATCAGCAGAGTGAGGAAAACATACCTGTAAGTTGTTCTCTTTAACCATGTGGTTGATTTTTTAACAGTTGCTTGAGGATTTCCAGACTACGTATCCAGGATTGGATTTCCCTTCATTGCCAAGGAGAGGTGATTTTGATTTACGGAAGGTTCTTGATTCTCCATACTTCTTCAACTGATCAATTCTCTACAATCATTATAAGTTGCTGTGGAGGCATTCTTTACCTCTACAATCAACATCTGGGGCGTTCCTGTTTTGAATGTGGAGATGGGAACTATGACCCGACATTGCTTCTGGAGAAGGTCAAGAAGGAAAGAAAATAAGTTCTGATAGTACTTTGAAGTAGTGTCTTGCTCTAGAATGCTCAGAACTTAATACTAATTTGAAGATTTATATGCGGTGGCTTCAGGTAGAGATAAGCTTATCGCCCCTGAAATTTATAATCAACATTCAGGGAAGGAAATTTACCACGAAATTTTAATGTTGGTGATATCCCAATACCTGAATTGAGTTGCTGCTGGGCAATAGACGTGGCTAGTGCTAAATGCTTGCAGCAGAATCTTTTGTACAGTGCGGAACCTAGGGCCAGAGCTAACCTTGACAATGCAAAAGATTTTTTCTTTTTACATGTAAAATATATGATAGATGTATTATAGTGTAGATCAGAGGAAGTTTGTTACGAATACAAACCAATGTTATTTCTGATTTCTAATAATTATTTACATGGAATTCAATTATATAGTGTATTATATTGAGAACAAAAACAAACGGAAGGTAGAGTTCATCCTTTTCAATCTCAATTTTATGCAGTTCATTCTGTTAGCCGCACTCAAGTTAGAAACCGATAAACTGTGCGTGCGCATGCGCAGAAAATAATGAAACTACTGAAGGAAAACCGTTATAGAGATTGCTCCACTGTCAGTCAGAAACTTGTTATTTCCTTGCTGTCATGTTGGATAAGTGTTGTTCATTTAACAAGCATATTTTCAAGTGGCATGAAAGAGCAGAACATTTGGTTTTGAAAGCCTAAGAGGTTTGGATTCCTCGCTGCACCGGCAGGAACTTGGCTTGCAATTCCCTGAAGGGCAATTTTCCGATAGCACAAAATTGTTCATTCCTTTGATTACAAAGCTGTAGTTCGACCAACTTGATCAGTGTTACGAATTCTGCGCAGAATACGAATTTTGGTTTCCGTCGGGTTAATGGTTTCTCTGAAAATCAATCTATGGAGCCCATTTATATATGGGCAAAACTTAACTGTTGTTTAAGGGTTATTAGTGTTTTTTATTAATTAAAATTATATTTTTAATCTCGTAAACAGTTTATATTTAATGTTATTGCACATTTACTAAAATAAAACTCTAATTTTTATTCTTTATATGTTGTTTTTGTAAAACATCAATGATGGTGTACCTTCCCACTAAAACTTTCACATTTAATCTTAAGCGGGTTTAATTATCATGGTTTATACCATATTAATCATCACAGTACTTCTCCCTGGTGTCTCATCCTACTTCAATTTCATATCTGACACCTTATTTGAAGTCCCACACAGCGATTCCACCGAAAAGCCAGGACATCTGGACTAAGATTCAGACATCAATTGAAAAAAATATATATATCAGATTATTTGTTGAAGATGTCACGTAACTTCTATGTTTTAATCTTTAATCATTTATATTCAATGTTCAATATTTACTCTTCTTGTTCTCGTATAAAAATTTTCTTTTCACATATCTCCTATAGGAATCATGAAACAGTCAATCATATGACACAATATCAGAAGGATGAATGGCTTGGATTCTCCAACACATTAGCAAAACTTGATACAGCGATCTTCTGTTCATTTGTTTATTTTTGCTAGCAGATATACAGAAAATGTCTTACCAAGAACGGCAACGGTCAGTGGCTGTACTCATGTACGACTTTAAGGTCAAACTATTCTTCAAAGAAACGGTTAGAAGACAGTTTAGATAATGATATATCTTGGTGAATTCACAATTTCATCTGCTTCATCCATAATGACCATTTAACAGCTTCTAAAAATTTATCATTTCGTCGCAGTGCAGTGATAAGATTAGTGTAGGTTTTTTTGTCAGGTTCTATTCCATTTTTTCTCATTTCCTTTATCAAACCTGCAGCTTCTTCAACCATTCCTGCAATTCCATATGCCTTGATCAAAGTGTTATAGCTGCACAAATCAAGTCCAAGTCCACATTCTTTCAATTCTGTAAGCACATTAGCAACTTCGTTAATCCATCCTTGCTCTCCATAGATGTTGATTACAGTGTTGTATGTGTAGTGATCAGCGGCACAATTTGATTCCTTCATCTTTTGCAATACAGATCTAAATGCCTCCATTTGGCCATCTTTCCCATAAGCGTCCAGCATTGAATTGTAGGCTTCTAGGGAAACTGAAAAACCATCAAATTGCATCTTCTGAACCGTTGATGACATGTTCTTTAAGTCTTTATTTTTCCCATACGCAGCTATGATAGTATTGTAAGTGATCACATCAACCAGGCCTTGTTTCTTAGCCATGCAGTACAGCCTCCAAACCTTCTTGAAAAGCTTGGCTTTCCCAAAGACATCGAGCATGACATTGAAGGTAATTGTGCTAGGTGTAAATCCACGCTGTACCATCTCATCAAAAAGCCTGGAAAGTTCATCTATTGGCAAAGCCTGAGAACAACAGTTTAGAACACAATTATATAGTTCCGGGTCCCACTTCTCCCGGTTTTTTGAGATCTTGTAATACAAATCAGCTAATTTATCCACCATGTTACATCTTTGATAAATCCGTAACATATCACATAACAAAAACTTGTCTGGAATAATATCTGGCTGCTTGTCAATTGCATCCAAAACCGCGCAAGCACCTTTCAAAGATCCAGCTTTGACATACATCCTAACAACAATGCTAAAAGCAATCATATCCAAAGAAACACTCGAAGATCGTAACTTCAGATACAACATTTCTGCATCCTCGAAGAGGCCCATGACACTGTAAATGTCAATCATGGTGCAGGCAATGTGCATGTTCGGCTTGTCATCACTTTTGAGCATCTGACTGTATATCCTCACAGCATCCTCGAGCAAACCCGCTTCTTTGCATGAACAAATCAAAAGATGATACAAATTATCCTCATAACGCGGATCCTTCCACTTCTTGTCATTCAACACCTTCATGGCATCTTCCACCAACTGGTGTTTCACATAAGCCATGACCAGAGTGGAGCAAGAAATCTGGTTGACAAGCACATGCTGATAAAACGAACCTTTGAGCAAAACCGGCACCTTATGAACCTTTCCAGCCCTCTCATACACTTGCAAAAGAGTACTAATTATAGAAGAATACTGGCATCCACAATCCAGCATATCATCAAGTATCCCAACAGCACCCTCCTCATCTCCATGCTTGGCTTGCAACCTTATCAAGGTATACAAGTTCGATGAATTGGGCTTGTAGCCCAACCGTTTGAGCTCTTTATAATACCATGTAGCGTATTTATAGTTATCAGCTCTCCCCCAACCCTCAATCATGGAACGGTAAGTGGTTTCGTCAGGATCCAACTCTACACTCCTCTGCATCCTCAGAAACAACCTCTGAGCAGCATCCATATTAGAAGCCTTACCATACCCAGTTATCATAGTATTATAAGCAACTACATTGGGACAAAACCCTGCCTCTTGCATTGTTTCCAACACTCTCTCAGCATCCCCCAATTTCCCTTGCTGGCTATAAACATTCAAAATCACCAACCAATTCTCCAAATTCGGCACAACCTCATCTTTCTCCATCAATTCGATCACGCCTTCGGCCTTCTTGAACAGCCTAAAACGCGCGTAAATGGTTATCATAGAAGAATATGCAGACTCACACACAATTCCAAACCGCCTCATTTGGAAAATCGCAAATTCCGCCTCTTCAAGGTTCCATCCCTTCCTATAAAGCCCCATTAACATCCCAAACGTCGCAACATTCGGCTCCACGCCGCAATTCAACATCATTCGGAACCACTTTGCCCCCAATTGCACGAGGTTTCGCTTGCAGCAGGCGTAGATGAGTGTGTTGAAAACGTGAAAACTCAATTCGGAGCCGAAATTGGTGATCATTTCCGAAATCAGAGTCTCTGCAGCTTCCCAATCTTGTCTTCTGCTCAACAAGCGAATAACGACGTTGTACGCGGTGGCGTTGCGTTCCAGCTTGCCCGTTCTCCTCATGGAGTCGAAAAACGACAGCGTTTTGGCATCGTCGTCGGGGGTCTCTTGGAGTCGTTTGAGGATTGCGTTGCAGTGGCCTGCGCTGAGTTGAGAAGCGAGGGAAGAGAGGTCGGCGTTTGCGAGAGGAACAGTGTTGGTTAAGTGGGTGAATTTGAAGGGTGCTTCAGAGTGTCGGTTTGGCTTGGGGAGTCGCTTCGTTTTCAAGTTTGAAATTGAGGCCTTGGAATCGAAAGCTTCGAGAGAAAGGGAGAATGTGAGTGAGGCCATGAATGGTTGTGGAAGCACTTCTTTTTCCTTTCATCTCATAATATCCATTAAGTACTCATCATCTTCCTCTGTTGTCCTTTACTGTCCACAACTATCCTCCATTAATATTGCCTCAATATTTATTCCATTTAACATCAATCTTATGGAAGAAACACTTTCTGCTTTACTAATTTTCATCTAATTAAAACTTTAATTTATTTTTCGTAATCACATTTTTTTTTTTAAAAGTTGTAAAAATAACTTTTGCATTTTTAAATAAAAACACATATTACAATAAAAAAAATATGTAGTTCAAATTAATCGAAAATATGCCCGTACTTTACACGGTTTGTTTTTTTATTTAATTAATTTATTTTAAAATATAAAAATATAATTTAAATATAAAAAATATATAAATATAATAAAAAATTTATTTGTTAAGATAAATTATTAATTAAAATATGTATAATTTAGTATCTTTTTAGTATAAAAATAGCATATAAATGTTTTATTTTTAAAATCTAAAAATAAAATTTATATTGTTTCATAAAATTATAAATTATTCATTATTATCATAAAATTTTAAATAAATAATTATATAAATAATTGTTTTAATATAATGAACTTTTTAATATAAATTATAAATTTAAATAAAAAGTTTTATAATTTTTATTTAAATATTTGTTTAAATTTGTTGAATTAAACTTATATGATAAACTATTTATTTATAATTATAATTTCAAATCACTAATAAAATTTTACTATATAATTATTAAAACATGATATCATATTTTTTTAAAAATAAAGTATTTATTCAACTAATGTATGGAATTTTAAAAATTTGTTTTAAATATCAATATACACAAAACTATATGTTAATATTGAAAAATAAAAATATATTAAACTTTTTATATATAAATAAAATTATCATACAAAAATATTGTAATTAAAAATTAATAATAGTGTAATATATATTAAATTTAAAATTTTATTTTTTGATAAAAGAAAATATAGAATTGAGTTTTTTAAATATTTAAATTATTTTATATTTTTTGATACATTAATAGAATTAATGTTGATTGATATTATAAATTAATTAATTTTATTAAATAACTAATTAACTGTAATAAAATTATGTTATTTAAGTCGTAAAATTAAAATAATACATTTATTAATTTTTTATATAATTGTTTATTTTTTAAAATAATTAATACAATTTGTTTATTATTTATCGTTTTAATTAAGAATTAATAAAAATAAATATATCTATAAACTAATTTAATGATAAAATAATATTTTAAAAATTTTATTAAAAGAACAAATATTAATTTAAATAAAATTTCAAAAATAAATTTAAAATACCATATAAAAAGAAACATATAGATTGAACTAAAAAAAATAAAAATATATATATTATTATTAAGTCTCTAACTATTGTAAAGATATATAAATATAAATTTAATATAAATATATTAAAATATTATATTGTTATTAAAAAAATATGTTTTCTATCAATTTTGACATAAATATGAAGAATTAGAGATTTAATTTTTATTTTTAGATATATTTTTTGTCTATCTCTCTAATATATTACCTAATTTTAAGAGGTCAATATTCAATGAACTTGATTTAATTTTTAAAATAAAAAATTAATAATTTTAAGAATATAACATAATAAATAATTATATTAATAAAAAATATTTATACTGATTTCATATTTTTATGTATAATATTTGTATTTTAATTTATATTTGAAAACTAATTGTAAGTTTACAAAATGACTAAATTTTTTCATTAAGAAGCACTTTTATTTGCATTTATAATTGAATGTTATCATAAACATTTTCAAAAGCATTAGAATTTATATTCTAATCTAAAAATTTTGATTAATCATATAGTTAGAATATGAAATTTTAATAAATAAATATAATTTGATATGTTAATATAAAAAATATTTTTATAACATTTTAAACATTAACTTCTATCTTTCTTAGAATTAAAATCTTTTAATAGTTATAAAGATTTAAACTTCATACTTATAAAATTTTAAAACAAATGATATATATAGAAATTAAATATAATATTTAAACTTAATTCAAAGTTAAAACGTTATATTTTCTTGACTTATTTACTCATTACGATATAAAATTATTAAATATGAAAATAGAACAGTTAAATCATATTCATTTTTATTGTTACGATATTTAATAATTTTTAATTTATTTTAATTATTATAATTAATTAGTTTTAATTAGAAAATTTTGAATTTATCATTATCATTATAGCATTTTATAAAAATAACATTGCAACAAAATCATTAAGTATAAATATTGTTAATTTTTTAATTTTAAAAAATAAAATTTGTCATCATAATTATTATAATATAAAATATTATCTATATTAATAGGTTATACATAATTATGATATATCAATTCTTATTAAATTATTTTTAAAAAAATTAAAATAATGGAAGAAGAGAAAAAAAGAGTAGTTAAAATTTTTAATTAAGATTTAGGTAGAAACTAAAAGAAAAGAATTGTTGTATTTAATATAAAAGTTAATCTTTATATTAATTAAATTTATAAATGTTGATATAATATAAAATTTATGAATCACATATAAGATTTGTCTAAGAACAATGCCAATACATAATAATAATAATAATAATAATAATAATAAAGTAAGAGAGATATATATAATAAAATAACAAAATTATTTTGTAAAATACTTAATGTTTGCTGACATTTTAGTTTTTAGATTCTACATAATATTAAAAGTATTTATACAATATTGTAATAAAAATGATTCAATTTTCTAAATTTTTCATTATTGTCTTTTGTTCATCATTTTTTACTTCGTCTTTCTCAAGTTACAACCTAAAAGAAAATATCAAATATAAATTACTAATCTAAAAAATTTAAATAATAAATTATAAATTTATAATTTATACATTAATTTTTTCTTTCTTTTTAGTAAATTTGGTGTTTTTATGTTAGAGGATATAGGTGAACAACTTATTGCCAAATTATTTTCTTTTATTTTTGCATTTGTATTGTCTAAACCTTCTTCCTTCTCAATCTGAAAATATCAAACAATGAAAATAAAGTTATTCATTATTGTATTATAAACATTATAAATAAAAGTAATGAAACTCCAATTTAATCTTATATATTACCTTCACTATCGGCTTCACAATTTTATTTACAGTGAAATTTAATCTTCCACGACTTTCAAAATAAGTACTCATTTTTATTTGAATAATATGTGAAGTGCAAATAATCTTTAAAAGTTGTGGAAGCAACTTTAACACTTCACCATCATTTTTAAAAAAAATTATCACATAAAAATAGTTATATGTTTTAATATATTTTATTTATATAATCAATTATTTGATTAGATTTTTTAGGAAGTTAGAAATTAACACATTTGCTTACAATTTCAGATGTTGCAATAAGATCTTTTAACTTTACTTGTGCTAATTGTTCAACAACTTTATCAAATAAGATAAATATAGTTGAATCCGTGAAATATTTAATATCAAGTTTAAGACAAAACTTGTAATGTATATAAATTAAGGCCATAATATATAATTTAATTTATTTTAATATGAAAATTTAAAATTTAGAATACATAGTGATAAATTAATTATCTTGTCATTAATACTCTACGTCTTTGTAACATAATTCACATTTAAAATTTGTAGTTGTGAAATGAACTTTCTTCTTATAATAGGGACAAAAAATATAATACCAACCATTTTTAAGCATTACATCGTTCACAGGTGTAATACAACTAATTACGACATTTTAAAAATTAATTAAAAAAATTTAAAAATTAAATAAGAAGAACAAAGTATAAGAGAGATTAAATTTATCATATCACTATTTGATTTTGCCATTGTTAAGATTTCATATATGTTTTTGAAATTTTCTAACTTAGAAAAAATAGTAGATCTTGTATCATTAACATTATGAGCAATATGCATATCATTAAAATTCCTTCAATAAAGTGATAATGAATAGTTAAAAATATGGTTAAAATAAAAAGTAAAGAATTAATAATAATTAACGTAACAAAGAGATTTTAAATAATTTTAATACCTAAATGAATCTATAAAATAAGTAACTTCTGGTATGTTAATATTGACATAATTCTTTGTTGATCTTAATGTGAAAATATAAATATTACCTATAATATATACACTCATATTACCTACGATATCATGAAAAACATAAAAGTAAATAATTACTTGTGATGAATATAAGAATATAATAAGATATTTGATACAAATTAATCAATTAAAACTAAGATTCAATGCATTATATCATTTAAAAATAATACGACTTTATGCTTACTCAAAAAAATAAATTAAAATATATAACACAATTTAGTAAAATAAAATAAAAAATATTAAACTTGAAAACACATATACTTACGTATATAGGACATGGTTACAAAATACAAAAAAAAAATATGACAATAAAAAGAAGAAGAGTAAGTTTTCAAAAGTTGTGTAAATATGACTTATATAAGTAGAGAAAAAGTATTTTCTGAAGATATATGAAAAGTCAATAAATAAAAAATTAATATAATAAAACTTGTCTTTTCATTCGAAATTTACTTTAATAATATAAAACAATAATTCACAGTCAACGTATATTTTTATTTTTGAAATATATATTGAACTATATATTATATTAAATTAATTAATAAAATCATTTAAATATGTAAATTTGCCTACATTAGAAATATAATTTAACAATATATAGTATAAATTAATAATTTTACAAATATTTTAATTTTTGAGATATATATTGAACTATATATTATATTAACCTAATTACTAAAATAATTTAAATATGTAAACTTACCTTTTGATTAGAAATTTAATTTAATAATATATAATATAAACTAATAAAAAAATATATTTTTTATTCAAATTACATTTTAATATTTGAAGTAAATATTGAAATATAAATTAAATTAAAATAATTAATAAAATAATTTAAATATATAAAAAAATTAATTTAATAATATATAATATAAAATAATAATTTTATAGGTGTAATTTTTTAATTCAACATATATAATATAATCATAAATTCTAATAAATTCTTCTTAAATATATTTCATAATAAGTATGAATCAGATATAATTTTAATTCATAAATTTTAAATAATATTGTAGTTAATTTAATAAATGGTAATTTAAGACAATTTATAATATAAATATTTAGGTTCTCATTTGTAACGTACTATAATAATCAATTTTAACAATTTTTTTCAATACAATTCATTAAATCTAATAAAAATTCTTTAAATATAATTCAAAGATAGTATGAATAAAATATAATTTCAATTAGTAAATTTTAAGTTTTAAATTTTAATACAGAGAGTAATAATTGGATGCAATTAATATGAGTGACTTTATAGGTTCTAAATTAATTCTTTAAATACAATTCATAATTCTAATAAAAATTCTTTAAATATAATTTCAATTCATAAATTATACGTTTCGAATTTTAATGTATAGAATAATAAGTAAATAGAGTCACGTATATAAAGATGACTTTATACGTTTAAAAATTTAATGCATAAAAATACTCTAACATTCTACCTTTGTCATATATTCCATACATCACATTAGATAGATATCATATTCATGAAATACGATTCACTTTCAAGATACCTTGGTAGTGAAATGGTAGACACGCGAGACTCAAAATCTCGTGCTAAAGAGCGTGGAGGTTCGAGTCTTCTTCAAGGTATAATATTAAGATCTCTTATTAAATAGGAATAAATTTGGCAGCGGATCATGAAATCTTAGTGATATTTTTTATCTAATGAATGGACAGTCTGTTTTGAAATCGTCCATCCTGCACTCTCAAGGAGTAATAAATAGGTGTAGTTAATTTTTCATATAGATAGATATATATTGATAGATACAGATCAATTAATTTTATCAAAATTAACCTTTATTCAAATTTAAACTACACGGCTACTTCAAGATTTTGCCTAATAGTCAAATAATGACAAGAAGTAACGCTATGTTCAAAATACTAAAACAAATGGAGTTGTGCGCGCAAGAACCGTGCCATTACAAAGATATAAAAATGGGATTCCCTTGGATGTAGAACTTATTTCAACGGAGAATAACAATGAGAATAGTTGCACGGTAAAATGTAACGTAAATTTTCAAGAGGAACGAAGAAGCTCGAGGGTGGGCATTGAGGTTCCAGCTAAGAAGGCTTTGAACAGTGTGAGAGCAAGTTTTGGTTTGTGCAGAGGAACTTCGTGGCCTGCACCCCTCACAGCCACAAACGTAAGTCCAGCATATTCCTGGGTCCATCCTCCTACCTGTTGTTTCATTCATGTCACAAGAATTAAGTGAAGGGACAAAAAATAAGACAAACCAAAGTCATGAATATGAAACAAAAAATCACTCTTTGTTGAATCACTTACCTCCCCATCATCATACCATGCATGCCAAGGACTCACTGTAGGAAGCTTAAGAGCTTTTATGCTATAGCGCGTAGATGTCACAGGGATTACAACATCTGTATTACCACTGACATAAGGGAACACAAAATAAGTTTGGTGGAAAGGAAAGAAAGAATACTGGTTTCAATCCCATAAGATTCCAGAACGCATACATGGCTACTTCTATAATGACTTTTTTGGCTTTAAACTTAAGATAGATGTTACCCTTTGATTGTCGAAACTGGAAACCATCACGCAGGAAATTCTTGGGCTATGAAGAAACTAAAACTAAATAAAATATTTACGTGAAGTTGTCGACTTAACGCACAAATTCCACAGTCAACTCCCTAATTTAAGCCTCGCATTCTTGAACGAGCAAAAATGATAGATGCTTCTGAGTAAAAGAACAACTAGATATTTATTTCAGTGCATCAGATTGGATCTACGGTCTACCTCCTATGTGAACCAAGCGGACACAATTATTGATAAATTTTTTGTCCTTCATATTACCCTCACCATATGCCTCTATCTAAACAAGGAGATGTATTAAACAAAGAAAATGTCAACTTCAACTCTTAAGACTGATTCTAAATAACTAAAAGTAGCAAATTTTTATTGGAAAAGAAAATGTTCTTTATATGGAGAATATAAAAGTGTAATAAATACTATCTTTTTCAAAAAGAAATTTTTATTTTTAGATGCTTCAAATTAGACCTAAAAGGCTTAAATTAACAAAATTGTTAAACATTAGCAAACTGCCTAGGTAAACGGAACACAGATACTTCCTACTGCTGATATTCAATTGAAGTCCTTCCAAGCTTAATTTACTACTAGTATTTAAGTACGATAGGAAACAAATTAAACACATACGTATTCATATGAAGATATTAGAAAATAAGAGTAACCTGAACATCCATATTCTCAATCCCGTTCGAATAAGTTCCCGATAAATATTGAGTACTGATCTTGGAGAATCCATCCAATGTGTATTTACCACTTCACTGGTAAGAATAAGAATATTCAGATCTCTGAAAATTCAGTAATAAGAAACTGAAACACATGCAAACATGGAGAGAAATAGCAAATGGTACAATAATACATTCTATGCTGTGCCTACAATCTCTAACGTTACTACCCATTCTCAAAATCTCCAAATCAATTTAGTTTCATTTTGCTTCTCTGATATTCTCAATACTGTTTCCCAGTTCACACAATACAGTATTTGGATCATTGAACCTAGTTGTTTTAACTTCTATTTTTCAATGTTAATTCAGAGACATAAATAGAAACTTTTTATCTAATGATCATTACCTGCAGGTCTCCCATTTAGCAGGCTTATGATCAGGATCAACATGAAGAATCTTTTGGACCTCAGGTCGATTGAAGTATACTGTGGTGTGCTTTTCAGTGCAAGGATCATACCCTGCACTGAGTCTGCCAATTCTCTGTTTCATGACATAATACATCATCAATAAGAGTCTGTATTATAAACAAGTCAAATACATTGTAGCATGCTATAAAATTGGAAATGTGTTCACTCACCTGCTTTCTTCTCACCAGCTGATTTAACTGGCTAACATTAGCATGGCACGGGGGAGTAAAGAGACTGTACGGGTCTATATCTCCCATTTCTTTATCAGCAATTTCCATAACTTTTTCACATGAATCTGACGGATGTACAACTGACTGAAAATCACATAGCAGGTTCAAAAACCTGTAGGTTTGATCCGAAATCAAACCACTTGACCACATAAACTCAAAAATCCCCAACTGATCATGGAAATCGTCTGTTAGAGCATTTCCAACCTGAAGCAGAGTTATATAGATTGAATTAATGACGAGAAGAAGCACAAAATAATGGATAATTTTATGCAAAAATGAGATCTATACCAGAAAACCTTTCAGATTTATAGCATTTTCTTTGGTAGCCAAGTTGTACTTTACAATAGCTTGGCTAAGTTGAGGAACATAATGTCCTGATACAGGGGATTAATGAGTAAAGAATACCATTAGAGCATTATTGAATCTATATAAAATAAACAAACCAGAATATCAAAGAACTCAAATGCTTATTACTCCTCCTCATCTCACCATTTTTTATCTTATACTAAAAAGTACCAAAATTATTTCAGTTGAAGACAAAACCACTACTACCAAGCCATGGCTACAAAATAACAATCGCCGAACGAAACAAACAAACTTGAAAAATATAACAAACAGAACATCAATTATTTTCGAGTTAACCTGAATGGTGGATAAGCTAGAAAGTACAAGTTATACGTTACACAATTGTTTACCTGCATAGCTCTCACCACTGATAAAAAAGTCACTTCTTTTATACAGGGGGAAACGCTCCAACCACTTCACTAAAAATACCAAATTGTCTTCAGCTGCACAAAAAGTTTTATTAGTTCAAGTGACAAATTTATACATAGAGAGATAAAGAGATGGAGAATGGTAAGAGAGGTACCTGTCCTCTTATCGCCATTGTTGAGCAGATCAGATGTCTTATTTGAATAAGAAAATCCAACCCCAACAGGAGTGTCAAGAAAAAGAATGTTGGCAACTACAAAAAGCACAATTACTATTTAGACATAACCGCATTCTTGAAGCGTCATGTTGTAGGATGTGAATGTGAATCATCACCTCGGTTCCAAGAATAAGGATTGAGATAAAGGGTCTTGCCATCTAAATTTATATGAAATGGGCCAATTTCCTCTGCCTCTCCGTAAGCAATGGAAGAACATCCAGGCCCTGCAGAGAGGATCAACAACTTCAAATAAATAAAAATTAAAAAAGGATTAGTTAGTGAGTGAAGAAAGAGTAAAGTTGATGGAACCAGGAACCTCCATTGAGCCATAAAACAAGGGGTTTGGATTGAGGGTCTTCGAGTGCTTCAATGAACCAGTAGAAGAGATTCCTTTCATCCTTTTCATTGACCGTGATGTAGCCAGCATAGTGTGCAAAGCTGATGTTGAAGGTTTGCCCTGGGAGTCTACCAACCCTGTCCTTGCATTGTTGGGGCAATTCCTTGGAACTGCAAGTCGGAGAAGATGTTGCAACTGTAAAACTGCAAAATAAGAACACTGTGGCTGTGCCTATAATTTTAGACCACAACTCTGATTGGCCCATTGCTTGCTCCACAGTCTCTGCCTCCGTTCGTTACTCGTTACAACTAAGAGATCCGTTGCACGACACGGCTTTATATAAACTATTATCCTGATTTTATAATTTTATTATAGAGATTTTATTTTATTTTTATTTTTACAATCTATGACTTTTATAATTTGATTTTTATTAAGTTAAGAAAAATTGCTACTATGAACCATGTTCATTTTTCTCTCGTTCAATGGGGCGTACAACGTAGTATTCATTTTTACTTTATTTTATTTAACAATAAAAATGAATTACTTTTAAATTACCAATATTCTTCTTCATAATCTTCTTATATATGACTTTAATAAATTTAATTCATAATATTAAATTATTCATATTAATATTATGTTAGCATTTATTTCTTTTTTTAATTTTATATTATTTCAACCATAAAAACACTTTAATGCATGTTTAGCAATTATAATATGTATAAAATTAATAACTATTCTTTCTTTTATTTATTTTAGCTTTAATTTGATCAAAATTAAATTCTTTCTTCAAAATTTTGCCGACATATCATATATGTATATTAAAAGAAAAAGCCCAAAATAGCCCAGACGGATACCCGAACCACCACATTAGTGAAACATAAAGACCCGTAATATTACAAGTAAAAATTACTTTCAAGTCGTGTTCATTTGTCGCTGTAAATATAATAAAATACTTTCGTAAGATGTCCTGTGATTTCCATTAGATGGAACTATGCAATATCAAAACTGAAGGAACACCATTGTAAAACTGCATCAGGTAAAAGCAATGGCTTATCAGAATAATACAACTGACACACAACAACTATGAAGCTTCACTCTAATAAGTCTGCGTCCACATATAGTTCAGCCCTTTCGAGTGAATTGCGTTGCAAGCAACGGTGTCAAAGAAATGTCTCTGCTCTCCATACAATCTTAAAGAACATAGCTGCAACCATTTACTTTGACAGCCACGTGGAAACTATCAACAATGGAAGCATTAAAAGCAGGCCATAGCACACAAAAGCATCTACGCTTTCAAAAGTATTCACACTGCTGAGAATAGTATTCCATAGTTGTCCACCTCTATCCTGAAGATATTCCTGCGTAGTAAATCCAGTGTCCCAAGAGTTACAGCTTTACATGAAACAGTCTAAATTGTAAAACTAATCTTAAAGAAGCACATATTAAATTCACCTCTGTAGTTAAATTATTAAATTGATCCTCATTAGAGTTTTGCAAAATTCTTCTGTCAGTGCTGGAGACTGATTGATCCAAAGACATTTTTGTGTTAGCTTCCCCAATATTTTTATTTGACTGGGATCTGTAGGCTGAATCGGTGTGTATTGTTTCCATTACAGAGCCAAAGAAGTTTGTTACAGGTACCTAGAAAGAAGTGATAAACGAGAACTTGTCAGTCAAGCAAAGCGCTCTGAGTGGCAGATACTACATCAATCACATTAAATCACCAATCCAATAAAAATCTATAAAACTGCACTTAAAAAAAAAAAATCAAAACTAAATTTAAGAAACGATTCAATCCAAACCAAACTAAAATTATTCATGTGGGCACACTCATGCATCTTTCAACTATATTACCTCCTCTAAATGGCGTTGGTATAGGTCCATTCTGTAATATGCAGTTGACATCAACAAATTTGGATTATATGAATTGAAAAGACTGCAAAACAAACAGAAAAAATCCCATGGTAAACAATCTAGCCTACAAAAGAATATTATGCTCTATTGCTTGACATGCTGGAAACATAATTTTAATGTTGTGTACTCCATAAGCTGCTCTTAAGTCTGGACTTGTTAACTTGCTTAATGATGGGAAACAAGTTTTAAAAAAAAAAAAAGGGTTTTCCTGTACCTGCTCAATGAAGCATTGTCATACATATTCAGTCTCTCAAAGAAGGCAAGAGTGTAGAATGTAAAACGATCAACAACTGAAACACCAACCTGTATATTTTAAAGAATAAATACAAAAGAATTTTAGTTGTGCAGAACCTGGACTTCAACATGAAGAAATCCAATGCATAAACTGTAGAAATTACGTCAAATACTTGTGTGAAGAGCTATTAAATTCATACATACATCTGAGTCTAAATGATGAGAATATGAATTCTCTCCTTTCATACTACTTCCAATTGCCAAAACACCTGGCGAATGAAGCTGCCATCCTCAGAAAAAGAATAGTCAGCAAAGGAATTTCTTATTAGCACATAATAAGCAAGTATAAATTTCAGGCAGACACTTATTGAACAGATTGGCTTGGTATGACCTATACATTTTAATAATGAAGAGACAATAAGTGCTAACTAAGTGTATTAATTTCATCCAGGCAGATAGAAAAATTAAATCAAGAGAACAGAAAACAAAAGCAGACAGGTTAAAGTTGTATCTTTGTAGCTCACTATGATGTTTATGATGGAGGAAAATATGTTTTACAATTAGTTATGTAGGTATTGTTTGTATTAGGATAAATCAAAATCAAAATCTCAACTCTCAATATAATATAATAGTAAATTTCCTTTCATCATGATTATGTAATTGGCGTAGGGATGACAGAAAGCAAAGTAACGCCCATCTATACATATGGAAAATAAGTCAGAATAGACTCTATTGAAATCTTCATGTATATCCTTAACCATAAAAAATAAGGTCATTTAACAGAAGATTCATAATTGGTGTAGGGTTATCATGATAGAAAGCAAAGTAACTGCCATCTATACATGTGGAAAATAATTTAAAATATACTTGCTTTAAATCTTCATGTATATCCTTAACCATAAAGAATAAGGTCAATAAAAAGCAGTTTAACAGCCAAAAAACAGAGAAATATGAGAAACTCCAAGTTTGAGACTTCCTTATACCCCAACCCATGAACTATTTTACCAATGATTAAAAATGACAGAAAATATTGATCAACGGCAAGAGCATCTGAACAAAATATCATCAAACAATGAACACAAGTTCTGCATTACATAGGCAGATATCGACTTTGAGATCAAAATTTTGCACTCCAATGATAATGTTAATTAATTCTGGACAATCAATATGTCATGAGAAATCGCATAGGAGCTTTCAAGAAATGGAACACATCAGTTCCAAACCAATTTCAGACCTGGGAGAACAAAGTAGAGGCTTGGCAGGTGTCCACCATTATCAGAAGCTCCTTAAACCTAGCAAATCCCATCATCAGCAAAAAATGAATTTTTTGTCCAACAATTTCAGAGCTCCGTATACATTTGTTATGGAGGAATTTATAACAAATGTATTGAATTATATTTCATTTCATGTATTGAATTTATAATTTAAAGATCACAAAAAAAAAAAAAAAAAAAACTAGCATAAGAAACCATACCTGCGCTTCTCTTTCATTTGCTTCACAGCATCAGCTAAATCGTGACTTTGAAGCTCTTCTGAGTCCTGAAACTTCAAAAACTCATCCCCTCCATGCCCAGTCATATACAGAAGAATATGACTTCCTTCATCACTAAGAAGTCGCTTGGACCTTGGAACAGCAGTCTCATGACGACCTGTTAGTACCCGTAAAAAGTTTTCCACTGTCACTTCATAGCCACGATAGTCTACCTGAGCAATTGCAGGCAATTGATCATCATCGTTTAAAATATAATATATATCAAGAACCACCCTAAAATAGAGTAGAATGAGCCAAGTATTTCCCCATCTAAATATTACCAAGAGATTGAAAAACAATTAAATGAGAGAAGGAAATTAAAAACAGGCTTTTTCAAGTTATAACCATTCAACGTTACAACATCAGTACCTTCTCCACCAGAAATATAAAAATTACTATGAAAATGAAAATCAAAACATTACATGTAAGTCAAATACTCTTTCTAGATGTAAGCAGATTTTTCAAGAGGAAAAATTAGGTAACTGTATAAGAGAAGCTATGGCCTTGCGGTTCATAATCTATTCCAGTACAACTTCCCAATAGATGAACTAAACTATTTTATGGTAGATTCAGACCTGACTCAGAATGTTCTCTACAATATATAGCTTAGCTCAGTTAGGCTCATAATGAAGCAAAGACTTGATATCAATACTCACACGCCATCATAATTTATCAACTACATGAACAATAGCACAATGTAAGAATAATTAAATATTATTTTTTGTGTCATGATTTCTAAAACAAAAAATCCTAGGTTTGTAAGCTAACAATATAGATATTCTCTAGTGTCTGTAAATGATTCAGACATAATCTCACCTCCACATTATCCCCATACAGATTAAGTCTATGGTTTTCATTATTAAAAACTTGGGCAGGGTACTTGTTTCTTGCATTACATGCCATGTCATCTGCTAGCATCAGTATAATCCTTTCATCAGGTATTCCTAGCCGCTTAACTGTCCTGAATGAGAAAGAAGTTAAAGCCCAGAAGATCATTACGAAGCATAATTCAAAACACTTAAAAAGTAAGGCTAAAATTGTATACTCACCTATACAATGACAAAGTATTGGCCATATGTCGATAATTAAACCTGAACAAGGGATACAGCAGCACCTTCAGTATACTAACCATGTCATACAACAAAAATTTTCAAGGTAAACTATAAAATTTCCTCTACAAGCCATGGCCAAATTGCTAGTAAACAACCATACAACAATGCATTCTCACTAATTAAAGCCGAAACCTAGATTTACCAGAAGCGAGAAGTGCAGACGAGAACAGCCCAATTATTAGTGTGCATTGTAGATGAGGAGTATGCTACAAAGTAGCAGAGAAATATGAGCACTATCACCGCTAATTTCATAGGAAACTTTGAAAGACTTCGGAATCCCATGCTTCTATAATCGCATCAACTTCTCCAAATTGTCCTTCTTTTAAAGGTAGAGTTGATAGTGTGGTGCCTCTTTACTTCCACTACCACGAAAGTGTTCCATCACTGCAAACGAAATTCCGCCACGAATCAATCCCGCAGTCGCAAAACAAATCTGACCCAATCAAATATCAAATGCGTCTTAAAATACCAAAATGAGTTTGATGTTGAGGCGAACGGAGAACTGCGTCGAGGGAAGACGAACGAAACTCGTACTCGGGCTAGATCGGTGTCCTCTGGTATCAGTGCTTTCTCCTTCTTCCAAGTTCCACTCAGGAGCCGAGCCTGCTGCTTCTATTACCCGGGCCAAACATAGAAGAACGAGAAAACTGCCATTTTGTTATCATTATTTATAAAATTTATCAAAATAAAATAAGTAGAATAATTATGTAATAGTTTTTATAGTTTTTAAATTAAAAAATATTATTTTAGTTTCTTACACTAGTTAATAATTATTTTAATTTTTATTCTCTTTAATTATTTATACATTGTTTATTTTAATGAAAAAGCTCACCTGACGTGTTAAAGATTAAATTCACATAACACGTAACATTTAATAATAATATAAAAAAATTTGATCAATTAATTTAATTTTTGTAAAATTTTAAACATAAATTTTGTTTGACAATAAATTTAATAAATAAAAAAATAAAAACATTTATTATTGATGTTAAGTCAACTTGTTTATTAGAATAACGAATATTTCAATAATAATGATAATAAATAAAATAATTAAAATTATAAGTTATAGACTAAAATTATATTTTACTTAGTATTAAAATTAGTTTGATAAATAATTAAAATAATAAAGATTAAAATTATTGACAAGTACATACGTTAAAAACTAAAATAATATTTTACATAATTTAAAAATTATTTTGATCAATCTTAACAATAATAGAAACTAACACTTAATAATTATGATGAATTTAATTTTATTCTAATTTTGTATTATATTTAATATTTTAATTATACATATGTATATTTTATTATGATTAAAAATACAAATGATGGTATTTTTATAAGTCATGGTTAATAAATAAAATAAAAATTCAAATATATCAAAGTAATTTGTTTTATAATTTATATTTTTAATATCATTTACAAATTATTTAAGCAACTTTAAAAAGTACAATTAATTAGTATAATAATATATATTAAACAACTTAAAATAGAGAATGTTAATATAAAATTATCACAAAAGTGTAAAAAAAAATTAAAGTAATTATTTTTTAAAAAGTTCTAAGAGAGATACAAATTTTCTTAAGGAAAAACACTTAGATTTTTTGTTAAAATTAAATTTATTTTTTATGAGTATTTATAATAAAAAATAAAATTATAAAAACAATCTTAAAAACTAATATAATTAAGTCGATTAACATAATAAAATTAAAGTTTTTAAAAGATTTAATTAATAACTAATATTATAAAGTTCATTGTTATAATAAAATATAAAAAAAAATCTTAATAACTAATATGATTTAACTTACTTATCTAAAATATAAGAAATTATTTACTTATTAAATTTTTACATAAAATAAAAATAAAAATAAAAATTAAGCCATCATAAATTAAATTAGATTTAATATTCATAATATTTTGTTTGAACACAGTAAATTAAGATTCTTAATTTATTTTCTTCTATATTTGGAATCATCATAAACATAGTTGTCATTATTTAAACATAGAATTTTTTAAATTTAAAATTAAATAAATTACAAAACTAAATACTAAAACATGAAAAATTATGATAAATAACAGTGACTAAAAAATGATAGCCAGAGGTAGATAAAAAGTGTACATTAATAAGATGTTTAAATATAGTTAATAATAATCTTAACTTGTTGATAATTAACAAATGGTCAAAGGGAAACTCAAAAAAAGAATAGATACGGCTATTGCTTTTTAGAGTCCATTTGATTAAGTTACAGCCTTACAGCGAGGAGGGAGAGAGAGAAAGAGAGAGAACTCTTCTGCTGACAGAGGGTAACCTCGTGCAGAGGGTTCTCTGGATTTTCCCAAAGTTGGACGGAGAAGGTAAAATACAATACAGTGCATAAACAATAAGATGGAGACATTATGTTAGATTCATTGCATTGATTAGTCACAAACCTCGTCCTACTGAAACCCAGATTCCTAAAAAAAATAGAAAAAAAAAATAATTTCTTCACGTTACCAATCTTCCTTTGTTAAAACCTTGGGCTTTTTTGTACTCTCACCATTCCGTGGTTTTCATTCCTCCAATGTTTGTTTCTCTTGTCGGGTTGTGACGAAACGGATCTCAGGTCGCGTCCACGAATCCCGGTGCAGCGTGGCGTTTCAGTGTCTTCGTCATTGTTGGTGATTCCCTTGCGAATCCCGGTGGCATTTGCTTTTTCTTAGGGTTTTGATATTAATGTTGGAATTTTCCCTCTAAAATAGAGGTTGAATTTTGAATTTCGGTTTGGATTTGGTTGTGGCCTTGTTAAGATGAGTTCCAGCGTGTCTGGAAGCTTGGTCCATGAGAACAAGCTCGTGGTTAATATTGCTGAGAATGGACACTCGTATGAGTTGGATTGTGATGAGAACACGCTTGTTGAGGTAGTTATGCGGTTTATTGAATCTGAAACTGGGATTAGTTTCAGTGATCAGCTTGTTCTTTATATGGATATGAAGCTAGAGCCGCAGCGGCGGCTCTCGTCTTACAAGCTTCCCTCTGGCGACCGGGAAGTGTTTGTGTTTAGCAAAGTGAGGCTTCAAAGCAACTCGCCGGCGCCGCAACTTGAGCAAATTGATGTTCCTGATAGTTTGGAGCCTCCATCGCCGTCCTCCTCACATGATCCTCACCCTCTTGATGATGCTTTGGACCCTGCCTTGAAGGCTTTGCCTTCTTATGAGCGCCAATTCCGGTACCATTACCATTGTGGGAACGCGATTTATGGTTGTACTTTGGTGAAATATGAGCATTGTGAGAGGCTTCTGAGGGAACAGATGGTTCAAGAGAGGGCAGTGGAGGTTGCAAGGGCCAATTTGGATCAGTACTATCGAATGATAAACCAGAACTATGTGGAATTTATGAAACGTTATGTGCAGCAACACCGGATGCATTCTGATCTTTTGGTGAATTTTGGGAGAGATGTTGAGAAATTAAGGTCCATCAAAATTCACCCTGCCCTTCAAACTGCAAATCGGAAGTGCTTATTGGATCTTCTGAAGGAAGAAAACTTGAGGAAGTCAGTGGAAAATTGTGCCACCTCCCACAAGCAGTTTGAGAATAAAGTGTTACAGAGTAAGCAGACTTTTGGTGAAGTGAAGCGTAGGATCGAGGAATTGTTGTCAAGCAGGGCTTTCTTGCCCATCAAGAATTTAGAGAGAACAATTAAAGAGCATCAGAGATATATAACTGAACAGAAGAGTATCATGCAATCTCTGAGGTTAGAATTGGTTTACTTTTTCAGAAGTTATATGTCCTTTTATTGTCTGCACTTTTTATTCAGCAAATCGGGATCAATTTTTTTGCTTGCATAGACTTTTATTTATTTATTTTCAAGAACCGTGGTTTTTCTTTTTATTATTTATTTTATTGAACAATAAAACTTAAATGGAATGGATGCCGAACACAGAGTATGATATTTTAAGGGAGGGGCAAGTAGTTTGGACATTTGGCATGAATCTACTTGTAACTGGGCAAAAACTTAATTGCTAATATTTGGGAAACTGAGATTATGTTAGATGGAAGAAAAATAACTGAGGAGGATGCTTGTGTAGGACATGATAGAGAAAATTTGAATAGGTTATGAGGAAGTGCTTCTTCAGACTTTAGATACCAAATTATCTGTGTTGTGCAATTGTGCATAGCAAGTTAGCAACCGTTCCATGTACAAATAACTTCCTAATATCCCTTATGAAAGTATTAAACTGTTTTTGACAATTAGAGTCAAAACTCATCTCTTCCAAAAACTTAATATATTTAGGGGAAAATTCATTAATGATTTTGTATCTCACGCACCCTTCACACAAGAGCCCTTTGGACTTGATGACAGGCCTGTCCCTTCTGATGAAATTCAACTATTCTCTAGAAGAATGGGGATGACAAAGATCAAACTCCTGACCGTGTGGTCATTAATTCTTGAGTACCATTGTATGAATCAGCTACCCCAATTCCCTAAAGCTTAAGCTTTTAAGTGGAAGTTTATGAACAATTTTTATATCTATCAATGGGAAAGGTGTTAATAGAATTGGTTGTGGTCGTGCCAAATTGATTACTGAATCATGAATTTGTGGATGATCTCTGGTTGCTGGTGAGATACTGTTCTGTTGTGAGACCTTCTGGACCTGCTGATAATATTTGATCCACACGTCAAACATAATAAGATGATGGTTAGTCTCTTCTTTGAAAATATTTTCAAAGATGAAATTAACAATTATTTATCCTTTCATTTGAAAGCGTTACAATCTATTCAGGTGATAATCTTTCATTTGAAATATTTTCAAAGATGATTATCTTATCCTTTCTTTGCAGTGGCATGTTGTTTTCTAATTTGATAGTTCACTAGCTGTGAGGGAATATAGAATAGTACTTGGTTCCAGATATCACTTGTTTTACTATTTAGATTGCTGCAATTAAATTTGTATTTATTATTCCATGCTTTTATACTTCTTTCATCTTCTGAGATATTGATCACTACACCAAATGTTATCAACATAGTTTATAAATTACAATTTATTGGGATTTCTGCAGCAAAGATGTTAACACTGTGAAGAAACTGGTGGATGATTGTTTATCCTGTCAATTGTCCTCCTCACTTCGTCCTCATGATGCAGTTTCAGCCTTGGGTCCTATGTATGATGTTCATGACAAAAATCACCTGCCTAAGATGCAGGCCTGTGATCGTGCTATTTCTAAGCTACTTGACTTTTGCATGGACAAGAAGAATGAAATGAACATATATGTCCACAATTACATGCAAAACATCACTTATGTATCTTATCTCATCAAAGATCAGAAGCTACAGCTTCCCGTGTTTAAAGAGGCAATGGCTCGTCAAGATAACTTATTTGTGGATTTAAAGTTGTTCCGTAGTGTTGGCCCTGCATACAGAGCTTGCCTTGCAGAAATAGTGAGAAGAAAGGCTTACATGAAGCTGTACATGGGCATGGCTGGGCAACTGGCTGAAAGACTTGCTACAAAGCGTGAGGCTGAGGTCAGGAGACGAGATGAGTTTCTTAGAGCACTTAGTTCTTGCATACCTAGAGATGTAATAGCTTCTATGGGATTGTTTGACACCCCTAACCAATGTGATGTCAATATAAGTCCGTTTGATGTTGGTTTGCTTAATATTGACATATCAGATGTGGACCGTTATGCTCCTGAGTATCTAGTAGGAGTAACATGTAAACTAGAGAAGCATGGAAGCTTTAAAGGTTCATCCACATTGTGTAGTGACGGCTCTCACTCTGCTGAGGTTGTAGATACTACTGCTGACTCTACTGAGAGATATGATTCTGAGGAGTTCCTTGATGAAAGTGAGTCAATTGAAATTGCTGGTACTAGCAAAATTGAAGTTGAAAATGCAAAACTGAAAGCAGAGCTTGCTGCTAGAATAGCTTTAATTTGTTCTCTATGCCCTGTGGTTGAGTATGAGTCCCTGGATGATGAAAGGCTGGATAGTATACTGAAGAATACAACAGAGAAGACAGCTGAGGCCTTGCATTTGAAAGATGAATATATCAAACATGTTCAATCAGAACTTAAAATGAAGCAGATGCAATGTATCTCATATGAGAAACGCATTCAAGAATTGGAGCAGAAATTATCTGATCAGTATGTGCAGGAACAGAAGATATCTGTTGTAAATGGTGCAGCTGACTTTCCTCATATGGTTGGTAAGACAGATAATTACAAGTCAGAATTTGTGAGAGGTGATGTGCATTCTGTGTCCATTACTGAGCCCATGGATGAGGTTTCATGCATCTCAAGTTCCTTGGATGTAAAACTTGGTCTATTCACAGAACGTTCAAGTAAAGCTTTGGATGGGGTGGATGAGAACATGTTGGATTCTTCTGGAATACAAAACCCACAGTTGGATTCATCTATGGTGGAGCCTCATAGTAAAGAAATGCAAAGTGGTGACAAGTTAAGAAAAGATAAGATAGTCAGGCAACTGAGCATGTCACTAACAAACAGTTCTACCGCAGAGAGCATGCCTATGAATGGTCAAGTAACTTGTGAATCAGCAGTTCATCCAGACATAAATTCCAAAGCAAATGAAAGGTTGTTGGAACTTCAAAGTACACTTGAAGAGAAATCAAATCAATTGAGTGAAACTGAAACCAAGCTTAAAAGTGTTCTGGAGGAGGTTTCTCTGCTCAGGAGGGAGTTGGATACAAGTCTAAAACTACTTGATGAATCTCAGGTAACAATGTGTGAATAAAATGCAAATTAGGTTGCAATTAAATTTCCTGAAAGTGTTTGTATGTATCTTCTACATTGTTATGCATAACAAAATGTTGATTCTAATTAATAGCAATTCATTCTTCTTTCTACATTTGGATTACATGAAGTTGAATTGATATGGACTGTACATGTTAATTATATCTTGCTAGAGTGTCCTGAGGAAACTTGTAAAGGAACATTTAATATACCATATTAAATAGTTTTTGTTTCATTGAACTTGTTATACTTTTTGCTGTCATAGGTAGTTCCTAATACCACTTGTTAGCATTCTCATTATTACTATGATTTTGGTGCATGGAAAGGTGTAATTGCAGACAACTTAGTGCAGGGTTGAACCTTGAATATCATCATCACACCTTAGTCTTAGACCTCGACTGTTGCACGTTGAGCTAAAAGCTTGTTAGGATACATACTTGAATTTACCCTTAAGGTCATTGGCTCATTAGTTTCTATAATTATTTTTGGGGCATTAATTGGATTTATTATTTATAGAATAATCTTATATATTCCAACACAGGGATCCATGGTCCAACCTAATGTGCCTTTTTATATTCTGATATATTTTCCCTCTTTCACTACAGATGAATTGTGCTCACTTGGAGAATTGCTTGCATGAGGCAAGAGAAGAAGCTCAAACACAAAAAAGTTCCGCTGAAAGGAGGGCCTCAGAGTATGGACTTCTACGTGCATCTGTACTTAGAATGCGCAGCCTCTTTGAAAGACTCAAGACATGTGTTTATTCTAAGGGCGGTGTGGCTGGTTTTGCAGATTCCCTGCAAGCTTTGGCGCAATCTTTAGCCAAGTAATTTATTTATTTAATTTTTTTCTTTATTTTGTGGTAAGACTGTTAGACCTAAAGCTAACCCTTTGGGTGTGGGACTAGTCCCTCCTACATGTAGCTAAGTTTGTTAATCACATAATGGTTATTTTTAGCCAAGTAATTTATTTGCATTAATTACTTACATGGTCTCTGTGAGAACTAGACCCTCCCCCTCAATGTAGAACCCAATTTCCTCTTACAAAGAAAGACAGTGGTTTATGGTGATAGACTAGTAGAAATGAAGCTCATAAATTTTCTTCCTCAACTATTTAGGTTGTGTGCTTTTTTTTTTGTCTTTATTATTATTATTCTGAATTAGCCTCATCTAAATTGATGTCTTCATTTTAAAGGGAAAAAATAGAGAAGTTATAGCCATTAATAAAAAAATCAACTGTTAAGATTGTGATAAAATACATGGACATGCATATAAAGTAAATAGTGGTTTATTAAGATTGTTATAATTTGTCACTTTTCCCTCTAAAGTGAACTCCTTACTAAATCTATTATTTTATACTAGTAGTGATAAAAAAGTTGTAGATAGTTAAAAAAGAAAAGTAATGAAATTCAATAAAACAGGAGAAAAATAAATAAAGAAGGATGAATAAGACTCTCCTGTTCTGATGTGCTTTGATTGATATTTTTTGTTAATTTGTGAATTTTGACTAGAAGAATAACAAGCTTTTTTTTTTTTTTTTTCCAGTTCTACTAATGACAAAGATGATGATGATATTGCTGAGTTCCGAAAGTGTGTCCGTGTATTAGCTGATAAAGCTGGTTTCCTATCAAGGAATCGTGGAGAGCTGCTTGAGAAGTATCTGATAATTGAAGCTGCTAATGAACAGCTGCGGAAGGAATTGGAGGAGAAAATTAATCAGGTCAAAAATTATTACAATAAGCATCAACTTGAGAAGCAGGTAACACACGTCCTTATGCATGCATTTGTTTTGTTTTTAAAAATATGCAATACAACCCGAGGGATGTTTTAGTTTGAGATGGGCTGTGTTTTGATTTACTATTGCTTCTTTCTTTGAATCCAGCAAGAAAATGCCTGATGACGTCAAAATAGTGTGAATGTTTTTTCTTGTCACTGCATGTAGTTGTGACTTTCTTTGTGGTTTTAGGCCAAAGTCCTCTGGCTTATAGGACATTACAAATTCTAAACTGAGCTTGTTTTTGTGTCTGAGAAATCAACTAAAGTATCTCTGCTTGTGATTTTGGTACAGGCTAATAAGGAGAAGATTTCTTTTGGTCGCCTTGAAGTTCATGAGATTGCTGCCTTTGTGCTCACTTCAGCTGGGCATTATGAGGCGATTACTAGGAGTTCCTCCAACTATTACTTATCTACTGAATCTGTGACCCTATTTATGGACCTTCTTCCAAGCAGACCCAACTACATAATTGGACAAATTGTGCATATTGAACGCCGGATTGTGAAGGTACTCCCTCCTACTTCAACTTGGCCTGAGCATGCTAGGGCAGATCAACTGAGCTCTGAAACCAGGACGAACCAGTTGACCTTGAATTCAGGATCAACTTCAAACCCATATGGTCTTTCTCTTGGTTGTGAATATTTTGTAGTGACAGTAGCAATGTTACTTGATGCCACAATTCATTCACCATCTCCTTCCTGATCCTGCTTCATACTGGCAGATACGATGTGATGGAAGAAATCAGTTGTACATAAACTAAACACCTCTAAATGCTCTTCTTTGTGGGAGTTGAACTGGTTAATCTCTTGTACAGCTGGTGATCCAATTCTGTTCAATCTCCCCTCTGTAAATATGGTTTTACCTTTTACATGTATAGGTTGTGAATATTATTTAGCACTTAGTTGCTGCTTAGTCATTCGGAATATAAGTTCTCGTATTTTATTTGGTAAACAACATTTTCCATATCCTGTGGTTCACCTCTGTCTTTGAGGCTCCACAAAACCAGAATGTCTTCAGGTCACAGTCCGCACCAGGTCTGGTCAAATGAGATGTGCTATTATTCGCACACCGGAATCTGCTGTATCTTGTCGCTTCCTTATCTGCTTGTTAATTTGCTGGGTAAGTTGATAAGGTAGGTATTCGGAGTTCAAGACCAACGGCTTTTTTACCAAAAAATACTGCATTTTTAAAAATTCTATTTACTAAGAAAATGTAGAAAAAGAATAATTTACTGTCTGAGATCATTTTAATCACGTATACAGTGTGTGTCGTCCATGTCAGAAACAAAATTTATTAAAAGATTTAATTCAATATTGCATATACATAATAGACGATACTCTCTTGTGACGACGCGAGGTACACATCTAACAAGTGTAGTCTAACAATGGATTATACTAACAAAATAAATAAATAAAAGGAAAGACAGTTCATTTTTAAGTTTATAAGTTTGCAACACCACTTTTTTTTTATTTTGACAAAAGAACATAAGCATAATATTCAAGGAATATATTTCAGCTAGTTGAAAGCTTATTTTGTTAGTTAAAAATTTTGTTTAAATAAAAAAATACCGCTATTTGGTAAAGTAGTTAAAACGGGTAACTATTAGCATTTTTTTATTTTCAGCTACTAATAAAAAGTAATTTTGTAATTTTCTCTTTATTATTTTAAGTAATTGTTCCTTTACCTATTCAATTTTTTAAACCCTGCTTTTTTTTTTTACTTTTGTTATATTTAAAAGAAAAAAAAATATCATGAATAATAAAAAATAAATAAATATCACAACATTTATTATTTAAAAATAATAATTTTAGAAGGATATAACAAAGTCACTAAATCTTATTTTTTTATAATAAAATATTCATACATGAGAATAAAATTAAAAATTTATAATCTTTATCAGAAAATGATAACTGATTATAAATAAATTAAAATATAAACTTTATAATTTTTTAAACTTGTTAATAAATTGTATATTTTAGTCAACTTAGTTATGATACTTTTATTTATTATTGTATATTTATTAGCTAATCTAACAATTAATTTTATCAGGTACTTTTTTAAAACATTCAATTAACTTCTAATCTCACCTAACACACCTTTTATAAAAATACTATAACATAGTTGGTGTATTGGAAGTTATATTGTATGTTTTGCAAAACAATAAATTTTTAAAACAATTAGTATTTATATTAAAATTTATTAATACTGAAATTTTTTATTTAATGTTAAATTTAATAAGATATTTTAAAATAAATGTTAAAACAATATTTTATTAATTAAACTAATGTATCTTTAGATGTAAAAATGAGACGCGGGTCCACTCTGATTTGACTGAAACATGGGTCCATTGGACCCCACAGCACTATCTATAAAATCCCGAAAACCCTCACCGCTTCTCGTATCGACGTTTTGTATTCAATCCGCGATTGCCGTCACAGGTGAATAGTTTCAAATCTTGCAATAGCTTTTATGAAAATTTGGAACCCTCTTTGCCAGAACAACATTTTCTTTGATTTCACCATTATTTCTGGTAAGTGCTATTCTTTCTTTGAAGGTATATATGAATGTGTATTCAGTGTTCCATCATGGGGACACTTGAACTAAAAATTTCATCCAGTTTGTTTGTTTGTTTATTTTGTGAATTACGAGTTTGAATCTAATGCGCTTTTTATTTGCTATAAAAATCTTTTCAGAGAGTAATAAAGAATTTAGTAATCAATTTTTTTTAAAATTGTAAATCGAGATAGAATGCTTGAAATCTTCGATTCGTAGTAAAGAACTTAGTTCATTCTTATTGGATCAAATTGGTAGCTAATTATATTATAGTATAATAACATGGCTGGGCTACATTTGCTGCATATATAGAGTAGTAATTTAAATAGAAGAATCATGTTATTAAAACTCTTCCATATTAAAAGAGTTTGGTTTAGACAGTGATTTGAGAGTTTTTGTGACAAAAATCATAACAACGGGGGTTTCTTTTTTCTGTTTAACTACGAAATTCCAATTGCATCAATTACTTAAAATTTTTATTTAAAAATTTTGTAAAGATTGGATACAACTCAACCCATTAAAGGACATGAGATATATTAAGTAATAAAGACTTATTTATTATTGATTTGTACACAGTTTTTCCCTTTAAAGAAGTCAAATCCTAGAAGGGGTAAAGGTCAAATATTTATTGCTTACCTAAAGAATTATCTATATTTTACTGGTAGCAGTAATTTTATGTTCTTTTTTAGTTTTGGAAGAGTTATTATTTTTTCTTCTATCAGCAGCATTTCTTTAACAATACAGATATCCTATACTACCGAAGAAAGAGTAGGGACATTCAATATATACATGGCATCTGCACCATCATTTCACCGAAATAAAGAGGCTAAACTCTTGGCGCAGAATGAAAGACCAAATGCCTATTCATTGAGGTCTCGTACCAAAACTAAACGTAATAATCAATCAGGTAATGCGCAAAAGGACCAGAAAAAATTAAGATGCTCAGATAGTAGAAATAAAATTTATTGAAAACTATGAAATTATGAGTTGGACTCATTAAATTAGAAGTGAAGCTCACATAATTTATAATTTTTAATAAATTTTAGCAAAAAATAAAAAATATGTTGAAAATAGTATGTTGTTAACATTATTTGTGTCCCTATCAACTTTTCTTTTTCTTTGGCTTTTGGTTCTCTCAGTAGATAGACCAAGTCAAGTATCAAGACATGAGAACAATTCTGTGGCAAAGAAAAGTGAAGTCCATGCTGCCTCTACTAGCAGAACAGGGAGAGCTTCAACATCAACAGACAATCATAGAAATAAGAGCAATGATTGTAAAACAAAGAGTACTATTACTACTAAAGCCAAAGTTTCATCTTGCTCAACTTCGAAGGATCAAAATACTCAGAATAACAACTCTAGTGGAACTCAAGGAAAACAAGATTTAAAGAATCAGCAAGCTGCTAAGAGTAAGGCTTCATCTAATTGTAGAACAAACCAGAATTCAAAGAACGGGGAACACAAAATCAAGAGTCCTGAGACAAACAAAAGGGTTGGAAATTGGAGTGAGAAGACCATACCTTCACAGAACCAAGCTAAAATTTCAAAGAAGGAACACATGGTATACTGTATTAGTCTGAAAGGTACGTACCTCATAAATAATAAATTTAGAAAAATTATAGATATTCATTCAACTTTTTAATGCAACAAAATGTTCAACGAAGAGATAAAAAAATGCGATAAGATAATTAATTTAAAAGTGTCGTAGAAAAAATGTTATATGTTGTTAATTGTTGTTACATGTGGAAAGGTACATGAATATGTCATTAAATAGTTTAACGTGATGATTTACGCATGTGAGTTAATTTTCAGGATTTGAGAAAACAAGTGAACGTTGGAATTGTGAGTTATGTGGGAAAGATATTTCATATTCACCAAATGAAGAGGATGAGATGCACGAAGAGAACGAGCTGCAATATTATTTTTCCTTACATAAGGGAGAGGAAGAACAAGGTGGAAATTCTCTTCTTCCAGAAACTTGTGTTCTTCCATGTAGTCATGTATTCCACAGCACTTGCTTATATTCACCGCACCTCACTGACAGTGACACCACTGATCCTCCGTGCCCTCTATGCGTTACCCTCTCTTGAACAAACATTTACAAATATATTATTTCATTGGATAAATAACTCCATTTTAATTAGATTAATGAACATTAAGATGTTATATTAAAAATTACGTTAACTTTTATGGGATAACTTGGAGAAATTCTTAAATATTTAACTAAAAATTATTTGTGCACAGGTTCTTGTTTGGTTCAAGTGTCACAAATCTTTAACCTAATGGTATTTAGATTAATGATCATTTGGGACGTTATTTAATCTTTTGAGGATTTATTGACAAAGAATTATGCTATACTCCGTTTTTTTTCAAACCAGTTATTCGTTCATGGAATTCTAGACTGGGGTGTAGTGTTTACTGTGCATGCATTCCCTGGAAAATATTGAAGAGGGGACCATCAGAAAGGGGTTTGAATTAACTTTGCTCCCAATTTCCGAACTTTTTTGGTAAAATAAAATCGTTTCTCAAATTAACATTTTCTCAAGCCTGTAACTAAGTTTTTCCTTTTTTTCCTTGTATTGGAACATTATCTCTTTCTCGTAAAATTCTGTATACCAACAAAATTCCAAATCAAAACACAAAAAACAACTAAGGGTTCACATATCACTCTTATCAATGAGATCAGATATAAACTGATAATTTTCCATTGATACTTCCAGAGATACACTCTTCTTATAAACTCTAGTTTAACTCTTCAGCATACTTTTTTTAACATATTATTACTAGCTGAAATTTTTTAAAATAATAATAAAATGTGAATCTCACCTCTACTTTAATGCATCTCACTTGTATTTTTGTTATTACGAATACAATTTATTAAACAAATAAAATATGTTAGAGTGTTTAACACCTCTTGTATGTTATTCATTAATCACTAAATGAATCAACTTCTGTACATAGATTGTATGTAATAAATTTTGAGCAAGAGTGTTTTTAGATGATTTTTCAAATGAAAACGCTTTTAGAAGTTAATTCTGATTTTTATCATTTCAAATGATTTTTTTTTTGTAAATTAAGCATTTATTTTTAAAATTGAATATCAATTACTCTGTATATGAGTTGTGAATACTGAATTTTGAACATGGGTATTTTTATGTGTTTTCTCAAACTAAAACATTTTGTAGGAGTTAATTTTGATTTTCATCATTCCAAGTTTTTTTTTCAGATTACATGTTTATTTTTTAATTTACTATTAAATTAAATTTAAGTGATATTTTTTCTTGGTTTAATTAGTTTTATGACTGCCAATACCCAGTTTTAGATACTTGTTAGTATAAAGACAGTGACCCCTATCCAGGCCTAAAGATTAAATTTTCAAATAAAGAGTAAAATGGGTTAAAATTCCTAATCATTACATACAACTGTATATATAGTACTTTTATCATAATAGTATGCCACACTTAACATGTAATTTCCATCCATATTTAAGTATTTAATTCGTTCTCTTGTTTTTTAAATCAAAATTCGATGCATACATAGAGTAGGACCCAAATGGCAACATTATTTTATTAGGACTTCAAAGTTTTCGTGTTGATTCAATAACTATGTCTTGACTAGCGAAGTTACTAACTAATGGGATTGATATGAATTTGTGAAATTAGTATATACTTACAAGTTATAGTTATTGCTTTATTTGTACCCGTAATTAAAAGATTTATTTATATTAAAATATAACTTATATGCATTTCTCAAGAAAAGAAGGAATATACATTTTAAAATGCTAGTCTAATTTAAGCATTCTCTAGGTCAGGGAGTATAGTGGAGTCAATTTTTAAATCAGCACATCCTCCGGAGCGTATTCATAATATTCTTCTTTAAAAAATTAAATAACCAAAGGTGAATAATGACAGCAAAGTGATTTGAGAGTCTCTTTTGGAGGATGCATGAAATTATCCCGTTCCCCTTAGATCTCAAAGGGGTCTTTGCTGTCAAAAGATGAACGAGAATGAGACACATTTTGAGATCAATCTGTTAATACCTCTTCTAGTTTTCTATCAACCTCTAACCCTACGGCTTCTTCTAATCACATGATCCCTCCATGGGCTAGAGGAAATTGTATTATTTGATTAATATTTACAAACTGAGCCTTCCAATGCAATAGTATCAGCTACTGCAATAGCTTAAGATCCAAGAGAAGACAGAGATACCATCTTTGGATGGCTGATATTTGATCAGGCAACACATGATTTACTTACAAGCAGACAACAGCTGTCCATGAGACCCAGAAGACAAGGGCAAAAAAAGGAAAAACAAACACAGCTAAAACATCTACTTGACAATTTTTACATGGGCTCTACCAGGATTCTTCATTAAAACAACTTTTCCAAATCCTAGAGGTTCCCAAGGTAGAAATTAAACTCGCACGTCTAAAAAGACATAACATGTTCCCTATGCAGCTACACTCTGCTAGGTAGCCCACACTTGCCATTTTGAATTTTCAATTATGAGAATAACTATCGGGCATGACTGTCCCCATCTTCTTCTGATATGTTAAACAAGAACTTTGGAAGAGATGCAATTCGAGGAAGGTGGAGAAGCAAATCACTAAATGAGTCTTTCCTAGACATTCCTAGTGCTTGCTTGCCACCAGATGCGTCCCTTGATTCGTCCTCAGCAGGCTTTTTTCCGTTATCAGGTTCTTCAACAGTACCATCTTCAGTAAAATGTGTATTCTGCACCGTTACAGGGTCCTTCTGCAGAAGACAGCAGAGAGAATTGACTCTTGACATGAGTGATTTTTCATCAGAAGTTGCAGCAACCTGATTATCATTGAGAAGATGCTGTGCAATGTCTTCTAGGATTTCCTTGTACTCTGATCCTCCATCAGAGAAAGGTGGATTCCCAGAGGTTATTTGCTCCGACAGGCAAAGTTCAATTTGGCCGATAAAATCACTCACTGACATGGAAGGTCGAAGTGCAGGAAGTTTTATCTGATCCCCATTTCTTGGACCCTTGGAATCAGTTTCTGAACTGGTACTCCCTTCAATTGAAGAAGGACAGTCCATGACTTGTATGTAAAAGAAGACAGACCAATGAAACAATTAAGCCAAAATCACTATATATATCACAGGATTGACAAATGCATTTAAGTAGCTTTAGTATCAAACACCCAAAACATAGACCACTAAATAAACTCCACCAATCAATCATAGTTAACTGTACAGCCAAGTACAAAGACAGAATGTCTACAGAGGAGACATCATATCCCATATAATCCACATTGGAATACAAGGAATAGATAGACATGGAAAACCTAGAGATAGATGTTCCTAGATACAGTGCCAACGAGTGTGAATAGTACCATGCATGAATATGTATGTCTGTTTTCTTTAGGGAGGAGGAGAGGATTCAATTAACACATGAAAGTTGAAACAGAGGGGAACATGAGCCAAGTTCTTAATATAAAGTACCTGAACTGGGAGAATGCGCATCTCGGGGGAGACTATCCAAAGTCATTCCAGGAGGATCACTGTGTTCAATCTTAAATGATGATGACAGGGAAGCCTGCGGCGATCCTCTGTCCTGAAAAGAGGACGTGGAGGATCCTTTACCACTGACTTGAAGCAGATCCTGATCTCTTGGATTGTCTGAGTCCTCAAAGGCAGAAGGTTGTGTGTCAAAATGTGGTGAATCCAAGATTATCTCTGGCTGTCGGCTTAAGAAATTAAGGCGCATGTCACACTGGATAAGCTTTTCAAAATGTTTGGCCAACAGCCCTTGTGGGCATTCCAAAAAATGCATCCTACAAAACGACAAGGACTACTCAAACATCGCAACTAATCAATAAAACCATCAACATTTTCAACAGTTACCAATGCATATAACATCTGAGCCCACATCCACATATGAGGAAAACAGTGAAGCAACATACTTATGTTTGCTAGACTGTCCATCAGTAAAATCGGCCGTTGCCTGCCACAGTGTATGCTTTCTAGGCTGAGGATTAGTCTCCCTGAAGTAAAGAGGCTGCCTAGCAAGCTGCAACACAGAAATTAACCTAAAAATCTTAACAAACGTTCAAACGACTAAATAGAGAGGTAAATGGAGAAATAAATTACCACAACAGTCAACGTGCTAGGCCCATTATCAGGACAATGCGCCTTAAGTGCCATGATATCCGACCATTGAATTTCTATCTTACTCTTTAGACCACCTTCAAGAACTTCCCAAACAAGCTTATGTTTAGCAAAGTAACACTTCGCAACCAAGTCACCCTCATATCTCGATTTATACTGCCACAAATAGAACTTTCAGCCACTCAACAAAGTTCCTCAAATCCTAAATATACACCAGCAACAAAAAAGAATCTCAAACATACCTCCCATGAACCAATCCTCAGAAGCGTAGCCGGGAAGTTTGAAGCTTTAAGCTTGTCCGTGGTACCCGATGCAGCAGCACCTCTACCCTCCTTCTTTAGTCCAGAGCTTAAATTTTCATTCTGCACACTTCCTTGAGAAAGCTTCATCTGAATCAAGTCCAACAGCGAAGGGCTCTTCCTCAGGCGCAAACCCAGCGGGCTCGGCTCATCGAGTATATTGAGATGCGAAGAAGAACTGACAGAATCATCATTTGAAGCACTCCATTGCTATATGGGTAACACCAAGGGGAATAACAAGTTAAAATAGTGAAAACAGTACAAAATCTTATAACCGTTCTGATAAACAAAGCACGTGTTCTTTGACCAAGATAGATACATATACACATATACTTCATAATTAATCCCCCAAATAAATAGGCGGGCATATGCATTCAAAACCAAATGTCACAATATGTAGATATCTATCAAAGTACATAGATAAATATTCAAATAATGATGATAATTTAAATTGGGAAAAATAAAGTTAGGCAATGGCATTTGAAAGGAAGGAAAAACCTGAGGATTTGGAGAGGGTTTGAAGAGCTTGTTGAGGGGGGCATGCTCTTCTTCAAGTGGGTCTTCGACGATCTCCAACTTGACGGAGGGTTTGGTGTCGGGGTTCCCAGAATTCTTCATCAGCTGAACCATCAACAGAAATGAATTCAAAGATATTGAAAATTCCGGAAACCCTAACGAGAAAAAGAAAGAGAAAAGCGATGGGCAGGGCTTGGAAATGTTCGCAGGGAGAGAGAGAGAGAGAGAGAGAGAAGGGTCTAACCGCGTCCCAGTCCACGTGTTCCTTTGATTGCCCAAAGGCAAAAATTGATTTAGGTAAAGTAGCCAAGTAGGGAACACTTTTCTTTCTTTTTTTTTTTAGTAGGGAACAATTTTTTGGTACTATGAAATTGTTTATTTCCCTATGAATTATTAGCATTAATTTAACATTTTATTTTAATTGTTAAAGAGTCATAATTAGAAAAAATATACAAATATTTCTTATTTAAAGAGGATTAATATAGAATATGAAAAACTTAAAAATTATATATGGAAAGTAAGGTTAAGGTATATTTAACAAAATTAGCGGATAAGGTAATTAAAAATTGAAAGCTGGAAAATAAAAGTTAAGAAGTTAGCTGGCTGAATTGAAAATCTTCAACAAAATTAGTTGTTGAATGGGTTAATACATGTAAAATGATATATAAGAATATTATTAGTTTTTGTCTAAAATTTGAAATTAGGTAATTGTATATTTTTAAATAATTATAAATATTTAATTTCACTCTGATTTAAAAATATTTTTATCAAAGGAAGTGATTATTATTTTATGATTTTATATTAAAAAAATAATGATTTTGTTATATTTTAATAAGATTTAGAAACGAAATTTGAACATTAAAAAAATAAAAAATCAAATTTTTTAAAGTTAAAAAGATAAAAAGATTATTAAAAATATAATTCTTTTAGTAGCTGAAAGACAGCATTTAAAAAATAATAGTTAAAGATTAAGTGAAACTTTGCTCATTGAAGAAAAGCAAAAACAAAGGAATTGTGGGCAATATAAAAAGTATTATAACATTAATCTTCTTTACAATGAGTTTCTTCTATCAAAGACATGACAAGCTTGATCAACATGGGAAGTTTTATGGAACCAGTTATGATAGTCAAAATTCACAAAGCCTCTCCATGTGATGCACCAAGAACCCTCAACCTCACTACCAAACTCTCTCAAAACATCTTGTTTTAATTAAAAGGCTCTCAATAGCTAAATTCGTTTTCAAAAGTTGCACTTACCAGCCACCAGCCAAGGCGTTGCAACATTTAAGGACTATTCTCTTGATTATGTAAAAACAAGTTTAATGCATGCATACGTAAAAGTGTATTAAACATTAAATTTAAATATTTATACCACTTAATAATATTTCATATAAAAAATATTATATGATTTAATAGTTTAATTAATGAATTTTATATTTTACAAAAATGCAAAAATTTAATAAAATATAACAGAATCAGTTGATAATAAAGAGTAATCGTCTTTATTCGTTGATTGGGAGTAAACTAATAAAGATTAAAGCAGGTAATTAACTTTTATCGGACTTGGGGGTACAGGACTAAAAACCCATTAATGACAATTTGCTTAGTGTTTTAAAAGAGTATAGATAAAATCAAAGTGAAAATGTGATAGGTTGGGTCTGAAGGGTGGCAGCCCAATCCAAAGAGAGGAAGAAGAAAACAAGGGTCTAATGAGGTTCATATTCAGAGAGACCAATTAAGACGATGAGGTGTCAAAGAACAAAAATATGAGGCCTCAAATTGCTAGCCTTACGTTCTCTAACGAGTGTGTGTAGTGTACATTAAGGCCACCCTTGGCTTACCTTATCCTATCCAAACTCAACTCTTTTTGTTTTTCTATCTCTCCTCTCTCTCTTCTTTCACCCTCTTAGCTTCAATCCTCCATCTTCTTTTCCCATTCAGATTCTCAAAAACTCAAAATTACATACTTACTTCAACCTCCTCCTTTTTATTTATTATTACTACGTAATATTATTATTTTACTATCAAGCTCTGATAATTCTTGCTGTTTTCTTTATTTGAATAATCGAGAGTCTATGGACGGAGATTCTTCCCACTTCACATGCAGAGGGATTTTGTTTATTCGATGAATTCAACTATAGTTTTCTAGTTATTTCCGTCCAAAAAGAGGCTCTAGCCAAGTTACAAATTTCGGAAACATTACCAATTCAACTGATTTCATTGGAGTGCAATGGCTCCCAAAACTGGGAAAACCAAACCTCACAAAGCCAAGGGAGAGAAGAAGAAGAAAGAAGAGAAAGGTTAATTCATATTTTCCTTTTTGTTGTTATTATCATGAAATTAACACCAAAACGCTTATCCTTTGGGAATTGAAATTGCCATTGGCTCCTAATAAGAATTACATTACCCATTGCAGTTTTGCCAACCGTCATCGAAATTACAGTAGAAACACCAGACGAATCACAAGTTACCCTCAAGGTATGGCCTCTTCTGTAATTCCACTTGCTTCTTTAATGTTTACAACTCAAGCAATGACACTTGTTTTTATATTACTTTGGTGTGTGATATTAATTCAATGTATCTTTTGTTTATCGTGGGGAGGCAGGGCATCTCTACAGACAAGATCCTAGACGTGAGAAAGCTTTTAGCGGTACACATTGATACTTGTCACTTCACTAACTTCTCCTTATCTCATGAGGTACGCTTGAATAAATTACTGTTTTTTTCTAAATATTAAATAATTTTAAAGTTTTAAAATAAAAAATACTAAATATTTCATAAAATTTATTTTAGTTAATCCTTTTTGGATAAAATATAATTTATGCATTTTCTGAGTAATAAACAAAATTTTTAAGATTTTAGGTAAAATAAATTTGGTGAAAGACTACTTTTTCAAAAAATTTAAATTTAAAAAATTAAAAAAACTAAAATCACACTTAAATTGAATTAAAAGATAAAAAATAATTTAAATTAATAATTTGTTATAGAATGAACCTTCGGAAAAAAATATTTTTAGAAAATTGTTTTAGATATAAAGAAAATGGAGGAATTTCAACCGTGATTGGTGTGCAGTGACATTTTTGTAAAAAGAAAATGCCACGCAATTATAGAAAATTATAACAAACAGTTTAACTAATATATTAATTGTGTTATTAATTAAAAATTTTTAAGTACATAAAATAAAATCATTTTTAAAATAATTGAAGAATTTATCAAATAATAAAATTAATGAAATAATTCTTAAATTATGAATTACAAATTTTAAAACTATATAAACTTAGTTAAAATTTTAAAAATAATTCAGGGATAAATAAATTACTTAAATCGAATAATTAATAATATAGCATATCAATATAACTGTGTTATTAGCAATTAATAATATTTCGTTTTGAACTGAACAATATCTCAATAATCTACGAACCTATGCATGAAAAAAAAAAATCGATTTTTAGTAATTTAGCTAATAAAATGATAACGAACAAAACGGCTAACAGAGTGTTATGAACAGGTGCGAGGCGCGAGGCTGAAAGACACAGTGGAAATCGTGTCGTTAAAACCCTGCCATCTCACCATCGTCCAAGGTAACGAACACCATTAGCAAACCTGAACCCTCCGTATACGATAACTGTCTCCTCACGCACTTGTTTTTCATTTTCAGAGGACTACACAGAAGAGCTTGCAGTGGCGCACGTTCGGCGGCTCCTTGATATCGTCGCCTGCACAACCTCCTTCGGCTCCTCCTCCAAACCCCTCGCCACCAAATCCAAAGACCCCACCGAACCCGCTTCAGAAAATGGGTCGGAAACAAGCCCCAAACCCAAACCCAAACCCAAACCCAAAGCCGGGGACCCGAATTCGGAATCGGGCAATGCGAAACCCGAGAAAGTGGACGGTGACATCTCAATGTGTCCACCACCCAGACTCGGACAGTTCTACGATTTCTTTTCCTTTTCACACCTTACGCCGCCGTTTCACTGTGAGTTTGTTGCTCTTTCATTTTATTTGAATAAATGCAATTGGTTTGTGGAACTGGAAATGCATGCATGTTGCATTGCTAAAACGCCAAAACTATAGGGATCAAGTTTTATAGCTTCAATTGTTGTCGGAACTGGGAAATTTATTGAGTTCAATTTTGCGTTGTTAGCATTATTTTTTTCTTATATCACTCACTTATGCAGTTATGCACAACCCAATTTTAAGAAGAGAAATGTTAGCAACGCATGACATGTCAACTTAAGTAGCTGTGAGGATTAAATGTGAATAATTAAACAAGGAGACCAAAATCACACATAAATAAAAGTACAATTAATTCTTTATTTAACAAGCCAGAAAAAAACTGCAGTGCTAAGCTTCACGCATCCACCGCTTAACTAGAATGTAAATTTTGTGTTTGATTCTGCTTCTCCTTTCTTGGCTTTGTTACACTGGGATTAGCATTCTGATTCATAAATACATAACGATTTGTGCCTGTGGATTTTAGTTTGGTTGAATACTATTCAGATTGATAGTAAATTGAACTGAAGACCTGTTTTCATTAATATGCCTTTGTTTTTCTCGCAGACATACGAAGATCGAATCGTTCATTCCTTGAGGATAAGACAGAAGATGATTTCTTTCAGATTGATGTAAGAGTTATTGTCTTATTATGTCTACTATTCTAATTTCTTGATAGGCCACGTGCTATTTTGCTGCCTTCTCTTAAGTGAGCTTTGGGTCCATCTTTGATGTGAGATTGTTGTGCATTTGGCATGTGCAGGTTAGAATTTGTAGTGGAAAACCGACCACAATTGTCGCTTCTAGAATAGGATTCTATCCTGCTGGAAAACGTCTTCTTGTGAGTCATACTTTGGTGGGTCTTCTTCAGCAGATAAGCAGAGTGTTTGATGCTGTAAGTTTAAACTCATTAATGTTTTATACAGTTACTGCTGTAAAATATTTCTTGCGCATAGTAACTGTTTAAAAAGTCATAAAAAGTTAATAACTAAACATGAGTTCATTAACTTTCACCAACATAACTTTTTAATAACTAAAAACTTAAAAGGATAGAATTATGATTTCTAACAAAAAATGGGATGAAGAAATAATGAGTGTTACTATTTTAAAAAAAGATTTACTCTTTTTTAATTAAATTTAAAAATTATGGGGAAAGAAACTTCTAGTGTCAATGAACCTGATATAAAAATAAAAGTGTTGTCAAAACAATATAACGTTAAATGTTCTTGTGTCCAAAAAAAAATATATTCCTACCATTTTCTTTCTTTCTTTATTTTCAAATATGCCCCTTTTCTAACTTATTTTTTCCTCGTTTGCAGAAGAGTAAAGCTACCATCCTGTTGAAAGAATGGGACTTAACATAATGAAACAGACTGGAAACTAATAGCATGATTCTAAATTCATAAACATCATTTTGCATTTATGTGCCATTACTTTATATTGTATTAAGCACATAAGGAGAAAACCTTGAAAGTACAGAATATGATTGAGAGAAAGCGTGATTTCTCGTTACTGAACATTCAACAATTACATCTATATATACTGAGTTCACAGACAGCAACTGTACCGCAACAAACATAAAACAAAAATTAACTAATTAACTAATTAACTATGTAGTAACTAATAGCAGAACAATAATTAGTTAGTTGAATTGGTAAATTGTTGTATTGTAGAATTGGGCTAAACAATAGTCTATTATTTTTTGGCAGGCCTACAGAGCTCTTATGAAAGCGTTCACAGAACATAATAAAGTATGTACTTCTGATTGTAATATTTCAAACTACTCTGCTAATTGTACCAGATGATTTTACAATTATAATGGTGTCATTTCAGTTTGGCAATCTTCCTTATGGCTTTCGTGCAAACACATGGGTTGTCCCTCCAGTTGTTTCTGACAATCCATCGGTCTTTCCCCCACTTCCCGTTGAAGATGAAACTTGGGGAGGAAATGGGGGTGGACAAGGCAGAGATGGTAAGCATGATAAGAGACAGTGGGCCAGGGACTTTGCAATTCTAGCAGCAATGCCTTGTCAGACTGCAGAGGACCGACAAATTCGAGATAGGAAAGCCTTTCTGCTTCATAGTTTATTTGTTGACATATCAGTCTTCAAGGCAGTGTCCGCGATAAAGCATTTAGTAGATGTTAAACAGAACTCTTTAAGTAATTCAGCCATGCCAACTTCCTATGAAGAAAGAAATGGAGATTTAACTATTAAGGTGACAAGAGATGTATCTGACGCAAGTTTGAAGTTGGACTGCAAAAATGATGGGAATCGGGTTCTTGAATTGTCAGAGGAAGAACTAGCTCAGAGAAACTTGCTCAAAGGCATTACCGCTGATGAAAGTGCAACTGTTCATGTAAGTTAAATAAGTGTTGACGTCGTGAACCTATTATAGCACTGATGTGGGTTTTGTTTTTGATAAATTGTACATGTCTTTTGTTGTAGGATACTCCTACTTTAGGTGCCGTACTTATAAGACATTGTGGCTACACAGCTGTGGTAAAGGTTTCAGCTAAGATTGATTTGGAGGGGAGTCCTAATTCCTTGGAAATTGATAGTGAGGAGCAGCCTGAAGGAGGTGCAAATGCATTGAATGTTAACAGGTCATTTATTCTATCACTGTCTAAACCTATTTTGGTAAATCAAGGACCATCATGAGTACCTACTTCAAACTTAATTTTTGCATTATTTTCTATAAACTTTTGCCCCATAAAATTATAAAATGCTAACACCAACGGATAATGCAATAGTGACAATCTGTTTTAGTAGTTTTTTGGGAAATTAGCTTTTGCTTGACAGTGCTTTTACTTTTATGTTGTTAGTGGTAAATCTGGTTTTAAAAGTTGCTGATATGATTTTCTTTCCAAATTACCTCCAGCTTAAGGATGCTGTTGCATAGGTCATCTACACCCCAACCATCTAATGTTATTCAACGAATCCAAAACACAGATATTGAAAATTCACGTTCTGCTCGGCATTTGGTAAGGAATGTCCTAGAGCAAAGTTTACTGAAACTGAAGGAAGAAACCACTAAAAGTAGTAAGTCTATCAGATGGGAACTTGGGGCATGTTGGGTGCAACATTTACAAAACCAAACTACAGGGAAAACGGAACCCAAAAAGGGCGAAGAAGCTAAAGTTGAACCAGCTGTAAAAGGTCTTGGGAAGCAAGGTGGATTACTAAAGGAATTGAAGAAAAAGATTGATATCAGAAACTCCAAAGTTGAAGAAGGGAAGGATATTTCCACATGTAATGGCATTGACATAAACAAGCCAGAAGCCACTCAACAAGAATCACAGAGACAAGATGAAGAAAAGGAAACTATATGGAGAAAGCTGCTTCCAGATGCTGCTTATACACGCCTTAAAGAATCCAAAACTGATCTTCATTTGAAGGTTCATCTCCACTTTCTGACTCAAACGATGATTCGTTTTTCATAAGTCTGTAACTTTCTCCAGATAAAAAATAACAAGCTTTTGATTTCTAGTTAGCCATAATGTGCTCATTGGCTCAATCTATGTACTTAATTTTATGGATATACTTTTATTCACTACCTTCACCATCTTTGCAGTCACCTGATGAATTGATGGATATGGCACATAAATATTATGTTGATATTGCACTTCCAAAGCTGGTTAGTTTTTAATGTTGAACATGCTTTTATTTAAAATGATTTATTTTGGAATGTGTTTAATTATTGTGCCTTCACATTCTTAGGTGGCAGATTTTGGGTCCCTTGAACTCTCACCTGTTGATGGAAGGACATTGACTGATTTCATGCATACCAGGGGCTTGCAAATGTCTTCCTTAGGACGAGTGGTAATATTTTTAGGAGAATGCTAATTAGTGCCCTTTAGTTTACTAGTTGAAGAATCAAAAGTGAAAAGCTTTTATAGGAATGTGTAACATTTAATGTTACAAATGTACTCCAACCTTGATTTCCTATATTATTTATTTATACTTTAACTGGTATTCTTAGGGCACTTGTTACTTATATTTGACCATAACCTTCTTTAACTTATGCTATCAGTTTACCTTATATTTGACCATACCTTTCCTCCTTTAAATAACTCTAGCAGTCTTGCTCCTTAACCTTATGCAAAATGTAGATAAAATGTAAATAAAATGATGCTGGTACACTGGTTTGGCAAACACATTGGATAAAGAAAACTAACAAACTTGGTATCCCATTTGGAGGGATCAAATCAAATGCATGTTTGCTAGAGGTAACTCAAGTTTTGCACCAACTAAAAACCAAAAGTGACTAAAAACATTGTGTCTCTACTGACATGATGTTAATGCATCTCCATTCAAATGCTCAACTGTATTTTTATCTTGCTTATACATGAGTGGTCTTTTTCACATGTGCAATGTGTATTGATGTGTACATTGAGTGTTTCTAGATGTACATAGGCAACTTCACAAATAGTCCAATACTATTGTTGATTCAAATTCTGTCTACCAGGTTGAGCTTGCAGATAAACTTCCTCATGTGCAATCACTATGTATTCATGAGATGGTTGTTCGAGCCTACAAGCATATCTTGCAAGCAGTGGTTGCAGCAGTTGACAATGTTTCTGAATTGGCTTCATGTATAGCATCATGCTTAAATATATTGCTGGGAACACCATCACCTGAAACTAATGATGAAGATATTACTATTTGTCATGAACTGAAGTGGAGATGGGTAGAAATCTTCCTCTTGAAGAGGTTTGGGTGGCAATGGAAGTATGAAAGTGGCCAAGATTTGAGAAAGTTTGCCATTCTTCGTGGACTCTGCCATAAGGTAAAATAATAGACCACCCTTTAATATGCTAATATTGACCATTTTATGATTGTTATTTCAATTCGGAGAATCCTTTAACAGGTTGGACTTGAGCTGGTTCCTAGGGACTTTGATATGGATATAGCATCTCCTTTCAGAAAGACGGATATTGTGAGCATGGTCCCCATATATAAGGTGAAGTACATGTCATATTGACCTTTATGTTGGAAATTAATACTATTTTTCTCAAGCCCTAGTGAGAACTGAATTACAATTTCAATTATTTTTGCAGCATGTGGCTTGCTCGTCTGCTGATGGCCGCACACTATTGGAATCATCTAAGACTTCCTTGGATAAAGGTAAATTGGAGGATGCTGTCAACTATGGCACAAAGGTAAATAAATAATTTCTTCCATCTTACGATATGGTTTGGCCATGAAGCCAATAATCAAATGTACCAATATTTCGCATTGAATCTTGAAGGCACTTTCGAAATTGGTGTCAGTATGTGGGCCTTACCATAGAATGACAGCAGGAGCTTATAGTCTCTTGGCTGTTGTGCTGTACCATACTGGAGATTTCAACCAGGTGTGTGTCTTAATATCTTAACTGCTCTCTATTTAATTCATCTCTACTAGTTAGTGACATATGCTGTGAAAATTACAAGAGCTTTTATGTATTTTATTGGAGTAAAAATATGTACTTGGTTTGAAACAGTTGAGTTCTAAGCAAATAATAAATCTGTGTATTGTGTATGTACCATGTGTAAGAAAACTAAAACTCCATTAAAGGAGGCTTTAATTCTAATATAACAAATCTGTCTACTTTATCATCAGTTATATTTTCTAAAACATAACAATTTTTTTTTTAATTTGTTTATTTTGACTTGGAGGATAATTTTTCTCTGATAAATCTTTTTCCTTCTCTTGATACCATTTTACCTTTGTTATTAAAAAGTTGAAACAACTTAAAGAATTGAATTTTGCTACATCATCTAATGCATCCTAGATGACAGTATGACACTAGATCACTGAATCGTGTGTTAACTCCACAGTATCAAGTATGGGATATCATTTTCAATTTATCCTAATGCCAAACCTTTGAATTAATAACTATTCTTTGCTTTAGCTTAAACTTCAGTTAGTTATTATTGTCCTTTTCTGATCATGAACAACAAAAAGTGTTTAAGAAGTTGTGCAAAGTACATGGTATATATTTCACTATCCGCTGTATCTTACATTCATTTTTTTTAAAGTTATTTTGCTTAGTTTTAATAATACATATCATTTTCTATATTTATTATGAAAAAGTAAAAAAACAATATCAGGTTGGAGTGGAGAATACCTTGGGGATGGGACTAACTTTCTGAAGTACATTTCGGTAATTGCAAGCACTTTTAATCAATGATGGAGACTTGACTTTTTATTAAGTAAATAAAAAAAATAGACACCTAATGTTTGAGGAACATTTTGTATGAGTTGCTCGTGAAGGTAATTCCATTCATTTTCATCATAATAACTTTAACGGTGGTTTTGCTAGGCAACTATCTATCAGCAAAAGGCACTAGATATTAACGAGAGAGAGCTTGGACTGGACCATCCTGATACCATGAAAAGTTATGGGGATCTTGCTGTTTTCTATTATCGACTCCAACATACAGAGTTGGCTTTAAAGTATGCTTTCATACATTATATTCTTAATATGAAGATTGTTTGATTGTTATACCATGGCAATGTCCATCAAGGTTCTTCATGTGAGAATCCAGAGTCCCAGACCTGTGGGACTCTTTCTACCTCTGATAATAGAACTTTTGTGAAAGCATTAGAATTAATCGGAAGAAGAGGCTTTGCTGTTATGGATTATTTTAGTGGTTTTACCTAGATCAAGTATTGTATGTATTTCAGCAATGCCTGAAAGCTTTATCATAAAATTCCCTCGTCAAAATTACAGCACAAATGTAAATGATCATTAAGAACAATAAAACTTTACTTTTGTAAAAAATTGAGTATCTAGGCAAACATTCTAGAAAAGTGAAGTCACCAGAACTGGGTTAATCCTTTTTATTGTCTCATGAAATAATATTAATAAAATAGAAAGTGTAACAGGTAATCTTTAATGGTGTTCATCCTATATCATTTTAGGGCAATAAGGTAAAAGCAAATGGATTTGGGTGTCATCCAATATGAATTTATTGACTCAATTCCTTAAACAACTATTTTTGAAATTATCAGAATTCGACAGAAAAGGAGGGACTCTAAATAATTGATCGCATGCGTTAGATACTAACCACTAACATTTATTATAATACTAAGGATTAGTTATATTTTCCCTCAGTCTGGCTATATCATTAGGAAAACTCCTGTGAATAATCACATTATTATTTACATGTTTCTAGGTATGTCAATCGTGCTTTGTATCTTTTGCACTTAACTTGTGGACCTTCACATCCAAACACTGCTGCTACCTACATTAATGTAGCAATGATGGAAGAAGGCTTGGGGAATGTCCATGTTGCTCTCAGATACCTTCACGAGGCTTTAAAATGTAACAAAAGATTACTTGGAGCTGATCATATACAGGTTCCCTCTCATTCCTATCATGAACCTTACAAGCTGCTATTCCATGAGACTTCGTGTTCTTAAGCTGGTCTGATACAATGCTATACACTTCAAATTTGAGATTTTTTAAACTGAGCAGCATCCTTAGTTATATACTAATTGTTTATCGACTTGTTATGCTAATATAACTTTTGCCAAGATGATAAAGAAAATCTAATATCATTTGGTGACTAAATTGGGTTTCTAAGTTAATAACTTATGCATCCATTTTTTGTCAGAAGTTGTGACAGTTCAAATATATATTTAACTTAATTATTGATTCTTGGGAACAAATCAATCCAGCTTGACCTGAACTGTAGGACTGATTGGACTACCAGCTGACTGAACTAGTGGGTCAGTTAACCAATGGAATTCTTTCAATGATTAATTGGTAAACCTCTTTGGAGTGTGAACAAGTCAAACTAGAAGATCCAAAAACAACTAGTGGTGACTTTTACAATGCATTAAGAAGATTGAGTTGAGATCAATGACATTATGAAATTTGTTAAATATAGTGGTTTTCACTTTAAGAAATGTAATTTCATTCTAATAGTGGCACGTAAGTTTGCACAAATATTATACTCACTAAAACACGTGTTTTATTAATTTTTTAACTTATTCAGACAGCTGCAAGCTATCATGCAATAGCTATTGCTCTTTCTTTAATGGAAGCATACTCACTAAGTGTTCAGCATGAACAAACCACCCTCCAGATCCTGCAGGCCAAACTTGGCTCTGATGATCTAAGGACACAGGTAGTCTTACTCTTTGATGATAGATCAATATGTAAATAGTAATCCTTGTTCCTTATGCACATAGATGTGAATCTATTACAGGATGCAGCTGCGTGGCTAGAATACTTTGAGTCAAAGGCTCTTGAGCAACAGGAGGCTGCACGGAATGGTACACCTAAACCGGATGCCTCAATCTCCAGCAAAGGTCATTTAAGGTAGTCCTTATAATTAGAACAAGTTCTGTTTATGTCAGTATATCTAGTTCAATAGGTAGCTTTTCAGCCCATTTGAGGAAAACCATTTGCTATATGCATTTTGATTTAATCTGTGTTTGATTTTCCTTTGGTATATAGGGTAACAGATGTTTGGGCCCAATGTAAAAAGTTCCTCCTTTTTCACTTTTCTGTGCATTGCTATTGATCTGGGCTTGTTTTGCTCTCAGCTAGCTGCGCCCGCCCCCCCCCCCCCCTCCCTCTCTTTTAATTCTCTCTCAGAAATACCAACTGGAATGAGTTTAGACAACATGGTAACAGATGTTTGGGCCCAATGTAAAAAGTTCCTCCTTTTTCACTTTTTCTGTGCATTGCTGTTGATCTGGGCTTGTTTTGCTCTCAGCTATTTGTTGATCTGTGCATTTCTTCAAGACTTCTGATTTTAATTAAATCTATCTATTTGTTATTTTCTTCAAGTTCCTTTTAAATTTTATGACAAAATAAAAATGCCTTGTATCAGTGTGTCAGACCTCTTGGATTACATAACACCTGATGCTGATCAGAAAGCAAGAGAAGCACAGAGAAAGGCCCGTGCAAAGGTAATACATAACTTCTTCCCAGGATATACTTGTGAATGCTTACATACATTGCTGTATTACTTAATCTACTTGTTACATTCTTTTCCTATCTTTTTCTGAAAGAACCTAAATTATCATGCATCTTACAGTTAAAGGGAAAACCAGGCCAAAACTGGGAAACAGCTTCAGATGAAAATCAAAAGGATGAAGACATGTCTCAAGATTATTCAATTACAGAGACTACAAGTGATAAAGAAAATAAATCTGAAACTCAATTTGAAGAAAATGGAATTGACAATGTTGAGTCCACTCACTTAGACCAAGCAATGCTCAGTGAAACTAATAACCTGCCACAGGATGACAGCTCAGATGAAGGATGGCAGGAGGCTGTTCCCAAAGGTCGTTCACTCACTGGGCGTAAGTCATCTTCATCAAGGAGGCCTACCCTGGCAAAATTGAATACTAACTTCATGAATGTTTCCCAATCATCAAGATATCGGGGCAAGCCCACCAACTTCTCTTCTCCAAGAACAAATTTAAATGAGAATATTGCTGGGCCACCCCCTCATGTTCCGAAAAAGTTTGTTAAGAGTGCAAGCTTCAGTCCTAAGCTGAATGGCACCAACGCTCCTGCTACTGGAGCAGAGAAGTTAGCAGACTCAAAGTCAGCTCCCACCAGCCCAGCTCCAAGCGATCAAAGCGCTAAACCAGCTCCTGCTGGCAGTGGTGTCAGTGTCCAGTCAGCAGGTAAGCTGTTCTCTTACAAAGAAGTAGCCTTGGCCCCACCAGGAACAATTGTGAAGGCAGTGGCTGAACAGTCACCAAAAGGAAATCCTATTGTTCAACAGAATCCTGAGGTGAGTCCCATGAGAGTTGCAACAAAGGAGACTCAAAATAATGTGGCAGCAACAAATGATGTGGGAGATTATGCTCATAAATCAATTGATGAGAAACAGTCAAGCACTGTCCATGAAGAACATAAAGAGAAGGAACCGGCAGTGGGGAAAGATAATAAAGAAACAGTAAATATTAGTACGGCCAGAGATGAGGCTGTTGAAGTTAAACCCCTTGAAGAAAACAATGTTACTGTGATAGAAAAGAAAATTGAAACTGGAAACGTCACTGTTACGGAGGTTGAGAATTCTGGGGTTTTAAACAATATAAACAACGGTGCTTCTAAAGGTGCATCAGATATACAAGTGCACGAAAGTAGTCAAGCAACTTCCCACAATATAAATACCCTAACCATTTTAGTCGAAGATGAAAAACAGTTACTTGACAATGATGCCTCTGTATCAAAAGATAAGGTTACTGAGGAGGATGGGAAACAACATGAATTCCCCAGTGATAATACAGTTAGTAAGCCACTTCCATCAGAAGGAGAAAAGCAAGAAATAGAAACAGGAAAGGAATCAACCAAGAAACTTTCTGCAGCTGCACCACCATTTAATCCATCCACAATTCCAGTTTTTGGATCTGTTCCTGTTCCAGGTTTCAAAGATCATGGAGGTATTTTGCCCCCACCAGTAAATATTTCTCCTTTGCTTCCAGTCAGTCCCCGAAGATCCCCACACCAGTCAGCAACAGCTAGGGTTCCATATGGTCCACGAATATCTGGTGGCTATAACAGATATGGGAACCGTGTTCCCCGGAATAAAACTGTGTTCCACTCTGGTGAACATTCCAATGATAGTAACCCCAACAGCCCCCCCAGGATAATGAACCCACATGCCACAGAGTTTGTACCTGGTCAACATTGGGTACCCAACGGTTATGTAGTGCCTCCTAATGGATACATGGCTTCTCCAAATGGCATTCCAGCGTCTCCTAATAGTTTTCCCCCAGTGTCTCCCAATGGTATGCCAGTTTCACCCAGTGGATATCCTGCCTCATTAAATGGTATCCCAGTGAATCAAAATGGGTTTGTAACATCTCCAACCACTTCAACTGATTCAGCACAAGTTGTATATGTTGAAACTGATCTTGAAAACAGAAATCATGCTCTAGATGAGGAAAATAAAGATGCTTTCTCAACAGATGTGAGTTCTGAAAAGCAGCAAGTTGAGCAAACTACTAAAGAAGAACCATCTGCCAGCAATGAAAGTTCTTCTCCTAAAGTAGAAGAAAAGCAGGCAGATCTCATGCCCTCAGCTGGTTGCAGTAAAGAGGATAAAGTAGCCAACAAGGACACAGAAGATGAGAAAAAGCCAACCAAGTGTTGGGGAGATTATAGTGACAGTGAAGCTGATATGATTGAGGTCACAAGTTAAGGAATGATAAACTTTTCTAAGTAAAAAGGAGAAAAAAAAAAATATTGCAGGGGTTTAATGCCTATCAAGATACCAGATGCCAGGGATTAACTGGACTGAGGTCTTTGATCTGAATTTTCATTGCAGAACTGATTACTTATAAGGAAATGTGAAAGTTTCATACATCTTGGTACATATACGTCCACTAGGGGTTCTAATTTACACCATGTTTCCGGAAGAAGGTTGCCATGAGTCATGACCGCGGAAGGGGAAGGCTTTGTTGAGCAGCTAGCTATTTGGCAATATATCTTGAATTGTTTTAATCTTTTCCTGCTATTTGTTTGTTAAAAATGGAGTTGTAGCTTTGAGGGCATAATACTTTGACGGCTGATAACTAGGTTGGAGTTGCGCGAAAATAAGGTCTCAATTTTCAGGCCCGTATTTGGTTTTCCGAGTTGTAGAAGTAGCCCTTACATCTCTAGGAATTTGTTCATATTTTTATTTTCTAATGGCATCTTTCATATGATGAATAACAATATTTGGCAGTAAATATGCCTGGCTTGAAAATCAGTAAGTAATTTTAGGTGGAGGGAAACACGGTTTACTTCAAATCACCTCTTAGTGATTTCTCAAATTTACAGTTTTTTCCCTCGTTAAATAATATTATTTAGTTAATAATTTTTAGGAAATAAATCTTCTCTTTAGATCACGTTATTACCGCCAGTTTATGCTGAAAAGGAGTTAAGAATGCATTTGATGGGTAGGGTCAAAACAGCAAATCTAGCTGTATTTATTTCGCTTGCCTGCATCTAGTACAACAGAATAAATGATAATATATATACATGAACTAAGCCATTTCTTCAAATATAATAATAATAATGCTGACGACTACTGGCATTTGCAAGCTTTGAGAAATGTAATTAATGACTACTAAATTGGGCAGGTGGGTGATCCTTGTCGAAATTCCATTATGACTAGGGTGGCTGCTGTATGTGTAAGAGCCCCAAGAATAACAAAGACATGAAATATCTGATGACTGTGCCCTGCAATATCGAATGCTCCTGGCTTCCAGCGTTCTGGTATTCTTGTAACGTAAAACACAGCACCTGTGCCATATAGAATGGCCATTGCTAGCTCATATCCGAGTGCAACAAGAACATGAGGGTAGCCCCAATGGCTTATAAGAGCATGACCTGCGGGAATGACACCTGAAAAGCCCATGGAGAGGAATACAGATGCTCTCAAGTGTCGTAAGTGAGGTAAAGAAAGTGAGGGGGCAAGAAGGGTAATGATAGCCAGCACCCCAACCACAGTTATTGACGTCAAATAGAATAACCTTATGTAAGGATTGCAGAAAAATATGTAGTAAATTGGAGCATAGAAGGAACACACTATCATAAGAGAAATCCCTGCATAATCTAAACGCCAAAAAAACACGTTGAAGCGTTTGGAGTGACATGCCATAAGATGAGAAAGAGAACTGAAAGCCAAACACCCCATTCCTCCAGCTAAGAAAACGAACCACGGCCATCTAGGAATTGTTTCTGCACCACTTTCTCTCATCTCATGAATGAAAATGTGCCTCAAATACGAATTCTGAAAAACAATTAAATTAATTCTTTAGTTATCTTAGCTCCCATAATTCGTCATTAATAATAAGAATGGAACTTGAATTTACTTCTTTTCTTTCCAGGTCAATTATCTATCTAGGTTTGGACTGCTAAAGTTTATTACATGTTTTAGTAAACTGCTAATCAAAAGTAAACTTAATTCTAAAATTTCCAAACTAAACAGAAACCTCATATCCACAAGTATAAGCAACCCCTCCAACTATGTGAGCATCAAATTTCAAAATAATTAAAAATAAGGGCAGTGTCGATTAAGTTGTTGGAAACTTTTTTACGTGTAGTTTTGAACAAAAAGTGGGGAAGACTTTCGTTTCATCCTTAACAGGGCATGTAGAAGTTGCGAGCACAGCATGCTTACTTGCACCAGCCTATCAAAGCACAGTTGTCAAACTATTATTTATTAGGGTCGTTTGTACGTATCCCCGTCTACTCATTTTATTCAAACTAGAAAATCGAATATCCCATTACAACAGTAATAAAAGGTTAAAATATGATAAATATTTTTTAATAAAAAATATGTATTGATTATTTAAATTCAACTTGAAAACTAAAGTTAACAAAGGTGGATATATTATATTTTCAAAGTGATGCTAAATTTATTGAAACATGCGAAGCAGAACCAAAACGAGAAACGTAAATAAAGAAAACAAAAACATGAGAAGAAAAAGAACAAACCAGGAATGGAGTGGTGTGAGACTCAGAACCGTTGATCTCCTTTCCGTTGGTAAGCAACCTCATCGTGGGTGCCCTGGTCCCACCAAACACGAAACGACAATATTTTAATGTCACCTTCTTCTCTCCACAAAAACACACCCCAAAACGACTTCAGACAATCATATTAATGCATACCTGAAGACATTCCAGAGAAAACCATCGTTCTCCATCGTGCCCGTGAAGCTCATCACCGTCATCGCCCCAAATATCAGAAACCCAATCAAATGGCTGAACCCAAAAATCAAACGCATATGAAACAAACACATTGTATATATTCACGGATAATGCATGAGACCATGAATTTAATTGCTTACGTCCAAATGTTTAGGGTTTCGTTGTGCCACATGAAGAGGCTCCACAATGCTTCCTTCACCGACCATTCTGAACGGTAATGGTCTAGGATGAATTCGTTGTCTTTCAGGTACTCCGGCAACTCCTCGAACTTCACCAATCGCCGTCCCAAACTCTCTTCCTTTTTCTTCGCCATCATCGCTCTGCTTTTCTTGTTTTTTCCGCTCCGGTGATGAACGTTCATCATCGGACCGGAAAACCTAACCCTGATTCGTTTTCCGGCGAGAATGTCGCCGGCTCTTTGTTCTTCCTCACACCTTTGACACATTCATCGCTTTTTCGTTGCTTCTATTTATACCCAACGGACAATGCCGTGCAAAGTGTGAACCATCTTATGATTATCTTTTTTGGAAAAAAATGATTGGTAGTAGTAATAGAATCGTAGGGAAATAGGTTACGTGGCAGGGATTGATGGGGTTTGAAGGAAGTCATTTTGATAAGTAAAAACAAAGATAAATGGTAAATTCTAAATATGTTTTAGATGGGACTTGAAGCCAAATCTAGTGACTCATATTCTAGTTTTCTATTAAGGAAAGAGGATTCACGTTTTGTGAGAAGGTGAAGAACGAGGATTTTGTGAACAACAAAATGTGATTAAGCAAAGTTTTCAGAGTTGGCTTCAGAAGCATGATGAGTAGTCATGACTTGTGTGTATAATCCATTTTTAGTTGGTTTTACAATCATTGGCGTGATCATATCATTTAAGCTACAGACCAATCATACATGTTTGTTATCATTTATGAAGTGTCAAAGTTATAATTAGACGTGTCACATAGTTAAATGTAATTCCTTTTAAACTTGCATTTATGCTTATGAATTTGGGAATAGTAAGCTTCACCTCAATTTCTAATTTGATATAAATAGTAGGGTCTTAAATATCATTACTTTATCATCCTACTTCAATAATATTGATAAAATTTAGGTATGACTATAGATAGAAGTAAGTGTTAAGCATTAAAGTTAACGCAAAATTACTCATGTCATTATTACTTATATGTATATTTTTAAAATATTAACAATAGTGATAAAATCAAGGTATGACTATAGTTAAAAGGTCAAGTGTTGAATATTGAAGTTAATACAAAATCACTCGTGTCATTAATACTTATATCAATTATATATATATATATACATACATATAATAGCGATAAAAATGCTTGTCACTTTTTTATCTATTTATCTACACAAAAAGATGTTTTATTTATTAGACATAATCAAATTGACATGCAGTGAGAATTAGTCTAAGGAGATGTCACTAGGTAATTATTAGAAAGCATGATTTTGTTTTTCATTTTGTCAAAATGATAAAGTTATTGAAGTGGAAGGATAAATAAATGAAATTTTTTTTAATTATAATTAAGAGTGTTTATGGTTCGATAAATTTAATTAACCCAAGAAATTGATCCAAAAATAAACAAGTTGGTTCAATTTTTTTTTTATTTAACTAACTTACAAAGTACCAAAATCTATTATTATTATTATTATTATTATCCACACAAAATAAGGAATTTAGATAATATTGTATTTTTTTTTTTACATCAATTGTGTTGTTAAATAATCTAAAATGTTACTTATTACATTGGTAGTTGTCTTTATCAATTTAAAAGGTTTAAACTAATTTTTCAAATGTTGCATTTGTTTTATTTATTTATTTATTGGACATATGTTTTTCCTAAATATTACATAAATTAAAATTTAAAATTTATAATAAAAAAGTCAAATAGAAAGTAAAATGGAAAATAAACAAAAAATATAACGAAAAATAAAAATAAAGCACAAACAAAAATCATGATCACCTAATCAATTGTTTAAAATACATCAAACAAAATTGATGAACGAACTCATGCCTAATATATTGCCTTCAAGCCTAACTAATTACCCGTGAACAATTAATAGATAGCTTTATATCGACTCCATGAAATTCAACCTTATTTTGTTTGACCTCTCTCCTCTTAGACACTCCCAAATCACTCTTAAACGCTTAACCACACATAAAAATTACCAAAATCATACTACATTAAACGCTATGGTTACATCACCACTATTTAAACATTATTTTAGGGTTAAAATTAAATATAAAAAGAAAAAAAAATAGCATTACCCTGCATTTATCATTAGCCCCAGACCGCATCTTTCATATTTTGATTAAATAGCTTTTAGTGTTGAAGTTGTAAATTTTTTCTTATAAGATTTTCTCTATGATTTCTTTCTTCTTGTTTTGTGGAAGAGTGAGACATCCATCAAAATATTCCTTGCGAAAAGAAGTTCATCTTGGGTGAGATGTCTTTGAAGAGAAATATTTTAATTTGAACTAGGCATCCCAGTGCTTGCGAAGAAACATTATAATTGCTTTGATTTAGGTTAAAATCTTAAGCTTTACTCGAGGACTTGACATAGGTCACAACTAATTGGTAACCAAACAACGATAAATTATGTTCCATATCTTTAATTTTCTCTAAAATTGGTAAATTCTAAAAACATTTTCTTCTCTCTGTCATCTATTTATTTATTCAATTTTTGGAAGCATAGGAGTAAACCTTTCATTATGATTATTTTAAGTAATATGTAAATAGTCTACTTTTTTTAATGTTAAACTTTGGGGTTGTTTGAGAAGAGATTTTTGGAGGAAAAGGAACAAAATGACATTTTTTTAATTTTAAATTACAAAAAGTATATATTATTTATGATGACAAATATATTATTAATACATTAAATTTTTATTAATATATTAATTTATATATTTTATTTTTAAAAAATATTAATTTTAAATATATTTATTTAAAATATAAATCTATGCCCTCTTCTTCAAAATCTCTCTTCCCAAAGTATATGATAGAATGTTATTTTGTGACTAAATTGTGAAATTATTAGTTTGTTGTGTTGATAGACCTATCAATTTATACTTTAAGTAGGCTGATTTTTCTGTGATTATTGTAGGATGTAGTGATAATCTGTCGAGAATATATAGTCATTTATGTTAAACAATGAAGGCGACACACCCGTGCTTAAGTTAGCACACATGTGTATAACTAAGTCTCTCTGTTAAATATTGAAGGTCCAATAAAAGCATTTTCATGTATTATTATAATGGTAGTGAATGAAATTGAAACAAAAAGCTTTGATTTAGAACCATCTCACACTCAAAACTGGTCATTTATATACAGTGTCTTTTGGATAAATGGTTGAAAGGAAGAAGATGCTGACAACTCTATCTTGCACAACAATAATAGGCTAGTGGCAATCTCATTCAAACACAATGATGACTAGCAAAGCGCAGAGCAATGCGATTCAGATCAAGTAGAGGGTGGCTCGCAGGATTCTGACATAAGTGGATGGTAATATCTGGATCAGGGATGCATGGTGGTTGGATTTTGTTTTACAATCTCGAGAAGCACAACATCTAGTTTGGTGTGGTGGTAGTTATAGGTTCTCAAGCTTAGAGCATCAACTCAGCGGTGATGATAAGGCCTTAATGATCACCCTGTGGTGGTCCTTCATGAGGTTCAGCGGTTGGAATGGAATGAGTTTGTATATTTTAGCAATGAAGTAGTGGTTCTTCGAGGAAGCGATTTTGGCTGGTAACATAAGGAGCTTGCAACTTAGGATTGTGGTTAGAAATCACTCTTTAATACTTACTTTACAGAGCATTTAGTAACTACTTCTAAAAGTTAGTCACTTTGTATAACACTTCTTAAATCATTTGTATTTGCTCTCATAAGTCATAACTAACACGAAACTTTTCTCTAACTTCTTTTTTGGCATAATGTTGCATATGAGAATATTGATTTAGTGATGATGAATGTTTGAGATTTAGTCATATAGAATGACTTAAATAAATACTCCCTTCAGCCTTATTTATATATAAGAAACAACTATCACTATTTTTTTTCTTCAAAATATTAAAAATAAATATCTATTTTCCTATGCATTAATTGGTAATCTCTTTCCCTTATCTTATTTATTAAAAGATTTGTATTAAAAAATATACTTACCCATTAACTTGACTATTTATTACCATGACTATTCTTTTAATATGCTATAAATTTATGACACATAATTACTTTTTATTGATATTGATGAATTAGATTTTTGTTTCTAATAAAAAAAATATTCATGATGCAACAATTGAAAAGTAACCATTAATAAAGATACAATGTATTTATGAAGAAATGTAATTCCTTATCAGCAATTTTTGTTAGAACTGTTAACAAAAATTCTTTAAAATTGCTAAAACAAAGTTTTGTTTTGTTTTTTTAAATATTTTCCATAACAATTCTTTTAATAAGGAGTTTTGTTTTAAAAAAATTTCTTATCAATAGTTTCACAGTGAACTACTAATAGAAGGCATTTATGTGGTGTATATTTGTGGTTTGAAAAATAAGCACCGTTATATGTGTGGATTATTAAATGCCAAATATGACAGACATATATGGACAAGAGTGTTTCAACTGGGTTGTCTTCCTCCACTCAATCCTTACCGGTGATGTTAGAGCAGTAAGAAGTAGGTATGATAAGAAGGAGTGATGCATGTAACTTAAAGTAATCTATATTCTAATTAATGAAAAAGTAATAAAATCAGACATTCTTCTAATTAATTAGTATACTCTATATAGTTAAATGTAGAGGGTGTCAAAGTGGCTTTTAGCTCATTAGGTGATCCACGCTGTCTTCTGTTTGAAAATGGGCGATGGTTTGTTTACCAAATCTTTCCTAAACAGGGAACCATGATAATGCCATCCTCATCAGTCAATAATTAACTTACATATAAAGTCAACCGCTACTTACTGCTGCTACCATCTAATCTTTTAATCCTAAAGTTTCAGCAGAGATCCAACAATACATTCACAAATTATGTAAAATTAGGCCACCCCTAAGCCTAAAAATTAAGGAAATGATTAGATATATACCCACGCAAAGTGTATACATTTAATTCAAAATTAAAAAATACACTATACAAGTACAAAAATAAAACCATGGAATGAGGCGTTAGTTACACCTATATGGTGGAACTGCTGAGCGCTCACATTTTATTTCAAACGCTCTGGCGTAACATTATATATGTATTTCTATTTGAAAATTACAAATTTCTTTAAGATTTATTCATCATATTAACTAGATGTGTCGTATACATGTTACTGTACGAAGGGTGATAGCTGTAATGCTCAGTGAAACTTGTCCAATCTTTAAAACTTCAGCTTCAACCAGCTTTTGGTTTATAAAAAATTAACTTGCAAGTGATAAACACGAGGATAACCAAGCAGAAGTTTTGGCAGCAGTAAATACTGAATGAATGTTAATTATATATTAAAATTGTTTATATTAAGCTATTCTTTTATATATATATATATTACGGACAATTACTAAAATAAATTATTTCCTCCATCGGATAAACTTTCGGAAATGCTTCATTGGTGATGACATTTTATTTATTGTTTAAAATTTGCAAAACAAAATTTTCAAATGACCGAAAGGAACAGCAGATAGAACTAATCCTAACCAAGCATGGATGACAATCTCCTCATCCTTGACTCCTTCTTGTGCTAACCCCTCATCTCTCTAACCTTATCGAATTACTTTATGATAAAATTGGCAATAAACATATCTTAAAAAATGTGGGAAAAGTGACAAAAACGTAAACTAAACAAAACTGTTAATGTGGGAAGAAAACAAAGGAAAAGCTTATTGAATATAAAAAAGAGTGTAGAAAGCAGATACATCAAACCGATTGAAAGGCACATGACACAAAAAATGAAAAGAAGACAAGGAAGAAGAATTTAGCATGAGAGCCGGTTTGATTAAGAGACGGCCAGAAGCAACGATCCTTAGCCGGCAATCCCTTATAATTGCCATTTGCCAGCACAATCTATTCTAACCCCATTCTTTTTCCCTCTCTTTAAAACCCTCTTCATTGCTTCATTCTACCACTAAGTCTTTATATTCTTTTCTTTCAATTCCGCCATTAGTATCTCTGCTTCCATGGCCAAACTACAACACACTCAGAAAATCAACGCAAACACTAACAACAACCTAAACCCAACTAACACTGTCACCACCAAGGTCAAACGAACCAGGAGAAGTGTCCCTAGAGATTCCCCACCTCAGCGAAGCTCCATTTACAGAGGAGTCACTCGGTTAGGTCCCTTGTTGCCTTTCTATTCTCTCTCAAGTCTCAGCTAAATATTTGATTTTCATGCTTTCCCGTTACACGTTTTCTCTTATATATTCACTTTTGAGTAAAATTGGTGTTGATTGAACCAAGATCAGGCACCGATGGACAGGCCGATATGAAGCTCATTTGTGGGACAAGAATTGCTGGAATGAGTCACAGAACAAGAAAGGACGACAAGGTTTCATGCCCTTTACTTCATACTAATTACTAGACATCTTGGTATTTTTTCTTTCTATTAATTAGCTATTATACTCAATTTTTTTTTTTTTGTGTGTGTGTTATGGCAATGGTTCTTCACATGCAATTACTTCAGTCTACCTTGGTACGTATTTGTATTGTAAATTATTACAACAAACAAAATCAAAAGAATGATCCAAAGTAATTAATTAAGGATGCTGCGTTTATATATTTAAGGAGCTTATGATGATGAAGAGGCAGCAGCACATGCTTATGATCTAGCAGCATTGAAATACTGGGGTCAAGATACCATTCTTAATTTTCCGGTATTGTGATATTGGTGTTTTCTTAGTGAGTTTTGTGTAATTAAGAAAAAGGAAATAAAACACGGCACGTACATTTTATTTTCAATTGTAGCTATCGAGCTACCAGAATGAACTGAAAGAGATGGAGGGTCAATCGAGGGAGGAGTACATTGGATCATTGAGGAGGTAATGCCCTTCTTCCTTCTTTGATTTGATTAAAGTTATAGCCTTGTATTTACAACTTGTTTTAAAATCAATTACATATAATTTCCAGGAAAAGCAGCGGCTTTTCTCGTGGAGTTTCTAAATACAGAGGCGTTGCAAGGTACTCTATATGTATGCAATTATATATTATCATTTTGTATTTATGTACTTTACGAACTGAAAATCAATTTTTAATGTGCGGATAGCCAATTGACTCTGATTTGCATTGTTCAGACACCATCACAATGGAAGATGGGAGGCTCGGATTGGCAGGGTTTTTGGCAACAAATATCTTTACCTAGGAACTTATGGTAAGCCTTCACTTTGAATTCTCCACCTAGCAACGAAGTAAAGATAAAAATGGTGACACCAATCCTAACTGATTTCTTAACCTAACCTTCAATTACTTATACAAATGATAATGACATATATACATTAATTTAAATGGATATATGTCATTGAATATATCCATTTACTTTGAATTCTCACAGCAACCCAAGAAGAAGCTGCCACAGCATATGACATGGCAGCCATTGAATATCGAGGACTCAACGCCGTTACAAATTTCGACCTAAGCCGTTATATTAAGTGGCTTAAGCCAAATCACAACAATAACAACATAACTAGCTCTAATAATCTTATTGAAGCTAACCCTAATTATAACACCAACTTCACCCCAAACCCTAATCATGAGCAAGGCTTCAAATTCTTCCACCCTCGTGAACAAGAGTCATTCAATAATGGAGAAGACGCTACAGCGACTCAGCCTCGGCCAGCTTCTGCCACGTCAGCCCTAGGACTTTTGCTTCAGTCATCCAAGTTTAAGGAGATGATGGAGATGACATCTACCGCCGATTTGTCGACACCGCCGCCGGAGTCTGAACTGCCGTCGTGCACATTTCCTGATGACATTCAGACGTATTTTGAATGTGAAGATTCTAACAAATATGGAGAAGGGGATGACATCATGTTCAGCGAGCTCAACTCCTTTGTTCCCCCAATGTTCCACTGTGATGATTTTGCGGCTTGATGGCCTGGTGGTTCAATTGCACCTGGAAACAAGAAAGATTGATGCAATTTTCTTGTTGATCCATTTTTCTAATCGATAATGTAGGCTTATTTCTCAGTTTGTGAATATGAAGGAACATTAATTTGTGACGAGAAAAGAAGAAGATTAAACATTTTGGGGAATTGATCTTGCATGTTGTTCATTTGTTGTAGTTGTAAAGAAAATAAGCAATTGTTTTCAGTCTTGTATCGTTTCCTACTTTCCTTAATTAATATTATATCAAATTATTTTGCTTTATGTCTTCCTTTTTAAGATATTTATTATATCAACTCTCTTTCATTTTATCTCATTCATACGATTAACGTCTGAGGAGGAGATATAAGTTATATATATGTCCCATAGTATCTCCCGTCTACGGTATTTAAAAATTTTGGTTGATTTTATTTTCTTTCAAATATAATTTATTTATTTTAGTTTTACATTTCATTTTTCTCTATATTTCAAATATATGTCTTAATTCTCAAACCACAGTATTTTTTAGAATTATCTTATATAAGAGTACTTTTTAAGAGATTTTTTAATCTTTAAAAACATGTCTCTTTAAATTAATCTTATTTAATATAATTATATAATATATCTACAATTTTCTATTTTAAAAATATTTTTATTTAATAGTAAGCGTGTAATGTACAATAAATTTTAACTATAAAATGCATCTATATCAAATTAAAGATTTTTTTTATATAAACCAAAATTTAAAGTTATTATAATCTTATGTAATGCTAATTTTTAAAATTTAAATATTAACGTACTAATAGATAAATTCAATCACAATTTAAATTTTTAATGTTTCTTACAAATTAATTCATTTGTTACGTGGTAATCGGGCATGATATAATAAAATATTTGTTATAAAAATAAAACATTTAATATAAAAATATCTTACATACTATAATTTTATTAAAATAATTATTTTAAAACAGGAGATAAACACCTAATAATAGTAAAATTTTATTAAAAAAATATTTATTATATTTTTTCTTAAAATTTTTTATTTGTAGATACTTAACTCTAAAACTGAAATTAACAAAATCCTTAAAAAAAGAAACGGGGGTGCATGGTGGTCACGTGACTCCAGTGGCTACCGTGGTAACAGTGGTTTCTGTCGATGAAATGGGATACATTATATTATAGCATTACTAAAGAACAGACATGCCTTACGCACCAGGCAATTAGTTTTCCTCTTTATGGTTTTATGCTTTATGGTTGTCATTGCTACCTATCCCTGTTATCATGTTATCGTTAATCAACCAAATATAAAATATTCGCCTTAATGCTCCTTCACTATTAGAAAAATGTGCAGGTGTTCAGGATTCATGTGAACAATGGAGTAAGAAAAAGATTACAAGCAAAACCATACAAATTCTTATATCATGGACTATGCGTTTTTAGCCCAATAACTAAGGCAAGCATCCAAAATTGCTGCACATGAATGAACAGAAACACAGCAAGTTAAGGATCATCAAGGTATAACCTATGCCATGGGTGTTTTATGTAAGTCATCTACACAAACAAACATAATCTTTCAGTTTAAGAAAAGGTTTCTGACAAATTAGCAGAGTATCAAAGTTTGCCTCTTGTCTGTCGATAGTAGACACTGGAGGCTTTGTGTGGATAGTTAATAGTAAACTAATACTAATTCAAAATAAAGTTCATGTTACAAAAGTCCCTAAAACATAACGTTATAACCCTGTATTTTCTCAAGGTTCCCGCAACATCTAACTATTTCTTAATCCCATTGAATTCAACCCAGAAGAGAGTTAATCAGGTTGTGCATTTAACTCCTTACATCTGTTTTCTTCTTGTTCATTTTACACACTTGTACTACGTGTAAGCTCAGAGGATTCTCTCATTTTAATTCCCTCAATGTTTGCTAAGAAAAAGCTAATTTGGGGCGATATCTACTTTTGCAGCATTTGAGCAATCGAAAGAAAACATGCGCATAACTTTCATCCCAGGAGAACTACAAGACCTATGGGATCTTTGGGGCCTAGAAATACTAGTGCTATTGAGTTTCACCATTCAAGTGATCCTCACAGTGTATGGCAGCCGCAGAAAGGACATCCCAGGTATGAGGATAAGGTTCACAGTTTGGTTCAACTATTTGCTGTCTGCATCCCTTGCAAAAATCATCATAGGCAAGCTCACAGTAATACCTGAAAGCGATCCAAGCGAACGCAATATAAGACGCGAACTGAAGGCATTGTTTGCACCATTACTTCTTGTGCAAATTGGAAATCCAGATGCTATAACTGCTTACTCAATTGAAGATAACAGACTAGGACTGAGGCAGTTACTTAGCCTTGTAGTCCAAGTGGGTGTGGTAATTTGGATTATTGTAAAGAGCTGGACACATTCACAACTATCTTATCTCTACCTACCATTGCTTACTTCTGGACTAATCAAGCATGGAGAAGTTGTTTGGGCTCTGAAATCAGCACTTAGTAAAAGATCAGGCATAATCACTATTCAAGAGATTGACCAAGAAGCCAACATGCCTGCTTTATTCAGATTCCTCCCTGAGGATATTCCCAACATTGAGTTGATTTTAAAGGCTTATTATCGCTTTATCTCTTTGAAGCCTCACCGTGAGAACTGGCTCTACCAGCCTCTCTATGAATCTCTCCCCCAAATGTCAATAGATGAGTATGCACCAGAGGACATCTTTAAGATCACAGACGCAGAACTGAGCTTTATGTATGATGTTTTGTACACCAAAGCGCCTATAATCTACACCAAAGCAGGTTGTATTCTTCGTGTCCTTAGTTTTTCCAATTTAGTTCTAACTTTGTGTGGATTTTCAGTTATATTTAGACAAGACTTTTCACGCCATTGGAAAGCGTGTTTTATAGTTGGAGTCTTAGGAGGAGCTGTTCTTATGGAGGCATACCAGATTGCACAGTTACCCTTTTCAGATTGGGCCATAATTCAAATGATCAAGCACCAAAATCTTCCACTTATGATTCCATGCCTGAGAATTCTTGGACCAAGAGCTAGCAATTGGAAAAGGTGGTCAAATACGTTGCCACAGTTCAACTTGCTGAGCTTTTGCATCCATGACAAGCCATTAAAGTGTGGGAAAATTCTAAAATTCAGGGGGATTGAAATGGGGTTGAGGAAGAACAGGTGTAGGACACGCATAAAATTTCCCCATGAATTGAAAGCTATGATGGTTCAAGAAATGAAAGATATTGATGGAGATAGAAGACTAAAGCCCTTCAACCAAAGAGGGGAATGGTCACTTGGAAGGTATGGTTGTGTCAATGATTTAAAATGGAGTGTTAAAAGAGATTTTGACAAGAGCATTACCATATGGCACATTGCAACAGATATATGCTATTATTCAGATGCTCAATGCCACATGGCAGACACCAATGTCGAAATGGTCAAATTAATGTCAAATTATATGATGTACCTTCTAGCTATGCGTCCTCATATGCTGTCCACCACCACTGCTAAGATAACATTTCAACACGCCTGTGACAAGCTCAAGGCTTTGTTGGTACAAAAGAAGGAACAGGGGGTAAAAGATGAAAAGGAAGCGTCCTGGATTTTGAGAATGGAAAGAGTTCCCCATTACTCAAATTCCGAGAGGAAATCAGAAACTGTTGTGACATCAAAATGGCACATGCTAAGGGATGCTCAGAGGCTTGCCAGGAATTTGATGGTTAGAGAGAACAGATGGAAGATCATATGTAGCGTTTGGGTGGAGATGTTGTGCTATGCTTCAGCTAATTGCTCTATAGATTATCATTCTGAACAAATAAGAAGAGGTGGGGGTTTGATAACTCATGCTTGGATTCTGTTAGCCCACAAGACAGATAAATATCATATCAGTGACTAATAGTTGCCTTCTCATGAAATAGGATCCGTATTTTGTAACCCATTATCTACTTTATACCTTTTTTTTTCTATATCTTTCCTAAACGATGCTGCAAATGAAATGGAAAATCTCCCCTTCTGCTTTCTGTTTACCATTTGTACCATTTATTATCAATTTTATAAAAAATATAAAAACAGTTTATTATAAATCATATTAATAATTTAAAAATACTTGGACAAATGGAAATAGAGAAGAAAAAAACTAGAAAGTAGTCAATTAAATAATATGTACGCAAACAAATTAAATGTAAAAAGTAAGAGAGATGAAATGATGAGATGAGAGTCAGAATAATATTGAGAGACTACTATAAATGATTAAAATAAAAATGCAGCTGAGCAGAGTTTTCCAAGCAAGATCGTGCACCATTTTCAATTCAATCATATATACCACTTTTCCACTTTGGCCATCACCGGCAGTTTTGGAGAAGAGAAAGGTTCATTAACATTTATTTACTCAATCAAGGCCTAGGCAGGGGAATGATTGCAATTTGCAATGAGTAAGATTAATTACTCAGAATCACTCCATCACTTATAGTGCCACCTCTCTTTAATTTTATTTTCAAAATTACTAACCTCAGTTATTAGGCTGAATCAAATCGATTAACGATAAAATGTTTAGAATTTCATATGAGGTTTTAATTGAAGTATTCAAGTAATATTTTCAAACAGCGTACTCTGAAAAGATGTCTTAACGCTGAACTATTTTCAACAGTGCTCCTAGAATACAATTTATAGTTGATTTTGGTGTGTTGTTGAAAGTTGCATATACTAACGTTGGTGTCCTGTGTGTGCATCGGAATGGCCATATGATTTTATATTGTAGAGTGCTTTATAGAATTATTATATAATATTTATTTGTCATTGATTTACTCTGACCCATTTTTAAAATGCAAATATGCAATGCAATGATTATGGCAAATAATGAATGACACACTTATATTGCTTATATTGAAGTAAGATCAAAATTCGAAAAGATCGACCAAAAACATGATATCTCTTGTTTACACATTTTCTCAAGTTGTTTTCATAACTTTGATTATTATCACCATTTTGTTAAACACGTGTGCGACAGTAACATCACATTGTCAATTGAGTCAATTCTCTTTTCATTGTGTTATTTCTAGTTTCTTCTTTTCTCCAATCAGTTTGTCTTATCTGAAATTGTAGATTTCCATGGCAGCCCTCCTTATTAACCATGATGATGCATTCCATGATTATATGAAATTGGAAGTTAATTTTCACTTTAATGACTACTTCAAGTTATGAGAATGATTTATTGACAAATCAAAGTTACTTTCTAATATAACATTTTATAGATTGTTGTCATATTTTTTAGTCTGTTGAAAGCTTAATCTCAAGTTGTTGGAAGAGATGGATGTGTCCCTTTTCTCTTAAATTTCATAGATGAATAAATATGTCTTGATCTAGTAAGTATTAGAAACTAAAATAGAAAAAAAATTATAAAACAAAAGTAAATTTTAATCATTTTATTGGAATTAAAATATATTTAATATTTGTTAACAATATATTTACGTAGAACTTTGTTAACTAAATTAGTAATTAATAAAGACTGATATTAACAATAAGGACTAATTCTAAAATATTTTATATTAACTAAGGACTAAAACAGAAAAAAAAAGACTAAAATAAATTTCATTAATTTTATACAAATTTTAAACATATTTAACTCATTAAAAATTAATAAAAAAATGAGTTTAAAAAAAATCATGTTAGCATAGATTAAAAATTATATGAATGCGATATTATAAATTTTAATGAAAAGCTTCTATTTTAATTTGTAATTATTATTTTTATTACTCATTAGTAATTTTTTTAATAAGTTTTATAAAGACGTACTTGCATAAAATAAAAATTATATATATAATTTTTAATTTAATGTAATATTATAGCAGTTAAAAAGATTAAATTATTTAGAATTATAGTGTAATAGAAAGTGTCAAGTGTGAAGTATCTATCCCATGGCGTCCAGCTTATTTAAAGGCTAAAAACCTAACCATTGTCCCCTTCATAAATTAAGTTACTGTCCCTCTCCTATGAGACGTGCAAATGCTACTTCAAAAGGTCTCACATTAATGTCATTATGCGAATGAAAGCTTCACTGGGAAGCGTTGCTGAATATATATAATACACAAAATGAACGGTGCATTACCAACGGTTCAATAAAAAATCTTGTGAGAGATGATCATAAAGATATTTCTAATTATATAACAAAGTAAGAAACTAAAGAAGCTTTCCAATGAGTTTTTCTGAAAGAGGAAGTGGATTGCGACTGCAAAATGAACGGCCACTTTTGCTTTTGATTCACAATTTATAATGCAATTAAAAAAGAATTGGGCTGTCATATCCACAGACATCTTGAAAAATGCACCCAAAACAATGGTAATGTTCCCCTTGACTTGTATTATACTTTTTATAAAACAAAACTCATTGGGATTGCATATTTTAAAGGTTTTCATGGCCAAGAACTAGAAGATGCTTCATCAGAAACATGCTCGGATTCTCTATCAGCAAGGTATGTCTAAGTTTCAATTGCCAAAACTTTCCACCTCTTTAGCCTAGAAACAAAGAAAATAGTTTCCCTTTCCTCTTGCTCCCAATTTGTTCCAATTAATTAACTGGCTTTGAAGAATGAAGATAACGAGAAAAGTAGTTGATATCTAATGCCTCTTCTTCAATTCTGAGCATCTTTTGGTAAATTACACGTTCAACATCATATTTTGGGTGAAAGAACTCACTGTTGTCCAACATTCTGTGTTTAAATAAACCATCTTAGTTTAACTACGGTAAAAAAAATTAATTTTTATTGAACATATAATATATAACACTTTTCGATATTTTTTTTAAATTTTTAACAAAAAATTAGTATTTTTAGATATTTATATTTAAAAGACGAAGTCAACATTTTTTTTAAATAAGATTATTTTATTATTAAAATCTCACAAGTTTCTTACAGTGATGTTTTCTTGCATTTGTGATTATTTCGAAGATTACAGCTTCTCAATCAGAATCATCTGATCAGAGATTCGAGTATTGAACCTTGTATTGGATTAGGAGCTGTCCTACTCTCTCTTCAGGTACCTCTCTCTCCCTCCTTTCCTTCTCCCACAGATTTTTTTCTCTGAAATGTGACTTTTCCTCGGACATTCTGTGTCCCATACTGTGTTCTCTGTCGTGATAGTCTCGAACCAAAACATTGATCTCAGTAAAGCTTCATGTACTGTTAGGTTGATTGTACCCCCTTTCACTTTGACACGAAACGTGGCAAATTTTCATCACTTTCCAGCTACCCGTGTAAAATCAACATGCTCAGAATTCAGACAAAATAAAACTACACATGAAAAATTATGTCTAGCTGGAGTTTATCGATGAAAATAATTGAGATGCAAATGCAAATATCGCACACCCACCAATTTGTAAATTTCCTTAACGGTCCAAAATAATAGTAGGAGAGAAAGATACATTGAAATTAATCCAATGCTAATGTGATTAATTGGCATTATGTTTGCATACATGTAAAAGTGCACCGCAGCTACCAAAAAGGGAAATTCCTCTTACATGTTATAAGGTTAAGGGTCACATAACTTTTTTTCTTCTGTTAAGATGGAAACGAAAAATCCGGGTTCCTTTTGCGCATACCCTTTAGTTCTTTACTTTATGATCAAATGACCTTTTTTGGTCATGTGATCAAATGACTTAAGTACCCTGTTCAGTGTTCACTGTTGCCAGTGATGTATCTTTGATTGATTATTATATTGTTATACTATACGTATCCTAGCTTTATTAACTTGGGTTATCTAAGTTTTTTAATCTTATTGCTATGGAGGAAGGGTAGTACTAATATTTGATCAGCGGGTCAAACATGCAAAGGGCTGTTTGAATATAAAGTTAATTTCGTTTTCTGCAACCATCAAGCTTGCATCGGAAAGGGTGCAGAAATGATCATAGCCAATTGATTAATTTGGAAAATTATACGAAGTTAAGTCAATAGAAAATCAAATAGGCATAAAATCAGAATCTCAAAAGGTGGTTATGTAATGCAAGGGATTGTGTCCTGAGCTCTGCCTAACCATCCTTAAACGAATGGTAAAAAGAACCCTTTTTTTTATGGTTTGGTGGTCGTCTCGATAAATTTAATATCGGTTTTTGTGCTTGTTTCCTCAGGTTGAAATCTAAGGCTTTCAAATTTGTTGAGAACAAATGAGCAAGATAAGCCTACGTACAATGGATTCCATTTCTCTAAAAGCGTAAAAATATAAAAGTGAAAAAAAAGTAACAATTTATTAATAGTTTATTTAAAATTAATTATATTTATAAAATTTTTCAATTTAAATTAATAATAAATAAGTTTTTATTGTTTTATTTTGCAAATCTCTTTACTTTAGATAAACTCAGTTTATGAGTAAAAATTTGAGTGTTCTAAAATGAAAGGACGTATAAAGGGATAAAATAATAATATATTAACTGTTGATTTAAAATTAATTACATTAAAAAAATATGAATTCAAATAAATACAAATAAGGTCTTACTTTTTTACTTGAACATTTTTTGATTTTAGAAAAATTAAATTATTTCTATTTAAGGAAAAATGTAATATTTTTATCATAATTAATGAAATTTGTAAATAATGATGACAGTTGTTTGCATCATAAAAGTTACACAGTTTCTTCTCTAACAGAAATAAAAAAAAACATAAAAGAATTCGTACATAGAAAGACATGCATCCCTATCAATTTTAGAGATAAAGGTGAATTTATTTATATAACATAAAGAAGGCTTTCGCATAAATGTTGAATCATTCATTACTTATAGTTTAAAATATGATTATTAAATGAAATGAAGAGGGTATGATTAAATACAGTAATGTTTTAAGAAAATGAACATAAAGTGTAATATAGGGAAATAGCTAGCCGACTAATGCGACTGAAGGGAGATGAGAAGAAGAAAAAAAGCAAAAATGTTGGGAAGATTATTATAAAATGGTTTTGAAGGTCAATGAATGAATATTGGAAGACAATGAGAGGGTGAAAGTCAAAAGTAGAGGGAACTTTTGAAGAAGGGTAGGAGTGGAATTAGAGTAAATAATGAAGGGTAGGGAGGGAAAAAGGAGGGGCAGAGGTTGCTTGCGCAAATGAAGCTAATTTGGTCGAAAAAAGGAAAGGATATGAGATGAGGGAATGTGGTGGTTAAGGCGAAGAAGGAAGCAGATTTATCTCATTATGTCCTAAAGCTCTACTCAAACGCACCCCACCATTCATTTCCTCATTTTCTTCTTTGCTTACATTCACTGGGCCATGTTGTTATTATCAATTGCACTCACCACACCCTCTCCTCATCAACACCATCTTTTTCAAACATAGACAATTCTTGCCTTTCATGCAACCCTTTTCTGCTTCTTTTCTTTTTCATTTTCATTTTTATTGACAAAATAAGCTCCCACGACCCCACCCTTTGGTCCCTTCCCATTTTGTCTTCAAATGCTGCTGTAAAGTTTTAGTTTTTCTTTTTTGGGTCATATATATTTCATGATACCATTGCGTAGGTGGTGTTCCTTGTGGTGGCTGCAGCTCAAGCTCAAGCTCAAGCTCAAGCTGAGGCAAATGGGACAGTGGAATATGGTGCTCAGGCTTGTTGCTGTCAGACCCTACTGGATCGAAGAATACAGTCTTTGACATGAAAATCTTTCTCACCCAAACCGGGTTTCTTTGCATTTGTGAAGGATGGGATAGTTGTAGCTTAAATTCTGCTTCTCAACTCCAATTCTTGCCAGTGTTCTTCTTCCTCACCTGATTTCCTTGTTGATCGTGGTGCTGATGCTGGTGATATTGGCTAGACGGCTCAATCTGTTAGCTCAGTGATAGCATTGCTTTCTTCTTTTTCTACTTTATCTTTTTGTTTTTAGGGGTTATTTAACCGATGTCAATTTGCAAGGAGTGGATTTTAATTAATTTCAAATCAAATATTGATTTCTCACAGCTTCTTTTTTTTTTATTGTGATCTCTGTTCGCTGATAGCTCTTTTGGGTTCTGGTAATTTTGTGCTTTTCTTTCTGCATCTTGAATTGAAAGGTAATTTCTTGCGAAAGGAAAGGGTGGAAGAAGACGTATCTTCATTTCAACATTGGTTTCTGCATATTGCAGTAAATGGGGAATGCAGCCAATACTGAGGGATTTCGGTCAGTGATCTTTTAACGTTGCAGCCCCTTACACTATACAAATTTCCATACTTCATTCTTTCTTTTTACTTCCATTTTTGCTCATTTTATTTCTCTTTCTTTTATTAAATTATTTATTATTATTATTATTATCTTTTACTCAAGTTTATATAGAGAGTGAAAATTTTAGAGTTAAATATATTTTCGTTTTCATATTTTAGTAATGTTTTGTTCTAGTTAATCTGAATGGATTGTTTTTCTTTCTATTCTTATGTTTTTGCAAATTGTGTTTTTGTTCCCTTCGTTAAGGTGGTCCAATAAAAAATTGATAAATGACAAATTTTTTATGAATTATATCAATCAAGAAAGACTAAAATAAAAATTTATAAAAAATAAAAAAAGATATTTAAATAGACTAAATTTAAAAAATTATTAAATTATAAGGAATAAAATCAGGTTTAAGCCAAAAAATTTATCACCTTAAAACAAATCCTTCAACATCCGACCACTGTCTTGTTACCGTTTTAATCTGTTTTACACAGTTTTGTTAGTTTTTATGGGGAGTTATGTAGCCTGTAATATTAAAACAAGGAAACTTATATAATTTAGTGTGTATTTAAGGATAAAAATTTTGTAAACATGAATTTAATATATAAGTTATAATTAATAGTATTAAAATAAATAGAAATTTATAATTACTTAAATGTGCACTTAAAAATAATATTAGAACGACAATAGTTATACACTTCAGTGAAGTGTATCTAGTTTTGGATGGAAAGAAAATTAAAAAAAGAATATAAAGTAATTATAAAATATACACGTATGAAGTTTTATCTACGATACACACACAAAAATAAATAAATAAACGTTTTAGCAAGTTGGCAAAGTTGAGTATCAATGCTATGAAAGGTGAGTTAATACTTGTCACCTAATGACTTCCCCAAACTCTGCATAATCTAAAATTAAGCCCATTATGTATTGGGCCTATGTTTCCAAAGAGCAGACTCTGGTTCTATCATTGGGCCTCTGATCTACGAACTCTTGAAAAAATATTTTGAGGTGCAGATAAATTTCCTCCTCAAATGCTGTCACTGTACACTAAAATGTGTCAGCTTTTCTTCATTCTTCTTTATCATACAAACCAAGTGAAGAAAGCAATATTCTTGTCCCCATCTTTGACACACCACATATCAAAATGCTACACATGATACATTTTGGTGTCTGGACCTATCTGGTTAGGTGCCATATACGCTTCTTATAATAATTTTAATGTTCCATCTATTTATCATGATAATTTGTTGTTAAACTACATTAAAATAATTAATAATTTCATAATGATATTATTTATATAAAAACTTAATGAAATAACATTATTGTGGTTAAAAAGTCCAGAGTAAGAGTTAAAACAAATTCTTACATAATAAAAATAACAGTAAAGATTTACCCAAGTCCATACCATACCCTAATTAGGGCACTATAATAGAAGCATTCTATTCCACGACGCCAGAGAGTGGAACTCCCGCGCCCACTCTTTGACTTACCAACGCCAAACATCATATGCAGAGCACAATCACAACCTTGAAACAGTGCAAGGACAGTCTAAGGTCCATAACTATATTATTTTACTACCAACAAGTAATTTCTAAGGTAGAGGACAATTTTTTTAATATTTAATTTGAATCAATTTTTCCAGTGACTCTATTATCTTTTTAAGGCTAATAAATGTCAAATTAAATTCACTTTTATTAGAGCCAACCAGTGCATTATATGGACCAATATAGATTATTAAAACTAAACCGATCCAGCATTATATTGTCTTCTAAGCGTTCTTTTATCAGATAGATCAATTTCCTTTCGTTCCCGAAAATAAATAAGGTAAGCCATTGTTTTGGAATGAAAACTGTATTGAGGTTTGTAAACTTAAGAGATATAAAAAGGATGGAGAATAGAAGAAAAGAAATATTATTGATAAATAACAATTGTTGCTTTTTATTAATTTGTTACAAATACGTATTTATAATTATTTATGTGAATACAAATAAAAATACATTTTAATTGTATAGGTACAAAATAGGCTCTCTTTATACATATTTGGATAATGAGTTCCAATCTTGAAACATGTTACGTATAACAAGTAACAAATATTCTTTCAGCTTCTGATAATGAGTTCCAATCTTTGTTGAGGATGTATTTAGTGAAGGCTTAAAAGCTGGTCGCCTATGCCAAGTTGAACTTATAAGTGACTTTTCAAGATGAATGTTTAAGATATCTTGAAACTTTGTCTTACTGCAATTAACGTCCCTCCTCCTGTAGTGTTATAGAGCTAGCGCCACTTGCTCAGTCTTTTTATATTTACTAAACTATTGAAGTCATACTTTTTTGCTGTTTTTCCTGTTGACTTGAACACTAATTTGTGTATTTGCGTAATAGCAGTGTTTCTGTTGGATTAGACTGCTTTTGAATTTTTATTTTTTTTATATATATTTTTATAGATGTTTAAAACAGCCTACACACTCAACGCCAAAACGAAATATGAGAAGTTAAACTAGTTCTTTTCCATTTAGCAAAAGCCAAAGAAGGCAAGAAAGTGCAGCTATTTGTTTGGGAAAGACCCGCCTGTGAGAGTTAAGGTGGAAAGAAAAATATTTCTTTACTTTCGGTGATTCTTTATTGGCTCATTCTTTGAGAAAATAAAATGGAGAAGACCAGCTATTGTGTGTTTTTTGGTCAATGCGTGTTATCCTACTCAAAAGTCAGAGTTCTAAAGAACGAAAAGGATACACCTAACTGGTACAAAAGTATTTTAACATCCTAAAATCCAAGAATTAGATCAATGAACTGATATTACTTTCCATAATATTCGGTTTCATTTATTACCGTCCTCATATTGCTAACCTTTGAGGATTCACGTGCTAGCCAAGTAGTCCTACCAAAAATAATCTATACTCTAACTACGATCATGTGAATAATTTTTTAAATTCTTAAATTTAAAAAGTTATTTTATTCTTTCTTATACAATTCTTTTAATATTTTAAAGATTAGAGGATATTAATATATATATATATATATATATTTTAATTAAATCACCAATTTTACTATTTATTAATATAAAATTAATAATCACAATTGTTTTAAAAGAATGTATCAAACTCTCTTAATCATAGAGTAAATTTTACTGTTTAATTTTACGTAAACATTTAGACAGTCTTTTGCATAAATAGAATCCCAATGTCACTCCAACAAAAGGTCTACAAAAAATTGGTTTAAATCTCAGTTTGTTTTTTAAATTTTAAAAGTTTGATGTGCTTCTATTTTTATAATTCTAATTTTTAGGCCATTGTCATTGTCTATAAAATCAAAGGGCAAATCCATAATCCAGAGAAGCAGAAAAAGTCAAGAGCCCTAGAATGGATTTCTTCCTAATTAATACGATGTTACAACTCATATGCATACAAAAGGAAAACAAAACATACGCACATTTTTATGGTCTTCAATTTCTCACCAATCAATTTTTACAACACAAAAAATATATAAAGAGTTTTCCCTTTTTTTTTTTTAATACTTCCTTCCACTCTTGTTAAATGAATAGTTGAACATGGGATGCATGAGCATGCGAGGTCAAAAAGAAAAAGGCAAAAGAAAAAACCCTAATTCTTAAAATAATGCTCATAATAACCACAAAAACCCTAGAATTTGAGAGTGATCTCACTCCCAGTGCTCTCTTCCCCATCTTGCTCTCTAAGTGCAGCCAACCCTATCTTTTCTCCTTTGTTCTCTCCACTCTCTCCTTTCCAACTACTACTCTCTGACTTCCCATCCTCTATGCTTTCTGAGCAGTCACCGCCCCGAACATCGGATTCCGGTGAGCACCCAATCTGCGGCACCGTCTTGTACATGTGAAGATGGTGGTGTGGCGGCAACGGTAACAACGACGGAGACGGAGTAGCACTGTAGAACTCTTGGGGTACTGGGGTGGCCGCACAATAGTGTGGTGGTGGCGCATGTGAGGTAGGGTGGGTGGCATATATTGCTGAACCACCAGTATTGGCATACTCCGGTGGTACCCAAATTCCTCCAAGGACTACAAGCTGGGGTGTGGGTGCTCCATTTTGTATGCTTGGACTGGGTCTTCTTGTGTGAAGCCTATATTTCTGTGAACAAAAATAACATCAGAAACATTATGAGAGGTGAAAGACCGAGACAAAAAAAAGGCACAAGAAAAAATAAAGTTGGTTTCGAAATGCACAATATATGCATTATACGCAGAGTGCTACTACACTGTCCACAAGGCAATAATAATAGTACAACAACAAAGTGGCTCTTTCATTCCTGTCTGTATGTGTACGATCGCAGAGAGAGAAATACCTGGAGATGGCTTTTAACTTCATCATTGGTCAAACCATCAACCTTCATCAACTCCCTAATCTGTTTTGGGGTGGCTACTGTAAAGTGACCAAAAATTAAAAAACAAAAATATAGTGATTGAAGTAATGATTATATATACCGTTTAAGTCAGGAATACATTACTGATTATAAAGTATACATACCGATAATGTGAAGATAAAACTAGTTAGGTGTAATATTATACTTTTTTAATTTATATTAACTTTTTAACTTGATAATTCATGGTAATAAAAATGGAAATATATTATTTTTATTGGAAAAATTATATAAAATATCTGCACGGAAATTTTGTTTTAAGATGTAATAGTTTTGTTTTGGATAAATGGTTTTCAAAATAATCATTTTCCCTAAATCTATTTGTATTCTTCGAAAATATAGTATTTTTTTTAATTAACCATTTTTAAAAATTTAATTTACTTTTAATGCTTAAAATTCATAAAATAGATCACCTGCGGTAAATGACTAAAAACATGTTTTTATTAAAATTACAAAATAAAACTAAAATTGAAGTTATGTTTGATGACCAAAAACTAAAAAAAAAATTCTTGGTCGCTGGAAATTGATGATACCTTGTGATCCACCGAGCATTTGAAGAGCGTGAACAAATCGGCGGTGCAAGTCCGGTGACCAGCACCTTCTTGCTTTCCTTTGTGTTTGGCCACCGGTGTTGATTATTGTGGTGACAGTAGGATTTGTGGTTTGTGCCTCAGATACAACTGCAGCACTTTTTCCCTGTTCAACAACCCCTCCACAGTTCTTCTCTGCCTTTTCACATTTCTTGTCCTCCATTTCTTTCTCAGAAGGACCCCTTAATCCTTGGCACGAGTTTCTTTCTTTTGAGAATGGTAGGAATGCTCCTCCGTTCTTATGTTTGTTGTTTAGTGCTTGCTTAGGGCTTACGCTAAACCCAATATCAGCTTCTTTTGGAGATGTGATTGTGGATTGTGGTTTGGTTCCTTCGCTTGCTTGGCTCCATAGTTGAACCGATGTCATCCAATTTGCCTTATCACAAATGTTTGATGCCTTTTCATGAGACTGAATAATTTCTTGCGAGTTTGAATGCTTCATTGGTATGAATTCTTCCAGAACCGGCCTTGTGCCTTGATTTGATCTGAAGGCCTGAAGTTGCTGCCTTGAAGCCTCCACAGCTAAGCAAAAATAGAATATTCAAAGAAATTAAGATTGAAACTTTGTATTCAAAGGATAAAATTTTAATTTTTATATTTCTGCACATTTCTTACATTTATTTTTTTTATCTCTCTTCTACCACTATCACTTCATTTAATCATTTATTTTCTCTCCCTTTTTCTGTTTTTTTCTTCCTTTTTTCCTCTTCCTTCGCCCATTTAAAATTTAAAAAAATAGACAAATGATTGTTTATGTACTGTATACTAAACAACAACAGCATTAATGATGATAAAGAATAGGAAGCTCTAAGCTCTCACTTTTGTGTGAGAAAGGAAAAGCAAAAGAAGACTTACTAGAAAGAAAAAACAGGAGGAAGAAAAACATAGAAGACCATAATTATAAAGTTATTATTTGGAAGATCAAGAAAAGAAAAAAAAGAAAGATGAATATACTGAGTTTGATATAATATACAATAAGAACATTTTCATCATGTGTTGATGAAATTTTAAGGTTTAGGATATTTCGTGTCTTAATAAGCTCATTGGAATTTGGAACATTGTCAATTATTATGTTTGATATGCATATTTTATAAAACGATGATGATTGATTTTAAGGTGTACCGTTGGTAAGGAGTTGCATGCAAAGAGGAAGCTCGCGCTTGAAGGCATCAATCTTGAGACGTTCTTCCTCTAAGCGAGAAAGGAATTCTTCGAGCTTGTAGGTTTGATCTGTTTGATCAGCAAATGACTTCAGCAACGTGGAATAGCTACGAGGCTCGCAATCCATGCTTAATTCTGCTTGTGATGCCATTCTTTTTAGTTGTAATTGAAGATAACTAGCCACTGAGACTATAGCACTGTTTAAGATGATATGTTGTTCATGCCTAAATTGAAAGCATGTAGGAACAAACAAGAGGAAAAGAGGGTGTTCGGCCTCTTCCTTTCTAATTCTTGTGGGAGGGAGAGAGAGAAAAGGGATGTTATGTTGTTTGTGAGCACAAGGAAGATCGAGGGAGGATCGTCTTCTTTTTAGGAGTGAGTTCAATGGAATAAAGCAATGTTTAGGAGAGAGAAAGACAAAAGAAAAAATAAAGCAGGGGGTAAAGGAGAGGGATATGTAACTTCCTTCAAAGAACCAATATAGAAAGTTTATAAAAGAAATAAAAATGCTACGAGAGAAGGAATCAGAGGATCTGACAACAGAGAGTCTTGTGCTTAGAGCCTGGTTTTTAGAAACTTTGAGTGTTATTGCATCAATTCAAAAGACGATTCCTTTTCTTACTGTTACCTTTCATTTTTTATACTTCTTTCTTTCTTTCCACCCTTGTTGTATACCTCCTTTATTTTCGCTTTCTATTGATATGAGTTATTACTAATCAGACTCAGATTCTGGTGCAATTTTCAATCAAACTTCACAAAGAATGCGCTATCTTTTTTTTTTTTTTTGTTTTATTTTTCTTTTCACATGAGATTTAATTTTCATGCTTTATTAATAGAGAAACACTAACAATATATTTTTAATTATTAATTAAAATTTATAAAAAAAACTACAAAATAGTTTTAACCACCCAACACCATGAAACAACGAAATACAGATGGAATATGGAATATAGTTTTTCACCAAAAAAAAGTTAAAAATGGTTTCATATGCTACAGCTAAAGCTCGTGTTTAAGGAGTGACGAGAATGGCATCCTTCAAGCCAAATGTTGGCGATGAGTTAGGCAACGTAGTACTTGTGGTTGTCCTTACCAGTGTATGGAATTGCTGTTAGAGCAGGTTTTAATGATTCCACCATGATTAATTAATATCAACCACTATGAGCTGTGAGAGCATATACCATCAACATAATTTTCACCACCACATTGAATAAAGAGAAAGTGAAAAAGATGGAGAGGGAAAGCACATATTCAAATAGGTTTTAGTATCAATCCACCTTGCAACTTTCTTTGAGTCCAAAAGTTACATAATTTGATTGCATTAAGAGAGAAGAGGAGTATCTACTTCAATAAAATTGAGACATTCATCACATAGAATAAAATATTTGCGTCCAAGCAAGGAATATCTTAGTTTTAATTCTGTGACTCTAAATTAAGGGAACACAACTCACGAAGCTTAAAGAGGGCAAGGAAAAACAATTCACCTCCCCAAAAGAGTGATAAAGGATACTAAGAGCGGAGAATCTTCTTCTGCTACTTTAGTGAAGTGGGTATGAAGCTAAAAAGATTCCCCTTTACAATGTAAACGAATTTTGGCTCCTTTGGTTCAATAGTCATCAGATTTTAATATGTCTGTGTTTCATTATAATTTTAAGGTTTAAACATATTTTTATTTTTGTAAATTTTATGAGTTTTATTTTTTGTACTTATATTTTATTCTATTTTCTTTTCTTACTCTTTTAAACTTTAATTTGCTTTTAGGTGATTAACGTTAACTTTCTGTAAGATAGTTGTGCACTTATTGTTAGATGCCCAATCAAGTTTTGCTACACATTCTAACTCATCATGCATGTTTAAAAAATTATACAAAGAACTTGTCACAATTAGAGTCGGGGTAAGACTACAAATAAAACAAGAAGAAAGTAACAAACTTCATTATAGTTTACTTAAGAAAAATATTAAAAAGATATTTGAATTTAGGAATCAATTACAAGCCAGAAGTTACTAATATCCTACGTATTGTCCATTTTAAAACGATAACTCAAATTAATTAGCCAAACATAATAACTTTAAAATATTTATTTAATCTCTTAAAATAGAATGCATAAATAAAAAAAATAATTATAAAACAAATTTAATTATATAAAAAATGATTTTAGTTTAACAAGAGATTCCCTAGTGTACCAGAGAATCTAAAGTCTTGTCAATCTTTATAAAGTAAGTGTGTTCATTTTATAGCAACAAGAACAAAATTTTATCTTGTTAAGTAAGCATATTGATTATATGATATTATTGAGTGGGACAAAAATTAAATTTTTAGAGATATTTTTTCTATTATGAATTGATAAATGTAAATCTGTGATAGAGCTTAGTTGAGTATTTGGTAGCTAAGTTAATGATTATCTAAGAGTATTGAAAATTGTTATAATATTTTAAAAATTATAAAAAAGTATATATTAATAGTAATTTTAAAATTATTTTGAATTGAAATTCTTAATTGAAGTAGTGCTTAGCGGCATTTACAAACTGCAACAGCATTGTAGCACAGCACAGGGGCCAAGAAGTGTGTAACATGGTGAGTTAAATGAAAGGGAAGTTAAAATAGGATAAGGAAAAGAGAAGCAGAGTGAGAGAGAAAAGATATGATTCTGAATTAAAAATGAAAAAGGGAAAGGTAAGTGTGCGTACCAAAGAGAGTGCATCAAATTCCCTGTCCATGCAATATTCAACGGTTCGTTGCTTTCCAACTTCACTCTTCTCGTTCAAGCTTTGCTACCACATACCTTTCAAGTCCCAAATCGTGACTCTGAATATCCCTTTTGTCTGGTAATGTACAGTGACGCGAGGGGGAAGAATATTCCTCTCTTCTGCTATTCCGCATCCCTATATATCCCTTTCTTCCCACAACACAACAAGAAACAAACATTCAACACTCATTATTCTTTTAACAATTCTTTCAAGTCCACCCTAATTTCAGACCTATTTACTAATAGGCCCGGCCCATGATTCTGGATTGAATAGTCCAACTAATAGGCCCATTTTACACACCTCATGTCTCCCTCAATGATCCCTTTACTTGTGCACTGTTCGCAACCAACATTATCCCATTTCAAATTCTACTCTCTTGTTTTTCACCGTGAGAGCTATCGTCTGCAACCAACGCTTGTCTCGTTCTTATGCTTTATTTTTATATATGATTTAGCATTGTTCATTGATTTAATGTGTTACAATTGATTTCAAATTCTAATTACAAATGATCATTGTTTTATTAAAAAAATCGTGTGTGTATATATATATATATAAAGGTTGATAATCTCTGCTTAATGCTTATATTTAGCAAAAGTGGATCTTCTAGTTGGTAGGAGGGTACGACAATGAGGTGGTCTATGTTTAGAGCAGTCCCCCACAACACAAAGTACTCTTAGCTTTGTTATTGCTCTCTTTTCTTAAGCTGAGAAATGATGAGCAATGTTGAGAAAGGCCAAGGAATTGAGTTAATCAATGTCAAGAAAGAAAAGCTTTTACAAATCCAGATTTAATTCAAAGCATGACATATCCAAGAATGATTGCAAACATGATATCGATTGCCACTTTCCAGATACTGAGAGTGATTGCACATATATTGGTTTGCTCGGTGTAAATCATAACACTAAAATAACCTATGATTGAATCAGGACAAAAAGATAAGTAACTTTAGCATTTGTCTTGTAATATAAACAAGTACACGTTACGTTCCTCTCACACACGCTCTCTCTCTCGTGCGTTAATACATGTTGCTGGTGGGACAATATTCTTTACTTGGATTTAAAATATTTCCATCCTTTTTAGAAAAAAAAAATTACATCCCCTAAGAGAAAAATCTATCATTAAGTGTGTATTTAATTTTTCCATGTAATAGTGTCTTACAGACATTTGGATCAACGCAAACATGGGTCAAGGCGTGTGTCTTTGGAAGCATAAACAATTAAAGACCCAGGCAAATATGGATTGTGAGAAGGGTAATTGTTTACCACTTGTATGAATGAGCAAAGATTTGGAATGCAATTGGATTCTCTTCTTTTATGGTAGTGGTACTTCCATGCCATGAAACTTGCAGTAGAGTAAGATACTTATAAAGATACTTGCATGTTCAAGTGGGTGTTTTGCTAGAGTAACAATATCTGAAAATGAAATGCATAATATCAAGTCAGTTTAAGGTCCCTTTTATGTTTAATTTGGGCACAGATGAATCACAACTACATAACCTGGCTAACATCGGGGTTTGGGTTAGACAAGCTAACCCGACCCACAAATGTTTTGGGCCTAGACCTAGTTGGGTTTGGAACATCACAAATTAAGCTTAGAAAATAAGAAATGCACAAAATATTTTTAAATATACTAATGCTTACGAAAATTTTCTTGCATAAACAGAACGGCAATCACCAAATTCAAGTATATATTGTTTGGACATCTCAATTAGTTGCAGCAAGTTCTGGTCAATTGGGCAGGATATGATCCTTCACTCTGTCTTGAATACATGGCAAAGAGAATGTCGGTGTAAAGGAAAATGATTAAAGGTCAAAAAAGCGATTTTTATGATGATTTTACTAATGAAAAGTTTGAGCAGAACCCAGAAAGTAGTAGTCTAAAAAGTGGTTAATAATGAGTACGTGGTTTTACCCTTTACAAAATGTAATGATCCTCTGTCAATTAAAAAGACAAATTAGAATTCAAATCCTATGGGATATAAGATATCTCGGATAATCTTACGTAAAGTACTTAATGATCTTTGATCTTGAAAACCTTATGATTCAAGTACAGCTTTGAAAGACAATCAATTAATCTTTGTCTGTTGTGGTGAGGTCCATTGATCCCAATAATCATTTTCATCTTTATGGACATACATTCCCCTTTCGAGGGTAACGTTAATCCTTTTGTCAATCATTTGGCTTGGTGGGGCAACTGTGAGTAACATTCAACAACCCTTTTACAAAGAATTAAGACAACATCACTTCTCCAATTCACCCAAAACTTTTGCTACTTTGCCCCAATGTTAACAGTCGTATATGTTTTTTTTTGTCCATTTTCATTTATTAATATATTTTTTAACAAATACTCGTTTCAACAAAAATTATTATTAATTTAATATTTCAGCTATAAAACTAACATCAAATTCATCGTTTAAAACAATTAATATAAATTTAGTCTTCAGTTATACAAATTAATATTAATTTCCTTAAGAATCGTAATTAGGGATCATTTATATAGCTTAAATAAGTTTTTATTCTTATAAATATTGTTAATTTTTTAAATTTTCCTAAATTTGTTAATATTTATTCCTAACATTTTAAAAAAAAGTAAAAAAAAATTAGTTTAATCAAAGACTAAATATTAACAAAAACTTTGAATGATAGGATAATTTTTAAGTAAATACTAATATTTTTTTTAGTAACCAATCCTAAAAATAATAAAATTTATAAGAATAAAAAAATGTATTTAAACTACAGAATAAACTTTCATGCATAAAGTTTTCATGCACAAAGGAATTTCAATAACAAATTATGTAGATGGGAATGCTACTTTACTTGTTCGTGAATTTAATGAAGTTCATAGATGTATTGTAAATTCAAAATTTAACTCATACATAATTAAATTTAGGACAACAAATAGATAACAATTTGAGCAAATAAGTTGGCCATAGGAGTTTAATCCTCTACAAGCCAGCCAAGGCTTACAGGGAAGGAATATGATGAACTTTTCACTTCAACCAAGCAATGTTAAGGGTAGTGGTGTGGGTTCTATTATTTAATAGGTGAAGATAAAAAATACACTAGCCAATTGTTCTCTAAAAGAAGGTGTTGAATCTCACTACTGCATGATTTCCAGATCGAAAAGCACTCTCGAAGAAACACCATGCACAATCATTCCAAGAAGGGAGGGTAACAACTAAGAAAGACATTATTAACACTTTAAACTTCAAGCTTGCAAATGCTAAAACTAAGTATTTGAAGCTTCAAAAAGATGTGACAAAATTACAAAAACAATTTGATAAGTTACTAAAATAGAAGCACACATCAATATGGAGCAGTGGATGCAAGAAACTAAAACATACAAAAATGCCTAATATAGAAGATCATCACATTGCACCTAACAAAACAAAAAGACAGGTAGAAGGTGGAGAAACTCAATATCCTCAGATAAGAAATTCTCAGTTGCCCTGGATTGGAACTAATACTAGTCAAAATAATGTGTTCTAGATTTTTTTGTGTTCTTTTTGTCATATTCCATTCCTTTTTAGGTTTATGTAGTCAATGTGGCTTTTCTTCATTTAATTATTTTTATTTTATTTTATAAAAATCACTATAAAACATGCACTATAATAACAAACATACATTTTGTGTAAACAATTTTGTTTGGTGTCTTCTCTTTTTCACTCTTCCTTTCCTTTCTTGGTATGTAGCAAATGAATCAATCAAGACTATAATGCAAAGTGAAAGCAAATACTAATTATGTGAGTTTACTCTATGTACCAAGAGTAGATAAAATAAATCCTAACCCGTATTGTTAAATTAACTTTAGAAGGATATAATTAAATAAATAAAGTCAGCCCCCTAAATATTTTAAGCCAAAGGTATTGTGTTAATAGTGATACATGAATACTCAAATTTTAGGATGTTGAAATGTTTCACTTATATTCAATTTGTTATTTAATAAAAATTGCTTGTATTCACTTGAAATTACTACATTGGGGTTATTTTGATGTGTTCATAGTGGGGAAAGGATACACATGCTCATTCACCTTAAAACAATGTCTAACTCAGAATATTTAATTTGTTTAATCTTTGAATTTTGTAGCATTTTTCTTATCTAATTAATTTTGTTTTGAGGAAAATACATTAAACAACTAATAAATTAGCATATAGATACTAAAAGATGTCACAATTCATCAGCATATGACTTTTGATGCTGATATTTAAGACATGTGACAAAATGCATGAAAAGTTCAAAAGCCACATAGCAAGTGTGTGTGGATGATGCAAACTAGAATGTGAATAAGCATCCACTAAGAAAATAGGCAGGCATTCCAGATAATAAAGTATGAAAAGAATTTATAGTATGTGAAAAATATATTTTTTCAATAATATGACGTGATACGAAAAATATAATATCTATACTTATTGTTTATATATAATTAATTATTATTTAAATGGAAATTAAAAAACAAAAATTGGCAAAATTAAGAGCATAAAAATTCTGTAATATGACAATAAAAATTATCAATTGAATCCAAATGATGATCAATACCTTAAAGTCTTTGAAAAAGGAGACAAAATTAAATGTATTTAATAAAAATGAAAGTATTTATTATATTAAAACTATTTAATGTTTGATTTTCTAACTAATTGAACACATTTAATAAAATATATTAAATATTCTGTAATCATTGTCCTAAAGTAGTAGTTCATAGGGCCTTGATGTTTTTTTTTTTTTTTTAGACCCATAGTATATGTTAGACATTGACGAATTTGATTTAAACTTAATGAAACTATTTATATGGACAAAAATATCAAAATCCCTAATTTTTGTATCGATAAAGGAATTAAGTTCTTTATCATTTAAATCTAAGTGAATTTGTGGACAAACTTTAATTTAAGTAAAAGTAATGGGACCTTAGTTAGTTTAAATAAGAGTAAAGTATTCAAAATACATTTCTTCCTGTTTAATGTTTGAAGTTACCTACTCCTGCGGTAAGAAATGAAATGCACCCTACTTTTATTTACTTCAGTTCAAATATTTTTTTTAAGAGAAAGGTTAGCAACATATATTTTTTATTCAACATGCTTTTATTCTTTAAAATATACCATACTTAATTTAATTCTAATTTTTATAAATTATATCATTTTTTTATTTTAACCATTACATTTTAAAAAACTATTAGTTCTGGTTCTCTTTCTAATATTATTTCACTAAAAAGTTGACACATAGTAGAAAATTGACAAGTGACCATATTTAATTTAACCTCATCATCATTTTACAATGGTTAGGAATCAAAACTAACAATATTTAAAAATGTAAGATATAAAAAAATTGAAAGGCCCCAAATCAAAACGTAAGTGTATTTTGAGGAACTAAAATTATATTTAATTATACTCTTCTATTTTAACTCATATGTTTACCTTTTAAAAAAATAAAAAAAAAAAGTAATTGATCAATTTATGAGATAAATATTTTAATTTTTTTAAACAATAAACAAGTCATAAAAAATTATTAAAGTTTGTCTTATTAACATTTTTCAAATTTTTAGCCATGGTGAACAATTATGAATAAATCTTTTAAGAACTTTTTTTTTTTTAAAATAAAAAAAAAATCTATCTGTACTAAGTTCAACGCCACATTATTTTATGATTTTAGAGTATGAAATATTTTTGAATACTTTTATTAACAGATTTAAGATTTCATTTAAAATGTTATTTCATCTTTTAAAGTAATAAAATCAATAATAAATATTTAACTCTTGATTATGCTTAAAATGACAAGAGAAAAATTGTCTAAAATATTAGTTTTTATTAAAAAAAAAAATAGAACACATATCCACAAAATATATGAAAGCATAAAACTTTAACATTAAAGAAAAAAATAAAATTATATAATTAAGACATATATTGTGAATGAGAGAGTGTAACTTAGCTTTAAAATAAATTCACAAGTGACAAGGGCAGGAATGAGGCCTCGTAGGCAGTGCCCGCCTTCATTCTTGCTTTATAAAAGTTTGACCCCTCCCTACATACACTACACTCACTACACATTCATCACCACAACCACAACTCTCTATTTAACTCACATAACACACACCAGAATCTCACAACATCACCAAGGTAGACACAGCACAGCAGAGACCACTCACCACTGCCACGCCTCCTTCCCCTTCTCTGTGTTTATGTATGGAATCTCACACCTTTGCATTACTATATACTATTTGTACCTTCTCTTTATTACTCTCTATGCATCTAAATTCATCCTTTATGCAATTATTGATTAATATATGTGCTGTTTCTTTTCATGGTTCCCAAAAGATAAAAAGGTTTCATTATTTTTTATCCTTTTAAATAATCAAGTGGGCATGCTCCAAAAGCCCTTCTTAGATCTCGTTTATCGTTTAAAGCTCCTTTTTTAAAGGCACTCAAGACTAATTTCTCAAAGTGTTGGCTGGACTTTCCTTATTGTTTTATCAATGCCAGAAAGGGAACCATTCCTTATATGCACTCCAAGCTACTCCCTAAGATCCATCTTCCTTTCAATTCTGTTTCTTTTCTTCCTCTTCTTTAGAACAAACCCTCTAGCGGGTAGTTCTGCTTCTGTTTCACCGAAACCAGTTAAGTATTACTTTAGTTGCCTTTCTCTATACACACAAATAAGTTCAATTTACATTTCCTCTTCAACTTTGACTGAGAGCTACCACCACACACAAATGCGTATTCGCAGCTATCCATTCTTATTGTATGTGCCTTTTCCAAAAGGCAGTTAGATAAACATGCTTTTATTGTGAAAAATTAACATAATAAACTAGTACTACATAGAGCATCGAAACACACACACCCACTGTATGTGTATGTAACCGCTGGATAGAGCAAAACATAAATATGAAAATTAATAGGACAGAAAAAGAAAAAAAGAGTATTTATACTAAAAAATATTTAAGGGGGATAGGTATATTAATTGCAGACTAGGTAGCTGCAGATGTGCATGTCTTATAACCCGTAATTGAAAGGCTGCAGTTACGGTAATATACCTGTGTGTGCAGGGAGAATAGAAGGGGTGAATCAGGTTGAGTTCATATTTGATACTTAATACTGATCGTATAGTTGGTGGGTTGGAGCTGAGAGTCACAGCAGAGACATTAATACATACATAGCGTAAAGCAAAAGGTTTGCTTCCATTAACTTGTCTCTCCCTTGTATCAAACTTAATCGCTATACTATACTCTCAACTTTTAGCTTTCTAATTTAATTTAAGCGACCTCTCTACTCTATATTTAATATGATGACATGAACGATTCAAATCTGCATAACCCAGTAATGAGTTGGGTAGCTTTCTTCTTGTGGTTGTATTGATGGATGAATTTGGGAATGGGATGAGTTGGGACTCACTTTGCTATGATTGCGATATGGGTTGGGGTGCAGTGCTGTTTTGGGTTAGTTCCACACTCATAAATACATCTTTATAAAGTAAAAGCCACCATACACCTTTGTGCAGATAATTACATACATATATCCATCTTTTATAATTTTTACTTTTAACTTCTTAACAGGTCTCCATATACATACATTAAAAAAGCTCAACTTTTTGAATTTTCAATTTTTTTAGTTTATATATTTATTGCTTAATAAATGAAGAAAATAAAATCATACATTAATATAATACCTGTTTAACATTTTTTATATAGGTATAAATGTCATTAATAAAATAACACAATTCTATGAATTAAATATTCATATAATTATGAGTGAAATTATGTTCGATACTTTTTTTCATAATAATCATTATGGTAGAATGTTTAAATAAAACTTTAAAATTTGTGCATATAAGAGAATAAAATGACAAGTACTTGGAACACTTTTATTTTCTTTACATGACACACTAAAAATGTAAAAGACATTTAAAATAATATTTTTAGATTAATATGAAAGACCTTATAACAAAATAGACTTTTAATTAGATTTATGTCAGAAAAAACTTTTTAAAAATTATGGCACAGTTAAGTTTTATAAAAACAAATTCAACCCAATCTATTTTCATCCTACTTTGGCACGATGGGGAAGAAGGAAACAGTATCAATTTCTGAATGGGAACATCTGACTACTGTCTTTTTTTATTTTATTTTGTCATACGTTACACTCCAATTAATCTGAGTTGAATTAGTTAAAATTTATTTATGCCATATTTAATAAAACTAACGAAAAACTTATAATTACTAAAATAGGTTAAAATTGATAATTTATGTGTAACTAACTGAGTATAAATAATTATAAAATTAGCTGAAATATGTTAAATGAATGAAAATATGTAGCATTACATTAATATAGTATTAAAATTAAAGAAACAAGTGGTGATTTAGAGTTTATCATTATTTTAGTGTAAAAAAGAACATGATCCGTTCCTTTGGTTTAACGAATATTGGCGGGTTTGAATGTTGTTGGTGATAATCTTAGTAGGGTCACCTTAGGTTAGAGAAATAGATCCAATCGGGTAAAGAATTCAGATTATCTGATACACGAATTATCAAATGACAGTGACATATTCACATCTGAATTCCCATTCATTTTAAAAAAGACAAAGTTTGAGTACATTTTGGGCCTCTGTTTTTGTTCGGTGTTTTGTCTTTGAAAAATAAAATATAACAAAGTCTACTTGATTACACCCAATAGTTGTTGGAATGGGGGGGGCCTGGGAATTTTTCACAGCTTGATGTCACGAAATGGAGGATAATACAATTACCAAAGAAGCAGTCAGAGATAAAATTGACCCCCACATCAATTTGCAAAATAAAGCCTCTTTTACCTTTCTATTCTAAGGATTTTGCTCATCATTATCTTGATGCTATTCATTTTAAAACTATTAATTTTAAAATGTACATTTAATAGGGGTAAATAAGATTATGAGTTTCTGGCGATATCTCGAAATGAATTGAGGGGAATAATAAATATAGTTTTGGTTACGGAATGATAAATAAGGGTAAGAATATAAGATCCCTTCTTGAAAAGGGATCACAGGGGTAGTAGTCTAGTTAGTCCACATTCAAAATTTAGAACTTCAACTTTTTTGGTTAATGTTTTCTAGGGATGTTCTGTCTGTTCCGTGAAACCTTTGAAAGCGACACGACACATGATTGTTCTTCATGTCTTTGTAATGATCCCAAATAGTTGTTGATAAGCATTACCATCACTACTACTTTTGTCAGCCTCATTAGTTACCGGCTCAAATTTTAATCTCACTATTTTTAATAAAAAGGGTTTATTTTTATTAAAAAACATGATTTTTTTCATGTATCTTAATTATATTTAATAGTGTAAACTGAATTTTGTTCAACTGTAAAATGAAGAAATACTTAATTCTTAATTCCCTGAACCCACATCCCAAAGAGCAAAGGCGAAGAGAACAGTGCCAAAATGCTTGTTTTTGAGGGCAGGCATGAGCATGGGTGCACGTACAACTGACATTGGTATTTGGCAGGCAGCCATTGATTGTGGCAACTTCATGCATTGCATTGCATTGCATTACACACTGTCCGGATTTCCAAGCACCAGCAAGCTTCACATTTTGTTTGAGTGATGGTGACTGCTTTGAGCCCTGTTCTGTCACTGTAATTCAACTTGGGAAGGGGTTAAAGTTTTTTTTGTGGTTTCTGCAAAAGGGATTTATGCATGCTGTCCCTCCAAGAACTTGGAGTAGAGTAAATTTCAAAAACGTCCGTGTTTGGGACCACGAAATAAACCACAATAAAGGTCCTTTGGCTCCAAACTCTAGTACCCACATCCCAAATAATTAAGCATAGCAGCACACAAAGCCATTTTTGTTTCTAGCCCACGTCTATGGCCTATAAATGCAGCCTATAGTTGTGTGCTAATGAAACATGGAAAAATTTGAAATAGTGCTGCTTTCTGTCAAATTAGGAATCAAGTAACCGATACCGACTTCCAATGGACAACATTGGTTGTGCAGATCATTACAAATTACACACAATTACAAGACAAAATTCTTGATTTAATCCTTCACAGTTACATGTATCACTGTGTTAATATTTTAAAATTTTCCATCTCTAAATCATTTGTTTAGAAAATAAAATCATAACCTTTTAAACTTTTATTTATAACGACGCATGTGATTCATAAAAATGAAATTTTATTTTTAGTCTTTGAAATTATAAATATTAATCACTTCAAGTTTTATTTTTTTGGTTATGGTTTTATATTAAAAAGACTAGTATAAATCTTAAAATAAGATAGTGGACGCAGTATAGAAGAGTTTGAGAATTTTTGGTTGTTAGAATAGTATATAGGCCATTCCTGGTTTTGCATGTATATATATATATATTCACGTCACTTTATTTATCATACCCATCTTTTCAGAGAATATAGAGCACCTAGGGGAAGAGGAAAACACTGTCTAGATTTGATGTCATGCCATCCTTTCTTTCTTTATTTTTTCCCCTTCTTTTCTGCATTGCAGCCGTTACAAAGTTTCCTTTCTTTCCCACTCTTGTACTTTCTAAACTCTTCCTTCAAGGCCACTGCTAAATGCTTTGTGAGTGAAAACGTGGAACTTGTTGTGCCATACATATAAACAGTTTTGGTTTTAATTTTTCCTTGCTGGAATCTGCCATCTTTCTACCTTTCCCCTCTCCTAAGTGAAACTGCCTTGTGTATAACTGGTTTCCACAGAACTCCATTGCAAGTGCAAAATGAAGGACCCAGAAGAGCACCACCAAGTGAAATCTAGAAGGCCTCTTCAGAAATCCACAGAACGTAGCAGAAGGAGTAGAAGAAGATCAAGCCAGTGCAAGCCAGAGAAATTACAAGAAACACAACTTGATTTCTCTGCTACTTGCAAGAGTCTTGTGTTTCATCGCAGGCCTGGCTTTGGCCAACTTGGGACTAAGTGTCTCATCAAAGCTAACCACTTCCTTGCAGATATATCTGTATCTGACTTGATCCATTACAATGTAAGCCTATTCTATTCTACTGCGTTGTTACTTCAATTTATTTATTTTAATTATTTTTTTAATAATCAAGTCCAACCATGAAATTGCTACAACAGTACAACTTGTTTTGAATGATGAAGTTTCGAGGGGTTGTATCTGTCAAGTGTTTTTGCTTTTAACTCACTTTGTTGTTGTGTTTTTTTTTTCCCTTTTGCCAAGGTTAAAATAACACCTGAAGTGAGTTCTCGTAAAACAAACAAGGCTATCATAGCAGAGTTGGTGAGGCTTCACAAGAACAATGAATTGGCCACGAGGCTCCCTGTGTATGATGGAGGAAGAAACCTTTACACTGCTGGTTTGCTTCCATTTACATACAAAGAGTTCAATGTTATGTTGAGCGAGGGTGACGATGTTACCGGTAGTAGCAGGTATTGTTCAAGTTATCATGTTCACAACAAAAATAATTTGTTTTGTTCTTAACTGATCCTCGAAGAATGTGTTTTTGAATTTGCAACCGACATTCGGTCTATTAGTATGTTAGTGTCTTAAGTTGGCTTTCAATTATTTTGTTGCAGGCAAAGAGAGTTTAGGGTGGCAATCAAGTATGCAACTCGTGTTAGCATGCATCAACTACATGAGCTTCTTAGTGGGAAACAAGTGGACACCCCACAAGAAGCACTAAGCGTTTTTGATATTGTGTTAAGAGAGCTTGCGGCTCAGAGGTGCATTAATATTTTTATGTTTAGAGTCATTTGGGGCTGTAGATTCTACCAATTTATTTTTGTCGTTTCTTATGACTTAATGTGTATATGTTTAGTTACGTGTCAATTGGGAGGTTTCTCTATTCTTCTGATGTAAGAAAACCACAGCAGCTGGGTGGTGGTTTGGAGTCATGGCGTGGCTTTTACCAGAGTATAAGGCCCACTCAGATGGGGTTGTCACTTAACATTGGTTGAGACTTCCACCTCAATTTTTCCTTCCGTGTGTCAATTTTAATGATATCCTTTTGTCATTAATAAGCTGCAATTCTTAGTTTTGTCTTGTGTTTTCCTCTGTCATTAATGTTTTTCCAATTATGTTTGATTACATTCAGATATGTCATCAATGGCATTTATTGAACCCCTTCCTGTAATTGACTTTGTGGCTCAAATTTTGGGAAAAGATGTTCACTCAAAACCCTTGTCAGATGCAGACCGTGTCAAGGTATGAAAGTTGCTGGTTTTTGGAAACTCAGCAATCATTGTTGCACAAACACTATTACGTTCTCACTCTTCCACAAATAGTTTATGCTTGCATGCATGCTCCATGGTCTCCACTACACCATCTTGACGATTCGCTAAGAATGAATGATATAATTTGCTTAAAGCTTCATAGGTTCAATCTTTAGCTTTCTTCTGGCTATTTATATTTTGAATAACGTTGGCAATTTGGCATATTCAATCATAGAAATTAGTATAATTTTGTATGGCAAAGAGTCTTTTACTCAAAGACGTACTAATAAATAAAATAGCAGATGACTTGTAACGATCCTTTTCCAACCATACCTTTCTTTTGGACGAAAATGAGTTTTCTTATTGGCCTGATCTTTAAAATCACTCCCTTTAGCGGTTATTAAAGAATTTAATTAGCGATATCTGTAGCTCTCAAATCCAGAGAAGCATTTAATTAATATTTAACCAAGAAATCTTTGTGGTGGCACTGGCAAGCAGATTAAGAAGGCCCTAAGAGGTGTAAAAGTTGAAGTTACACATAGAGGAAATTTTCGAAGGAAGTATAGGATATCAGGACTGACTTCACAGCCTACGAGGGAGCTTATGTATGGCTTTTTAACTTCTGCAAATTGAACTTCTATTTTTCAGACATGACTTCCACTGAAATGACTTTCTCTTTTCCCCCTTAACAGTTTCCCTCTTGATGAGCAAATGAACATGAAATCGGTAGTTGATTATTTTCAAGAAATGTATGGATATACAATAAAATATTCTCACCTACCTTGCCTTCAAGTAGGAAGCCAAAGGAAGGTGAACTATTTGCCAATGGAGGTAGCTGTTTTCTAATCATATAATTCTTTCTATTTGATTCTTGCTTTTCTGTGGAGAACTTATGTGAATTTTGTCCCAGGCGTGCAAGATAGTTGGGGGCCAGAGATATACAAAAGGGCTAAATGAAAAGCAGATTACTTCTCTGCTAAAGGTCTCATGCCAGAGACCCCGTGAACAAGAGACAGACATTTTACAGGTCATTATCATGTGTGGTTGATATATTACCTTCCGTTCTTCCCTTTTTGATTTATTTTTGTTTTTCAGAGTGAATTGAACATTATGTAGTTTTATTAGGTCCTTGCCATGTATTAATTGCAATCATGATAACTTCATCTTCATCCTCTATAGTCATGTAAGCTCTTCTTTTTCAAGCATAAGGATTGTGTTTGGTTTGCTTTAATAATCTAGAACTTCCCCCTTCTAAATACAGACAATTCAACAAAACAATTACGAGAATAATCCCTATGCAAAGGAGTTTGGCATCAGCATAGACAGCAAGCTTACATCAGTTGAGGCTCGTGTTCTTCCAGCTCCATGGGTAATATTCTCATGATTAAATTGTTTACAAATGTTGTTTGCTTTTGTCATTATTTTGTTACTATATATGCACTCCTTTTCCCTATAGTTAAAATATCATGACACTGGAAGAGAGAAAGAATACTTGCCTCAAGTTGGTCAGTGGAATATGATGAATAAGGTCAGTTCCGACATGAACCGATAATAGTTGTAATTCTTTTATTGAAAGAAAAGAAAGGAAAAATACTTGTACCCAACTGATTGTAATTCTCATAATTTTAATGCAGAAAGTTATAAATGGAAGTACTGTAAGATATTGGGCCTGTATCAATTTCTCACGAAGTGTTCAGGAAAGTACAGCCCGCGGATTTTGCCAACAGTTAGTTCAGATGTGCCAAATTTCAGGCATGGTAAAGTTTCATTTTAGAGACTAATTATTTGAGTAGCACTCTATCCATACTCCCTTTTCCAATTATAATTATTCATCTTCCACTGCATATAATCATCAACACTTAATACATTCATTGTTAGACATGTGACATAACATTTGTATGCCTTCACCTTATACTATAGCTTAAGCTTTTGGGTGGTGTGAAAGCCACTATGACCATGTAATTTAAAGTTTGATCTTTATCGTCCCCATTCTTATAAAAAGTTGAAGTTCAACACATGGTAGATGGACTTGTGCATTATATTTATCCACACTTCAAACCCAAAGGGTCTAGTGTGAATGGGCATGTTAGAGATGCAATATAAAATTGTTCATGTTGAACCCTAACATGTTAAGATTTTGGGATAGTTGGTTCATGTCAATTCATGACATAATACAATGGTGTCATTTAATCCATGTAGCTCAACCCACCTAGTGGATAAAGGCTCTGGTGAATGTTGTTTTCACAATTGACATTCGCATTATTCGTTTAAAATTTATCAGGAATTCAGTCAGGACCCAGTTATTCCTATATATTCAGCAAGACCAGATCAGGTAAAGAAAGCTTTGAAGTATGTACATTCTGCTGCTATAGACAAACTTGATGGGAAAGAGTTGGAGTTGCTGATTGCCATTCTTCCAGACAATAATGGCTCTCTATATGGTATGATTCTTGGTCACTCTTCCATTTGCATTACTTGATAAGCATAACTTAAGATGGCACTGGTATATAATTGCAGAAATGTTTAGAGGTAATAAAACCTTAATGTTTCTTCATTTTTTGTTACTAACACCTGTATAATGTTAATTCCCCTTTCCTCTTCCATATATTCTTTCTTTTGTTTTCTTTCTGAAAATTTCGTTTATAAATAACTTTTCAAGAGAAGGATGCTCAGTATTTGTCTCGTTATCTATATTTCATACCAGTTTTTTCTGTGAAGCAAAATTATTCCATGCTTGCATTAAAGAAACAAACTCCTCATCCAGGTGATCTCAAAAGAATCTGTGAAACAGATCTGGGGTTGATTTCTCAATGCTGCCTTACAAAACATGTATTCAAGATTAATAGACAGTACCTGGCTAATGTGGCACTTAAAATCAATGTCAAGGTCTGTTACTATTACTTGAGCAATCATACTTTACAATCCAGAGTGGCTACATGCTACATTAAAATATTTAGTTCAATCTCTTAACTCATTCTTTTTTTTGTTATTATTATTTCCATTTTTCAATTGCTTAAATAAATGATTTATGCTTTTAGATGGGAGGAAGAAACACTGTACTTTTGGATGCTTTAAGTTGGAGGATTCCATTGGTTAGTGATATTCCAACAATAATATTTGGAGCTGATGTAACCCATCCTGAATCTGGAGAGGATTCTTGTCCATCCATTGCTGCTGTAAGCATTCCCAAACTCCTCTATACAACTAATAGATGCCATATATTTGATATTATACGAATTACTATCATCCAGGTTGTAGCCTCCCAGGACTGGCCTGAAGTAACAAAGTATGCAGGGTTGGTTTGTGCTCAGCCTCATCGCGAAGAACTCATTCAAGATCTTTTCAGATGTTGGAAAGATCCACAGAGAGGTGTAGTTTATGGTGGTATGATCAGGTACTTAAGTAGCTTCTTCCTAAATTTTAACCATCTACGCAATGTGTCTTTGAGAAATAAGTTTGTGTCAAATTTTTATACTTGGTTTTGTGTCATAAATTTTATGCTTGGTTTTAATTCTTGTTATAAAATGCTCACAGCCTTTCTGGCTCATGCATGTGCATTACACTTAAGAATGTTTGTGTTCAATCATTAATCACTGGGGAAATCATATTCATAACATTTTTTCAGCATTTATTATTTGATGTTATCCAACATCTGTATGCCAAGTTAGTTCATATTAATTTGCGATACCGCAGGGAGCTTTTACTATCATTTAAGAAGGCAACTGGACAAAAACCATTGAGAATAATCTTTTACAGGTGGGAGTGATATGCTTTGATACTTAGAAGTAATTGTTCTTCTGAGGAAGTTAAGAATTCGGAGTTACTTCAATTATAATGTTATCCAATTTGTTTTCAGAGATGGAGTAAGTGAAGGACAGTTCTACCAGGTTTTGCTATATGAGCTTGATGCCATCCGCAAGGTACTTGGACAAAAGACCTCAGTATAGTAATCTTTTTTATTTCTACGGGATTCTCCAATGCTTCAATTCGTACTGTCTATAGGCTTGTGCATCTCTGGAACCTAGTTACCAACCTCCAGTAACATTTGTCATTGTTCAAAAACGGCATCACACTAGACTCTTTGCAAGCAATCACGACGACAGAAACAGCACTGATAAGAGTGGAAATATCTTACCTGGTAAAAGTCTTTTGCTTCTGCCAGTTATTAAACCTTGTGCTTGCCACTAATTTAAGGGTATCCATGTGCATATGTCTAAATAATTTTCTGCTGATGGGTCTGCTCATATATGTAGTTAGTAGTATATATTATTTGGGTTACACTCCAATTTCATTACTGCGATATTAACAGTCTCTGAGTTGAGCAAGTAGTCTGATTGTAATGTAGGTACTGTGGTGGATTCTAAGATCTGTCATCCTACAGAATTCGACTTCTACTTATGCAGTCACGCTGGAATTCAGGTATGATAATGGTCTTTTATGTTGCTTGTACATTTGATAGGGTTAGATGTGTGTCGAATTTCACAACGAGCCTCACATTGTTGTAAATCATTAATATGTCTAGCATGTACAGCATTCAATTTATGGGGTGAGTGGCAATTTACAGGGTACAAGTAGACCAGCACACTATCATGTTCTCTGGGACGAAAACAATTTCACTGCTGATGAGATTCAGTCTCTAACCAACAACTTATGCTACACGTAAAAATTTCTTTTTAATCATCTCAAAATTTTTATGATCTATTTTTAAAGTGGACATAACCTTGCCAATATTTTGGTTGCAGTTACGCAAGATGTACGCGGTCTGTTTCTGTAGGTAATTCTCTTGCTCTTGCTAAACGATAAACATAAATATTGATGTAATCTGCCATTAGATACAGTACTTTTAGTTTCAAATACGAATGCTTCATAACCAACGTATACGTGGTTTAAGTGATACGTGCTTTATTCCCTATAAGCAAGGTCTCAGTGTTCGAGAGTTATGTTTTTGTGTATAAAAGAATTCACCGCTAGAAAATTTGATCTCACCATGTTGTGGATAGGGAAGATACTTATGGTTTATAAGGAACAATTATATTAGAAGAAACAAAAGCAAACATTGAAATAATTGGTTTAGAAGCTTATTAGTTAGTGTTGTAAAATATAAAATTTATGGGGTGTGCAGTGCCTCCAGCATACTATGCTCATCTAGCAGCATACAGAGCTCGATTCTACATGGAACCTGAAGTTGCGGAGATTGCTAAGCTGCGAGGTACGAGATCGAAAGAAGGGTCCGTTCGGCCACTGCCTGCTCTGAAAGAGAAGGTGAAGAATGTAATGTTTTACTGTTGAATGAGGGGCAAAAAGAGGCTTCCAAGCAGAATAAGAACAGCACATATAGTAAACGGAAACTAATTGAAGATGAAAATGTTCCCATGTTCATATTATAAGAAAATTCTGCAAGAAAAATTGGGTGTCTAAAAGTCTTAGTTTTCTGTGTTGTGCAGTTTTGAAGTAAGTTTATATTCAGATGGGTTGGTTGCCTAGGACAATTTCATTCCTGTCAATGATCCAAGCATGTGTATCATTCAATTTCAAGTAAAGGCCCCAAGAATGTGTATCACATGAGTTTCTATCGGTCCTTGTATGATTAATTTTCAAGTTTTGAAAAAGTTTAGTGGAAAAGTTATTGTTAATGTAAAAAGTGGTCATGTACAGTGTTTTCCCTCACACTAAAAAACTTTGTCAATTCATGGGAGGATCTAAATATCCATTAAAATTAGACTTCACCACCAGCAAGGAGAAGCCTAAATCGGCACATTGTGAAACTCATGCACGTGAAAATCCAAGATTGACCCCGTCCCATCAAGATGATTGACTGTGGTGTTTCTATTGAAACATTTTCTGCTTATATTCAAAGTTTCACTGATAATTAATTTCACCCTTTCAATTTATTAGTCATTCGAATGCTCAGCCTAATTAATTAACGTGGGTACATGAATTTGGTTGCTTTAGATATTTTCATTCAACTTGCCTTCAAACTTCAACTCACGTGCATCATGACCCTTCTTCATGGATACAATAGGGTCAACCATGGTAGTTGAAATATGAAACAAATGAAAATCATGGGTCCAAGGGCAACGGTATACCAAACATGAATGATAATAGTGATTGAGTCGGCTAATGCTGAGAACAACCTCGGCAGAGAATAGATTCCATTATCCAAAAGACAGAGAAGGGTGTAATGGGACCTCAACCCGATGTTGTATGTCCCCAAGTTTTTCTTTACGGAAAGCATACACAATTAAGGATAATTTATATTTTTTTAACAAAATTTCAGAAAACTTTGATAAAATGGAAGATTGTGAATTGTGATCGTAAAAAACAACGATTATGTATTCATAGTTAAAAACAAGTCTTTACACTTATAGATGAAAATCATACTATAATTTATACGTTGTTTTAACAAGTATTATTATATCTTGTCAGAAAATATTGCATAATGTCATTTTAACAAGGATCGTAAAGGGAAGGCGTCATAAAAAAGTGCACCAAGATCTTGTTTGATTAGCAATTTCTTAGTAGAGCCATTTAATAGTGGAAATATAACAATTTTATACGTTGTTATGCATTTGAATAAAATAGTTTAATTAAACGTTGACTCAATAGTTTTTTCCAATGAAGATTTATAGTATAAATTTAATTATAAAAAAGTATTAAAATAAATTTAAAATTATAAATCATTTTTATCTTAATTCATATTTATATGTGATGTGATGTTTGTGAATAAGAAGATGGTTTTGGTATTTGAATTGGCGGAATAGTGGGAATGAACGGCACAGATATTTATTCATTCACATTGTCAACTTTCTTTAGAGGCACAATAGATCAAAAGATACACACGTCTGGGAGTTAGAAACTGAACTAAGTAGCTTTGTAACTTAAATATGGATGAAAAGACACTTAACATTTATTTTCATTTTGGTGGGAACAAAAATCTTTCTTAATTGCAATAATGGCATAATTAAAACAAGTCAATTTCTAAATTATGGGTATTTAGCAGTTTATGTCAGGAAGGAATCAAGCACATTTAGATAATAACACTAAATGTATTAAAATATTTTTGAATTAATAGATGATCTCTCTGAAACTGAAAGAAGGAGCAAATATTAGCAAAACAAGTTTATGACAATCTCTGATGGAGGGAAAGCACTTGAACCAGACTCAATAATTTTGCGATGTGTTTCAAAAATATGTGACTGAAGAGACTCTCACCGACGTCCATGGCGCCCAAAGAAGGAGAAAAAGAAGAGAGAGAGAGAGAGAGAGAGAGAGAGAGAGAGAGAGAGAGAGAGGGAAATATACAAAGTTACAAACACACTCTATCTGTTTACTCGGTGACGACAATATTGTCCGTTTCATTCTTTCCTCCTCAGCGATCAAAACGCAGCGTTTCGCCATCCAGGAGCGGCGCGGCTTGCCAAGCCGAAGCCGCAATCAGAGAGCGGCTATGCCAGCCCAGAGTCAAGCACCCTTGGTTCTCTTCAACGCAGTAACCCTCCGCAGAGAAGAGAGTCAACAACATGCTGGCTTGCTTGAACGCATTGGAACCCAAATGCAAGGGTCTGAAGCCGGCTCTCCCGAGCCGCTCCCTCCACTTAGCCAGCGGCTCGTGTCTCTCGACCCGAGCCGCTCCCTCGCAGCACACCACGTTGCAAATCTCTCTCTGCAGATACATCTCCGCCAGCGCCTTATCCGGCTCCACCGGACACGCCTCCAGCGAATCAAAAACGGTCGAGTAATAATGCAACGCTTCCGTGAACCGCTCCAAAAACCCTTCACCGTTGTGGTTCGCTTCCTGCTCCACTACCGTCACGATCTTCGGGTTCAAGCTCCGGATCCATCCCAACACCACGTCAATACCCGAACCCGAACGAGCTGGGTCGGATTCCGACCCCAGAAGTCGATGGAGCTGCATGATTGAGTTCACCGCCACCGCCTCCTTGGGACTCACCTGAAGCATCCATGGCTTCACATCCTCCAGGCGCCACGCTGCCACGCCGCGAAACGCGAAGCGGACGTTGACGGAGCGAGCCAACTCGGCGAGTCGCAGGCCTATTTCGCGGAGCGAGTCGCGGTCGTCCGGCGAGGGAGGACCGATGCCGGTCAAACGCAGGAGGGGGGGCCCACCAGGACGAAGCGCCAGGATCTGAATAAGCGCTGGCCATTGGAGACCCTGCATGAGGTTGAAGTCGATGACGTGGACGCAATCGTGGCCGTTGAAGGCTTCTAAGATGGCTTGGTTGGCGGTGAAATGAGCGAACTTGAGGTATGGACAAGCCTCGTAGTAGTGGTGATAGAGCACATCGTTCTCGTAAGGTGTGCTTAGGAAAACGTTTTGCGCCAAGATGCGGCGGCTCAGCGCATCGATGAAGTAGCCAGCCACTTTTCCGATGCCGCAGTTGGTGTTGACGTGCGCTAACAACCCTTGCATGCCCTCGATGAGGGAGCCAGCGAATGAGAGGTCGCCACGTTGCACGGAATCTGCACACGTCATCATCATGTGTACGAGCCTTATTCCCGAGTCTTCTTCCACGGTTGTTACCAGCGTTAGTTGATGGCTTTGATCTGTGGCGAGTTGAGGTAGCTGAGAGAGTTCGTAGGGTATGGACACTGTTTGGTCCAACTCCGAGAGGAGTGTGTCCACCCACGAACCTATGTCTGAGGGATCGTAGAGTACCGTTTCCGAAGCCAGTTGAGATATGTCGGTGGATGAGTTCACTATCACGTTCTCTAAACGCTCCAGATTTTGCGCCACTTGACTCAGCTCCGATGACCGCACTTTGTAACCCACCCCGGCGAGTAGGTCGTCGATTTCCCTTGTCTTACTTCCACGGGAACTGGCGTTCGAGGCAGATGATACCGATTCCATGGATTTAAAGGATTAAATGAAAGGAAAAGTAATTTATTAATGGATTCCCGAGCCTCTCAAAGCATGGGTTTGTTGACATGAGGGTGAGGGTGAGGGAAGAGAAATAATATAAATGATTTGGGGGCACTGAGGAGTGAAAAGTGAGTGATGAAAAAGAAAAGAGAAAGAGAAAGAGGGAAAGGGATGGGTGAGGAAATTAACGGAGGTGGCTTGTATAATGAATGACGATGATGTGTTGAGTAGCTATCTTCTGTGTTAGTGCATCAAATTGATAGATATTACTACTTATATAATTTCTGCCTTTTTTTTAAAAAGGTGCCCCTAATGTCGCGGTAGCGTGCCTACGATTTTTGGTAGCCTAAAGGTGGCAAAGGGGCATAGATAATTTAGATGCTGCCAGTCCCATCTTGGGATTTGGGAGGGACATTGACGCCAACAAGTGGCGTCTGGGTCTACTACTACCTCTACCACCATCCACCATTCTGATTTGTGAGGATTTCTGGGGCCAGATACCATAGTACAATACTGTTAAAACACTGAATTACTCTTGTTTACCTCACCTACCCAATACCAAATATGTTATCAATAGGAGGGTAACCATGTGTTAATTCCGATTTTCTCCCACTGTAATTACCTTCACATGCTCTTATGCCTTGTTGTACATGCACTTATTATTATTTTGTGTTCAATTTGAAAATGAGAACCTGACACACACTTGACTGCCCTTGGTTTCACGAGTTTGCTATGTTACTTTCTTCATTTAGCACCCACAGTATGCTGCAAATGAAATGTACCTCAGAGGGTGCTCATTAAAAATTAGGCACACATGAACTCATTTTAACATTTTAATGGCACATTGGGTTTCATTTGGATACCCGACCCTGGAGGCAGAGGTTGATGGGTCATATTTAGGCTTCCCAGTTTCCACATTATCTGTTTGTTACGCTTATTCTCTGCGGTGCACTAATTGGAGGGTGCTGATTCGTTTTGGTGAAAAAATTTCTAGTGTAGTCGCTGTCGTTTGCCTCAAATCACAACTAGTCCGGGTTAAGAGGCACATTACAAATATAATCCATACCCGAAAACCTATTTTTTTAGTGTAATGAACTCAGTGTTAAATTGTCATTATCCAAGTACTTATTACTGTCCCAATTAAACTCATTTAAAGCTTGTGAAGTTAAAATATGCTGCTGTGTAAAGTCCCTTGTGTATCTCTCTAACAGGAAAGTTTTGAGTGAAGCGCTCTTTGTGTGCTTGTCTTTTTTCAGACTCTGTAGCTAATAATGTGCACGCTTTATGCAACGCCCTTATTCACGTATGGTTGTTTTAGATTGATCAAACTTTCTACAACTTTATGGTAAATGGCTTTTCTTCAATTTGTGTTTGTATTGCAATTTGCAAGGGCCCTCTCCCTCTGTTCAGCCAAGTCCTTTCCCTACTTGCTTAATTAATACTTACTCTCCAAAAAATTTGGTTTAATGTACATTGTTGGGTAGCCCAAAAGTACAGTCTTTCTTTCAAGAGTGTGACGTCATCATAACTAGAATATTCCTCTCAGAGCCATGTGTCATAGAAAGGCATCTAGGGTATAGTTGCTGTTATATCATTTTAAAACACTAGCATCCAACGTCACATGAAGTAACATTTAACAACGTATTAAAGTATGTGATTAATAGCGCAATCAGGACAAGAAATAAATTAGCTATTAATTTAGTTCCGATATTTACAACTTAGCTACTTTAAAAAATATTAGTGTACCCAGCCTGCCTTGGCACTATGTAAGAAACACTTGTGTTATGAGATTGAGAAGGACTAGTTGTAATAAATTTAATCCAAGAGCCTAATTATCTATACCCTCAATCATTCTCACAAAGACGTACAAATTCAGGCATTTCATTAGAATAGAGAAGAGTCATCTGTTAATTAACTGGAGGAGTCAATTTGAGATTGTTTTCTGCTTATATTCTAATACGTATGTTTTGAGGACCTTGAGGTGATCATTTTCGAGTACGCCCAAGCACTAATTCAAGTGTTTATTCTTTTTCATCCTATGAATTGGGAATTATAAAATCTGAAATGTTTAATTATATAATACAAGCAATTATTGAGAGAGAAACCAATGGATTTTGATGCAACGTTGAACGATGGTAGGTTCAATTGAAAGGTGGGATTATATTAGTGTATTAATTTCAATAAACAACTTATGTCAATCCAAAAGCGTAAAAGCCATTCCTGGCGTACATGGGTGATCACTAACGTGGTCCACATATTAGGGACCATTTCAGAAGCCCAAAAAGGCTAATATATCAGGATTCTTTGGTGAAAAAAAATTACATTTCTCGGAATTTGAAAGTGAAAGTGAAAAGAAATTACAAAATTTAAACAGGGAAGGAAGATATTATAAGTAGTAGATATTATTATGTAGCATATCCTATATAAATAAAGAATAGCTAAGCATAAAAAGTGGTTTGTATTTCAGCATCGAAGTTCTTAAAGGCTTAAAATTGTTTCAGAGTTCCACAAATGGGAAGAGTTTGTGAGCTGTAAAAAGTGGTCCTGGAATTAAGTTAACATGGCATTTGGGACCATTTTACAAAGCTCACAGTGCACGGACTTAAGAGAAATGCAAGCATCGAGGAGGACCCTGACCCTGTGCCTGTGGTGTATTGGGGAAAATAGAATGTGACCACGTCCAAGTGTGTGTGAGGGAATCAAGAACATTTTGAATTCAAGTGTTGAAAAATAATGGCGTGTGGTGTTACATAGTACAATGAACGAGAACGTGTGTGTGAGAAGGAAAGAGCGATGCTGTTGGGGTTGGGACCAAATATCAAAGGGTTTTTCCTGTCTGTGAGAACGTGTTATGTTTGGAACAGTCGAGTCTATAATTCTCCTCCATTCTGTTCCTTTTGCTGACACCATCACGTTATTGCATCTCCCTTATTGATGCAGAACAAGTAGGTGAGAAAGTGAGTGGCTCATTGCTAGATGTGGACGTTGGTCGATATTCCTATTTACTTTGATGGATATTCAACATACCCCTTCGAGTAGATTTTGATTCGGGTAGGGTTACCTGGCTTTTCTCAATTTGATTTGCAAAGAATTTAACTTTAAGCTCAAGTTATTCATCCACACACCACTTCCTACTACTTGAATATTACATAAGAAAAGGTCTTGCATCACTTTTCAAGTAATGTTCACAGGAACTTGAACCTTATTTCACGCTTTCCATACTACTAATTAGAGTTGAATAACTAATATTACTCAAAAGTAATTTTCTTTTATTTTCAGTACCATCACATACCATATATGGCTCATCCGGAGTAGCCATTTTCTAGTTACTTCACACTAACTATAGTTCATCCATTAAATGGTTTTAGTAAAATATACATGGACAAGTGGTGGCATTACTCTTGAGTTATATCCATTTATTCAGCAACATTATATTATAATCATATTTACATAGTAATCATCCTGAGCTTCATAGTTACTATGTACATGCTTATGCACAATTGGGATGCCTCATACAATAATTTAAAAAAAGTGTTGGATCATGGCAAGGTTAGCCCAGACGAGAAGCTTATCCCAGCCATGTTCCAACCCTTCATTTTGCAATCAGGGAGGGGCATCCAGGTCCACTGGTTCCACTTTGTATCAAAAGACAGCCATGTCATGTCCCAAAGTCCCTCACAATTAGAGACCAAAGCAGCCCTAACGATGCCATTTTTCTCCTCCAAGCACCCCATCATCACTGCATAAGGCTTCTCAATCACCCTCATCACTTCACCAGGAACCGTAGACACAAACTCCCAGTTCCTTCCGTCCAGCCTCACACCCCACAGTTCCACACCTTTCAACACCCTCAAGTTCCGACCAATTCCATCCTCTCCGGTGATCCTCGCCCCCTCCGATTTCACAATCATCATGTACCCGTCACCGTACACGTGTAACCGATCAATCACGTTCCCCCAGCTGAATCCAACGGTTAAAAGGCCATCGTTATTTCCACTTCCCCTGGCATCATCAAATCTTGGCCGTAGAACCACCGGAGCATCACAGTCGGGCGTGGACGCAACCAAAACGCTCTCTCGAGGTCCATGAACCACGTTCAAAAACACGTGTCTCCCTCCACGTGGCAACAAGCCAGTGGCCTTATTTTCTTCTGCCTCCGTTGACTTCCACGTGTTAGTCTCGGAGTCGTACACAAACAAAACGGGGCGATTTCCCACGAACTCGGCGAACATGAAGCGAAAATGCTTCGAACCGGCGGGGTCGGTAACGAGCTTCATTCCGGATCTCCTCCACGAAGAGGTGCCACGAGGACCCAACGGGGAAGGAGGAATCTTCTTAACGGTGACGGCGACTAAGTTAACGGCGACGACCTCGCGAACGGTGTTGGAGGCGAAGAGGAAGACGTTATTGGAAGCGGCGAGGAAGTAGAGATCCTCGCCGTGAAAGTGTACGGGTTTGAGGAGCTCGGCGATGGGGATTCGGAACCAGCGATCGGAGCTCCGATCGGTGAAGGCGTGAAGCACGGCGTCGCGGAGCCAGCGCTTCTTGTAGACGAAGAGCCAGGTGGTGGAAGTGGACAGAGAGTTGCACTGGCGAACGAAGGCGTGGTCGGAGATGATTCTAGAGAAGGACTTGCTGACGAGTTTCAAACGAACGATCTCGGGCAACACTAGGGTGAGGAAGATGTTTTGGATGAGTTCTTGAGGGAGGAGGCAAAGTCCAATGGCGTTTTTGGGGGTTGAATTTCGATGATCGTCCATGTAAAACCTTATTGTGGGGGAGTGAGAGAGAGAGAGAGGGGGGGAGGATTTCAGGTGGGGCGTTGGAGTGTGGGATTAGCTGTGGATGAAATATATATGAAAAAGTCGTTGTCTGAGTGTGGTTGGCTTTTGACAGGGATGAGGTTCTTTTATTGGTTAGACAGTGACGTTGGATTTGTTTAATTATGTAAGACCTTATTAATAGCCACATAGGACACTATTCTCGACAGGAGCCATCGTCAGGGGGCGGTTTCATGGGTGGCCATTCACTTCACTGCCTCAGCCCTCAGCCTCTCATTTTATATAAAATGGTTTGAGGGAGCATTCATCAGCTTTTGCATTAAAGAATATCAGCCTCAGCCTCAGCTGTGTTCTAGTGCGGGGATGAGTCACTCCTCATGCCTCTCCCATTAGAGGCATTCCCATTCAATTAAGCTATAATATCATTCAAAATTTAGTCCATTTGCTTGACCCTTTCTCCTAAACTCAAACACAGTCAACTTTGAGCTATAAATGAGAATCGGGCCGTGGGCCTAGCAAGCTTGAGCCCGTGACACTTGGTAACTTGTATGTGTGCCGACAAGACAAGCAAGCTCCATTTTGGAGATAGTGGAAAAATAAAATGTACTAGTATAAATGAGGACATCTTCATCGTTATATACGAATTAGACATATTCATCTAGCCACACTGGAAATGCTGAGGACAATTCAGCAGTAGCACGTTGGAAAGAAGCAAAGAATATTCATGGTTTCATCTTGTGGGGGCAGTAACCATACCACTTGTACCGAATCTTGGGTCGCATAATTTGTAAAGTTAGGGATAGAAAGATTCTAGTTGAATAAAAATTTTATTTTTTATTTCTATATCTATTGAGTTATACTCACTTAATTAAACTACGATTTTTATTTTTTATAAACTAATTAAAGATTAATTGAGAGCGCATCAAATATAATTTAAAATTATAATAAGCACTTATAAACATAAATACACTCGGAATTTCTAACATTAAACTGAAATATTAGAACATTTGAATCCCTCTTAATTAGGTCCACAATAACAAGTTGCACATGTAGAAAAGCACACATCATCATTTCATAGCCAGCATAGTATGAAATATATATAAAAAAAATACAATAAAGTAAAATAAAATATTTTTTAATTACAATAAATAATCTACTTTTATATATAAAATGTAAGTCCTCATTCATAAATTAAATTCTTTTAAATCACAACAATCACAAAGATGCAAATTTGTGATCAAATTAATTGATATTAGTAATTTTAAAAACTAAATCAATATTTTATATAACAAAATTGAAAACGAGAACATCTATACTTAAAAATTTACAATTTAAGTTGTTACATAATGTATCTTATGCTTTCATAATAATTAAAACCATGAATAAATAAATTTTTAAAAAATTCATTAAATGATTTCTTCACTTCAATTTAATGTATAGAAAATAATATAAGCTTGAAAAAAAAATCAAATATAGAAAGTAGCAAAATTCGTGGTGTCAATTCTCAAATAATCTCTGGTCCCATCCATTAGGTCCATTTGTTCCTCCAACTATCTAGTATGTGGCTAAGATTCCCTGTCTTCAGATTCCATACCCATGGCCACTTCCAACCTCTCCCACCGAATTTCGCGGCCGTTCCCCGCGGCGTGCGTCAATTTCCGGCCACCAAGCAGCGCTGTTAACCTCCGCCACCTGGCAACTCCGAAGCCCAGAAAACTGGCCCTCAAAAAGTGGGCGATCCAACTGAGCTTAGCGGAGCAAAGCCCACCGAAAGCAACAGTGTTCGACATACAGCAACTCGTGGGCTTTCTCTACTCGGATCTTCCACACCTCTTCGACGATCAGGGTATTGATAAAACGGCCTACGACGAACGCGTGGTTTTTCGAGACCCAATCACCAAGCATGATAATTTGAGTGGCTACCTTTTCAACATTGCTCTTCTCAAAACACTCTTCAGGCCTCAGTTTGAGTTGCATTGGGTCAAACCGGTCTGTTTCAAATTCAACGGTTTACTATTTCATTTTCTTCTCTATACAGAATAATAATATTTGTCGAATTGGACTAATGCAATTGCTATAGACAGGACCGTATGAGATAACTACAAGATGGACTATGGTCATGAAATTCGTGCTGCTTCCTTGGAAACCGGAATTGGTCTTCACTGGAACTTCCGTTATGGGCGTTAACCCAGAAAATGGCAAGTTCTGTAGCCACGTGGTGAGTTCACTGAGTTCTAAATATCTATCTAGGACGACATTCTATAAACAATTAATAAATATATAATTTTATTTAAAACTATAAAAAGTGTTTTGTTCATACTTTACTAGCATTTTTCTTAATTTACTAGTTTCATATTTGTATTTAACTTCTTGTTCCTAAATTTCGCAGGACTTTTGGGATTCAATAGAAAAAAATGATTATTTTTCTTTCCAAGGTTTGTGGGATGTAATCAAACAGGTATCTCTTGTTTTTCGCAGTCCATGTATTAGTTTGCTTTGGACTTTCTCTCAAATTCTTCCAAATTCCGTTCTAATTAGTAAGTTTTGACACCTTGCAGTTGAGGATTTATAAGACACCGGAATTGGAATCACCCAAATATCAAATATTGAAAAGGACGACAAATTACGAGGTCATTTTGTCACTCACTGACATAATTGTACCCATTAACCATGATGAAATAATGTGCTACGATTACAACTTTGTTAAAACTGCACCTTTCTACTTCATATGATCAAACATTAATACTGTAAGAGAAAGTTCATCGTTTCATCAACCACCACGCAACAATTTCGCAATTATTATTTGATGTATTCCTTTATGAATGATAAAAAAACAGGTTAGACAGTATGATCCGTTCATAATAGTAGAAACAAATGGAGACAAGCTATCTGGGTCTACTGGCTTTAATGATGTTGCTGGGTAAGATATAATTTCTGAAATGAAGCTACCATTTGTTTCTAGACCCAGATGAATGAATAGATGTTAATAATCCCCCTAAACAGATATATCTTTGGAAAGAATTCCACAATGGAGAAGATACCAATGACTACTCCTGTCTTCACTCAAGCCATGGATGACCTGTCCAAAGTGTCAATCCAAATAGTGCTTCCATTAGACAAAGAAACAGAAAGGTATGTCTCCTGCAGGCTTTAAAATTTTGAATAAATTTTGTTCTGAGAGTTGCATGTCTTAACTTAGTAAAGAAATGCAGTTTTTGTAAGAAAAAAATGAAAACAAAATAGAAAGTGTAATTTCTGTAATTGAATTTGTGATTTTGTGCTTACTTTTGAATCATTTGGCCAGTTTACCAAATCCTAATCAAGAGACAGTTCGCTTGAGAAAGGTTGAAGGAGGCATAGCAGCAGTAATAAAGTTTAGTGGAAAACCCACAGAGGATATTGTTCGTGAAAAGGAGAAAACCCTGCGCTCCAATGTCATTAAAGATGGTCTTAAACCTCAGGTTGGATGTTTGCTTGCACGGTACAATGATCCAGGTCGAACATGGTCCTTTATAATGGTATGCTACAAAACCTGCTTGAGTGTTGTCCACTGATTTCTACTATGCATGCTGCTTGCTCTACTATAGCTAATTCCCAGTGTAGATACCTAATGCGCACTGCATTATTAGGTTTAAGACTAATTACAAAGAGAAATAGCCCAAGTTTTAGGAGTGACTTCGTGTTGTTGACGTGTTCTTATTATTTTCCTCAGCAATAAGCCACAACTTGAACTGTGTGTTTGCTTAGAGACTATTCAGGTTTAAATCTTACCAAAAATTAATATAATATATTTCAGTGGAGCAAAGATTGTTCTTAGATAAAATTGAGCTTAAACAAGCAAACTAGGATGCCATGAATAATTTGGGGACTTTCTCTCGGTACAAACTATAGGTGGTGACAGCAATCTGCATCAAGAATTGGGACAATGCAAATGATCTTTTGCCTTGCAATTCTGATTAATCTTTGTGGTTTGTAGATTTGGTTCAGGTTTAGTATATATAACAAGCAGTAACTCTGCAGGGTATTATATATTTGCCTATCTTTTTGTTCCTTTGTTGTAAGGGGTGTTTATATACCTAGAAATGTCGTGGATTCTTATATACCTTTTTGGGTTGAGTACCCCTTGTACTCAAGTAATTAAATCTTTGCTTATTAAGAAAAAAAAGAAGAAGAAGATTTTGGGGTGTTATAGATGAGATGTTAAAATAGACCTAAAGAAAATAATAAACTAATTATATTTGTATAGAGATGAGATGCAATGAATAAAGACTAACCGATTAAGTTATTATTCTTTACCACAAACAGGGTAAGGCAACCTTTTCTGAGAATTTGGTTTCAATACTATTCTTAAAACCCTACTTGAACCTAGCAGTCAGAGATAGACAGAAGTGCTATAACGTTAACCCCAATTTTTCCTTAGTCTGTTGTTCGGCAGGAAAATGCTTAGCTCTAGCAATCTCACTCTACATGAGGTAGATCACAAGATTCTAGGTGACCCCCTCTCAAAATCCCTAATTATATCCTTTTGAAATCTATTTATACTTAGCTTTCCCTTTAGAATCCTGTAGGCAGGTCTTCATTGTCTAGCCGGTGTCTAAGTCCAAATAGGGTGTGATAGGTTTTTAATTAGGAATTGGCCCTTTATTCTTCTAATTTAATCAGATGAGATGAATTAATGTTAAGGATACACAATTGTTCCTTAGATATCTGATCACACTGCTAGGTTGTGCCAGTTACTAGGAAAAATCATGACTTTGCTTTTTGGTGCTATTCTACTATCTAGAAACCTTGGAGTTAGCTTCAGGCTACACAGGAAAGTTGTACAATTCTGTTTTAGCTTTCCAAAGTCGCTAGAATCACCTTGATTGCATTTGTCTAAGTCAACTTATACCCATTTTACAGAAGCAAGGTCAGAATCAGCAAGAATTTGCAAGCGATTTGATCTAATCCTTTCTTTTCTTCATCAAATTATCAATTAATTAATTCAGATGTGCTATTAAAGGCCTAAAATAATGCTGAAAATCATTTATTCATCTCCAAATGTATAAATAAAGGCACATATTTATCAGATTCTTTCCTGAACTGTAGAATATCACAAGATAAAAGTAGAAGCGTAGAACCCCACAACGGGATTTTATGTGTTAAATTGAAAAGCTGTTCTTGTTTCCCCTGGTCATGTGGCAAACAACTTATCTCATAACTATGTTAGTAACATCAGAATTGGCAGCGTAAGAAAACAAATTGAAACTGGTTGTTGCTCGGAGGAAATCACTCTAAGCGTCTATGATTTGTAGTGGAATTGAATGTCCATGAATTTTCTGCAATACATTATTCGTATTGGTCTGCTTCGACTTCTAGTTCCACTCTATTACTTTAGTTTAATGCATCCAATGAATTTCAATCCTTCTCAAGTATTATTTTTTATGCTGGAGCTAAAATTTCAATTTTTTTGTTTTCTTATTATTACTTGTATACTATAACTGCATTTAAGTCTTCTACTCTAATGCAACTGACAAAGAACATTTTCAGCAATGATCTAATTGCTTCTTTTGAAAGTTGTTACCTCAATTTGATACTTGTATGCTTAACTAGTGACAATTGCTTCATTTATTTTGTGGTTTGTGATATTGAAGAGGAATGAAGTGCTCATATGGCTGGATGACTTTTCGTTGGATTAGCATCAATGCAGAAATCATGGCTGCGTTTTATCATCACTGCACACGTCATCTTAATGTCATCCTCCAATGTGTTTGGCGAAGTATATGAAATATATTATTAGAATGTCTCTTCAGGTTCGTCAAGGAGGGATGTTTGGAACCAAAAATAGGCATATACTAAACTCTATACTACACACAGTAAAAGTTCGATTTTTTATTAGTGGCTACTCCTCGGTTTGTAAAAGAACAGAACAATTTTCACGGGCTATAGCCAGATTTGGTAATTTTTGTATTTATCGGTTAGTTGTTGATAGTTTGATAATTGCTATCTGGTCCTATTGGTGTTAGTCTTTTTGGTATGCTTGCAACCATGAATGGGTGTTACCGTTTTGGTGTATAGTCTGCACGCTGTGCCAACCATGACAGTTTTTCCTTATTAAAGTCTGCAACCCTGGTAAACATTTGCTTCGATTAACATGTCATATTTTAGAAAACCTTGAAGCAAGTTATATGCAAGACGATCAAAGTTCAAATCTTGAGTCTTGAAATTTTTTGTGCTCTTTTTTACAAGATACTTCTTTATTTCTATGAAATATTTATTTTATTTTTCATTTGTCTTTAATAAATAGAGTTAGTGAAAACTTTAACTAGGAATATATGATGATAGCGAGGTTAAGTTCAATGGTATTCAATAAAAGTTAAATTTTCATGTTAATAATATCTTTTGAAAAATTAAGAAATTCAACTAACTTTAACTACTTTTATTAGTTTGTGTAATTTAGTTAGAGGTGTCTTATAAAAAAAATCAGAGGGGTTATAGAAAATTATTTTTGATATATAGCATGGCATGGATTTAGTTCTTATATATATATATATATATATATATATAGGTATATAAAGTGAGAAAGTAAACATATATTCAACGTTGAATCTAAACATTTATTACTTTATCTTCTGATTGTAGAAGAATAAAATTCAACTTGACATAAATCATGACTGTTTATTAAATGAAAGTCCTTAAAAAATCGCATAATATTTTGTTTCAATAATAATAACACCATATTAAGTCAAGTAAATATCAAAATGATCATAAAATAACAAAGTTGGAATTATATTTATTTTAATAATAAAAATATTTTAATATATTTATGTGTAAGGGCATTCGTGGGTATGAATATACTAATAGCCGCACCTGCCACATTGATTAAGCAAGTAGTAAAAAATTATTTAATTAAACCTATGAATACTCTTAAGTATTAATTTTGTCATTCCTGATCACAACCGATGAAATATCCAAAACAAAGATATGAAATGTAGAAACAAGTTCAATATCATGTGCATCAATGTCAATGATCAATTCTAGTCAACAATCAAAAGCAACATGAAACATCAACTCTAGTCAATGATAAAATTCATTTGTCAACCTAGTCAATAATCCACTCGGTGACTTGGCGTTGAATCAGGATGATGCCGCAACATTGGCACAATCACTTATTGAGAATATCCCTTGAAATGCACATACACACGTAATTTTGCTATTATGGCCTATTTGTATGATTACACATTGTGCCTCGAAAGACTTCGTTACCAATTGATGTAAAATTATAACCACTGAGGTACTCTGTTTGGAAAAGTATAAATAAACAACAAAATTCTCCTCTACGATGAGTACTCCTCCACTCATAGAAATTAAGGACAAAAGTTATTTATTATTTTCAAGTCTATCAACTATCTATTAAGAGAACCTATTAATAGATTAGATATAATCATAACGAAATAGCAAATTAAAAAAATATTTCCAAATAACTTACTTTATAACTTTGTTAACGCGTGTCTAAAAGTATACGATAAAAAATCATCTATAATAATTTTTTATTAGAATTAAAATATTACAAAAGTTAATATAATTTTAAACAATAACTAATAAAAATTTACTATTTTTTTAAATTTCTTAACATGCATGTGTCATCGTTAGACAAATATTATGAAAACCTTTCAATTTAAATCAGTTAGTCTGCTTATGTAAATCTCCCTTGAAAGTTTCTATTATTGTTCCAATTGTTAGATAGTCTTATTTCTATGTATTAGCAAGAGAGAAGATAATTTACTCTTAAAACTTGAAATATTAATTGTGAAGATAAATTTTACTTTAATGTTAGGTAAACAATTCTTAATTCTAATTCTCTTGTTACTATGCTAAAGTCTGCGTGAATAAACTAATTTAAACTCTAGGAAACATTGAAGGCTTATCTTTCGCAATTAGTAGGAAAATGTCCCTCTCGTGTACTTTCCACTATAATGTATTCACTAAGTTAATGGAAAAGGAGATGTTCCAGTATGAAGCTAATTAGGGAATGGGTAACAGCTAGCTTGCTTCAATCTCATCATTACGGATGTGAACGTTTAACAACTTCGATAAATCAACTTGAAAGAATTTAACCACATTTAATGACCACTCTAAAATACAGTAGAACTCATTACAAAGCATTTACTTCAATTTTGAATCAAACTTGAATTTTATTTTACGCTGGATCCTGAAGACACTGGTCTTAGACCATGTTTGAGTGCAGCTTTCCATACAACATCGATCCTATCAACATCTATGGCTCCAACTTCGTGATGAGTCCAACCTTCAAGACTATGTACAACTCCTCCTGCATGGCATGCGTGAACTACTCCTCTCTCCATCGTGTACTGCGTTATACCAAAAAATAATAAAATAAAATAACAATGTGTAGAGAGAGATATTCAGAATGAAAATGAAGGGTTTGCTTAATTTGCCAGCTTTAAAATTATAAAAATGTTAATCTTAAACTTCCAGGCAATTTAGGAACCAAGAAAACGAAAGAGAGGGACATGTATATGATGAAAGCTCACCTCACAGCAGCCAAGGCCTTCCACATCTTCTGGTAACCTCATTGCCGCTAGATCACCATAAGTGCAGTCTCTTCGAAATGGCAAGATCGGTGGGACGACAAATTGATGGAAATGTGTTCCACGTGGCGCCCAGTTTTGCTCTCTTGGCGTGATCCACTTTCCAACAATCCAGGTCTGGATTTCAAGTAATCACAACGTAAGTTACAAGGTTTTTCCTTGTGTCGGCTCTATTATCGCCACATATTCGTTCAAATTGAAATTAGTATGAAATATGTTCAATTCATTCTGCTTTTTTTTTAAAAAAATTTCTTTCTTTAAAATAAATGTATCACTTTTATATAAGTAAGAGGATTTGTAAGTTCAAATAGTAGAAATATTTAACGTTATCCAATTAGTATTCCCTAATTTATTTGATAAAGTTTTAATTTTAATTTGTAGAAATTTAATTATTAGGAAGAAACTACAACAAACATTCGGAAAGGATGTCAGCACAGAAGCAGTGTCACTAACATTTAGAGCTGTAATTATAAAATATCACAAGTACCTTGCAATTTTGTGCTGCTTGGTATTTTGTTACTTGAACAAGGTAGCTTTGGTATTCTGGGGGAGCTTCCTTTTGAATTCTCTGAAATCTATCTGCTGAAAGAGTTAACATCTGCAATTCAGCTCTCAACCAATTAGTAATGGATCAAGATTGCAACATAAGAATCACGTTGTTAACAAGTTAAGATCCAAAATTACAATGTGGACTTCATGTATATCTCATATGAAAATAATAGTAAAAACTGGATTACGAATTTTATAAATTCGAATAAAAATGGTTCGAGCTAAAACAAATTGTTCAGCGAGGCAATTTGTTTTGTCATTGACATATTATTAGAGCACATAGTTGCCCATTATCACGAGACTTTATTCAAAATGAGTTCAGTGCATGGAGTTGTTAAGAGAACTCGATCGATAACTATAATCCATGTCAGCACCATGCATGATATTAATGACCAACATAATCAATCGGTGTCCCTCCTTTTCCGTTTACCTCGCCAAGTTGCCATCTCTCGTCTATAGCTTGTTATAGTCAATTGAGATTTATTGGTTCAATTATTTTGAAGCTACGAATAAAAAAATGTGGGAAAATATGTATGTGTTACTGCATGAACTAGAAAGAATATTTTTATAAGGATGAAGAACACATTTTAAAAATTATAAAATATCATAAAATTTAAAGTATTGATAATATTAAATATTATAAATTTTAAAAAATAATTATTTATTAATTTCATAGTGTCTTAAATCATAAATTAAAAAAAATATAAAAGTAAAAGATTTGTAGAGTTACTTAATTGAAAGGGGCAGTAATTGACAAATAAATAACTGAAAAACACTTGAAAGTGGGGATTTGTGGAAGACTTACCAGAACCTTCACCTTCTTTCGGCAAAGATAGAGAGCAATTGCTCTTCCGAGCTTGGAAGTAGCTCCTGTTAGGAAAACCTCTTCCACATCTTTAGGGATTTCATCCAGTATGACAGCTGCTGTTAAGGTATTCCCATGAACAACTCGAACTCTAAGGTTTGGGTGTTTGTCCACAAAAAGTTTTCCTCCCCCATTTAGAGATTCATTCTGTCCTCAGCGAATATTAAGAATTAATTGCAAACAAATCAATTGGTAATCCAACCCCGACCATGGTAACATTAAATCTATGCTCTATATAAAGCAATGACTGTTGCACCTTTTATGAACCATTATAGAATTGATAATTTAAATACTAGCTCCATCAAATAAAATTTCTACTTCTAAAAAGATAAAATCATCGTAGCAATGCCCTAAGTAATTGGAAATTAGCTTTGATTAGGTAATTTTAGTACAATTAACAACACATCAGCACCCAGCGCAAGAGAAACTTAAAGGAGGTGCTGCGTGAATTCTAAATTGAACGATCAAGGAAAGTTTGAAATATATGTTTTTTAAATATAATTTTTGTTAGTTCATATTTATTTACTATTTAAATACAGAAATGCAGATAGAATAGCAATTGCTATCAACCTCTAGCCTCGTGCATTTACAAAGTTAAGGGACCACCATTGATTTAATTAGCTGACGGATTGATCAACATGTATCCTATAATTATAATGTGCAACTATATGGATGGTTTTGTCAGGTATCAGAGATCAGCCTTACAAGACATTAAAACCCTCAACAACCATGTTCAGAGAATACCAGAATTCAATAAATTGTGTTCTTTTTTAGGGTTAAATTAAATAGCATGAGCTCTACCAAAAAATAAATAAATGAATTAAATGGCATGAAAAGTGTATGGAAGTTCAATGAGCCAAACCTTATTCAAAGCAGCCAAACTGATGACTTTCACCCCAATTTTATCAGCCCTGAGGATAGCTTGCTCAATTTGCTTATTGATGCCGTCAGTAGCAAATGGCAAGAAATACTAAAACAACATAGAAAGATGAACATAAGAGGTGATTGAAAACAAGAAACAATAATTATTTTTTAAAAAATCATTACGTACCATAAAATTAGAAGAATATTTTTTTTTATTAAAAGTTGAATATGATTGCTTTGAAAGTCACGTGAGAGAACACATTTATTGTATTTTTAACAAAAGATAATTATTTTTAGTTTCTTAAACTGTTTCTTTAGAACACTTATTAGCGTCTACCAAAAGAAAATGAAGGCAAATTTGTTAAAGATGAGGGTATAGTATTATTATTAATTACCCACCTGGAAGCCACACCTAGGTACAACCCAGGTTTGGTGTAGTCTACATCTGAGGTAGTAGAAGGAAACTAAAAAGGTCTTAGACCAAAGCCACATGGCTAACAAAGCTATCAAGGCAATTGGCCAAAAGGGGATCAAGAAGAGCCTCGTTCTGAATGGCAAAGAAGCGAAGGATCTGAGGCAGAACTGAACATGCATTGAGGATGTGACATCGACTATATGGGCCAGGAAAACAAAATCCGGTACCCTACTACCATTTCCTGCGTTGATTCAGAGACAAATTAATGTTGGCACCAATATCAGCGATGCCACAAAGAATGGGTTCGTAAATACATTTTACAACTCTGAAACTAATGCTGAGAAACACACGACAAATCATCATCCTCGTAGAAGAATTAATACATCTGGATGAACCATAATTTTGTAAATTACTATGTTGGATCAGTAAGAGTACCCTATCCATTCCCGACACGGGTGCCTACAAGTTTTACAAGTTAAAGGTTCTGTACTTTCTAATTTGTTGTAAAAATATCTATAATAAAAGAATTCAACACACTTTATAAGGATGAATTATTTAATTAAATTTTAAATCCTATTTAGTTTAGGTCATATTTATGTTAAATATAATTATTTTAAAAATAATTAATTTTAATAAATATCCAAGGGTATTCTATGTGTACCTACACGCTTCAGAATTATTTGTCATTTTGAATTACAAATTAAATAATAATAATTTTCTTGTTTATCTTTATTTATTCCGATTAGTGATGTTTCCGATGATTAAATCTGAAATAACTAATTTACCTACGTGATGTTTTACATTTATTGTATTTCTTAGACTACCTCACCTATCACATATTACAAAATTGGTCAAGTTTTATGGAATTGAATGATTTTGTGCAGTTATTTAGCTGAATTTTACAACAAAATAACACTGATTATTTTCTGTACCTGAACTGAATGATTCGTGTAATTGCCATGATTTGCTGTTAAGCGTGTGCCCTAGTGCGTCAAAGAGAGGCATGAAGAGGCAGAAATTAGAGGCCTTGTCAGTGTGGTGTAGGCTATGGTATCTGCATAGAAAGAAAAGAAAGCAACTGAATATACACAACTATATCAGAAAAGGAAGACTTAACTTAATAGTTACGTTCAATATTTATGTTTGTTTCTCTCTCTATCAATTTATAGAGAGGTAAATATAAAATTTAAAGATCACCTTCCATGTTTATAAAACGAAATAATGCGTATCCACTATCCAATTTCCTTGGTATTTGCACTTCCTATAGGAAGCTTTTTTGGTAATTTTGTCCTCTACTTTGCTATTGACCTAATTTGCTAGGAAACAATTTATTTTAAACTTGAATTAATTATTAATTACATACATAATATCTTAATTTCACTCTGAACAAGAATTAATCTAGAAAACGTCATTCATGTTTGGATACTGTGAGGGGAAGGAAAGGGAAAAATTGAAAGAAAAAAAAAAGAATAGGACGAATTCTATAATTTCATTTATTTATATGGCCATTTAAATTCTCTAAACAAGGTAAAGCTTTAAAAGTAAGTTGAAAATTCATTTTTCAAAACTCTAAAAAATAACTTTTAATTAACCAAAATTAATCGTTTCCCTTCAATGCTAAAACCCTTTAAAGCAACGTTCTCACCGATTTAGTAAATGGTACATTTCCATTTTTGGGCCATGGTAAATGCTATAACCTCTTATTACCAAAAAAAAAAAAAAAACAAACAGAGAGAAATTAATGCGAGTTTTTGTATATGTCAAGTGTGATAATTAATATGATGTAAGTAGAAAGGGTTTGTAATTGGTACTCGTGGCATAGCTCCAAACTAACTTACGTTGGTGTGTATAGGACATATCTCATAAATGGGAATGTCTTGAACAGCTTATGTGGAACAATTTCAACGTTGCAATGGCCCAAACATCTCATAAAATCAAAAATCAAAAGGTAACCATATATCAAACTTGCTGATCCATGTCCCATCAGAGAGGTCCCAAGGATCGGGATTCCAATCACTAGCGTCAGAAAAAGATGCTCCAAAACTGTTGCATTTCCAGCTGCATCATTAAAAAAAAACGTTTAATTTCAAGAGAACGAACATCTCTGTAATAAGCCTTTTCTGCACAGAACGGGTTCTCACTTCTCACCTGTTAATGACTGAGGTACTGGAGCTGAGTGGTGAAGTGAATGATAATTGGTGAAAAGATAGGGTCCATGAAACTTCCTGTGCACCCAATAATAAAGTGGTTCTGAGATTCCCACATGAAGCATCAAAGCTACAATAAGACCTTTCGTGTTCCAGAGACGTAAATTTTGAAGGCTGGGAAACATATAATAGGCCATGGAGCCAATTATAGCTTGGAGAATCAAGAAGTTATCCCTGTCAATGATGGTAAACCATCAAACCATTATAAACAAATACCATTTTCACAAAGAATAAATAAAAAATCAAAATTGACATGTATTTTATTTTATTTTTTACCAGTCCCACTCTTTGTCAATCTGCTTGAAATCGATCCCCTGTTGAAGAATCCGTCGATTTCGTGTAAGAAACAGCATATTACTGTAAGAATTCCACAGCACGTGAAGAAAACCTCTTAGACCGCACAGTATGAGCAGATGAAGGCACCAGCTGAAGCTGAGGTTGGAGTCTTCCACATATAACATTTCATGTAGTACTTTAGCCACAAATGGCCCGTACAAAACATACTATAATTCCATAAAAAAAATCAATTAATTTGAGATCATACATGTCAAAGTTCTCATTTTGATAAAAAAAAATATATATTTAGAATCAGGAAGATGCATTACTACTAGGTATATATACCTTGAATATCCCCAAGTTCTCCCAGGGCCAGGCTGATAATGGAGCACCCATAAGATACTTAAAAATAAAGAAAGTTTTACTGGTTTCTCCTCCTTCCCCTTGCTGATAAAATGTTGAAAAGTGTAGTGGGTATATTGTAGATCACTTAACCAACTAAAAATCGACAGCAAATAAAGTCCGAAAAGCTATAGGTAGCCCTAAAAAAAATAGGGAGAGGAGAATGAAGGAAAAAGGAAAATGGAAGGTATTATGTCTTAGTGTGAATGAAGAAAGAGAGTAAAGGGTGTGATCTGCATGAAGGTGATGAGTAGAAGGTATTTATAGGCTTAATGAAAGAGGTGAGGATGGAGATGCAGATGCAGTTAGTTATCTCTTTCAGAGGCACCTCAACCGTCTGTGATTAAGAATATTATATTGAAAGTGAATGTTATAATTGTTGCATTGCTAATTGCTATAACTCGCCACTGCCGGAGACCTTCCCATTAGTAAATGCGTTATATGGTTGGGAGATGGCAGATCTTCCCTTTCATATCAATATATGTCGGTTCAATGTGTGCTTCTAAACCCTTCAATCTGTCGGTTCACTATTTTATTTATTAATTTTATTGCATAACTAGTTCATATTGAAACCCCCACCTTTTCCCTCACCAACATTGCTAGACCATGATTTACCGTTTATTTCTTTTAATGCTTTAATAAACATTCAATTTTATCTGTACGTACAAACTTTGGTTTGATCTTAAAATTACAACGAATATTAAGTCACAGGTGCTAAAATTTTGAAAAACTTGTGACATTTAGAGAGCTGAGTCATCTAAAGTTACGGATTTAATGAGATTACCAACATTAATGAGATTCCGACTAACAACTATGATAATAATACATATTAAAAACTCATCAAGTTATACTCAAAATTGCTTTACAGGTACTTTGAACATATTTTATAGCAACGAGTTAGTGATCTACACATTAAAAGATGTTAATAGATGGAATTTTGTGTCAATAACAAATTTGGCCAAAGGAAAGGAAGCACTTTAGTTGCAATAATGCCATCTTTGAACAGAAAGGGAAAATTTCATGTGTTTTTTTGCTAGGAAAGGGGGAAACAAGCTCTTAAACAATGAATATTCGCAAACCATGTAAAAAATAAATTTATGCAAACGAGAAGCAAATGTACAATATCTTCGGTCTATTTCTTTCACATCTTTATAAACAAAAAAGCAAAGTAAGAATAAGATAACATATGTATGAATACTTATATATTATAAAAAAATAGTCCTATAATTAAAATAGTAGACACCAATAATTGTATAGTGTAAATAAAAAAATATATTGCTGGTACCTACGGCTCTCTTGTATTTGTTTGGTCATTACTACGGTTATTAAAGGCAAAGATAAAGTTTGCATTAAAAAGGACAATGTACCAACAGCCAACTATCTCCCATAGGTGGATTTGGAGACTTGATTTAAATGTCAAATTTTATGACAATAATTTGTAAATAGACCTAAATTTAAAGGAAAACTAACAAAATAATAAAAAGATTTAAAGAAAAGTTATAAAAACATAATTATTATTGTTTGTTTGGTCAAAAAATAATCATAAAAAAGTTTGGAAAGTGAAGTGAAGCCCAAGGTCCAATAGTCCAATAGTCCAATATCTTTATTATATGTCCTTTTTGTGTTGAGTAAGTGAAGGGAGTTTGTGGAGTGGATAATAATGTTGATAACGGTTAGGGAAGCATGTTCTTCTTCTCCCCTCTGTTTCTGGCTTAATCGTCAGAACCCAAAACCCTATAAAACGCTAAAATCTTGCATTTGGAAAGCCTCTTTATCTGTCCAACGAAGACCCAACATTTCCATTCATTCTTCTAATTCCGCTGCTCACCTCTCTTGCAGGTAAACAATAATCTGTCTCCTTTTAGATCGAATTTCGCAATAAAGCTGGGCTATCAAATGATCAAGTCATTATCTTTGTACTGTTTCCAGCGTACTAATTTGCTTTTATCATCAACAACACGAAGGAAATGTATCACTAGATCTGTAATGCTTTGTTAATGTAACTTTTAGTTATTTCTTTTGGAGTGGGATGGGTGATGGGTCACTGGTGAATGGTAATTTTCTGTTTCTTTTTAGAGCAAAGAACAGTGTCTCTGGTCTAAATTTTAGTGACAAATTGCCAATCATTCATTTTCCTTCCCTTTTATTGTTGATTGTTATTATTTTCGTCCCACACTTGTTGTTTCAAACTCTCTGCAGCAGTGAGGTAGCAAATTTTGATCCCTTGGGTATTAACTCAGATTTATCTTCTGCTCTGAATTCTACCTGGAAAAATCTGGCGTGCTTTTTTACGCAAACATTTGAGAGTGCTTCAAGTACAGAAAAGGAAAAACCTAACTCTTCACGAGGATTAGCAGGTTTTATTTTTCTTCACTTTATCTTGATGAACATGAGATTATGATTTTTATCTCCTAGCAATTGAGGATAGTAAAATTGTTTATTTATTAAATTTTGGTGTTGGCAGCTGCAATAGAGGACAGTTCAATAGATTTTGGTGACTTCTTCAAAGGTCCGCTGCCCGGGAAGTTTCTCAAGCTATTAGGGTTCCTCGCATTGTCTCGGCTTGGTGTATACATACCTCTAGGTGGAGTTAATAGGGAGGCTTTTGTTGGAAATTTGGATCAAAACAGTTTATTAAGCACTCTGGACTCATTTTCTGGTGGAGGTATTGGTAGACTTGGGGTATGCTCCCTTGGTATTGTTCCATTCATCAATGCACAAATTGTTTTCCAGCTTCTAGCCCAAATATACCCCAAATTGCAAGATCTTCAAAAAAGAGAAGGTGAGGCTGGGAGGAAGAAAGTTTTGCAGTACACTCGATATGCCTCAGTTGGATTTGCCATTGTACAGGTCAGCAATTTTACAAAAGAAAATGATTGATTTTGGTATGCTAACTTTATGCAAACTTTGAAGTTAGTTTCCCTGTAAATAATTTACCTTTATATGTTGGAAGGAGATTATTGCCTGAAGATCTGTGCTATTTAATAACTATTTCCCTACCCTACCCTATGCATATTACTAATTGAGTTTTATCCTTTATGCTTATTTGTTTGTTCCTCGTCCTTCATTCCAGGCAATTGGCCAAGTTCTTTACCTACGTCCCTATGTCAACGACTTTTCTGTAGAGTGGGTTCTTTCTTCTGTTATCTTATTGACTCTTGGCTCTGTGTTTACAACATACATTGGAGAACGAATCACAGACCTAAAACTTGGGAATGGCACCTCTCTTTTGATATTCACAAACATTATTTCCTACTTGCCAGCTTCTTTTGGTAGGACAATTGCGCAAGCATTTAATGATGCTAACTATGTTGGACTTGCTACTATCATTGTGTCCTTCTTTTTGTTGGTAGTTGGTATAGTCTATGTTCAGGTAAATCTCATTTTAATTGTTAAATAAAGATGCATTTGAGCCAAGAAAGAGGTGTTGATCTGAACAATGGTTTTCAGGAAGCAGAGAGAAAAATCCCACTTAACTATGCTTCTAGATTTACCAGTAGAAGTGGTGGATTAGAAAAATCGGCTTACCTACCCTTTAAGGTCCTCTCTCCACTCTGCCAATTTTTCTAGTTTTATGTCACTGTTGTCTCTTCCTTCTAATTATCCGATGTATTTGATTATTCTTGAAATTTATTACACTAAACCTTGAAATTTGAGAGTGTAGATCTACTGTGGCAGGTAAATAGTTCTGGAGTAATGCCCATCATATTTTCTACATCATCATTAGCTCTTCCTGGTACCGTAGCACGCTTCACTGGTTTAACAGCACTAAAGAAAGCTGCGGTGGCTTTAAATCCAGGGGGTATATGGTTCATTCTGATCTAGATTTATATTAACAACATTTTTGCCTGAAATGTCTACTCCTGCCTTTCCATGTTGATCTTGTGTATTTGACAAAAACACATAGGCATTGATGTTGCCATACATTGTTGAAATGAAATTCTATCATGTTTTGTTGTCCGTAAAAGTTTTGTTTCTTCATACACTGATACTTTTTACTTAACTGGATGTGTTCTAGGTTCCTTTTACCTTCCATTTAACATACTTTTGATAGCATTCTTCAATTACTATTACACTTTCCTACAACTGGACCCTGATGATGTGAGTGAACAATTGAAACGTCAAGGTGCTTCAATTCCACTTGTCAGACCAGGCAGAAGTACAGCTACATTTATCAAAACAGTAATTTCCTCCCTTTCTAGTTTTGCATTCCATGATTTCCTTACTGAATATAACCTGTCTCTTTTCTCTAAAGTTTATATTATATATAATTATACTTTGGTATGCCTTTAACATTTAGGTTCATGATATCGAAGTTTTATTGTATGTATCGTCATCTCTCTCCTACTCGTGAACGAAATGTAGTTTTAGGATTTCCTTTGAAATTCATGGACATTCTATCTTTGTACAAAAAAATAGTGAAATGTTACGTTGGCCTTTCTCTCTTATTTGTCACACGCCCTATTAATCTGCATATAACTTCCATACACTATTTTCATTTTTTCCTCGCTTGACAGCTTTGTTAAATGGTAATCACTCGACATACGTATCCACAATGATCTGATCTTCTCATACAAAATAACTACTGTTCCCACTGAAATTTACGGACATTTGTGAATGGTCTTTTAGTGTAATGCTGCTAAATAAATGGTTTTATCGATTCTTGGTTAGTTAGTCCTGTGTAATAATAATTACAGCATGGTACTTCTAATGCTTCTATGCGCAATTTTTAATGTTTAGCGTTGACTGATCTGTTTTGAATTAGAATCTCTAATGTTAGATTTGTTTTCACACCCTTGTATGATGGTGCAGGTTCTTAGTCGAATATCAGTTCTGGGTTCAACATTTTTGGCTATCTTGGCTGCTGGTCCCGCAGTTGTTGAGCAGACCACACACCTGACTGCGTTCCGGGGATTTGCAGGAACATCTATTCTTATTCTTGTTGGTTGTGCAACAGACACAGCAAGAAAAGTTCAAGCTGAGATTATATCCCAGAAGTACAAGAACATTGAGTTCTATGATTTTGACAAATATTGACCATAAAAGGCGGGGTAGTGTACACAAAATTAGAAAATCGCAGCTACACAATTCTCCCAATAGGGGAATGTTGGAATGTGAGCCAAAGGTCTCCCTTCTCTGTACAATACTGTACTGTTCCATTTTATTTCGGCCTGTAAATAATGTAGAGTAGCGATTTGTTGAATTTCTGGTTGAAAAATTTATTCGGAAAATCCATATAGTTGCTTGTATAGTAACTGATTTATCAATCAAAGCACACGGATACAAAAAGAGCAACTCGTGGTTCAGCTATGACAACGATGTTTTTAGTCATTTCCCCGTTAAATATTCTTATCAAAACTACATCTGCAGCATTTAATTAACCTTGTTCTTGGTTGGTCACAGCTGGACTTAACAAACAGTTGTCTCCGCTTCGACAAGTCTCAGGTAGACAAATTGCTAATTTGTAAATAAAGTAATAATAGCATACAAGTTCACAAGGTACTATGTAAACCACGACCTTCAGACACCCTATTTGTGTTAACAAAGACGTTACCAACTAGACTATTGGGAACTCAAAACACCATATTGAACTTAATGGCTAAGTAACATGATTAATACAAGAAAAACTAAGTGATACATTTTGCCCCTTCTTTCCTACCTTTCATCTATTGGGGACCATCAAACAGGGGTTTGAGGCATACTTAGCCCGACAGGATGAAGATTGCTTAAGATACATATCATCAGGATATACGCAACTGAGCAATAGGAAACCCACCATCACCGTTCCCTTGGCCCAGCCTTTTATTTCCCCCTTTTATCTTACTCATTAAAAAAAATCAACAATAACCGGCATGAGTCATCATGGCAGAGGGATATGCAGGATTTGTAAGACCTACAGAATCATCATCCATACTGAATAGCATGCAAGTTCCCATTGAATCTGAGAAGCCAAATGCCTCTGAATAAGAACTAATCATCATCGGCTTCTGTAGAAAAGTCAGGTTCTTCAGGCTTCCGTAACTGAGGCATGTCATCTTTAATCTTCAGAGCTCCTCTTCGTGTGTTAACTGCAAACCTCGAGGCAAGAATTGTAACCCCAAGGTTCAATTTAGCCTGAGATGAATTTGAACCGGCAGGATAGTCCTCCTCATGTTCCCTCTCGCTGGCTATAGTCTCGTCTAAGGGAATGGATTCCCTCAAACTGAGGTCCTTCACAGACATCCTTTTCTTATATCGACGCCAAGCAGCCTGTATAAAGCATGCTGCCCAAGTCCTCCAATGGTGGGAATAAAATCGAAAAGTGTGCTGCAGCTTCTTGCTGTGGAGGCGCCTAAATTGATTAGCAACAAATTTGAGGTCTTCAGCCCGAAGAGCAAAGGCTTCAACCTCACTTAGGGCTTTAACTGTCCTAGTTGAAGAAGGCAAATTAATGGTTGATTTCGGGAGTAAAGCCCACGAAAGCAGTTCCTCACCACAAAAATCTCCAGGTCTCAAAATGATTGAGTTGAAGAAACCAGTCCGACCACCATTTGTTGTTGAACTATCCAGCCTACCTCTAATGATGAAAAGCATTTCAGTCACAGGGTCACCCTCGCGAACAATGTAGGTGCCTAGAGTGCTTAGAGATGACACCAGCCGCTCACATATTGCATCCAGAAGCTGATCATCCATCTGAGAGAAGAAGGGAACCTAAAAACATAGGAAGAGAATATGTTAAATCCTTATAATAAAGTAAATTTGATGCTTATTATCATTACAATGTTTATCGGCATCAATAGAAAATCAATCTTCCAACCCAACTTCCGTTCATTCAACTTTTCCTATGATAAGAAGCCTACAGATGCTAATGCCATCTCAGACGCATGAAGATAATTTGAACGACAGGTAAAGCATTTTGTGAAAACCTATATATCACAGGGCTCCTATTACATGTAATCATAAAATACCAGGCTGTGGCACAATTGGAAGAAATGTGCAAGCAATGGTCTATTATCCCCCAAATTGGGAGTGAGCATGGGAGGGTTTGTAAAGAGATACCATACATTTAAGTAAAACCATCACGACCTTTACTATTAAATAAGAAGAATCTCTTGAACCTAAAACTATCAGCACAGATCATACTCGTCTAACAAGGTCTAAGCACAGGTGGCGTTGGATATCACGACGAAGATCAGCTGGTAATGCACGTAAAATGGTTTCCTCATCAACTCCACGAGTAGCAAGCCATTTATATTGAACAAATCGTCTAACACGACTTTTCAAATCTTCAGGTAGTTGGCGATGCCTCATCCACTCCTCTGTGTCTCTTCGCTTAAGTCTCCACTCCTCAAGCCTTATAGTAATTGATTGCAAATATGTCTACACCAAAGAAACAACCCAAAAGCAGAATCAAACTGTAAAATTTAAAAAACCTAAGCACCCTATTATACAAGTATATTGCTAATTAAAACAAGTCTAACAGCTTATTTGGCCTTGTGTTGTGTAACAACAGAATAAGTAGTGCATGTATATATGTCTTTGTTAAAATGCCGAGATGGGAAAAATCCCAGAAAATCGAGATAATTTTCATTCTTTATTCTCTATACATGAACTTGGTAACTAATAAAGTAGTTTTCTTCAGAATATATCCTTTACAATAAATGACATCAGAAAACATAGAATATTCAGTTTAACAAGATATACTAGGACATAGATATCTTTCTAACAAATATACTAGAAAACTAACAAATGAAACATGAAAGGAAATATGTGTCATTAAGTGCCACAGACATTTACCAGAGTTTCAAATTTGACATAGTTAATACTGTTAATTTAGATATTAATTATAAATGAAAAAAGGCGGAAAACAAAAAATAGGAAAATACCTGCATGTTGCCAATTAAGTGGGAAAATAATACAAGACCCAAGATGGCAATGACAATAGCAAATGATGTTTCTCCAATAAAAGTGCTAGTTTCTAGATTCTGCCCATAAGAACTGAAACAAAGCAAAGAGGATTAAAAAAAATAAGCATTAACAAACAATATCATCCCTCTAACATATATTTAAGAGATAACTATCAATTCCCTGCCACGAACAAAATTTCAGTCTATATTTAGAGTCAGCATCTTATAGTATTCTTATCCATTACATATGAGTGCCTCTCATCCCTTTTACCAACTTAATGCATATTTTATTTTGATTATTTTACCCTAAAAAAAGCTTGCCACCATCTCATACGAAAATAATTTCATATTATTCAAAGTATCTACAATCTCTTTTCTCTCCTGCTGCATCTTAAACCTTTCAATTTTATTAACACAAATATTGCAGTAAGCATTATCTTTTAAAGATGAAGTAAATCAGAAAGTGAACCATTTCAGTACAACATGAATTAAACAAATGCACCATTTGTAAAATCAATTTTCAATACTTATTGAAGTACCAAGTCATACCTTAATTGCTGCAAACCCCACCATAAACAATAAAAGTATTTTGGTATAAAGCTTGACGAGACAACATGTTTCTTTACTGCATTTTCAAATATTCCATACTTAAAGTTGATATCATCATTACTGGGATCACAGCTGCTAAACACATTTGTACTATTTGCCCATATCTTGCGTAGCTCATTATTCAAAGAACTGCAGTCTAGGTAAAGAAAGCAATTATCAGGGCTACGTTCCTTTTTGCAATAGGATTTCCAACAAGTAGTGTATCTGTCCACAGATAGAAGATACCAAGCTGCCCCTAAAACCTGCAACAACAAAATAGAGACATCTATTGTTATAGAAGAAAATTAAACTTACTCGAATAAGTTTGAAAGAGTTTAGACAAATGTTGTGCATATTTCTCTCCCTCTCTCTCTGTTTTTCTGTGCGTGTAAGAGAGAGAGAGAGAGGGAGAAATATTGTTTACAATGAAAGCATAAAACCAATCAAAACTACATACATGGCTAGCTAGCATATACAATAGCAAATTATACGCAGCTCCTGCCCACGCAGTCTTCGTAACCACTCCTGTTGCTTTGATTATTTGAGAACTTAATGGAAAAATCAAATATAACCTTGGAATATATTGTAGCAAAACAATCAATGCAAGAGCATTATTCTTGTGATCAGTTTGAGGGCTTCTTGTTGCTGGTATAATAAACCAGATGACCATCTGAAAGAGAAAAGTTCAGTCAGCTATTATCTATATGACTATATCCCTCACCTGCAAAAGACTTCTAAAATTTAAACTAACTGAACTACTCTGTTTATATAACTTAAGTACAACGCAGAGAAACAGAAAATGTTCACACAGGCCTCAAATCATCTTAGTTAACCATGTTTCAGACTCTTTCCACCAATTTTAAGAGGTATGTCTATATGCATTACAGTAAGATGCTAAGATGCCAAGTCAGATTGAACTTCCTCGGATTCTAGAGGTAGCCTCAAGCTTTAAGCAACAAAATTAGAATCTTGATTTTATTAGTTAGTTTTCGTGCAAAAAGTACAGCAGGTCATAAGCCAAATCCACGATTAGGAGAATAATGCTATTACATTTTCTGGGCCATCTAAAAGTGATCAAGAGATAGAAGATCAAATGAGAATCCTTTTAGTTGGAAGCATGCTCAGTTGATTCATGACCTTAGTTTTGGATATTGGGGCAGGATGGATATGGGGTTAAAACCAATATGGATAGCTTTATCTATTACATCAATGCAATATGGTGGAAATGTTACAATGCACAAAATTAGTTACAAAGACTAAAAATCTACCCCAAGATAATTTTTGTGTTAAATAGTTTTCCTAATTTACTTTATCTTCATTTTTATTGCAGAAATCAAAATTGATTGCCAAGAATTTTGCAGTATATACTACTTAAGAGATCAAATGATGCCACAATAGAACAACACACCTGAGGTAAAGGTAGTGTGGCGATAAAATCAATGAAGAAATCAGATCTGAAATATCTCCTTGCAATTTTTTTTGGGTCCATGACAAGTTCACCCCTACCAAACACTCGCGAGCTCGGTGCCACATATGCTGTCCTCAACTTAATTATCAGGTGCAACAGATAAAAAATGTCCGCAATAGTGCGAAGAAAGGTCACAACAATGCGCAACGTGAGGTCCGATCTCACACATGAAGACCTTGTACTTTCTATCACACTAGGCAAATAAAAGTACAATGGATCAACAAAAAGAGCGACCAAGCATGAAACTATGAAAACCCGGTTCCATTTCAACACAATCTCGCTACCCGGGTCAAGTATCCTTTTCCGCCATGGCTCATGATCCTCCGGGAATACCTTGGATCCTCCAACTCTATATGTTTCAGCAATTCTATTTTTCCCTAATGGCAGCACATTGCTAGGTTTAAGCGCTGATGGTTCAGTTGCTCCCCACAATGGTTCTTTATGCTTTTTGCCATCCGAGTAGAACCTTAATTGTCAAATTTTAGAACATACATGACAACGATTTCAAATGAAAAAGACAAGAAATAATGATTGTTGTTCAATAAGAAAAATTTATTAATTTCATATAGAATAATACGTTAGCTTGAGATAGTACCAGGCAAGAACCAAAATTAATAAATAAAAAAATGAAAATTTTTGTGTTGAAATTGATGCATTGTGAAGGAGAAGTTCATCAAGGAAGCTTCAAGCTCCGACAATCAGTTGATGATGGATTCGCAATAAGTAAAAAATAATAATAATAAATACAGAGACATACCTAACAAGCTTGCCCCTTTTCAACTCCATGGGAAAGAAGGAGCTGGAAATAGGGCCTTTAAAACCCTAACATAGCGAGAAATGCAAAAATGGAATCAGAATCAGATGTCGAACGGAGTGGAGATCTTTCACTGAGGAGGCCTTGAAACCGCAGCCCCAGACCTGGAAGAACCACAGCGCTGCATCTGTAGACGATTAGTCAACAACTATTGACTTGAGCTTTTAACGTTTGTTAAGTTTATTTATTTATTATTAATTAAAATAGCATAAGAAAACCTCCTCATAGTCCTTCTCTAACCTCGTGGTGGGCCCATTCTACTGACTTTTGTTGAAATTCTTGACCTATTGCCCTGCGACATTACTTTTTTTTTTTTTAGTTTTTCTGCTTCACACTTATATATAACTTAATTTATATATATAAAGAAATATTCGATGGAGGTTGAAAGTCATTTTAGGTATAAAACCTTTTGAAAGTCATTTTAGGTATAAAACCTTTCTTCATTCCTCAAAAAGCTAACATAGCATTACATAATTCACAAGTATTTGACATCAATCCACTTCTAAAATGTTGAAACTTATTAGAGAACATCACAGTCATAAGTCTTCCATCACACTTTTCTTATGCTATCATCCACCACACACTTCTACCTAAGTTAACATTTCTACCCCACACAGGGCAAAAACGAGAATGTTAGACAAAATATCTGCATATATATATATATATATATATATATATATATATATATATAATAAAACCATTGCATACAATTATATTGATATTTGTGCTCATCACAATAAAACTTTTATTACTAAATACAAACAACAATTCGACAATAAAACATCATTTTAATTAAATATCGAAATGCTTTCACTCTTTACTCCTAATTTATAAAATTAAAATTCATAATCGACATTCATACTATTTAATTAGTTGCAATGGTTATCTCGATTTCTTTCCAAATTTATTCCATCTGAGCACTGCTGGTAACCAATGGAAGCTCCTCGAGCAGAATGCGTTTGAAGCTCCCCTGGGGTTGAAACGTTGTTTCTCCGCGAGCCTTCTTGCAAATAAAATATAAGATTGAGAAGGATGTCCATGTGTAAAACTCAACCTGACATATACCATGCCATATGTTCAACATGATGCTTTTCCCAGGTTTGGAATTGGAACATGTGTTGAAGTACTCATACCCCACAAACAACCCAACAGATACGACCCCAAGTACAAGATTCACCACAAATCCAACTAGCTTTCTCTTCCCCTCCAAGAGCTGGGAAGCCTTCCCCAATGCCTCTATTCCACTAATCCCTTCACGCAGCGAAATCTCAAGTGCCAAATTCCCAAATATGCCGAAATATGCGAAGTAGAGGACCCCTCCTAAAACCAATATTATTGTGCCACTTCCGGGTAAGGCACAAATTTGAGGTTGCTCGTGGCTACTAGAATTGATAAAAATCATGTCTTGATGGAACACAAGCAGTATTCCTAAGAATATATAACCCAATTTAAGGAGCCTTACGATGAACCATGTAACAATTAAGCTTCTCGCCGGTTTAGTCACTATTAACGCTAGGCTTTTGAAGCTCAAATCCGCTCTTGGGTCTATTTTATGTGAGGCTAAGATTTCGAGCAGTGGTGTTAACAAGAAAAACAGAGATATTCCAAGAACGGCAAAGCCTTCAACTTGAGCAACAACTCTGATATAATGAAATGATGTGGCAATAAGGTTGTTGGCGTCTTCGTGGTTTTTGAGAAAAAGAGTGGATAAATGCCCCGTGGCATAGTAGGTATAGAAGGAGGTGGGAGGTATGATCAAAAGACAGAAGAAGATGGAGGAGATGAGCTTATGTTTAGTGTAGATTTCTTGGAGGTTTCTCAGGAATCCTGCCAAAGACATTTGGATAACTAAAGGGTGAATTGTTCTACGCTAAATTTTCAGAATGGGGCTCTGATTAAGCCCGGGCAGGGGCATACTTTATACAAAGCTTTTTCACGCGCTTCTTTCATCAATGATTTTTCAAGGTCAACGTGATGAGCTAAAAAACGCGTCTGAATTCAAACTATTGTAACAACATTAAACTTGAGAGTGATTTTGTTGGGCCAGATAATGAACGCCACATTTGAACAAGTGTGTGAGCATAACCACCCAATTACCTTGTTTAGGCTTATGGAAGTTGATGTCAATTTACAAGAGAATTAACTAAATTTGTAACTAACATCAACTAACTTTGGCATCAATTAAGTTCTAAATGAGTGTAAAGGAACAAGCAAACAATATTCTACTACAAATTGTTCCAAAGCAATTAAAAATAATGAGATTTCTCAATATTTACTTTTAGGTCTCAAGGCAAAAGACATCTATGACATCTTTAACCATTTTATCTTAAAAAGACTTTGGTTTTTTTGCAAAAATTATATATATATATATATATATAGTCTATCCTTACAAATTTTTATTAAGATAAACCAAATACAAATTAAAAACATCAATATAAATATATTAAAATATTTAAGTTTGGTTGAATAACTACCGCTTATCATCAATATTATTCTTTTAAATTTTATGTATTTAAATTTAATATATATATATATATATATATATATATATATAACATCATATTCTAGAATAAAAATACAATAGAATAATTAAAAAAATATTTTTAATCTCTTAAATAATTATTTTAGAATAAATCTTTTTTTAAATTATTTTAATTTTCGCTGTTACGTTGAAGTTAAAATAGTGTATTTTTAATTCTTTGTCAAAATATTTATGATGATTAAATGAAATTAAATTTTATATTTTAAAGTAAAATAAAAATTCAAAATTTTAAATATATATTTAAGATTGAAAATGTCTTCACTCATTTTCAATACACAACATTTTAGAATAAATATAAAATAAAAATTATATTCATATTTTTCGCTTATATCAACTAAACCTAAAATAATTTAGTTTTCAATTTATACACTTAATTGAATAAAAAAATATTTGAAAAAATATTTTATTTATTTTTGCTGTATTTGAAAAGAAAATTTGACATTTTAACTTTTTAAGTTTAACAAACAATATTTTAAGCTTTGCTAAAATAATCAGATAAAGGTAGAAAATATTTATTTTTATAAAATATTTTTTTCATATTTTTTAAACTTATTTAAGCACAATTTATTAACTTTTATCATCAGATTAAAACAAATTTAGTTCAGACAATTTTTTATTTTATGTAGTATTTGATCAAAATATTAATATTATATTTTTTATAGTTTTTTAATTATATACTAAAAATAATATTAGGATGAAAATATATTTTATTCTATTAAAAGACTTTTAAAATTTTATTAAATTCTTATTTGAACATAAATTATTAAAATTATGACTCTGAAACAGAAAATAAAACATAAATCTAAATAATTAGATTAAGATAAAAAAATATTTTAATAAATATTTAGATTTTCTTACTTATTTTGTTGTATGAGCACATAAATTATTAATATTATTGTTTTCAATACATAAAATTTAAATATTTTAAAAATTAATTAATTTCAAATTTTCAGCTATATTTTTTATTATATCTAAGGTTGAATAATTTGAAAAGAGAAAAATAAGATAATTTTCACAGGACATTAAAGATTAAGAAGATATTACCATTATCATTAATATTATATTAAACATGTAAAATATGCGGTAAAAGTTAGTTATCTATTTTAACAATGCAGCAAAAAAGTGGATCCAAATTGTCTTCCGTTTAAGTGAAAACTGGACTTCTAGTTTATTTTTTGCTTAAGCAAAAAAATTTGCTTAAATGAAAAGATTTGTTTAAGCAAAAAATGAATTATTTTTGCTTAAAATCATGACAAAATGGCTTGAGCTAATTTTCAAAAAATAAATAGCTTAAGCGAAAAATGATAAGCTTAAGAGAAAAATAGATAGATCTTTAATTTTCACTCAATCTTCTCTTCTCCCTCTCCCTAAATTTAACATTTTCTCCTCAACCTTCATATTCAACCATTTTTAATCTCTATATTTAACCTTTTTTTCTTTCTCTTATACCTAACTTTTCTCTTTCTTTCCTAACTCTCTTTTCCTTCAACCTCATACCTAACTCCTCTCCTCTTCTTCTCATTCTCACCTCACCCAATACCTATCTCTCCCTCTTTTTTCTATACTTAACTCTTCACTTTTCTTTTCCTCTATTGCCAAATTTTTTTTACGCAAAATTAGCTTGGCTTAAGCGAATTGTGCATATTTGCTTAAGCAAAATATTTTAACTTAAGCGAATTTTACGTATTTGAAAATATAAAAGTTGAGTGTAGAAAAAAAAAAGAGGACTAAAAATGGATGTAGATAAAAAGAGCACGTGGTACAGTAGTGGCGATGGAGGAAGAAAAAAGTGAAGAATTGAGTATAGAGAAAAGAGAAAAAGATAAGTATTAGGTGAAGTGAGAATTAGAAGAGGAGGAGAGAAGTTAGGTATGAAATTGAAAGAAAAGAGAGTTAAAAAGAAAAAAAAAAGTTAAATATAAAGGTTAAAGAGGGTTAAATATAAAAATTGAGGAAAAAATGTTAGATTTAAGGAGAAAAAAAAAGAAGATTAAGTAAAAATTAAAGCTCTTTATTTATTTTTCACTTAAGCTTATCATTTTTGTTTAAACTTTTTTTTTTCTGCTTAAATTATTTATTTTATGAAAATTAGCTTAAACTATTTTGTTATAATTTTAAACAAAAATAACTTATTTTTGCTTAAGCAAAAAATAAATTGAAAGTTCAATTTTTGCCTAAACTAAAAATAAACCGGATACCAAGAAAACTTACTTCCCTTGCTTGAGATATGAGAGGCCATTAGATGCCCTTCTTAGGAGGATAAATTCCATTGAAGTAGAGACAAAATGTATTGAGATTAGAGATTTGAATTTAGAGTTGATATTTTGTATCACCCAAAAGTTGCTTTTTCATCCAATGACTTCTCCTTGTCTTTATAGTATCATTGAATGAATTTCAAGTGGCAATAAGGGAAAATTCATGAAAGAGGAGAAACCCTTTGGTAGAGTACGTGACAATATATACAAAGTTTGGAACCAAAAAGTTGATGAGAAAAAAGAATTATGATATAGTATTAATTTTTAAATTTCAATTTAAAGAACTACTTAGTGACCATAACTAAAATGTATTGATAAGAAAATAAAATTTTATAAGCTTTTAAATATAAAATATTTTATAGTATTCTTAGAAAGTACACCGAATGCCCCTCAATTTTATCATAAATAAAAGAAAAAGGAAAAAGAAGAGGCATGAACAAGGTGGCTACAGTAAAAAAGGTCAAGGAATATGGACCTAAAATTACATCATGTAGTGTACAGAATGGATAATAACAAAGAAAGAATAATTAAGGAAAAAAAAAGGAAAATTACAGAGAGGATGAAAGGGAAACGCAATCATGATCATCACCATCAGCTTCTGCATCTGCTTCCTTAATCCCAAGTCGTCTTTTGCTATCACAGTAAAACACAGCATTAATCACATAACTAAGAAGCACAACCAACGCATACGAACACATCAGAAGAGTTTTGTCCCAAACACCAATCTCCGAGTTCTGATTTTCCATTAAAAATTGCACCTTCCCATTGATTAAACCCGAAACCAAAACCAACAAAGCGGAGAGGAACCACCCGCAGAACCTCCTTCCTTGCATCAAACCCGACCCGACCCGAATAGCGTCCCACCCGAACCGCTCCTCCGCAACGGAAACCACTAGGCCCAGGCTCAGCACCGCCATCAGGTACACCTCAGCCCCCGAACCCAGTGCCCGAACCAGAACCCGAGACCAAGGCGACACGAACGCTGAGCCGAGGACACGTGCCACGGGAGCGAAAGCCAGCAGGATGGCGTAGACGAAGATGGCGGTGACGGCGGGGCGCTTCCAGTTGTTCCTGACGGCGGAGCTGACGGTGACGGCTTTGCCTTGGACGGCGGAGACGGCGGCGTGGATGGAGGAGACGGCGGCGGCGAGGGAGAGGGGGAAGCAGAGGAGGGAGAAGAGGGCTCTGGTGCGGAGGAGCGAAACGGCGTCGTGACGAGACTCGTGCCAAACATGGGTGGCCTCGACACGGGTGGAGGCCGCACGTGCGACGGCTTCAAGATGGTAGATGTGGGAAGCGAGGGTGTGGGTGGAGATTGCGAGAGTGAAGGTTAGAAAGGAGAGAGGAAGCGTTGCGAAACAGAGGATTGAGGAAAAGAGGAGTTTGTTGGTGTTTAGCAAACGGAGAGAGTCGATTAGTATCTTTAGTGGGGAAATACAACACCATATTGCATCCCACATCTTCTCACATTGAATTGAATCCCACTCTCGTTGAGGTTTTCAATTGTTACTCCTTTTTGTGGAAACACCCATCACCACATGGGAGGTCTCAATTTCTTTGTCCTCTTATCTTTCATTGACAAGACCCCCACAACTGTTCTTTTTTCTTTTTTTTATTCATATTCATGATTAAATAATAATATATACTTTTTATAGAAAAGCTATAATTGTTATATATGTAACTTTCTCTATCTTTCGAATTGTTTTTCCTTCTTTTATACTACATGGTTTAATTTAATATTGTACTCCAATATTTTTATTTTTTTTTACTTGATCACATGCTTTCTTAAATTATATATATTTTAATTTGTTATTTTATAATTATTTACTATAATATTCTACGTTCTTGTTTCACAAGCATAAACCATGCAATGCAAATTATTTTTGTCATACTATCACATATAACTAGTGTCTAATTCATGCATGATGTTTTATTGATTGAAATATTTTAAATTTATATACATTTGAAGTTTTCTTGTCATACATGAGGAGCATTTTCGTGATTATGCGAGTAGGTGGGATGGATTTATTACTAGCCACGAGTACATATGAAAAACCACAAAAACAAAGAACGGAACCACACTTTTGAAACAGAATACCTTTATTCGACGTTGTTCTTAGCCTAAAGCCAGGCCAAGCAGCACCTCAATATGTCCATAAACTAGAAACAAATAAACCAACCACCCATCTCACGCCATTTCATTTAACCTTTCTCTCTGTCTCATCAATGCATTTACATATGCTCCAGACAGAAACACCCCAATATGTTATTTAGTGTGATAAATTATTGTATATGTGTTATTATTCAACAAATGCATTGGATAAATTAATACGTCAGATCCAATAGTTTTTTCCTCCTGAATTGGATCAAAGCAAAAACAATGAACTTGCCGTCATCATCGACGACAGGAGATACAAGCAAGACAACAACAAAGTCATTGTCGATTGTGGAGTCATTTCGGGGATGTGGCATCTCAGGTTGTCACGGAATTAGCAAAGAGGAGCTCAGACAAAAGTTGACAATGCCAAAATACCTGCGAATTGCAATGCGTGATTCCATTCAGTTTCAGGATCCCACCGCTGGCAAGAGTTGTAGCATTCGCAGAATGGACGACGAGAACGTGGTTGCACCCTCCACACCTATGATAGTTTTCATCAATCCTCGTAGCGGTGGCCGCCACGGCTCGCTCCTCAAAGAGCGGTTGCAACATCTCATCAGTGAGGAACAGGTATATCATTTCCTTTCTTTATTTTAATTAAAACAGATTAAAATGTTTTCTCATTTTTATCCATAATTTAAAGAACATTACACGGACCACGTTCATATTTTTCTTGTTTTCTTTTAATATACTTTTTGCTATGATGCAGTTTTAATTTTATAATGATAAGGTCAATGTCGTAACAATGGATTTACATACTATTAAAGTCTAAAGAAGTAGCCACCTTTATCAATTGTAGATTACAATTTTTCTTGTTGCGCTTTATTAATTGAAAGTGTATCATTAGCCTTGATTGTTGCATTATTGCTGAAGTTTTTCAATATATTCAGGCTATTATGATTGATGTCAAGTTGCATCACAGGTCTTTGATTTATCAGATGTGAAGCCTGTTGAGTTTATCCGTTATGGGTTAGGCTGCTTGGAGATGTTGTCTTGTTTTGGCGATTCTTGTGCCAAAGAAACTCGTGAAAGAATAAGGATTGTGGTATGTTCACTATATAAATTGTTCATAGGTGTGTTAAAATTATTTTGCTTCACTTGATAAATGCAAGGTCGTTGGGTTTTCTTAACTTCACAAGCTATCAATATTACAGTACAAATAATCATGTTTCGGTCTCCCCTAACTGCGCATGCCTTTTATTTTTATAGATTTTAAAAAAAAATCAATTGTAATTCAAGGATTAATTGTTACATTCTTTTTTATTTTTAATAGATTTTTAATTCTTCTTTAGAAAATTTAGGTATGACACATTTTAGTCGCTAAGAATGTAAAATTTCAATGAATTAATTGTTAGAATTACATATGCGAGTAAAGGGAGATATCTCTCAAGCTACTATGAACTATTTTCTTTTCCCTCCATCAGAAAGTAAAAGAAATAAGTAAAATTGATTAAAGAAATTGTTTTGATAGGTAGCAGGAGGAGATGGTACAGTTGGGTGGGTGTTAGGATGTCTCGCAGAACTGCACAAACAAGGTCGGGTGCCAGTTCCTCCAGTAGGGATAATACCACTTGGCACAGGCAATGACCTGTCTAGGAGTTTTGGTTGGGTAAGAACTCGTAACCTTGAAAACGTTGGACTTGATGAATTTTGTATAAAATGCTAAATAATATTTTAATTTTGATATATTATTTGTGACCAGGGTGGTTCATTTCCATTTTCATGGAAAGCAGCTAGTAAGAGAAGTCTTTACAAGGCTTGTATTGGTCCAATTTGTCGTTTGGATAGGTATATATTATCGTATAATTTTGCATGCTCAACTACGGTAGATTATTAAAGTTGGTCTATGCCAAAAAGTAGTTCATTTTTCAATAAGTTATCAGTTGCAACACAACTATGAGGCAATTGTAACAATGATAATCTTGATTTTAGATTGCGGTTTGCAATATTATCACAACTAATCTAATGGTCCAACAATTGCATAAAATTGCAATTGTTACCGCATCAATCTTAATTTTCATTAATTATTCACATCTGTAATTAAATACAATTTAAAACAATTGTTATAATTCATACGTCAATTATATATAACTTCTTGTTAATTTTTTATACAGTTGGCGCATTTCTCTTTCAATGCCAGAAGGCACAATAATAAATCCACCACATTCTTTGAAGAATACAGAAGAGTTCACTCTTGACGAGGTTTTGATCCATTTTCTCTATCACATTTATTTTAGCTACTCATATTATCAATTGGTTAGCATCTTCTTCTTCTTCTTTTTCGAATTGTGACATTGACAATGTTATTATAATTAAGCATATGATTTTCACAATACTTACAATGATGGTGACCAACTAGGTAATTGTCTTTGTAGTAGTATGTCAAATTATAAAAAAATATTTTAAAATATATTAATGGATTATTATCAAACACAAGAAATCAAGTTAAATAAAATTTATATTATAGCTTATATTCACGCACTCAAATCTTTTATATAAAATCTATTTATCTTAATTTTTAAAAAAATAAATATATCACGCATTGATCATTTAAATCTTTTAATACAATTTTACAGAGATCATAATATTTTTTTTTATTATTGTAAAAAAGAGCAGACCCATCTAATTTTTTAGACGATATATTTTTAAGTAGGTTATTCGAGTGTTTGTAGCTAGTCTAAGAACCTTATCTCGTCATGTGTTGTAAATAATAATTGTTTAGGTACCACTTTAGGTGTTTATTTTCTTGTTATTGAGAATGCAAAAGGAATAATTTGGTTATTAGGTACTTATATATTTTTTTGTCTTTTGTTGTTAGTTTCTAGAGTATTTGACCTTTTTTTTTTCTTTTTTGTGGTAACAGTTAGATATATTATATAGAGGGTACAAAAAGTGTAAAGTAACATTCTTTATCTTTTGAGATTTTTTTTGTACACATATTTAATATCGAATTTGTCATTTAAATATCTTTCATTTTTTAAAATCAAATTCAATTTAGACATCCATTATCAAAACTAGCTAGATCTTTTATAAGTTTATCAATTTTTTATTGAAATTAATTATTTCTAAGAAGCGATTTTGATTCTAATTTTGAGATTTGAACTTAATTTTTTTTTATTTTGAGTTTAAAATATATGAAGATAATAGTATTTTAATCTTAAAGAAGTAATTCTTATACAAATTATAATTTGGTTAATACGTTAGTTACTTTTTCTAATTCACTATAATATTTATGTTAGATAGATGTGAGTATGTTCAAATGTATAATATAGCCTTTTGACTACATTCATGTCTTCCTATGTTGATAGAAGACATTTAATTTTCTTCTTCTTGAAAATCTCCTTGTTATATATTTTTTTTAGAGTTTAGATTATTTGTATTGATGTGGTTAGATTTTTTTTTTTTAAATTCATAATAAACTGTTATATTTTTGTGAAAAACTTTCTTTAAAGTGTTTATTACTCTTGCATGACTTCACCTCTTTTTCATTTTTTTTTATATATTCTTGACAGATCAACTAATGAAAGATACTTGTTTGTCTTCTCTATTTTTGTCTCCAAACTTGTTAGAGTCTTTAAAGATTTATCAGTTTATAGCTTTTTAGAGTGTAAGCTTGACTTTAGGGCAATGATTTTGTCTTTGGCTTAAGATAATGAGAAGACTCTTTGAGTTCTATCTCATGAATTTTGAGATAAATTCTTGTCTCCAAACTTGTTAGAGTCTTTAAAGATTTTTCAATTTTTAGTGTATTTGTAAGTTTATAGCTTTTTAGAGTGTAAGGTTGACTTTAGGGCAATGATTTTGTCTTTAGCTTAAGATAATGAGAAGACTCTTTGAGTTCTATCTCATGAATTTTGAGAGAACCCACATTTTTAACCTTATGAATGATTGTGACTTTGGATTTTTAGATTTTAGAAAGACTCTAACCTTTATGACTTTATCTTCTTCATCCATCTTCTTTTAAGGTTTAAGACTATTTGGTAATGGTTTGAAATCTATCAATCATTTTTTTAATAGTCTCATCTTCATTCATTTTAAATAATTATATTAGATTAGCTTTTTCATGAACGTATAGCCATATACTTTATTATACTCATTTCTGACAAGAGCACAAGTGATAAGGTGTTTTGCTTTTACATTTATTAAAAAATGAAATAATTATTACAATCTTATATCTTTAATATAACAAATATTTTCCTTTTCAATAAAAACATATTACTTTTGAATGTTTAAATTCATCATTAAGAGTTAAACTTAAAACATCAAAACCATATTGAATACACTGTCAAAAATTGTTATTTACGTACAAATAAAAGTTGTCAAGCGTTAATAACGTCTTAATTTATTAATATACTTTTTGTTTATTTAAAGTAAATTGTTAATATGAGTTTTAAAAATTTATATAAACAAATAATGCATTATACTAATATTTGATATATTGATAGTTTATATTAATATTTTTAATAAAAATTATTTTTTAGTATAATACATTATAAACTCATAATATATATACTAATAGTTAAATTTGTAGGTTAAGATAACATTTAAGTTTTTAGTAATGATATTTTTTTAGTGATAGAATTTTAAATTATTTTCTTACATTTTATTTAAATATAGTAAGTATACTGGAATATTTGATAATTTCGTTTGCAAACATAAATTCTCTAGCAAATAAGTTAATTGATATGAAATTATTTTAAGAAATTTTTGTGTCTAAGTTAACTGTTATGAAAGTCATATTAACTATCAATCCATCATGTTGTTCTAGCAAGTGATAAAATTTATAATTTTTAATCTTATTATTGTGGGTTACTTTACACAAATCATGCAACTAAAGTAAAATCTTGTATGTGTAATAATAATAAGTTTTTCTCGTCTTCTTATGAAATCCACTTGTAAGCCTTCATCAATAAATAAATCTAGTAACACAGTATTTATTTACGTAGTTTCATTCTTTCTTTCTTTTTTTAATTTTAGTTATTTTGTCACTCAAAAGTTTTTTACTTAGTATATTTGTACAATTTTTTTGGCTCTAATATATAAAGTTCCATATGTTTGCAGGGCTTAGAAGTTGAGGGAGAACTACCTAAAAATGTTATATGTTATGAAGGCGTGTTCTACAATTATTTCAGCATAGGTATTTTTAACTTTTATTTAGTAGTATGTTACCGTCTAAAATGATTTTTTATTATCAAGTCGATGCCTTATGCTCATAGTTAAATTTAATCATAAGGAGTTATATATGTTACGAGACAAGAGGATAGGTTAACTTGTCAAAGCATTGCATTAAAGTCAAATTATTTTATTTCTACTATTAATTTATCATTGTAATTTATGAATGTAGATTTTAAATTATTATTATTGTGCATGTTGTCACTATTTTGATATGCAAACTGTTCTATTTAAGTTTTCAATAACTTAAAACAATGGTTTTATAAAGTTAAACAAACTTCTTGCCATTAGTATGATTTATAGCGGATTAGAAACAACGGTGAACAAAATATTTAACTTGACAGAATAATATCAACCAACAGAAACTCGGTCCCATTGTTACTTTGTGTGCATTTTAGTTTAAAGTTAAATTGTTTCTCTATGTAAGATAGGAAATCAGAAATATATTGTTTTGCTTTATTTTTTTTTTATTAAAATAAGTCAAGTAAAGCATGTCAAATCATAAAAAAGAAGTTAAAGAATATCTATGTCCAAGGATAAAACCACATAAGGTTTACAAACGTTAACGTGTAACAAATCTAATATTTTATTAGATCGTGCTTTACTAATATAGTGAAGTAATTTCCTTTGTTTAGCAATATGATAAAATATTATAAGGAGTAACCAGTGGTTCTTGGAGGAATAAAAGGAAATTTTACTGAGATCAATTTCATACCAGAGCGTGGCAAGTCCTTAATCTTAGTTGCCAAACAAGACAAGAATTTGAATCATTTAATGAAATATTTCAAATAGAAAATTGTTGTGAAATTAATTGTCTCTTAAAGAGATTGGGCACAAATAAACCATTTGGCAAACTAGCTAAACTAATTAGCATCCTTATAGATTTTTGCTTGTTCAAACAAGTGTTAGTATGAAAGATGAAATTGACAATGTAGACTGAAGTTACTTTGTAACAAAGATTATATTATCGTGAACCTATAAAACATAATAAAAATCATATAAAAATAAAATAAATGACAGTGCCTTAAATAGAAAAATAAACCTAAGAACCATTTGGTAAAGTGATTAATATATATCCAGTAGCCACTGATGGAAAAACTTGAATTAGGAGAAAAAAACAGCATTCAACCATGATATGACAACAATATTGGCAGTATGAGAGGGTTGAGCCAAACCTCCTTAAGTTGTCCAAGAAGTTTCACTAAATCATACTACTGCTTTTAAGTGAAATGAAATGTAGTAGTTATGTTATCATTGGAAGGTTTAGGTGCATTTTTTAATAGTGAGAGAAGTAATATCAAGTGTATTGATGGATCTGGGATTCTTAGAGCAAGAAATTATATTAAGTACTTCAGTCTTTATCCACCTCATTTAAAAGGGTTGCTATTATTACTTGATACGGAAGTTGCAATAATAGCTCTAGAGTCATTAGAGATGATAGGTGCATTTAATTACTTTTAGCGCCAAAAGATAATTGAAAACACTTTTTTTTTATATTTAGAAGATGATTAATTAAAATAATTTGTGACTTCACATGAGCATATTGATAAGGAATCGAATTACATAGTCTTGTTCCTCGTAATTTTGAAGGATAGAACAACGCTACAAGAACAAGGTATATAGAACATTTGCATTTTTAATTGTTTCTTTTTCATTATACAGGAATGGATGCCCAAGTTGCTTATGGATTTCATCATTTACGCAATGAAAAACCTTACCTTGCACAAGGTCCAATAGCAAATAAGGTATTGATTATTAAAATGCATGAACTATATATATTCTTTATTTTTAATATCTTTTTTCCGACAATTTCATGGCACCATTTTTCAGAAAATATTCATCTATTTCTACTTTCTTTTGGTAGAAAACTTTATTTGTAAATACATTAGTTTGCATTGATGTCTTAGTCCAACAATTTCCATTAATTGTGTCTGTTAAAATGCCATCGTAGATATTAATAAAGGATTGTGACCAATAGATGGATTTCCTTTTGGATGTAGATTATATACTCCGGTTACTCCTGCACTCAAGGCTGGTTCTTCACACCTTGCACCAGTGATCCAGGTTTAAGGTCAGATTTACCTTAACTAATGCACTCTTTCTTTGGGATAGATTAGTGGGGAAATAAGTTTTAGTTATGAGTTTTCCTTCTTGTTTTATATCACATTATGCGAAACACATTTTTTGTAATAAGAAAATATTATATAAGTAGTGCAACGACAAAAAGGAAATTACCTCCAAAGTCTTATTAACACAAAAAATTGAGCAAATCTACCTTCGTGGCAATGGTTTTTTTTTTTTTTTTTTCTTTCAAGAGAATTTGGAATCATTTTGTTTAGAAATCATTTTGTTTGTTGCCCATGACAAACTTTTGCTAGTGATTTGAATTTTGTTCAGGCTATTCGGATGGAAACAATTCCACTATCTTTCTATCTCTTATGTCTTACCTTCTTTGGTTTATGTTTTTAGTTGCATTTTCTTCATGTGAAATAGATTTTCCCTTGAAGCCTATAACATTTTTAGAGTTCATTAAGTTAATTGATCATTTCTTCTAGAAGTCCTCTATTGTTTTTAGCACCAAACAGTAACTAAAATAATAAATTCTGATTTCATTCTTAATGACTAAATTCTTTTAAAAAAATCTTGAAATAGGGGACTTAAGAACATTTTGCGGATGCATGTCAAAAAAGTCAATTGCTCAGAATGGGAGCAAGTTCCAGTTCCTACAAGGTATATATATATATCTCGTATCAAATAATTTTTATTAGTATGTATTATCAAATGGTATACAAGGCAATGCTTTTAAATTTGGCGTTGTTAATTTTCAATATTCTAGTTTTCATTTCTAAATTCTTCCATATTACATTAGTGTGATTACAATCTTTTTTATTTTTCTGGTTTTGGTTTGTCTGAATTTAAACAAGGTTATGTCTTTTGCTTTCAGCGTAAGAGCAATAGTTGTTTTAAATCTTCATAGTTATGGAAGCGGAAGAAATCCATGGGGTAATCTGACACCTGAATATTTAGAAAAGGTATTGAACTATTGTTTCCTTTCATAACACAATGTTGTAGTGATGTTATGAAAGTGTTGCTTTTTATTTTTTTAAAGAGAGTAAAAAAAATTTTATATTTATATTTCCAAAGTTCGTAAAATTATGTTTTCATCCTTATTTATATATAATCTATTCTACATTTAATTTTGTTTGGTATTATGAACAATGCCTATAACAGCTTAAATTCTATTCCATTAATTGTGTATCTCTAATAATTAATTTGTGATTTTGATCATCTAATAATTCTTTCTTAAATTTAATCTCTAAGTTTTTAATTTCTACAATCAAAATTTATTTTGTTATAATCTTCCACCTAAAACCTTAAAATCTTCATTTTCTAATCAATTTCTACAAAAATAAAATAAAACCAGTTAAACCATTTTGAACCCCTTTTTTGCTCAAAACCAATAAATCAAAACAACAAAAATTATTTAAAATTAGAGAATCACTAATATATTCTTTTGTTGAAATATTAAGCTCACAATCTATAAAACCACCAAATTTCATTAAAATTCTATCAAATTTCATTGATTTAAACTTTCAAATAATTTGATACCCCAAATTTATTCTAAATCCCTAATTTTTCAATAACAAGCTTAAATTTTTATGTTAAAAATGAAAAAAAAAAAAAAAAAAAAAAGAGACTGAAGGGACTTGCTTAAAAGTTGTAATAACTCTAGAAAGTTTTGGAAACTGAAGTCAAGTGAAAAATTGTAGGGTCAGGGACCGAAATTGCGTATTAACTTAATAGAAGGACAAAAGTACGATATATTCTTAATTGAATATTCACAATTGATAATAAGAGATTTCTAATGTAAAATTTAATCAACAAAACAAATGTTAGGATTTATGGTTATTAACATAAAACAAATTAGTTTGGTATGAAAGCTAATAATTGAATTTGGCAATGAACTCCTAGTTTGGATCTTGTAGTATACATAAGCTAATATAATTTTTAACTTCACACATATTTACTTTGTGATTATATTATGCGTAGAAAATGTGATTGTGGTAATTATCAATAACCCATTGATTCGTGATTATTTTTAGATGGATATGAATTTTGTTTACTTGAAAAAATTTACTTGTTTTTATCTACTCTTAAATATCTATAAATGAAACACTTTTTAATTTACTTCCAGAAAGGCTTTGTTGAAGCACAAGTTGATGACGGACTCTTAGAAATATTTGGTCTAAAGCAGGGATGGCATGCATCATTTGTCATGGTTGAATTGATTTCTGCAAAGCACATAGCCCAGGTACCACATGTTAATTTAGATAGTTTATTCTTTGCAATTTAGAATGAATTTTTAATTTCAATATTGTAAAATTTCTGAACTCAATGTCTTCTCAATGCTGAGCGTATGAGAGGTAGAGAAACTCTAATTAATTGAGTAAAATTCTTTTACTTGACTATTAATTGTTGTATTTGAAAATCTTACTTTTGGGGATGCATTTCAGTTTATTACCTTCATTTGCAAGTAGAAAACTAATAATATGGAACTAAATATTGTATTCCTACACTTCCAATTTACCAGTTAATGTTTTAGGTATCTAGTGTAAAATTTATAAAGGATATCTGCTGACATGAAAGACACATTAATTCAATTTCTATCATTTAGCTTGTATAAGTTGATGATTCTAATAATAACTATTATGTGTTTCCATAAATATATACAGTAGTAGTAGTAATCAGAAAATTTTGACATTCGTGAAATTGCTCCTTCGATTGGTGAAATTAATTATAGAGGTCAACTTGCATGTATACTAAATCAGGCAGCAGCAATTCGACTGGAAGTAAGAGGTGGAGAATGGAAAAATGCGTACATGCAAATGGATGGAGAACCATGGAAACAACCAATGAGCAAAGACTTCTCCACATTTGTGGAAATAAAGAGGGAACCCTTTCAGTCACTCATGATTAATGGAGAGTGATTCTTTCTCTGATGGTTGATTGTTCCGTAGCTAGGATATTCAATGTGTGTATATGTAATCTAATTGATTTCTAATTTTTATAACACCTTTCCCATATCCTTTTCTATTTCTTTTCTATCTCTCTCTCTTTTTTCTATCACATGACTACATATCACTTTCTCTCTCTATTCTTTCTGAGTTTATACTCTCTTGTGTAAAATGAATATTTTGCAATGTAATTTTGGGTATTAACTACGGAAAAATTTTACCTCTCAAAATGCCTTCCTTATTATCTTATCCAATAATATTACAAACTATTTTGTTGAAGGGAATTGGCATGGCCTCTCATTGTCTTTTCTTGTGTGTCTATACATATTTATCAAATGCATCCCCGTGAAAGATCAGTGATTTTTTAAAATGTCAGAAGTGGAGGGGCTCATATTGAAGGTCAATGATGGTTATATTGGATTATTCGATTCGATTTGAGTAACTCTCTCTCTCTCTCTCTCTCTCTTTCATTATAAGGTGATCAACATTTGAGTTACAAATGCAAAGGGAAATCTAGGAGACTATACGAGCATTGCGCCTTAAATGAGTTTTCTTTGACTTGACTTGAATTAAGCAGAATCTTATTAGGCATGTAGATACTTGAGGATGAATGTAGTGTTGAGAGGCAAGAAAAGATCCAACGTTGAATAACATTATTTAGAAGTGGGTATTAGTTACAAAAGGCACTTACAATGTCACAGTTAATAATTTCACCATATTTCACGAGTTGGCCACATTCTGTGGCGAAGACGATTCTTGGATGTGTGTTTATCTGAGCCCAAGGAATGACTGTGGGTGAAACAATAAGGAGGCGCTTGAATCACTGAATCAGGTAAAACGGCACCAACCTCAAACGTCATCACGTGTGATTGGATTCCTGCAATTAAAACAATGGTACATATAAAGTTTGATACCAGAGACTTGGTTGTAGGTTGAGTCATTCCTGATTACTCCTCCACGTTTTAAGACTTGTTCATGGTGGATGCTTAATCTTCACTAGGAAGTGTCAATGGATAATTGTATATACTAAAAAAATGATGTATGTATGTATGTATGTATGCATAATATATAAATATACCGTCGTAGAAATCCCAGCGAACAGGCCTCTTGGAGATGACATCCTCGTAGTACCAGATGAAGTCCTCTTTCTCCCAAAGGTTGCAAAGGAAGCCATCGGTGACACGCGTTCCAAGATAGACGGCACCGTCGAGGAAATTTGGCCTGGGAATTCCAACCTCGAAATCAGCGATCCAGCACTCAGCATTTGGGCCGAGGGTGTAGTAAAACGACGTGCCGTTGTTCCACTCAATGTCATAGAGCAACCCTGTCAACTGCTTCTGGAATATGTTGACGTTGCGTCCCTTGGGCCAGTCATACCATAAGTCGCTCAGTTGGAGGCGCGTGCTGCTCAGGTTCATGAAGAGCAGCGCGTGAAATTGCTCTGGCCATGGTGCTGGCGTTGGAGTTGAACTATTACCATTGCAACTTGCAAAACCGAGGCAGAGAAGAACAATGAAACAATTTATGCACACCATGCTCTGCTTCTCTTTCATTCTTAGAACCAGTAATCACCTGTTCGTCAGTGGTTCGAACTTTACAACTTAGAAAGCAAAAAACGTGTACAATTTTTCTCCTCACGTTTAGATGATAGGAGTGGATGAAGGATAAATAAAAAATACTTAAATTGGGTTTTCGATTTTAAAGATTTACGATTTTTTTATTAATAATTTGTCTTTTTATTTACATAATATTCAAATTAACTTATATATTTTGATTAGATATATTTATATGAATTTTACATTATATTAAATAAGTCAAATTGGATGTTAGACTAATAAATACTAGATAAGAGTATATATCAAAAAAAAGATTTAAGAAGACTTGTTTTAAAGAGTGAGAGATCAAATTAAACATCTTTACTTTGAAATAAAAAAATAAATAAATCTTTATTTAAGTCAATAAAAAAATATAAATAATTTGTATCTAAAATGATACACATTAAAAAATTTAAAACTATAAATTTAAAATAAAAATATTTATTATTTTAAAATCATAAGAGTAAATTTTTACTTTTTGTCTTTGAAATTTTAAAAGTTATTTAATTTAGTTATTAAAATTAAATTATAATACATCATTATTTTTATCTTTGTCGATAATCAACAATAGAAATCAACCATACAAATAATAATTTAGAATCAACTTATTAATAATAATAATAAATATATATATATATATATATCTATATATAACAAATAATATAACTTTAAATAAATTATATATAATAATGTTTTTTAACTTGACATGTATCTCTATTTTATTTGTCTAAATTTTTTTAGTATGATACCTATAAATTTTTTTTAAGATATTACAGAATTTACTATTGTGAAGTCATTATTACTTATATTGCTCAACTTTTTTATTTTTATTTAATTTAAAACTTCTTCCCTCTTTACCTTCAACAATGTAAACATGCACAAATGTCATCATTTCAAGGGGAACTCCTCCGAAAAATTACCCGTTTAGAATAAACATTCACTCCAAAGCGGAAATCGATCTTGCGCTCCTAAAGTTAGAAGGGAAAATTCCAGCCTGAAAATTTATTTATTTTTTATAATGTTTCTTTGTTATTATTATTATTATTTGTAATTTTCTTTAAAAAAAAAATGAAAGGATAAATTTTCAAGGACGTAAAGTTACAATGCATACCTTGTCCAATAATACATTTTCATTTTGGCTATTAAACTTACCTCTCCAGATACTAAAGTGGATTACACGACACATCTCTTCACCTTAAGGTATTTCCTTTTGTAAATTAAATAGTGCAAGACGTAAATGTAATTTTTCAGACAAGGTGTCAAGCATAAAAGTCATAATAATCCCAGGAGCAGTGCGTGTACATTTCATGCTAAATTTTCTGTGGTTTCAGAACACTTTTTGGTACATTAATGTGAAGAATAAAATGAGTAAATTTGCTTACCCTCATCAAAATAGCATCCCCAGGATTAATGAGAAATTACGAGACAGAAAACTATAAGTTTTTTAAGGTGCTTATTCCAAGTCTGTCGTTGGAGTTGCTAAAAAAGGAATCATAGTAGGGTGAACAGTTAACAAAAGGCATAGACAGAACAAAATGTTTTTTTATATAACATTCTCGATAACATCAATTTATGAACAAATTTTACTAAATAAGAAGAGTCCTCATGTACATAAAGGTGCACCCAAAATGGAGCTATAAATTTCCCATGCCACCATACGATGTATAACAAATCATCTTCATCTATTTCGATGCAACACATCCAGGGGAAATACGATTCGAGTACAACTACCACTGTCACAACATTGATTAGATGACATCAAATTTAACAAAAAGGCTAAAGAAGGAAGTTATCTATCATATGGTAAACCACATCAGCGCCATCAGAATTCAACCAATATGATTTCACCTGAGACCAAGGCAAAACAAATAAAAGAAATTAGAAAAAGAAACCACGAACACAAGCTGAAGCTGTGGCCACTATCTTATGAGAACATTAGCATATAAGTGTTTCACACAAAACCTATTTCACTATGTTCCCTGTAGTAACCAGTTTCAACCAGTTTCAATATATTAATCACTATCCCATTATGTGGAAAACAATAACTCCCTTGTAATTAACCTCACATTACTCTTCCTGGCTTGATATACTCCTAAATTCCCAATCATTGCTTTCCTCTTGTAGTCTGATATCATTGTTACCATCAATGATGTAAAGAAATGTATTCAAATAATACCTTGTATTATGAATTTTGTTTTCTATGATGAATGCAGTTTTTATCTGAATATTTGAGCACTAAACATATGTAGAATGAAAAAAGCACTTGAAAATACTGCATCAAAGGTAATATCATTGTGCAAATTTCGCAGGAAGGCTTCAAGATATCAAGATTACCTGAATTGTACTGTGAGCAATGTAGCGCTGTTTACTTTTCTGAAAGCTAACATCCACACGCTCCCAAGATACCTGAGTGAGCCCCCTTATCATCTCCTCTGCATCGGGAAAGTGTAAAATAGTCAGAAAAATAGGAATTTGACACGGTACTACTTCATTCAGCAGGAGCATTACAGAAAGACAACATAAATCAACATTGGCATTTTATTATGAAATTGATAAAGCCTTTAAAAAGGAACTAACCTTCTAAGTCAATTATTTGTCCACCAATATTAGATGATGCTTTATTGCGAATGTCATTGGCAGCCTCTCCTTCAACATAAACAATGTGTGGGTATTTCTCATCAATTACAAGAAGATTGGACTAGCACAACAGAGGAAGCAGAATTTAGTCTCTGAAAGCCATGTACAGAATTAAGGTAGACTATTATAAAAAAAAAAGTCTATACCTTTGGAAGTTCATGTTGACGACGAATTGATGAGGTACGCCATCCAACCATATCTTGAAGCTAAGTCAAGAAATATCAGAACATGAGAAGCATTTCTTTATCTTAAAGATTGATCTGCACTATTTTGCCAATTTATGGTTTCCAGAAAATTATTAATTTTCTAGCCAGGGTGATATTGTACATAGCTGTCTACAAGTGCTCTCGAATGCACATACAAACTGCATCTCCTAATTTTTGACATAAGTGGTTGACTCTAGATTCATTAGGCTTAAGCTTCTGAATTCAAAGATATATTATTATCAAAACATAAATTAAAAAGAGGATACGATCATAATTTGCATTTGCATATGCCACTCGACGCTTAAATGCACGTAAAGCTGACCTATACCATCAGAAACAATTAGATTGATGAATAATACAGAAACAAATATTAGCATCCGATGAGGTTAACTGATTCATTAATACTAACATAAACTTTAAATCATCTGAGTCATTAACCATTCGCAGGAGCAGAGGACGCTTTCCATCATCATCGTCCATGAGGAAGAGATGCTTCCCAGATCTCCCAGCAACTAAATGTGCAGTTTGGGATGCTCTTCTTTCAAGGAAAGGAAGACCGCAAAGAAACGGAAGCTACAAGAATATTTAGAGCAATTCATACTATCATTAATCCAAGACAAGTGGGGTAGAGCAAAATATAAAACCCTTTTTATCTCATACTACCAATCATATATATCCTTTTTGTACATTTTAGAATATATAACTACTAGATTCACTACTTTATGGAAAAGGCAATAAACAGAAATAACCAATCTATCTTTATATAAGATTTTATAACTAATACGAAAATAAATAAATAGGCAACTAACTAATTGAGTCTGTTTTGCATCAAACTGATAGATACAATTAGTTAGTTAGTTACATAAATAAAATTAATAAATAGTTAGTTAATTAGTTAATGGGAGGTTAAGAGAGAGATCATCTTGTCATTTGGGAGATAATTGGTGCCTTTGGGAATTGGGAGGTGCATACCCTTGATAATCTGAGTTTTGTCTTGTAATGGGGTTTATCCCTATTTCTTCCTAATAAGATACCGGGTTTCCACTCAACTAGTATTAGAGATTTGATCTAGAAGCTTTCAAGCATGTATTTGGATATCCATATTCAACCACAGTTTGTGTAACCTTTGAAGATATCTAGTGAAAAAAATATATACTTACAACCAAGACAAATTCAAAAGGAAAATATCTTTCTAGCTTTACATATCAGTTACAGACTGAACATCAGAAGTTCTAAATACCAAAAGACATAACCAGAATATAGGAATCTCTAGTTGATGGCACTGAAATCATATGTATCAAATCATTTTAAGAGTTGAAGTGGCTTTCAGGAAACCAAAAGGAACTAAACTTAATGTTTCACTAGTTGCAGAGTTTTCACTCAATCCATGTGAATCTTCTAGAAAAAAAAAAAAAAACTGAAATACCAGAAGGTTTTAGGTCTGACAATTGAAGCAGCTATAGAACATCAGACAGAGAGAACATTTTAGCTACCATTCATAATAGCAAAATAAGCTACCTGTTTATTTCCTCTTGAACCAAGATGTGGAGTGGCAAATGTTATGAAGTTCATGGGCTCTAAACCAGCGATTTTAGCTTCGTAACCCTGTTCAAGGAACTGCTTTGAATATGTCATTTTCTCTTCACTGAAACAGTCTCCACTGGTACAAACAGGTGCCAATGTTGAAGAATAATCATAAAGTCTCCCAATAGCATATCTTGCCACCAAGCCTCCTAGAGAATGTGCTACGAAGGATATCTTTTGCACCTCTGGCCAACGTCTAGCTACAGATAACACCTGCATAAATATGAATTAAAACTGAAAATTTAAATGTGAATGAATCGTTGAAAAACCAACACTGTAAATGAAAGTTTAGTGAAGTACTGCAAAATTAAGATGTGCAAACAAGAAGAAAAAAAGATCATGCTATTATTACCGAAATACCTCTTCAGCTAGCCTCTCACCCATTGTATCAACACCATCAAACGTCAATCTTGAAGAATTGCATTCGCTGCCTGTGCAAAAATTATCAAGTAAAACACAAGTGATGTTTTTCCTTATACACAATGCAAAAGATAATAACAGTGAAAGATTGGTGGACTTGGTAATGTCAGGGTTAGACTCGGAAGAAATAAAGCAGGATGATTTAATGTTTAAGAAATAGGGGAAAAAAAAAACTACTTGATAAATTTCTTCGGTCAGACAATCCATTTTTTTGTTGAAGATGTTTTCCAACATCTACATCACAGGGAACAGCAGACAGAATTAATTTGAACAACAAAATTAGAACCTAGAAACTATCCATTCATTATCCCACAACTTAGGATCTACAAATAGCTCACGAACCTAAGACAATTAACAATTCAGTGACGTGACGCAATATTTTCAAATTACAAAAATTATCAACAACATTCAGATGCAGAGGAAAAAACGAGCAACTAAATTTTCACAGGAAGTGGGAATGCTTACGGTGTACAATCACTTTATCTGGAAGCTTCTTCACAAACTGCTCCGCAGCATATCTCCAATCAGCAGCACTGAAACACCAATTACATTTCACTTTTAATGGTATCCACTAAGCAAAAAATCTATTACCCAAAATATAATGAACTTCTATGCAATGAAAACAATAAGGATAATTCTGAATATGTATTTATAACTGAATTATCCAATTAACACGAGTACAGAATTAATAATTCACAATGAGTAGAGAGAAACGGAAATCTGGATAAATTATTTCTCGAACTTAGAAATAAGATAAATACAAGATAATAATAAACGAGGGCAATTTTTTTGGATTCATATTCGGAAAATGGAAAATAAAATAACAAACATGAGACTAAAGCAAGCCCTAAAATGCAGTATAATATTAAGGATAATTAAATTGACCTATTATTAGCCTTTACCCTTTAATTACACTTACATCATTCTTGATCAAGGAATTACACCTATTTCCCGTGCATTCCTATTGCTTTGTGTTTTTTTGTTAGGATATAAAAATAAAGGAGGTATTCGTAATTTTCTTAAAGATAACAAGTCTGAACAGTGAACACATAGGAATTGTATACAGTGTAATTTTTCAAACAAGAAAAGTATAACCAAATACTAAATTACAGCGATTATGAAGTGATTGGTAGGAATGTGTAAGTTAGGAATATGGCATTCCGACTTTGTTACAAGGTTTATAAGTATTTTCCTGGGCATTGTTGAGAGAGAGAGGTGGGATATAGAAATATTAGAAGTTAACATATTATCAAACTAGTAACTTATGTATAAACCAAAAACTGAGTTACAACCAAATATGTACATTTATTAACTGACCTGAGTTATTCCTGAGAATGAAATTACATACGCAAGTGTAATGAGTGGTGAAATCAAAAGAGAGAGGAAAATAAACGTAATTAGGCGTAGCTATTAAGGAACGTAAAACGTTACCTCCCAATTATTCCATTAACCATAATAACAAGGTGATGAGGAATCGGCTGGGCGGTTGCGGCGGCATCGAACAAGTCCTGGCCGCCGCTGTTGGGCTCGGCCCTGAAGCAACCGCGGCCCATTCGACGGAGCACTTCCAGTTTGATGGACAGCTTGTTGGGCCCCACGGGTTTGGATCTTGGATCCAAGCAGCAAGTGTTGAAGAATGATCGGGTCGGGTTGCGAGCGGGTATTGGGGGTTTGGGTCGGAGCACAGAGCTGGAGTCTGAGGCCAGCATGAAAGAGGTTTTAATGGCTTTGTGCAGAAAGAAAGAATCGCAAAGTTTGTAAGATTTGATTCGGTTAATGAATGTTTTTGCTGTGCTAGCTTGAGGTTGAAGGGACTGCGACTTCGACTGCTACTCCTACTAAGCCCAAGTTGTTCGTTGAATTGTTATTCTCTTTGAGAGCTCATTCTTTGGTCAATGCTCCGAATATTGTTTTTAATGCAACTTCAGCAACTCATCTGCATAAATTATTACTTGGACCATTTCAATTACTCCCAAGACATCTTTGCATTTTAAACCTGTTTCTTAAAATTTGAGTAAAACTTAAATAGTATAAATTAAAGTCTAGTAAAATAGTAAAAGCCATAATAACTTTTTTTTTAAAATCTTTTCATTTAATATCAAATTTATTTATTTAAAATTCTAAAATATTCTAAACATATTTTTCATTATTATTTAAATATATAATATAATAATTTAAAATTATTTTATCTAAACACAGCGTTAAAGTGTTATCAGCCTATTTAAAATTTAATAAGTTGCAACTGCACGAATTTTGTTAAATAATAAAATGATATTATTTCCATAAGAATTGTATGATTAAGTACTTATAATTGTAATTTAAATTGTGTGATTAACTACTTAAACACACTTAATTATCAAAATAAGATAAAAAAAAAATTAAAAAGACAAAAAATAAAATTTTAATTCATCTTGAAGGTAAATTATCAAAATATTTATTTTATTTTATTTGAATTGATTGTGAGTTTTGTGCTGAAAATTCAAGCAATACCATTCTCTACAAGACTACATCCAATATCCAATTCATTATGGTCAATTAATGAACCACTTCACAACATCAATTAATGAACCACAAACAATGTCAATCACTCTTATTTAAGAGTTTTAATCATTCACATAAACTCCATTCATTTGTATTTTTTAAGAATTTTATCAATAAACTTTCCCTTCAAGAGAGTCTCTGCACTTTTATGGAAGTGAAATAAAATTACAATTTCTTCCATTTAAAACAACAAAAATGGAGTGTTATAAAGAATGTAATGATTTTTTATGCTATCACCTCATCATAAATTATCATATTAATAAGAATCATATACAAAGTGTATTATAGATAATATAAAAATATTGATCAGTACACTAAATTTAAACTCAATAAATTATAAATAAATATTACAGTGAGTACTGAGAATGTGAGGCTATAATAAGTTTCCTTTCTTTACTCTGTTATTTTTATTTTTTTTTAACTTTTTTGTTCCTTTGCTTTGGCTGATGTTTTTATTCTTTACGTTTTTCACTTAATACAACACGAGCAGTAACGAAAACAGACTAGCGATCAAACAGCGGCGACAAGACACAGGGTGAGCACTCCACGCCACTCCCCACGGCTAAACGGTGACAGATAGGACACAAAACTAATGACCAACCACTTGCGTCATACTAACACAGAAACAAAAGCACTCTGGCAACCAGTGGCTGATGATTAGCGAGAACAAAAGACAATTGTTGGCGAAGCCATTTTGTTGCTTTTGTTTTTTCTTTTAATATTGCTCAGCCCGGTCAATTCAATGCTACTTTAGGCATCGGTTTTTGCAAAACACCGTCGAGCCATACCGGTTCAAGCGATTCCATGACATCCCTGATATGCTGTGCCGCTCAGTCTAAACGATTTTACCAACCAGTGTGCCGATATTTGTAACGCTGCTTCCCTCTTTCCTTTTTAACATTATCTTTTTATACAGCAAACCCAAAAAAGAAAAATAAAAATTATCATAATTTAGTTCTAGCTCACGAACATATTATACAAAGAGAATATTAAAATAACACTTACAGGAAAAAAGATAACCAAAAATACATCGTGGCCCTTAAACATATAGGGAAAATGATAACTAAAAAGGAGACTTATAAATATATATATATATAGACACACAAGTCATGTTCTTGCATCTTAAACATCTGCCCTGTAGTTTTCTGGTTTATACCACAGTGAGAAATCAATTCCCTTGCTTTTTAATTTCTCTGTTGCTGGTCCAATTCTCTCCAGAAGCTGTAGAAAAGCATATAACCCACCAAATGAGAAATTGTACTTTCACTAAACCGTATTTACTCCGAAGTCTATAAAATTCACTCACATCATTTTAGTTGCTTATATTCTATACTTGTACAAATCAGAAAATAAAACCAACAGAAAACTAGTTTTCGTGAACAATATGAAATTTAATTTTAGCATATGATACAACAAATTATAGAGGCAACACGAGAATGTCAATGTCATAAATATATTTTTGATTCTCTTAAAGGATTTTTCTAGCATTCTCATGCATAATTGTCAATCCTAGATTGCATGGAGTGGACTCCTCAAAAAAACACTAGCAATACTGCGTCATGAAGCCAACCGCTATACCGAAGATAGGGGGTACTAAAAAATTGGGATTCTTTCGCTCCAAACTTAGGACGCATCATGATATGCTCATAGGGTCACAAGAGTGTACGTTGGCATGATGGTAAGTAAGCACTCGTGGTCATTATGTTGGTATCAGAGCCAACATGAGGTAGGATCCCAGGTTCACCCATAGGGTCACGATGGTGTATGTTGAGTTTGTGGGTCAGGTTCAACCTAGAGGTCCATGCCCAATGGCTTAAAAAGAAAAAAGCCCTTGTTTGATACCTGGTGTTATATGTTAAAAGTTGAACCTCTGCTAACAACTTCACCTTTTGATATGATAGTAAGCGCTCTTGGTTTATTAGCCTCAGATTGGTGTATTATTCAGGGCTGTTCAATTTTGTTTGCTGTTCCGTTGAATCCCTAGCCTAAGAAACCTTTTTCTCTTTGTAACCTATTCTCATCATCCTCACTTTTGGCCCATGAAACATTTGGTGAATCAGATCAATATGTAACCGTTGTCATCAGGGGATAGCCAAGGAAAACACATTCCTTCAAGCAAATAGTTTTTTGTAGGATTTTGTAATCAAAAAGTGAACCAAATAGTTTCTAATAAGGAATTCATTATTAATGGCACTGGATATTAGTCTATTACTGAGAAACACCACAATGATGAAACTGTGATCCCAAAAGGTCAAAGGAAATGAGGCATGAATCCTTAGATACATTTCCAAGAATTCTCACATATGTAGTTAGTCTGTCATACATGTCTTGTATTGTCTATATATATGTTACATGAACTCCTTTCATTTTTAAATCTTGCCACAACACTTCTCTTGGCACACAGTCTTTTCTAAGTAAAAAAATCATATGTAAATCCTTTTTTTGTAACTGCACTTTTTCATCAACTTCCGTAAGAAATATATACTTTTTGTTATAGACTTTCCTGACACAACTAAATTGATTCTTTGCAATCCTAATTTCTTCTCATATTTTATGCTTAATCACTTTTTCTCACAACTTTAGAGTATGACTCAAGTTTTATTCCTTTGTAAATCGCACAATTTTAGATATTTTTCTTATTCTTGTATATAAGGACCAAAGTACTTTTTATCTATTCATCTCTATTCATAAGTACTTTTTGTTATAGACTTTCCTGACACAACTAAATTGATTCTTTGCAATCCTAATTTCTTCTCATATTTTATGCTTAATCACTTTTTCTCACAACTTTAGAGTATGACTCATAAGTTTTATTCCTTTGTAAATCGCACAATTTTAGATATTTTCCTTATTCTTGTATATAAGGACCAAAGTACTTTTTATCTATTCATCTGTGATAGTATCCCATTTTTAAGTGGTAATAATAAATTATGGTGATGATGACAATGATGATTTTATAATGATATTTTTAGTATATATTACTTTTTAGTGCATCCTATAACTCTTATGAGTAGGGATGGGGATTCACAAAGTGAGGCAAGAAGTCAAGAAAGAAGCATTTAATCTTGTACCTCCTATTGTTGATATGATTTAGATACTATTCCATGTTCACAATCTTGTTTAGAGGCAAATTGTAGGGGAAGTTGTGGATTGACCACAAATTGATGCAAATTATGAGCTTTGATGATGGCTTCCATCTGTTGTTTCTGTTAAAAAACTTGAGCCTAACTTACTCGTAAAAGTTAGCTCATAAGAGGACTACTCCAAGAAAAGTATTCTTATTCTATTCTTAATTAATGTGGTACATCTTAATACATCCCCCTCACGTCTAGGACTGAGCATTTGGTGCGTGAAATTTGCAAAACTAGATATTTGCAGTTTCCATAAAACTAACTTATAGGAGGAGGATTACCCTAGTCCTTATAAGGAATATTCTAGCTCTATTTCTAATCAATGTGGGATAACTTAACAGTTTCCATAAAAGAAAGTTCTTCTCATCTAGCTTAATAGTAACAGCACGAGTGAAACTCACCACTGGTAGAGAATGTGAAGTCATAGCAGCCAGATTATGTTTTTAATTGTTTTTGCTGCTGGACCCACCTCTGGAATCATCTAACTTGTGGAGATTCAGACATTCTGATCATGATCACAATTAAATAGGCAGAGCAAAGAAGGCTCTAGGTACCATATTAGAAGTTTTAGAAAAAAACAAGTGATTCAAAGATTTAAAATGGAGAGAGAGCTCAAAAGTGAGAAAATAACTTCATTCAATTTCTGAAAATTGGGTACAACGTATTCTTATGGATATATGAGTTAATCCTCCAGTTACATAACTATATAGACAGTTACAATTGTCAACATCATTCTGTTACAACAAAAACTAGACAGGAAAGATACAACAGAATCTTGAATTCACTAGAACCTATACTCTACTCTAGGAAAAATTTGCAATCAGTTTGATAATTATCGAGAACGATGCTGCTTCGGTCCTAGCATTCCCTCTCCTAGAGAGTAAGGACCTTAGAGAAAATACTGTCCCTTCCCAGCCAAAAATACCGTTTCATTTATCACACAAACCTTGCTCTCCTATATACATGCCAATAACCTGCCAACTCAGGTTCTCCATATCCCACTAGAACCTTCTTCCCTTCAGTATAGACTATAGAGTCCAATAGTTGGACCTATTTACCCATTATCTAAACCAAGCCTTGTTGCCATAGCATTAGGACCAAGGCTCCTACAGAATATGTTGCCATTTTTCTTAAATGCATTTTTTTTAGGGCAAAGAAATAACTTGCACTGGAGATGCTGTAGGTTGGGCTGTAAGCTTTAGCAGAACTAAGAGTTGTGCATTTAAGCCAAATGTGTTAAATCATTGATAACTTATGTGCAGTTAAAGGCAACTTTGTTCTATGCAGAAGCATTTTATACGTATGGATAAGAGTTACATGAAAAGACAAAACAGCAGAGGAGATTGCATGCATGACTTAGGAGTGAGGAGTACTGTTAATAAGCTAACTAAGCAAGAAAATTTTGAAGGGTTGTAACACAAAAGAAATAAAAATATAAAGTAATTTAGTAAATACTTCAAAAAAGTGATTAAACTTTTTAGAGCTCTTAAAATGAAAGTTACCTTTCCATGGAGCAAACCATTTGAAACCAAAACAGATCTATCAAAAACACAAAATTTTCCTCCATCCATCCGAGAAACAGAGCCACCAGCTTCTTCAACCATCTACAAGTAAATGGAACAAAACTAAGTATACAATATTCTCATAATTAAATAAATCGATAAATGTTGAGAGCTCTTCGCTGACATCATAACATTCCCAAAAACCATAATTCAATAACTAAAACTTTTAGAAGAGTTGGTCATTGATACAATGTTAAAATCTTTACGCCCAACTAATCAAGTGTTAACACATTACTGCCTCCATTCTTCACAATTAAGTTGAATTTCAATATAAGGTGAAAATGATTTGTGCATTATCTACCCCAATTCTTGCCTCTAAACAGAAAAAAAGTAATAATTGATATTTCATGAAGCTAACCATGTACGAGTTATATTATAAATATACATGTTCGGCTTGCTTTTACTGAAGTTTGTATAAAACTCATTCTTTAACTAGCATTCAATTGACTGTCATAATCGTTAAGAAAATAAGTTTTGCTTCTTTTCTTCAGGAAAAATTACTCTCTCCATGCAAAACCCAAACACTATTCAATCTTAAAAATGCAAGGCTTACTAACTTGTCAGAATAATTATCAATGATATAGAATTCATAAAGTATACCAAAACACCCGCAGCCATATCCCATGGCTTTAGACGATATTCCCAATAAGCTTCTACAATTCCTAAGGCTACATGACACATGTCCACAGCAGCTGCACCAAGCCTTCTTACACCCTAAGCATCAAAGTCAAGAAAATGATAAGTGGAAGGCAAAGAAATGAGGTACATTTTTTGATAGATTTTAGATGAATACCCTGCTGACATCAGTAAATTCTTTGAATAAGTCTATGTTAGTAGCCCATGCATCATCATGTTCATACCCAAAGCCTGTCACTAGAAGAGATTGCTCCACCTAAAACAATGAAGATTACTTAAAACATATAACAATCACAAAGCACCAGATAAATAGTATTCAGATTGTTCCATAAAAATCAGGAATCATGATGAGCAAGGATTGATGTACACTTTCTCTATTTAGGCTTTGTTTGGAAGTTTGAAAAGAGAAGAAGGGAAAAGGAAGGGAGGAAAAAGAAAGTTAAATCTCTCCCTTGTTTGAATGTTTAATATTGAAAGGGAAGGATGATGGGAGGTTTAATTATATAAATAATATTATATTTTATATCTTTTATTTATATTTTTTATTTTTATAAAAAATAAAAAAATAAATATTTTTCTTTCTCTAAAAATTAATATTTTTAAAATTACTATTTTTATTTTTTATAATTTTTTAAAAAAATCATCACTTGAAAAATTAATTTTTTTTTTTAAAAAAAATTAGAATCTTATTTATAAAAGAGTATTGGAGTTCCAAAACAGATGAACTCAAAAAACAAGTGTTAGAAAGGTTTTTTAGGATTTAGAAAAATTTTCAAAACCTTCCCCTCATAATTAAACAACTCTCAAACAATGATTAATCTTTCTTAACCCTTCTCTTCTTCTCCTCTCATTTCTTAAAACACAACTCTCAAACATAACTTTAAATTATCACTTTGTCGCTAATCACCTGATTAGTTGCACTAACTTGGATCCTTTGGCCATTGCAGAATGCTCCCCCACCTACAAGTTAAGAGAACTAGGTTAGTGTAGAAATTATATAAATATTGATAAATTAATTAGTAGAAAAAAAAACTACTATATTTAATAATTTATATTTTCTTTAAGGTTGATGGGTTTGGAAAAAAAAAAGTACCAGCGGTTGCAGAAAAGAGGCGAGTATCCCAACACATAGGGCCTCCAACAAACTCAACCTGGAAAAATAAAATAAAATATATATATATAAATTCATGTCAAGGCATATTTTCTTTTGCTACAACTATATTTCTTCTAGCATCATTTATTACATAATAGAAAGTTCAGTTGAGCTTGGATGCTCTTCTTTATCTAACCAGTGGTTACTGGAACACAACTATGGCCCCTTTTAAGCAAATTTTTCAAGAAGTCTCATAGAAAAAAATCAGTAAAAAAATAAATAAATTTTCTCTCATAAGTTAAAACAACTTATATTTCTCTATTTTTTATAAATTATAAGAAACTCTTTCATTTATTTTCTCTAAAGTTTGAAGAGATAAATTATTTTTAACTTATAAAAAAAGTTTTATTCATTTTTTATTTTAATTTTTTTCTTATAAAATGACTGGCAAGCAGAGATGTCAATTTCTTGACAATACAAGGAAATAAAGTAAAAAGAGAAGAGACAACACAAAAGAAATCCTGGCCCCTAATATTTTTTATATTCAAAAGGGATATTTTCTTCATATATTGAGCACAAAAGGGAAGCAAGATGTTTATCATATACAATGCTCAAGTAATATAATAGACTATGGCCCAATTTGAATAAATATCTAGATAAATACTTCTAGGTGATGACATAAAGAAGTAAAATGAATAAAACTTCTATCATAATTTAAAATGAATGCAAGCTAGGACATTCCATAAGAAGTGCACGTCAAGATATCATGTCCTTAATGACCAAACATTGAGCTAGCCAAACTCTATAAATAGATGTTGTAAAGATTATTTCAGCATTTTCTAATTATTTTATCATTTTCTTTAGTTTTTGGATTTAGCTTTCCTTAGTTCTCTTTCTTGTTCATATGGAATTGAAGTGAGACACTTCAAACACAAAGATCAAGCTTTAATAGAGAATATATTCGTAAATATTTTTTCAGCTTAATTAAGTGTTTAGTCTCTACAAACATTTTACAATTTGAACTTAGTCCTTATGAATTTTTTCATTAAGATATAGTTCTTGCTTTTTAACAAACTATTGTTTTAGTCTCTTTAATTGATGTGATTCAATCAAAAACTGATATTCAACAATATTTCAATGGATCATATCAGTTAAAGAGACTAAAAAAATAATTTACGTAAAAGTAAGAGTTATAATTTAACAAAAAATTTATAAGGATTAACTCTAAATTATGCACATTTTTTAGGGATCAAACAAGCCTATATCTTTCATACTCATTTTTTCTCTGTTTTCCACAATGTCTTTCTGATTTTGTAGGTTCGGATAAAATTGATTCTGAAATCAACTTTATGTAACCTTGTTTTACTTAATCTTGATTCAAATTTTTACGGTGAATTGAATTGTTTTACTTCTAAACTTAATGTTGCATTGAACTAAATATTTGAATATATGAATTTGGAGCATTTTTCACATTTGACAAATCGGTCAAATGTTCAGATCTGAGATAAACATCTCAACTTTCTAATTATTTAGACATAGGAGTTAGGATTTTGTAAATTGTAGTTAATTTTTGTGCCTATTTGTGTTCTTGATTGAATCTACATAAGTCGTTAGAATTTTTTATTAAGAATTAACATAAAGTTACCAAGACATGGGATTTTACTATCTCATGAATTAGATCATACAATTTAACCATGAAATTCGAGTTGATGATATTGTTTTCTGTATGAAGTGAGCTTTGGAAGACAATTGAGTCCTAACCATTGTATTCCTTAGAATTCTATTTCATTAAGTGTCATAAATCTTTGTAGCTAGTTGTTTAGCTATATATAGTATTCTGATTTACATTTTGTTTTCATCATAAATTTATTCTTTATTTTGTTTCATTAGTTAATCATGTGTGCATTGTCGAACATAAACTACAATTCCTAAAGACAGTACATTTTTTACTTTTTGTTACTTTGAATCAAAACAGTGCAATTACTGTTTTTGTCTGAACAATTGTCACTTCATTAAAGAAAAGATTCATAGTAGAATCATTAAAACTTCCTATGTTTGCTCGTGGGATTAACTTGCAGACATTTTCACTAAGTCTTTACAAGGTTCTAGTATAGTGTACATATTTGACAAGATGGATGCATACGATATATGTGCTCTCCTGAATATAAATATAGTATACAAATCATTCAATAGACAAGTGAAAATTATTTAGTTTCAAGTATCCCCATCCTTTTGGGGATACTATCATACATATTTTCAAGAAAAAAGTCTTATATTCATCAAATTTCATTAATTATCAGTTGAACTGCATCATCTCAAATCCTCAGAAAAAAAGGAATTCTAAGATCACAAAAATTTAATCAAATAAATGAACAGAACGTATATGATTGATTATTCTATTGTCAAATACACAGAATAGCTATCCCTTAATCTGCATTATGCTAAGATGAGGCACAAATAAATATATATACAGTTATAATGCAGCCATTCTGATTTATTTTTCCTAAGTTCACCATAAACAGCTAGGTAAATAAAATTAAATAGAAACAAATATATGGTTAAATTACCACTGCAGCTGCAGCTGGATTCCCCTGATATAGAACTCCAACAGAAACAGCAAAACTGGGATAGCCATGTGCAAAGTTTGTTGTTCCATCTACAAAAATATCCAAGATTTGTAACTAATGTACCAAATACCACAGAAAAAGAAATGGATGAGGAACATGCACTCTGAGATAACATATTTGAATATGAAGAGGAAAAAATATATTTAAAATTTAAATATTGATCCTTGGTATACTATATGCAATGCAGAACAAGTTCCTAATGTAGCACAATTCAAAAAGGAGATATGGCATTGACTGGGGCCTTACTTACCAGAAAGGAGTTTTGATCAAGAAAATAAAGAGCTGACAATGGATTTTATTTTATTTTTTTAAATTAAAGAGAATAGATTACTTGGGGAAAAAAAGAGAAAAGAAATCACATGAATTTGATAGAAACCTGGTATCTTATTACAAAGAATAGGGAAAATATCCCTTCAATACAGCATTGCAAAAAACTGAGTTTGCACTTCCCAATGCCAAAGGGCCCTAATTTCCCTTCAAGTGATAAGATACTCCTCTCTCAACCTCTTCTCTTATTTATAAGCATTTTAACTTAATTGCTCTCTATCATATAGCCCAACCAACAGATATCAACAACTAACCAACCGATTAAATAACTAACTAGTTATACCTCTAACTAACAATGGGGTTACCTATCAATACTCCTAACCCCCCCCCCCCCCAAAAAAAAAAAAAAAACTTCACCTGGAGGAAGAATTCCATAACTCTGCCACAGTGAAGATGATAAATGACTGTCTCTTTTCCCCCTGAGCTGAAGAGATGCAATAGTAGCATAAGTTTCCCCTTGAAGCACAAAAATGAGCCATGGCCTGACATCTATTGAAGTACACCTTTGGATATTGCCTCATCCCTATAATTTCTTCAATAGCATCAACAGTATTGCAAGCATAGCAACTGTGGTATTTGAACCTTCATTCTGATTCTGTATTTCATCTACCAGTTTTACACATCCCAACAAGAGAACAGCATAAGGTCTGTTGATATCTTGATCTGGCTTTCAGCAGTGTAATGGCCACTACCACTCAACTTCATAGAAACCCTCAAGACATTCTTTCTTCCAAATTCCGACAAAAGTATCACCTACATAATTGTGGAGAAATTGAAATACTGCTCAACTTGGATCAAAGGTAGTATCCTCCTGCTTTCCAGTGGCTTCAAAATACAGCTCAACTTGTATCAGCCACCAATAAGCCTACTTTCCATCAAACACTGGAATCATTTTTAAGATTTGATATCCACAGCTCCAAGATTGGAGATCTGATACCAATTGATAGAAACCGGTACTTCTTACAAAGAATAGGGAAAATCTCCCTCCATTACAGCATTGCAGAACTTCAGGGGTCTGCACCTCTCAATGCCAAAAGACCTTAATTTCCTCTCAAAAATGATAAGATACTCATCTCTCTCAACCTCTCCTCTTATTTATAAGCAATCTACCTTAATTCTTCTCTATCTTAGCCCAACCAATAGATATCAACAACTAACTAATTAACTCTAACTATAGGGTTGCCTATCAGAATCAAACTACAGATTTAAATAAGAACCATACATCAAATGAAAGGTGAAACATCTGATAGGAATTAGTACCATGATTGAAAGAAAGAAGGATATTATTGCAATAACCCTAATTCTCAAATCTGACCCACTGTGGACAGACTCAAGAACAAAGCAAGAATGATTACAATGGGTTGATAAGTAATTCGTGTCACCTCACTCCCAAGCTTCCCAATTACAATTCTGTATACACCCCTTTAGTCACTCCTGACTAACTAATCTCACTTAGTCAGTTAGATTTACATGATGTTGACAGTTAAGGGTGTGATCCTCTACAACTCTTTCTCCTATCAACATATTCAAAGATAAATCCACGTCTTTCTTTAAAGAAAGCTGCAAAATTTGAACAGGGTTCACCTTAAAATTGAAGAAATAGATTTGAATGCCCAGTTCTAGTTGAGTTCTAAGTAAATTTGTGTGCTTTAAATTACAATCATTCCTTGAAATTTTGATATAAAGGGAAGCATTGACTGGAATCCCAGACCTAAAGGATCAATGCACCAGAGATAATCAGATGCTGTCTCTCCTATAATTCCTCCTTCTTCCCCAAGAACAAGATGATCTTCAAAATTATCTTTCACCACTTCTAATATTGCAGCTTCACTCATTTTATCTGTCCTGTAAATAATTTACAAAAGTGAAAAGAAAAAAGGTTACAAAGGAAAGGACTCTTATTATGTTAGATAAACAAACACAACATGAGAACAAGTTGTTGACTGTCATTGTCTATTGTCCCATTATTTCCATTTTCATTCTGTATAGATTTGTTATTTTATTCAATTTTGTTAGGACAGTTTTGTTGCCTGTAATTTTACTCTATTATAGGCAAGAAGTTCTTAAGGCCCAACTCAATCCCAAAAGCCAACTCATAAGTTGAGAATTACCTTTATGTTTTTTTATTACATGAGAATTACCTTTATAAGTTCATCTTTAGCCAAATTTGTAGTTGATCTGGGACTTCAACACACCTCACACTCAAGGTTTGAACATTTGGTGCATGGAAATTGTAGAACTGATTTTTGTTTTTAATATTTCACTGGAAAGTTGCAAGGCTATCCAGGTCACACTGGGAAAGCTGTGGGGCCAAGTAGGTTGTGTTGGGGAACTATGGGGCCAGGTTATCACGTTTTAAGTATTGAGGGAGAGAAAAAATAGAAATGAGACTTTAAATAATAATATATTGAGCATTGTAATAAACTAAAAGGAAGAGCACTAACCCATATTCATACTAATCAGAATCCTAATTAATTAGGGAAATAAATCATGAGAAAAAAAAATGGTAACAAATCCTATGAGATAATGAGAAAGAGGGAAATTGATCCTAAAGGATAAGCTAAACTAAGATAATAATAATACATACCAAAGGCATAATATCTGCAGCATCTAACAGAGCTTCAACAAAAAAAATACTGTGTGTTGAGAAATTCTGAAGATTATAGAGTATCCCAGCAGATACGATCTAATTGTGATTGAGTTGATTTTATCTCAGATCTGATTTGTATTTATGTTATGTATATACCAGATTTACTGTATATTATGTAATCAGGGAGATATGATTAGGTTTAGTTCCATTCTTTCCTCTTTTTGATTTCTCCCTGTATCTTTATATTTGTGTAGCCTCTGTACAGTTTGATTAACAGAAATATACACATATTTGAGTCCCTTTGTCCAGTATCAAGTCTGAGAAACTCAAATATTACCCAAATTATTTATATTATTAAATTATATGAGAACAAGAAGGAATGCATTAGAGTAGAGGGCATAAATTGATTTGAACATGAAATAAGACAACCATTATTAATGTTTCAATGAGACCTTACTCAGTCACCAAGTCAGTTGATCCCTTATATGCAATATTCCGTGGCTTATTAACAGCTTCCATCACAACCTGTAAATAACAGAGGTATAATATCCATATGAAGATAATGGCATGCTAAAACCTTATGGAACTAGAAGAAACAAAAACTTATAAATCCTATAATTAGCAATACACAGCAGAAGTTATAACAGAAACTCCAAATCTGTATGACCACGATTAGACTAAGCCACCTGATTACACAGTAGTGTCCTAAAAACTAAGATAAGAAATAAATGATTGCTACCCAATTATTTGATTTAGTTTACAGAAAGATATATAAATAAGGAGCATACAGCAATTATGTTATTAAAAACTTTATTAAGTTAAACCAGTTACTTAAAGAAATAAATAAACATGCATTGATGATAAGCTAATCAAGTGATAAGGACCTACCTTTGGAGGCGTAAAGTGATATGCCCACACTAATATTTTATCACTAAACTTCATCTTAAGAACAAGTTTAACAATTATTTAAAGTTAGCCAGTGTTGGTTCATAGCAATGAAAATGCATCTCAAATCATTCAGTATTTCCTGCTGTTGGTGGGTCACTTTTTCATGTCGTGCTCAAATATGTCACAGTCCTGTCTCCATACAAGCATGGGTTTATGGAAAAATGCCACATATGTTGTGAATTTTTTCGTCTAATAGTCCATCATACTTATGGCTGGCGTGGTCCAATTAGTCATAGTCCAATGTCTATCGCTATTCATTGTTATTCTTCAGCAAATAGATATTAATAGTGCATTTCTCAATGGTTTTTCAAGAAGAAGTTTATGTAACCCAACCTCCGGTGTTTGAAAATCCTGACAAGAACCTACAAAGCAACTATGGGCTCAAAAAGAAGAACTGTTCATCACCAAATTCTTACAAGTAAAATAAGAGAATCACAATGGCAACTGGCAATCATCCATAGTCAAAATGAGAGTCTCGTCAAATTCGGGAGAAATTTAGTGCTATTTTGCACTTAGAATCTTCAAACAAAAACTAACAGTTAACCTCATTTCCTCCTCGTATGGGGCAATATAATGAAAAAATGAGAAAGAAAGAAAAAAACGCAGCATTATCATGAAATCCTAAATTCAACGCATAAATAAAAACATAATCAAATCGACAACCACATAGAATAACAAATATGACTTAAATTAACAATCCAATACAGAAGAGGATAATGGCAAACCTGAGCGCCAGTCTGAGCAGCAGTTATAGCCACTTCAATGAGGTGAGTGGGCGCAATGGGTCCCGTGGATCGCGCACCCACCGTTGGAAACTTACCAGATAGCAAAGAGTTTATAGCACAGGGCTGCGCCCATGATTTGGAGCGAATTGGACGGAACCCATTTCGATGGAGAGGAGAAAGGTTTGCAGCTGTAGAGAAGACCATTGACATGTTCACTTCTTCTGTTGTTCTGTTTTGACTTAACTTTCTCTTTGTTCGGAAGGAGGAATGAATGTATCCAAACTCCTCCACTAATCTCAGCAAAGCAATGAATATCTCGATACCCCAAAAGCAAGGAAGAAAAAAAATTAAAAGTAGATCAAAACTCAACGGATCTTATTATTTTGGGGTATCCGCAGTGACGAGTTTTCAAGTTCCAATTTTTTAACTATTTTTTAAAAATAAAATATGTATCATTAAAATTAAATTAAATTTTCATTCAATTTTAATATTGTTTCTATAATATTAAGTAAATTACGCTTTACTTTTTGTAGATTCACAATTTATTTTAAAGTATTTTTCTATATATTTTACTTGTGTAACTTAATTTACTTGAACTTCAAACAATGTCAAAATGGCAATTATTCTCGTAAATATGCATTTGTTTCATGAGAACTCTTTTTCCCCTGCAAATGCTACAGTCAAACTCTATCTATCTATGGACATATAGAGAGAGTTTGACTGTAGATATTATTTAATCATATTCAAGCCTAAAATGTATGAAAATAACTAGTAGTTATGCTCCTCCGTTGCAAAGATGTGTCTGACGGTGTGATAGTAAAACAATAAAGATGATATAGCTAAACTAAATAATTACAAAGGAGTGAAGTTAAAATTGTGTGATAGTGTAGCAAGATGTGCAAGTGTGAAGAAACTGCGATGCAGAGAGGTTGTGTTTGCGTCTATGAATGAGATGTTAGGATTTTTAAATTAAGGCAAATTTAGATTTTAAAAATCATTTATGTAAAAAATTAATACAAGTTACTTTCCTTCTTCCTTAATCATTTAAGTAAAAATTGGTAAGTTTTGATAATTTTTAAATTTACAAGTTATAAGTATTATTTCAATATAGTTTTGGAGTCTTGGTACCAAGGAGTGGTGGCTCAAAGCTCAGGAAACCAGCAAGTAACCAAACCCAGCAGCGGATACAACTACTAAGGTAAGCAGGAAAAGTGTATCATGACTTGATAATATTAAAGGAGCAGGCTAGTCTACAAGGTGGAAGATTTTCAAGGCTTAGCATCTTATTCTACTCAACTTGGAGAAACCGTGAGGTAGGTGCTCTCTGTTATGACCTCAAATTCAGTCATACACAAATACAGTACATGTCTTCGCCTTCTGGAAGGCTTGAGTTCCAGCGTAAGCATGAGAGAAGTGAAGCAAATCCATGCCCATGCCATCACCCACGATCTTGCTCGTTTCGCCTTCGTTTCAAGCAAAATCTTAGCCTTCTGCGCTCTCTCGCAACGCGGCGATTTGCGCTACGCCCAAACCCTTTTCACTCGTATGCCCCTCCTCACCCTCTTCGACTTCAACTCCATGATAATAGCTTTCTCCAAACACTCCCAATTTCACAATGCCTCCACTCTTTTTCCCAAAATGCTAAACGACGCCGTTCGCCCCAACTCCCACACCTTCGCCGTCCTCGCCAAAGCCTGCCTCACTGAATCTTTCCTCCAACAGCTTCACGCCTTTATAACCAAGACGGGCCACGTGTCTGACGTTTATGTCGTGAGTTCTGTCATTAGAGCGTACTCCAAGCACGGAGCGATACGAGCTGCTCGTCGCGTGTTCGACGAAAGTTCTAACAGGAACGTGGCGTGTTGGACAAGCCTCGTTACTGGGTACTGCAATTGCGGTCTGGTCGACGAAGCGAGGGGTTTATTTGACGCGATCCCCCAAAGGAATGACGTATCGTATAGCGCAATGGTATCTGGGTACGTAAGGAACGGTCGATTCCGCGAGGGCATTGAACTATTCCGTGAGTTGAAGGGTTGTGCGAGCGTGAGGCCCAATAACTCTCTTTTGGTGAGTGTTCTTAACGCGTGTGCTGCGGTGGGGGCGTTTGAAGAAGGGAAGGGGGTTCACACTTACGTGGATGAAAACGGGTTAGACTTAGAATATGAAGTAGAGCTTGGAACTGCAATGATCGATTTCTACACAAAATGTGGATGTGTGGAAGCTGCGGAGCGAGTATTCGGTAACATGAAAGTTAAAGACGTTACCGCGTGGAGTGCTATGATCATGGGTTTGGCTATAAACGGAAAGAATCACATGGCCCTTGAGTTGTTTGCGAAGATGGAGGAGGAGGGGCCCAAACCGAATGCAGTTGCGTTCATAGGGGTTCTTAGTGCTTGCAATCACAAAGACCTGTCGGGTGAAGCACTGAGGATATTTAGATATATGAGTGAAAAATATGGCATTGTAGCATGGATTGAGCACTATGGATGCGTGGTTGATGTTTTGGCGCGGAGTGGGCAAATCAAAGAGGCGTTGAGGTTCATTGAGAGTATGCCAATGGAAGCGGATGGGGCAATATGGGGGTCATTGCTCAATGGGTGTGTTCTGCATGGTCAGGTTGAGTTGGGACAGAAGGTTGGGAGATATTTGATAAAATTTGAGCCTCGACACAGTGGGAGGTATGTTCTTCTGGCAAACGTGTATGCCAGTGTGGGCAAGTGGGAAGGCGTTTCCGAGATGCGGAAATTGATGAGAGAGAGGGGTGTGCCTATCGTTTCTGCTTCCAGTTTTATAGAAATTGACCGAACCATCCACAAGTTTGTTGTTGATGACAAGTCCTGTTCTTTTTCAGGACAACTCTATCAACTGTTACACCACCTGGGAAAGAAACTTGAGGATTATTCCGTGCCAAATGATTTATTTTAATACATAATTATAAAATATTTCCAACATAAATTGCATGTGCTTTACTTTTGCTGCCCCTTACCCTTAAATGAAATAGATTATTAGTTATTTATAATAAAACCTGTTTCTTTAAAGTTTTTAATATTTAAAATTCAAACCAAATGCTGCATAAAATGGTAATTTCATTCCAAAATCACATTCTTTTCACCATGATATATAATTTCATTCCACTCCACTTATTAATATTTATAACATTAGTAGTAGAACCATCATGAACTTCAAATAAGGTATCAGAATAGAGCGATACTTCAAGACTACGGGCTTTGAGACTTTCTTCTTGTAGCTTTTACTCCTTCGATGGAGTCAATTGTTTGAAAGACTCGAACTTATCATATCTATAAAGTTTGTGTATTAAATACCAAATAATTGTAACTTAACTGTTAAAATGCGAATAATTAACAAGATAAAATAAAAATAAAATGGAAAAGATAAAATATTAAAAACACAACTATTTTAAAATTGATAAATTCAAATTTTAACAAATTTATAATTATTAGTTTCTTCACAAATTAAAATTAATGAACTTAATTAAAAAATATATTGTATCAATTCTTGATTTATCTTGGAGGTGAACCCTAAGATGATTATTGTTTCCTTTTAAAATACAACAATGCATTTAATTTGACTAATATCTACTTTTGTAATAAATATATCCAATTAAAACACATTATGTTTTAAGGTAATTCAAAAATTTCTCAAGAAACTTAAGCTTATTTTTATGATTTAGAATTTCATATTTAATTTTGAAAAAGTTAATCATAAAATTTACCTTTCATTTCGGTTTTTACTTTATCACCTAAAATCATGTAATTAAACAAAGAGACCAACAAATTAATTCACAAATATTAAAAACGTTGAGAATTAAATAAAAAAACTCAAAATTAACAAAAAAAAATCACCAAAGACTTATTACATCATCATCAATTTTAATTTGGATATTTCTAAACTTTAAAATAAGAAAAAATCTGTTCAGACATTGTTAAATTACAAATCAAAAGAATAAATCTAAATATAATAAGAAGAACAAGAACATGAGTGAATAAAAGTAGAAAAGAGAAAAAAAAAATTCTATCATTTGAAGTATGTTGCTCTTGTAAATTTTGTGTTTTTTTTCATAGCTCTTTTTTAATGTATATCTCTTGGAAATTATTTAAAATGGAGCACTTATTTCGTGCTTTAACTTTCTTATTTATTTTTAAGATATTATAAATTACTTAAACTGGATGTGTTAGAACTATTTAGTTGTTGGTAGAAATCTCTAAACCTTATCAATAATTTTCTCTCACCTTTATTTTAAACTGTAATTTACTTTTAAAATTTTCTCAAACACTTTATCTATGTGTAAAATATAAAATACAATAATTATATGAACTAATAAAAAAATTCATTTTAAATCTAATATATATATATATATATATATATATATATATATATATATATATATATATACATATGCATGATTATTCAACATTTGGATATCGACTAATTTAGCTTTGAGTATTATGATGGTAAACGCATTAGTGTTGTTGACCAATCTCCCGAATCAATCGACGGTCATTTATCAACTCCTTAAATATTAGTGCTTCTACCTTGTGTGCTAGAGTTCACTCTTGCACTTCTTCAATCCGGTAGGCATATAACTCACTCACATCAAACAGAATATGATTACACTGTTCATCCTTAAATGCAACACATGTCTAAAGCTATGGTTTAATTTGCATGGTCCAATCACATGCTGTCAAAGAAACATTTTTAATATGTTCTAGGGACATTTTAAAACCTTCAAGCCTCATTGCATGCGCAGTAGCCATGAAGTTGATTTGCAAAGAAGTCATTCCATTCCCACGGAAGAGGACCCTTCACGCTTTTCTCGAAACCTTCCAGGAGGTGGTACGTAGATTAACCATGGGAAGAAACTGAATTCTTCACTCCCTTCTCTGTCAGACACAAAAGTCATAGGATGTGAATTTGGTACTGCATATTTCAACTACTCCAGAAACCAAAGTCCGTTATCATCATTTTTATCGTCTACTATACAAAATGCAACTGGAAAAACACTATTATTCCTGTCTTGTGAAGTTACTGTCATATAAAACCTCATTAAATTTTGATTTTGAAGTTGTGGCGCCAAGGAATGGCTACCAATCTGAAATCCATGTACCAAAGCATGAAATGACATGGAAACTCGAACATTTTCTCATATGCATCTTCATATAAACCATGCAGCTGAACTCCCGTATCCTCCATTCCCCGCCACAGTTGAGTATAGTGCAGCTCAATCCCAATTCCAAGAATGGGCATCATGAAATTCATAGCAATAGTAATAAAATATTCATTAGTAATAGCAGTATACTTTTAATTTTTATTTAAAAAATATTTAATTTAATAATGCTTATACAATATATACTTAAATTTCAGTAGTATATTTTAAAAGGTTTTGTTAACATCAACTCCAAGCGTTGATGTTTAAGTATTTACAAATAAAAAATATTTATAAAAAAATATATAATTATTGTATTAAAGTAATAAAAATATAATAAATATTTTTTTAATAAAATTTTATTATTATTAACTATTTATTCTCAACCTTAAAAACTAATGTTAATAAAACTATTTAAAATTTAAAAAAAAATTCTCTACGAGCCATGCCACTTGACAACTTTTGGCCTTCAATCATTAAATATTTGAATCACATCTTTTTATTTTCTATATTTTAACATTGATAAATATCAATCATTCAATTTAGTTTTAAAGAAAAATCAATAAGATAATCTTTTTAGTTTTCCTTTTCATTCCCGTTTCAATTTATCATTCCGTTTTCTATTTTTGTTTTTAACGCTGTAAATCATATTCATATCTCTCTAAAAAATTTCTTTAAATTTTATTAAAATAATTTTTATTTTTTTACCATCCAAAGTTTTACTAAAATGTTATTTTATAATTAAATTACTTTATTAGTTCTTATATTTTTTTTAAAAATTAATTTAGTTTTCATAATTCAAAAAATTATAAATAAGTTATAATATTTTAAAAAAATAAATTATTAATAATTAACATTTTTATATATGAATTAAGTATTAATAACATGAAATTTTTTTAATAATTATCTTTCATCAGTATTTATTTTATAAACTCCTAAATCATATTATTATCAAGAGATTTTAACATTGACTTATTGTTAACATATTTAAATTTCGCATGCTTAAAGAAATAAGTTCAAAGTAATTTATTTTTATCTTTTACTGATTTGTTATGATAAGTAAGTTAGTCATATAAATTTGGTGTAAAAACTTGAATTTACAATTAAAAAAAAAAAGTTAAACTCTAAACCTAAAGCTTTTGTAAAAATAAATTTTAAGAGTAATTAAAATTTTAGCAGTAATTTAAAATCTCTTTCTCTATTCTTGGCTACTTTTTAATTTATCATACTTTAGATATTGTGTATTGAACATTTGAGTACAAGTACAGTTTTAGACGAAAATTTTCAACTTAGTATTAAATTATTTATCTCTTAGTAATTTTAAGATTTAGGAATTTAAACTAAATACTTACAAAATTATTATAAAAATAAATAGGTTAATAAATTAGAAATATCATAACATTGATATTTAATAAAAATTTAATGATATTGATTATAAATATTTAATTAAAATATTTTAAAATTATAAAATTTAATTAAAACTTTTTAAACTCAGAACTTGAGTAATACATTTTATAACAAATGCCAAGCAATTAATTCTGTACAAAAAAAGAAATTTGAAAGAATTTGAGTGAAATATTTTAGAGAGATATAAGTATGATTTGGAACATAAAAAAATAAAAGTAAAAAAGTATTATAATTTTGTTGCTGATTGGCTTATAATAAATTAAACGGTTATGTTAAAATAAAATAGAAATGAGATATGTTCCCTTAAGTATTGTATGAAATCTTATTATATATTATAATAATCAAATGAAAGAATAAAAATTCATTAAATTTTATTATTGTATATTAAAAAAGTTAAATTTATGCCACTATTTTATCATTTATTATATATGTGCAACATGATTATATAATACAAGTAGCAAACTTTAAAAAATATACCTCTAATAAATTTTATTAATATTGTATGTATAAAACTTAATAAAATAATATTAAATATAAGTCCATAAAATTTTATACAATTTATACATATTGATTAAAATTTCATTTTTTATTATATTATATATTATTTAAATTGTAAATACATAATCACTACTGAATTATATATATAAACTGCGTAAAATTTTATATTCATAACAGTTATGATAATATTATAAAAAATAAATTAAAAATTTTTATTTTTAATAAAAATGTTACTAATAATATTATTTTACTAAGATGACACATAGTATTAATTACTCTGTCATTGTTTAATTTTTTTAATCATGTGTAAGCTTTCATATTAATTTTAATCTGTCAACTAATTTTGACCAACTAATTAATAATAGTAGTAATTATTATACTATTTTCTTTATTTTGTAAAACCAAGTATTAAATTAAAAAACTTAAATATTTATTACCTTAAATATATAAAAAGTTATTTACTATTTTTATTTAATAATTAAAAAACTTATAAATATAAAATAAAGATTTAAAATTATTTATTTTAAAATATTATAGAATAAAATAGATAAATAAATATAATTATTAGTATTACTATTAATTACTATATTTGATTAATTCAATGTACTTTTTCTTTAGCTTTGACCAGTTGATTAACAGCAGTAGTAATGATTTTATTTAATTATTTTATTCTTTAACATCTCTAAAAATCTCTCTTCTCATCAAAAATAATATAATAAATAAAAAGGATATCTTATTATCAATTAACTAGTCAAAATTAGTTAATAGGGTATATTTAAATTTAACATTCACTGTATAAAATCGTTGATGAATTTATTTAATAAATTGAGAGAAAATTCTTTTAATTCATATCATTGAAGAGATTTCATACTAAATATATTTTTCAAGAGATTCAAGTAATTTTAAACAATTGTTTCTTCATCATTTTAATTTATCATTTATCACTTTTTTATTTTTAATAATAATAATAATAATAATAATGTTTGACTTAAGATAGTATATATTTATTGTAATCAAAATATTTTTTAAATACTTAAAAATATTATAATTCAATAATTTAATGTAATTATACATGTATATTGATTAATTTTTTTAATATTGAGGAAATCTTAAGCATATGAAAATACTTTAGGCAAAAAATTCAATACACATAAAATATTATAAATTTTATAATAATTAATATAAAAATCAAATTTACAATGGATTATAATTGATTGATAATGTAAAATTCCATATAATAATAATACACTAAAAATAAATTCAAATAAATAATAAATATAATTTTAAAATTTAAAATTTTTATTTTTATTTAAACTAATTGATTAATAGGTTACATTTACAATATATAAAAAATATTTATTTTATTATGTTTAGTATTTTTATCCCATTTAATTATATTAATTACGTCTAGAATAATTTATTAAATCTAATAATAAATAAATTCATTTTTAATAAAAATATATATATTATATTTATACATAGATATAGATACATATCTGTGCATATAAAGAGTTACGTATAATGCATTATGAAAATAAATTTAAAAAAAATCTAAATTTGTTTGCAATTATTATCGCAACAAAATTTTCTTCTAATCACTTAAATTTCTCCTTTTTTATTTTTCTTAATTCTATATTATTATAAGATTAATTATGTATAATATAAAATATTTTTTAAAAGTATATTATAAATTTATAATATATAATTAATTTGTTTTACAGATTAGTTGCATCTAAAATTTATTTAAATTTAAATTCTCATAGTTATTTTGTTTTAATAATTGTTTCGCATATATACAAAATAAAAGAAAGAATAGGTGTACTTTATATTTATGTTATGACCCAATTACGGAAATAAGGAATTGACAAAAATGGCCGAATCATGCTATAAATTCACCTCCCATTTTTACTTCTTTTGTCGCTTAAAATCATTCCCTTCTCTTTCTTTCTCTCTTTCTTTGCTTACCTATAAAACAAATATACACAGAAACAGATTACCGCCATTAATGGAGTCTGCGAATTATTTGAGGCTGCCACTCTCTGAAAATTCAAAGCAGAATGAAGAGAGAGAACACAAGGTTGCAACCATGACCAGAAAAGGAGTCTACACTGCTTTATCTTATATGGCCTCTTCGGGTTTGTTTTTCATTTTTCACTTCTTTAACAATATCATATTCTGTGTTTATGTAAATTACTATTTCATTTTTTTTAATATATATCGATCATATAACGATATTTTAAAATAATTATATTATGTACATGATAATAAATGGATATTTTTTTTTATAAAATTTAAATATAAATTTAATATATTAATATTATTAAATACTATACTTTTAATTTATTATTTATTACTTTTTTATTATTTATAATATTATGCAAATTAAAAAATATCATATAAAACATGTAGTTTGCTTACTCTGTTGTGATTCAATTTGATGTAAACACTGTGCACGGAAAATGGTTGAATTTAAAAAACATAAGATATTTTGTTTTACTGTTAAGAATATAATTCTTGCACTTTTAAATAAAAAACACATTCTAATAAAAAATTATGATTATATTTAAATTTTTTATATTTTTTTTATTATATTAAATAATTCAAAATTAATTTTATTCAAATTTAAACATTTGTGTCATGTTAACCCACTGAATGTCATATATATTGTTTCAGTGCTCGAGTATGCAAAATACAATGGGAAATAAGTCAAAAAAATATGTCCAAATGGAATTAACATAAAATTTGGATCTTGAAAGGTTTTGATTATAAAGAAATAGATTAGGTTTAGGGTTCGTTGTTTTGTTAATTAAAAAAAAATCATGATTAATATATATATATATATATAATATCGTATTGCATCATTAAATAATATGATAGGATCTAAATCTTATACAAAATAGTGTTTTGAAAGATGAAATAGTTTACAAGTTAATGACTTGTTAAGGTAAACTTATTATTTTTAGGGACTAATTTGCAGAAACACTTAGCAGTACAGGGTACTACGTAAATTATCACTTTTACGAATCAAATTGTATATTAACTAATATATTGAAGATAAGCAGGTGAATAGGAAAATGTTTGAGGAAGAAGAAGCACTGTTGCCACCTGTTAATTTGTTAAAATACAAACAGTAGATAATTTGTCTTCTTTTAGGATGTGATCCATAAACTGTTAAGAACATGCGATAAAAAGTAAACAGTGCGAGGAATGAAGTCGTATCATGGTAACTGAGTGCTCCATTAATTAAGATTTACAAGTGTCAACTTCACGAATACAAAGATCAGGCCCTAGCATTATCCAAAGGTGTTTCATTCATACAGAACTTGATTGGATTATGAGGTTTAAGGGTTTACTTCTCCCTAGGCTTCATATTGCATCCGTCCTTTCCCTTTTTGAGGTGACCCTATGGGGTCTATTGTTGTCGCGCGTGCACATATTAAGGGTAAGTGACTGTGCCTTTGTTTTTGCTTCGGGATGACATGCAGTGCTATGGCACAGTGGCTACATGTGAGTGTGGTGCCTTATTAAAAAGATAATGATATATCATAAAACGAAAATGACTGTTTGATATCTGTTAAACTGGTCCAAGAAAGAAAAAATGAGAAATGAGAGAGAGAGAGAGAGAGAGAGAGAGAGAGTATGAAAGGTATGAGAAAATAAATAAAAAATAAAAAATGGATGTGAGAGTGTAATAGTTGATCTTAAAATGTGTCCATCCAGAAATTATATTTTAAAACTGATCAATAACTTCTGTAACGTAGAAAAATATAGAAAGAGAAGGGAGAATACTTGAGTAGTCAGATGTTATAAGATGTTTAGAAAGCACTAACATAGTTTAGGGACAATGCATCCCCGAAGCAATTTCATTTACAGTTAGTTTTAGTTTCACATTCTTTCAATTTTCCAATAACACTGGCATTTTTCTTAGAGGGAGGTGTTGATTTGTTTGTCAATCTTCTATCTATTATGAGATTTTTTAGGTTAATTATAGGCTTAAGATTAATAAGACAAAAAGTGGTTAGGAGGGGAGAGACTGTTGCAAAGATCAACTTATTAGTTGGAAGATTGTTCTTGGTAAATGGTGTCCAATAGATTCTTGCTTTGGCAACTAAGTGGGTCGCCGGGAATATTGCCTTGTCAGCTTAGTGGCTTTGGCATCTTCAATTACTTTACAGTCTTCTTCAACGCTCTCTCACATACATCTTATATTCCTCCTAAGGTCAATTTTTTTTTGTCCTTCTTTTAACTTGATCCCACCGCTTTGTTTCACACCACGTGTATAATGTGCTATTCTAGTTCGTAAACGGATACGCTCATACAATTAAAATGTTTTGTTATCGCATGAATAATAGATAATAAAATTTTATTAGAAAGAGAAGTATTTATTATATTTTTATAATTTTAATACAATAATTATACATTTTTTTTATAAAATTTTTTATTTATAAATATTTAAACTGGACCCTTAGAGTTAAGATTAACAAAACTTAAAATTAAAATTTTCCCGCCTTCCCTCAAATCTAATTACCTAGTATTTCCTCTTAAAAACTTCTAGTTCCATCATTAATTATACAAACATTTTAGGACAAATACATATGTAAAAAGCATCTCAATATCCTGTTCGGTTGAAAACACGCCAAAATGTGGCATTAATGTTTGTTTGATACGAGAAAATAAATGGTGCTAGAAATACAACTCCACAAATAGAAATTGAAAGCTTCAAACAACTAAATAACATCAAACGTTAAATTCAGGAAACCCAAAAAAGATTAGGAAACAAAAAAATAATGAATAATCCGTCCAAAGGAAAACCAAAATAAAAACACCAAAGAATTTAAACCACACAGCCGCAAGAGCAGAGCCAAACAGAGGCAATGCTGCCTGAATTCTGGCAGTTGGCATGTAGCATTGCGTTTCTAGTTTTTACTAAAATTTCATCGTCACAACTTTAATTTCATAGAGGCTTTATACTTTAATCTCTAACTTTTTCGTTGATAATTGTCCATCTTCACGGCAGCTTTGCCTTTTCTGGTCTTTCACTAATTTGTGTTACAATATTGTAAAATAACTGATGTTTATTATTTAGGATACATGCCTAGTTGACTTTTCCTGTTTAGATATCTTCGTTAATTGTTCCAGTTGCATGTGGTATCATTGTAACATTGATGTTTATAATTGATTCTTCTTGTACAGTTCTCTTGGTCATGTTCAATAAAGCAGCTCTCTCCTCTTACAATTTCCCATTTGCAAATGTCATCACACTTACTCAGGTAGTTCAATTTTCAAGATGATTTTTTACTCTCCTTAAGCACTTACCTTTATTTTATTGCATTTTATTAATGACCTAGTTTATTCCACATATATACACACAAACACAAGTATGATACGCATTTCATCACTTGCCAGATGCATAAAGTTTTACATTTTTTCAATAGATCATTATTTGTCATGCTGAAAAATTATGTATCATGTGGTTTCAGATGGTGTGTGCATTTATTATTCTCTTTGTGCTGAAATTCTTGAAGATAATTTCTTTCACGACTGGTGAATCGAAGAGCAGTTCTAACAATCCAGTAATATTTGTGTCCTATAGGACATTAGCTCAAACACTTCCTCTTGCTTTAACATATTTACTATATATGGTAAGTATCTGCAAACATTTTCAACCTTTTCCCTAAACAAAGAGAAGGAGATGAGTTTTTTCCAACCATTTTCTATACCTTTTTTGGTAAAAGGTAGTGACCATGGAGGCAGTTCGTGGCATAAATATTCCCATGTACACTACCCTTAGGCGAACAACTGTGGCCTTCGCAATGATCATGGAATATTTCCTGTCAGGGAAGAAACATTCAAGTTTTGTTATTGGAAGGTATGGCATGGCACTCTCACTATTCTTCCATCAAATGTTTGTTCTTGCCTACCTGGATCATTCATGATAATGAAGCCATGAAAATGGTTGTTTTGTTTGTTATATACTGTCCTATTTATCACTGAGAGATATCCAGAAAGAGATATACATTTAGGGTATCTTCTCAGATTGAGGTTTTGTATAGAAATAAAAGGGAGGCTAAAGTTTTCATTTTCAATAATTATTTTCTATTTATATATTTATTTTAATAAACATTAAAAAACTTTTTAACTTTAAAATAAATATTTATTTCTCTTTTCTTTCAAAATTTTGCTCCCTAAATACCTTCAAAGGAGGAACGAAAAATTGAACAAATCTCGATATGCATAGTACAACTAAATTACATTATATTTTTTTTATAAGAATTTTGAGTCTATATATTTAATTCTTCATAAAATAAAAAAAAGATTGAGGATGGAGGGGTCATAACCCATGCTTGTTCCTCCCTAGATTCCACCCTTCTATCTATACATATTATCTCAATTAATAAGGAGATGGGCACTATAATGAGGACAAAATCATAATTTGAGTAAGTGACTTTGTTGTGGCCTTGAGGCTTTAAATTTTTCCTACATTTGATCTATGTATCGGAGTAGTTCAGTTCTCTGTAGCCATTCAGTTATTGAGCGATTGTGCTGCATTGATTACTTTGCCTAACGGACTAAATGATTTATCAGTGTTGGGGTAGTGATAGCTGGCGCTCTGGTTGCTGGAGCTCGGGATTTTTCATTTGATTCGTATGGCTATTCAGTTGTATTCGTAGAAAACATGTGTAAGGCGGTGTACCTCGCTTCTGTTTCTCGTATCGGTAAGATGCTCATTATTTTGTTTTGTCTCATTCTTTTTAATGATTTTAGGAATTCTTCAACGAATTTTGATATATTAATAACTTTGCATAGGTAAATCCACCGGCCTTAATGTTTTTGGTCTTGTATGGTGCAACGGTAAGATGTACTGATCGTGGAGTTTTGTTTAATGTCCGATTTCACTAGTAGTTCTGTGCATAATAATTGCAATCATCTTAACTCATTCTTTTATTTATTTAGTGGTGATTTGTGGACCAATCTTGTTTCTCTGGTCGTTACTCAGAGGAGACCTCCGAACAACCCTGAATTTCCCATATTTGTTCTACACTGGATTTCAGGTGCATTTTGTAGTCACGGTTAATTAGTCAGATTCATAAAAATTCTTGTCTAGCATAATCTATCTTAGTATTTTAATTTTTCTATCTAAAACTACACTTATATGATACATTATTTCTGGTAAATTTATGTATTTATAGAGCCCAGATCACGCTAAGTTGTCTCGTTGAGTGCATTGACGACATTTAAGAATTTCCAATCATTTTCATGTGGCTTCAAAGTTGCCAATTACCACAATGCCCTGATGCATTTTATAATTATTTACTATTCGTCAGTTCTTCAATGCGTGTCATGCATTTTCAGAATATACAGTCATAATTATATCCAGTCAATTGACAATTTGGAGGCACTATGTATGATTTGCTGTATTGGAATCTTGGGCAGGTGGTGATGTTTCTTTCCTGTGTTTTGACCTTCTTTATGAACTACATTGTTGTTTTAAATACAACGGTCAACTCCGCACTTACACAGGCAATCTGTGGTAATTTAAAGGTTAGTTTTGTCTTCGCATTTTCTGTTCACTTCACTACAAATTTGTCCCCACTTTTATATGCCCGTGGAGTTGCGAGGGAGTAGGTTGAATTTGGGGATTGGTCGTCCAATGGCTTAAATAGGAAGGGTTGGAAGGTGCTATGGGCTTAAGCTATTGGCACAAACTTCCTATTCATATAGACATTCTTAAATTATCAACTTCCTTCAGATTTTGCTGACTCCACTGACCCTTAGTTTACAAGTTAAAACAATTGTTTGTCGCAAATTGTGGTGCTTCTCAAGATTTCATGAAATTTAATATTTCTTGATCTGTCTTCTTGTTCAGGACGTTTTTACTAGTGGTTTCGGTTGGTTATTATTTGGTGGACTTCCATATGATTTGGTAAGGACAAATTCCTTTGGAATCTTGAGTTATTGATTGGTTCCCGATTTCACTGTTTCTAAACCTTTGTCTTTTTTTTTTTGTTCACAGTTCAATGTTCTTGGACAATCACTTGGCTTCCTTGGGTCCTGTTTGTATGCCTATTGTAAACTCCAAGGAATATGAGAATGGCCTTTCATGTTTTGACATAGTTAGGCCACTGCGCTGATTTGGTTTGCAGGCTCACTTTGAGTGGATATTTCACTTAGAAACATCACAACAAATAACCATTGTCTAGCAGTGTCCCTACGACTTTTTTCACCTTCTACAGTCATAAGATTTTCAATTTCTCTTTATAAAACAAGTTTACAATATATTATAGGTTTTGTCAACACGCTATACCTTAATGAACGATAATACAAATTAATTGCTAAATTGAAAATATTTAACAAATGTAATTATGGTCAACTAATAAATGAATAAATACTTTGCTTCGTTAATTGGTTTTTTAAAAGTCGTTTACAAAACCCTAAAGCATATTAGATGTAAAAAGCTTTCATGGCATTGGCAGGGTAGATTAGTGCGAGTATGCGGAACAAAAGTTGGGTATAAAACCCCTTCGCTTAAGTTCTACATTTGAAACGTGACAGGATAAAAGTTGGTTGGCAAGAATAGGATAGTATTATATTTAGTTGTTTTAAAATAAAATATTAAATATATTATATTATTTTATTTTATCTATTTTTAATTCAATATTTTTAGATAATAAAATTTATATCCTATTATGTTGTATTATCCTATCTATCAAATACGCATATTATATATATATATATATATATATATATATATTAAATGTATTTTAGGTTAAATAAAGATTAAATTATCATTTTTCTTAAAATATATAAATTACAAAGTTCTCTTCTATTTTATTTTTCATATTATGTCTTCTTTAATTTAAAAAAATTACACTCGTTCTAATGAGAGATATACATGTTTTATCCCTGTAGTTTTATTTTCCTGACCGGTGTGAATGGAGATCAGTATAAGTTATATGTTAGAATTAATGTAATGTTCAATTAATGATAATGACTTATTTGATTTCATAGAGTTCAAAATTTATTTCTATTAATTTTATCATAAAATGTTTTTATGTGCATAAAAATCGCTCCTCCTACTTTAAATATTAGTAAGAAAATTTGACTAGAATAATTTTCTTCTTATGACGGTATGATAATTTAGTATATATGCACATTTTATTATTATCTAATTTTTTTTATATTACATGACATAATAGTTTTATTATTATCTACAATAAAGATAAAATTATAAATCTAATTTTTCAAATTTATATGTACTATTATATCAATCTTTCAAAAGTTTTGCTATTAAATAAGTACTTTTTAAATTATTACTTGTTATCTCTTAAAGACTTAGTGCATGTTTAAAAAATAAATAAAATTATGTTAAACTACATTTTGACATAAAAATTATAACTTATAACATTGAAATAGATTTACATTTTAGTAAATTTGATGCAAATTTAAATATACTATTAATTAACACCAAAATTAATTTTTTTTACCATTTCAATTTCTTACAAGAAATATTTTATTGAAATTTTTTATTTTTTTAATTATTTAATATATATAAATTTAAAACCTAAAAAAATTACAATATTGAAGATAATAATTTGGTAATAATTTATCATTTTTGTATGGTGCAATTTTAGATTTTGAAGAGATGAATTTAGCAATAGGTGATCAATTTTTAAGGATTAATTTAGAGATCAAATTAAAAATAATAACAAGTTAACGATTTACGATTTTAGAAACTAATCAATCATTTTTAAAATAAATGATAAAGTAAAATATAAACTATTGTTAAAATAATTACAAAGAAATAAATAATTGATAAAACTATACTTAAATAGAAAGAGGCTGTGTTAAAAAATTATGGATTTGAGGTTTCTTTATGTCATGCCTTGACTGGTGCATTGTTAAGTTATATATAAATTTTTTTTTTAACTTAATAAGTTTATTAAGAGGCAAGCATAAAAATAATAAATATTTTCAACAATGAACATGTAATATTTATAGTAATATTTATCACAACTTTAACTGATTGGTGCACAATTTGTTGAAACCCTTTTATTCTAATAGTGAGATTAACAAGTGTTAGGTCTCTAAACCTTCTTTTAACCAAATATGCATCAACTAGTGTAGTTGTCGATCTATATCTACCACAATAATAGTTATTACCTTGTTTGTAACACTTAGAAGTAAGATTTTGAGCACTATTAAGGACAACAAATATTTTAGTTTTAGATGACATGTTCACCTTAAAAAATTAGTAATCATTAAAAGTTATATAAGTACAACAGATAACACATTTTTGTCAAAACTCATAATTAAATCTACGATCGTCGCATGAGTAAGTTACTTGGAAACATCTCTTGAATGAAGTTGACGTTTTCTAATTATAAGATGTCATTAAAATTATATAAAAATAAATATAGTAAGTAAAAACAAAATATAGATAGATTAAAAATACCGGTAAGTGATGAAAATAAGCCTAGACTTTTAACTACAAAACGATAAAAAAATATATATATATTTTATGGCTTTGTTAGGTTTTAACTCTTAAAACTGATTTTAAATATGAAAAAATTATAATTTTTTTTATTAAAAATGTTGTATAAATTTATACTTTTAAATAGAATAAATAAATTGTTTTTAAAAAAAATTATTTTTAGTTAAATTAAATTAATTTTAAGAGGTAAATTTAATATTTTTCTAATATTTTATGCATACAGTAGAGTTATTATTGTGTTGAATCGAATTACACATTTTGCTTTCTAGAATAAATAAAATATGTTATCATTGATAATGCATATGAAAATTTTTGTGTAAAAAGAAAAAATAGAATAAATACAAATATTTAATTATATTTAAAACCATGGGTAACTCTGATAATTTGTGTTTTTTGGTCTGGTATAAAAACTAGGACAGAGACATCATTGGGCTCAAAATTTTCCTAGGAAACTAATAAAAGAGAAGCATACAAGTCAAGGACGCATGGAGTGGGCCCTCTAGAGGACCCCAAAAAAAAAACCACGTCGATGACTTTCTCTATTTATAAGGGTTGAGAAGAGAAATCGTAAACCTAAAAAATCCAACAGAATGAAAAGCTTTATAATTGTTTGATCGTGAAATGAAAAGTTTTATAAAAAATAAAAAGAAATACAAATAATAATAATGGACCTGAGAGTCCAAAAGGAATTCCCTGTTTTAAAATCTTATCTGGCAAACCAACCAGTCCCAAGTCCCAACCATCGTCTCATTCAAAAATCTAAAATAAGGTCCAATTACCTTCGGGTTGGTTTCCAAGCCCAAATTCCTCTCTCTCTCTCTCTCTCTCTGTTCTGCAAAACCCTAGATCTCGCTCCGTCAAGCCCTGAAGCTCGGTTTCCGGGCTTCCGATTCCAGCGCCGTCCATCGGCGTCTTCAATCGTTTCTTTTCCACTGTCACAGCTGGTAAAATCCTTGTCTATAACCCTGACCTCTCACCTTATTGATTCTCTTTCTATCATTCAAAATCGAATAAAATAAAATATAAGTATGAACGAACCGTAGTGGTGGAGCTTCTTGAATATAATTAGTTCCTTAATTACGTGGTTCGGATGTTGTAGTTATCCATAGGTTTTGTGTAACGTGAGATAATCATCAAAGTTGGCAAGTCGATCTCTGGGTTTTTTTCTTTTTATATATATATATATATATTTATTTTTATTTTTATTTTTTGAATTTTATCTTTTAATTTTGCTTTTTCTGTTCTACCGGCAAACATACTGAAGAACTGGTGGTTTCGTAGTTTTGATGTGCGGGCTCTGGTGGTAGTGCTGGTAAATTGTTGGGTATTGTTATCGTTATTAGCAAATTACATCTCAGGCAATTCGCATTTTTCTTTTATATCATGTGAAATTGTGATAAATATAAAATGTTTGAATTGTTTTTAATATTCTAAAGAAAGAATGGAAAAGAGGGAGAAAAGATAACGAAAACAGTTTTTTAATAAACAAGATCATAATAGCAATATATAATGATATATTTTTGTGTCGTAAGAGAAAAAAAATAGCTTCTTTTATTATGTAGTATAGATAGATTTATTTTTTTTTGGGTCGTAAGAGATTATTTTGCGTTTTTTTGGTCACATATGAGATAGATTATTTTCAAGTGCTATTGTTTAGATTGAGCTTGGGCCGACCCAACCCATTTGATGGCCCCCTGATTCTTTGGGTACGTAGGCGGTGCGAGGCTTTGTGGCCCTAGTGGAGTAGATATGCATGTGGACTTTATATATATATATATATATATATTATGCATGTATGTATGTTCGTGTCTGTTTGAATCCTTTGTATTTTGCATTGATACCTGTATGAAGAAATACGTGTTTTCTTCCTTTCTGTAGCATTTTATCTGTAATATATTTAGATACGAAAATATTTCTTGATTGTAATTCACCAAATTTGGTATCTTTTTCTTCCAGGTGCGAGACAGGATGGTTGCTACCCTTGAAGAAGACAAAGTGGCTCCTGATATGAAAAAGGGTTCAGTTGGTACCGATGCTCAACCTAACAATGATATAGCAAAGTCTGAAACGGTGGTAGACTGTAGTATGGAGATGTCTGAGTCTGAGGCCAACAGAGATCTGTCCAATTTGGAAACACTTCCTAACAAGGAAGTTTCTGCTTCTGAAGCACTGGCTCCCATTGGTGAAGCAGCAGCATTACCCAACCAAAATTTGAGCAACTCCCAAGAACCTGCGAACAACCATTCAGAGAATTTTGAATCCCTAACCAGCAACCAGCTGGACAACGCTAATGCCTCTCAGAACAGTCAGCCAGGTAATTCTGAAGCACCATCTGACGGTCAATTGGTTAGTTCTGAAGTTCCTCTTGATGGGAAGGCTTCTCAGCCCAGCAACCAGTTGGTGAATTCTGAGGCACTGCCAAACCATAACGTGGGTAATTCTGAAATACAGACTTGTAATGACATTGTTGTATCTGAAATACAGCACAGCAATGAGGTGCTTAATTCTGCAACAGCGCAATGCAACGAGGTGATTATGTCTGAAACACAGGAAAGCAATGAGGTGGTCATGTTTGAGACACATTCCAGCTATGAGGCCGACATGCCTAAAACTCAGACATGCAATGATGCAGTCATGTCTGAAGCTCTGGCTGAAAATGAGTTGTGCAATCCCACTATAGATCCCAACAATCAGCTCTCCAATTCTGAAACTGTTCATGTTAATCAGTTCAGACATATCCATATGATTCCTGAAGATCAGCTGCCTCAACCTGAATCGCTGCCTCATTCAGAAGCGGTACCCACTTCTGAATCACTGGCAGATACCCATCTCACAGACATCAAATTAATATCTCATAGTCATCTGACCCATTATGAAACACTGCCCAACAATCATCTGAACCATTCTGAGGCACTATCCCACAATCAGCTATCTAACTCTGAAGCACTGTCTCATGATCAGCTAGCCAATTCCCAAATGATGTCTATGTCTCATTATGAGCTGGAAAATAGTGAAACAATGCACAACAATCAGATAGTCAATTCTCAAGCACACTATGAACTAGCAATTTCTCATGCAATACCCAGCTATGAAATAATAAATGCTCAGACACTGCTGAACAATGATGAACATATCCCTGAAACACAGCCAAGTAAGCGGAGAAAAAAAAAGTCTATAGTCTGGGAATACTTCACGATAGAAACAGTTAGTCCTGGATGTAGGAGAGCACGCTGCAAGCAATGCGATCAAACTTTTGCCTATAGTACAGGTTCAAAAGTTGCTGGCACCAGTCATCTCAAACGCCACATTGCAAAGGGGACCTGCTCAGCTCTTCTACGCAGCCATGAGCATAATCAATTTTCCCTATATACTTCACGATCTAGGGGAAGTGGGGCTGGCAATGTTAGCGATGCACCTAAACGACGATATAGATCCCCTAGCACACCTTTCATCATTTTTGATCAAGATCAATGCCGCCATGAGATTGCTAGGATGATCATTATGCATGATTACCCCCTTCACATGGTTGAGCATCCAGGATTTGTTGCATTTGTCCAAAATCTGCAGCCCCAATTCAAAATGGTGACCTTTAACACTGTCCAAGGAGATTGTGTGGCAACTTACCTGATGGAAAAGCAAAGTCTTTTGAAGTATGTAGAGGGATTACCTGGACGAGTTTGTTTGACACTGGACATCTGGACATCAAGTCAATCTTTAGGTTACATATATATTACAGGACATTTTGTTGATCATGATTGGAAGTTGCAGAGGAGAATTCTCAATGTTGTAATGGAACCATACCCTGATTCGGATTCTGCAATCAGCCATGCTGTAGCTGTTTGCCTTTCTGATTGGGGGTTGGAGGGTAGGCTGTTTTCTGTCACTTGTAATCTGGCATTGAGTAATGTTTCCCTTGAAAATCTAAGACCTTTACTCTCTGTAAAGAATCCACTTATCCTCAATGGTCAGTTTCTAGTTGGTAATTGCATTGCCCGTACATTAAGCAGTGTTGCAAATGATTTGTTGGGTTCGGCACAAGACTTGATCAATAAAATCCGCGATAATGTAAAATATGTGAAGACTTCAGAATCACACGAGGACAAATTCCTGGAGCTGAAGCAGCAGCTTCAGGTTCCCAGTGAAAGGAACCTTTCTATTGATGACCAAATTCAATGGAATACAACTTATCAAATGCTCTTGGCAGCTTCTGATCTAAAGGAAGTGTTTTCTTGTTTGGACACTTCCGATCCTGATTACAAGGGAGCCCCGTCTATGCAAGATTGGAAGTTGGTTGGGACCCTCTGTACCTACTTAAAGCCCCTTTATGATGCAGCAAGCATCCTTACCACAACAACTCATCCTACTGTTATTACCTTCTTTCATGAAGTTTGGAAACTGCAGTTAGATCTAGCTCGTGCAGTTGCAAGTGAAGACCCCTTCATTAGCAACCTTAACAAAATTACCCATGAAAAAATGGATAAGTACTGGAGTGATTGTAGCCTGGTTTTGGCACTTGCAGTAGTTATGGATCCCCGCTTCAAGATGAAGCTTGTTGAATTCAGTTTCACAAAAATCTACGGTGAGGATGCTCATTTGTATATCAAGACCGTTGACGATGGAATTCATGAGCTGTTTCATGAGTATGTGGCCCTTCCCCTGCCACTAACACCAGCATATGCCGAAGATGGAAGTGCTGGAAACCGTGGTAAGATGGAGGAATCCCCAGGAGGCACTGTGTTGTCAGATAATGGTCTTACAGATTTTGATGCCTACATTATGGAGACTACTAGCCAACAGATGAAATCAGAGCTTGATCAGTATCTTGAAGAATCACTGTTGCCACGCATTGCAGACTTTGATGTATTGGGCTGGTGGAAGCTAAACAAACTCAAGTATCCTACTCTTTCCAAGATGGCCCGGGATATATTGTCTATTCCAGTTTCCTCTGTTGCTCCTGACTCTGTGTTTTATTCAAAAAGCAAAGAGATGGATCAGTATCGGAGTTCCTTGCTGCCGGAGACAGTGGAGGCCCTTGTATGTGCCAAAGACTGGATGCAGTATGGAGTAGCCGAAGCTTCGAATGCGCTTGTGAAAATGGTATTCTAGATATAGATTTTTTAGGTGGTTGGACCCTGTATTATAGTAGGGTATATTGTTAGTGTTGTCAATTTGGATAATTGAAGGCGAATGTGTAGTTTACAGCGAAGCTTCACTTTTAGTCTAAAAGTCCTAGTGACTGGTCCTTTGGTTGATACACGATAACAATAATGTTAATGACGTCAATTCTAACAATAATTTCTGAATTTCCCTGCCGTATGATGAAAGGTGATGCGCGATGCTACCTTAATAAAGTATAATAACTGTACGTAATAGATAAATCGAATAGATGTATGCTTGCCAAGAAATAGGGTTTAGCATTCCTATAAATTTCACAAATAAATAAAACCAAGACAAATTCTTAAATCTATATACTTCTATACTTCCTTTGTAAAATAGAACCTTAATATAGCCACAAAATAAAAAGGATTTTTTTTTTCTCTCCTTCCAGATTAGTTAGTCCAATATGCTCAAAACAATAATTTGCTGCTCGGAATATCATATCTTTACAAGAGGAACCGCTAAGGATGAGAGGGTTACAATACAGATGATAGATGGAGCTCGAGCAACGAATCTTCACGTGAAAGGGAAATGTGACAAGAACGTCGGATGAAAAAATTGGGCGAGATAAAAGAGATAATGGTCAAGTGGAGAAAAACTGAAAAAAGAAGAAAATATTTCACATCCACCAAATCCAAATGGATGGAGAATTTCACAAAAGAGAAAATGCACGTTCATGAAGGTGGCGACAATAGAGTGTTAGGGGAAAGCCCCCTAATGTTAATTTAACCTAATTAGTATTGGTAGAAAATTGATTTGGACTGGTTTTTGCACTTGTTGGAACTTAAATTGGCTGAACAAGCATCAACAATTCAACATAACCGAAATGAATTTATTTTTGCACTCTAATATTTGTATTAGCAATTCTCCTGACAATGGAAGTGTTATGTGGCTGCATCTTCTCTGTGGGATCACCTATGTATTATGAATTGTTTGGTCCTAAGATTATGCTTTAATGCCTTGTCAACTTAAAGGTATTTGCATTGATCCTTTTTAAGTCATTTACCGAGTATATATAAATACAAGAGGAAGAGGAATTTTGAAGTTTCTTATAACCTATACAATAATATAATGATATATGTTGCTAAAAATAATACTGTTCTTTGATCTAAGAGATTTGACAACTGATCTTTACAATTAATGTTTCTATTTTCTAAACATTCTACATAACGCCACAAATATTAATATAATATTTAAAGTTAAAAAATTATATTAGCCACGTTAACATCTCGTGAAAAGAAATGAAATCTAAAATATAAAGAGATTCCTATGAAATTGAACAATTTGTATACATTAAATTCATTTTTAAACAATAATTTTGTCAATAATATACATCTCCATGCGTACGTGTTTACACCCACGCGCATGCATATATGCATTGGCCATTGGGTTTAATCGACTGCATGAGATGCTAAATCAATGACTTATTCCGTTGTCCCAGATAGCCGCCCAGTCTCTGACTTTTGGATTTGCTAGGAAACCAATTAGGCTTTGCCAAGTCATAAGGGAATTTGCAGAGCTTCAGCAGTTGATGGAGATGGATATTGGGTTTTAGTGCTTATCAACTGCCATCTCTCTGAATTCTAAAACACACCTCAGATCTGGAAACACACGAGAAAGAAAAACCTGTTCGTCTCTCTTTTATCATCTTTAAATCTAATTTAAATTTTGAAACTGCTACAAATCTTTAATCTTATTGAAGCACGTACACACATATGTTGACGATACCAATTTAATAGTAGTACTAGCAATTTGCATCTGAAATGCAGTTTCAAGTTCAGACTAACGAAAAAATGGTTGGCCAGAGTAAAACGAAAAAGAAGTATAAGAAAGTTGATTCCATTCGTACACGCCAAACGCGGATGCCAACTAGCGATCACACCCAGCAGATGCTTTCCACGAATTATCAAAAGTTTCTAAAAGTAAAAATTTACGTTACCTTCCTTCTTAACTAAAAGAATCTTAGTGTATTTTTTAATTAAATTAATAAAAAGAAGAAAGTAAGAACACTTACGATAAAATAATTTTAAAATATATTTAATTTTAATGTTTTGTATAAAAATATGAGATATAAGAGATGTATAAAAATAATATAAGAGAAGAGAAGAATACACTTTTATCTTATTCTACATTTGTATATTAATAAAATGGTGAAGCATGTAACATTATATTATCATGTTTAATATTTAATTATGATAAACAAAAAATAATAGAATAAGATATAAATTATTTTTTATTAAAATTGATATAATTTTTAACAAATTTTATTTAAACTTTTTACATTTCAATATATATATATATTAAAAATTTTAAATATTTTAAATATTTTTTGTAAATATAATATTAAAGTATAATAATTTTCTTAAATTTTTTACAATTAAAATGTATTTTTTTATGAAATTAAAATTGAAACAAAAATAAATTTAAAGTTATAGTTTATAAAATAAAAAGTCATATGCATTCTTTATCCCTTGAAGCATCCACATAAAAATAAAAATAAAAACAAATAAAAGAGAAGAAAAATTCATACAACTTTAACTTAGTTCAATATTTCTTTCTTACATTCATAAAATCTCAACATTAATTTATTATTTTATAATTTTTAACTAAATAAAATTACAAATTTATACATTTATAAATTTTTAATGGTCAAAATTATAATTCCTAATCAGACACATAATTATTGTATCTCTAATCTACTTAAAATATTATATGTTGTTGTGAGTAAATACAAGTTAGATTTCTATTTTATTTTTTTCTTCAAAACTTTCAGGAATCCCTTGGCTTCATTTTCAGTTATTTATTTATTTTAAAAAGATTTTATTGATAGGCTTGGAAGCTGATATTCACGCGTCGGTAAATAGAAAGGAATTTCTTTTAAAAAGTTAATGCCATTTTCGTGTTTCCTGTGTTCAAGTTGTTCTATTATTCCATATTCTTTCCTCTTTTTCTCATATAAGACACCTTTATTCTTATTCCATTTTATTCTATTCACTTCCTCGTTTATCTATATAAAAAAAGGCTGGACATACAATTTTCATTCATATTTTCTTCGTTGAGAGAAACATATACAAAAGAAAGTGATTAAAGAAAAGAAAACTGAAGGAAAAAAACTAAAGCAGCAGAGGAAGATTTAAACATCTTTGCAGATTTTTGAGAATGCCTTTCAAGAAGCCTCATCACACCTCAGATCCTAATTACATAGTGCAGGCAAGTATACGTTTTCTTTTATACACACACACCTTCTTATTGTTTATGTTTTTGTCTCTCTATTTATTCAATTTAAGTGATTTTTTTGTTCATTTCACTTAGCTGACTATATAAACAATTGATATACAATAACTTCTTAATCACATCATCGTTTGTTATTATTAAGGATTAAAAGTGTTTACTCTACAAAAATAAACTAAATTAAACCACCAAAAAAAAAAACTAAAAACGATGTGTTAATTGAGTCTCTGTAGAAAACAATTATGGTAATGGACAATTACCCTAAGCAAGTTAATCTAAAACCTTCCCTTGGTAATACTGTATATATATAGCTATTTTGTTTAAGGGAATTCACCCCCCCCCCCTTCAATTACCCAAATACTAACAGCCTGCTATGTTATGTCAAAAACAGTTACATAAAATTGAAAAAAAAATTACTTTAAAAGAATTATCATTATTTCAACGTAATTTTCTATCATAAAAAAATGAAAATTGAGTTCTAACGTTAAAACAAGCAAGCAAGCAAGCCTTAAATCTGTTTCCTTAACTTATATTTGAAGTACTTACGATACCACTTTTGGATAAAAATATAATATATGCAGGTTGATGACCGCGGGTACATTATACAACCTAGAGGACTGAACATAGTGTGGGGAAATGATTCTCGATACTGGAGAATACCAGAGTGAGTAACATCATATAATGTGAATTTTTAGAGGGAAGCATGAAATTGAAAACTGATTTGATGTAGAAATTGAATAATAATTTCAGCCAAGGTGCTGCGGAGCTGATCCAAGTTTCATGGTTGGAGGTATCTGGTAAAGTAGCTATATCGAAGGAAGGGAATTACAGTATTAAATTTTCTGTGAATGTTAAAGCGGATGGGTTCGGTTGGGATGGGACGGAAGTGCTAGTGATGGCTAAAGTCGGGAAAACGGGAAGATATACATATCAGGTGGCCAAGCTAACTCCTGGTAGGCGACTAACCATTCCAATCCAACAACTTAAAATTCCCGTGAGCGCCTCAGACGCAGCGCCAAAGGACCTTTATTTTGGATTATATGAAGTGTGGAGCGGAAAATGGAAGGGAGGCCTTGAAATTGAGAGCGCAGAGGTCTTACGTGAGTCGTGAGTGAGAATTTGACTATTCTGGAATTATGGTTTGGTTTGTGTTTATATGTATGTGCTGAGACAATTGCAAGTGTCATTAGAATAACGGTATGCTCTGCCCATGCCGAGGGATTGGAAAAGGGGAAAAGTTTAGAAATAAAATGTTCACCGTATTTGCATAAACTATTTATATTCGTATGCATGGCCTAGCCCAAGTTTATTAGCTTACCATGATCAATTTTATTCGTAGTAACTTTGGACGACTAATAGACCTTCACGGTTTTGCATAGCATTTTTTGTTCGTTTGATAAAAATACCTACAAAGCTCTCTAGCAGTTTCAAATCGCCAATGAAACAACATTGTTACTGGTAAATATATATTAATTACACACGGTTATCTGCAATTATTAGCTACTAATTACTGACAATTTGTTACATCTATCTGAGAAATTATTTAAGGTAAAATGAAAAAATGAATTAAACATCTTGTTCAACTTGATGTTCAAATTGTTTAAGGTAACATTCATACAAAATTCATAGCTTAAAAACATCTTGTTCATCCTACAATTATTTATTTATCTTCTTCGTATTTCAATATTTTTAGATTAAACTAAATGAGAGAAATACTTCACTTTTATCTCATTTCCATATATCCATTTCTTTTTACTTATTTTAACACCTTCTCTAACAAATGCTTAACCAAAAACATAACAAAGTACTGATTGAAGAAAAAAAAAACGGATAATTAAATATTTTTTCTCTTTATAACCTAAATATTATATCTCAATTGAGTTGAAATTGAGTAGTTTATCACAGTTGATAGGACTTTGAAGGATCAAACTCGATAATTATGAAGTTTTTTATAAGTTCTTGATTACTAACGCACATGATAATTATATTTACCTAACTAATTAAAAAATTTAGGTTACAGTATAGCAGGGATTTTCAATTAAAGTAAATCTAATTTTATGAACTTAACATTAAATTGCATAGTCAAAAGATAAATTGTGATAACTTAAGATAAACAAGAGGTTGATCTAGTCATTTTTATCTATTGTATTTTTTATATTGTGAGTACTAATTTTTATTGTAAAATAAATTTACAAATAGTTTTTTTTTCAAATCTTGATTTTTATATGTTCAATTTTGAATCAATTACTCAAGTAGTAATTTACTGAACATTTATTAATAATTAAATATAATTTTAGAAAACAATGTCAGTTATTTACTTTTATATTCAATTAAATGATTGATACTTCTCAAATTTACTTATTTAAATAAAAGCACGTTACGTGGTAAGAAAAATAACAAAGTATTGGTAGAATAAAAATAAAGAAAATAAGATAAATTATAACATATTTTAATTTTTTTTTTATAAACTAAATATAATATCATTATTTTCTTTTTTCTACTAAAGTCCTTTTCACTCTTTTATAGGAACTTAAGAACTCAATTCTTCAACTCATCATTAAATATGCTTGATGTTCCATCAAGTTGAGATTTTAAGAGTATAAATTCATCCAAAACTTTTTTTAAATTACCTTTGGTAAAGTGTTTTTATACTTTTTTGTAAGTTGTTTATATTATTATTATTATTTTTTTAACATTTTGATGGATTTATAAGCACTCAAACACTAAACTTCTATAGCTTAGACACTGAGTTTGCTTATTTCATTTTGTTGTCAGGTGATCTAGGACTTAAGTTGTAAAAGTTCTTCTAAAAAATTTGAGTTAGAATTAAATAAAAATATTCATATATGAGTTTAGGTATTTTCTTTGAGATAAATCTTATTTATTTAAAAGACGTGTTAATGGGATGATAAGAAGGTGCATTCCAGATCAACAGCTAAGGTCTTGCAGGATGGTCTATATTGACCCATAGTTTTTAAAGATACTCGATCTTTTGTGTAAAAATATAATAAATGTTAAAGGATTAGAAATTTGTTAGGGAGAAATGAAATGTCATAGAATTACATTCTAAAAGTGAATTTGTTTTATGTGTAGAGGGTATACTTTGTAAGTCCAGTCCTTTTATCATACTCTAATCAATACATTCTCATTGTTGTGAATTATGTGTCAAAGTGGGTGAAAGTCATTTCATCACTCACTAAATGATGCTAACGTGATTGTGAATTCTCTGAAAAACAATATTTTCACAAGATTTAGAGTTCCAATAACACTTATTAATGATGGAGTAAATCATTTTTTCAACTAACAAATTGAGACATTATTATAAAAATATAGTGTAAAGCACAAGATGGTGGTTATTCCATATTATCCTTAGATGAGTGGTCAAGTTAAGATGTTTAACAAGGAGTTAAAAAGAATTTTGAAGAGATGATTGATGTGTCAAAGAAAGATTAGGCTAAAAAAAATTGATGATGCACTTTAGACATATAGAACAACTTTTAAAACTCCTATAAAAATGTTTCTATATCAGTTGGTGTTTGGAAAATCCCACCACTTATTAGTAAAGTTAGAAATTAAAATTTTTTGGACAATAAAATTTCTGAATTTTGATGTTAAAGTTATCAATGAACAGAGATTTCTTCAACTCAATGAACTTAAGAAATTCAGGTACCAAGCTTATGAAAGTGCTCATTTGTACAAGGAAAAAACAAAGAAATAATATGACAGTAAAATTTATTTCAAGCGTTTTGAACTAGGACAACAAGTATTACTGTTTAACTCAATATTAAATTTATTTCCTAGGAAGCTAAAGACATATGGTTTTGACCATTTGTGATAAGTAAAGTTTATCTGTTTAATGTTATGGAGTTACCTGAACTAACATCTAAAATAAAATTTACAATAAATGTGTATAGGTTAGTATTATTTTAGAGGAGAGGTTGATAGGTTGAAATCAACCTTAGTATTGTCCTCAAGATTTGCAAGATGTCAAGCTAATGACATTAAAAGAGCCCTTCTTGAGAAAAAAATTCAATTAATTTTACTATATTTTATTTTCTTTATTTTTTATTAACTTCAAAAATCTTTATGAATTTTTATAAAAAAATAAAATTAAATAAAAAATTTGTTTCAAGTTATTTAGCTTTGAGGGGTTTAACACTCACAACTTAAGTGCTAACATTATAAAAAAAAAAATGGGAAAAGGACTTTCAAGTGATCCCTCACCCAAGTGTTGGACTAGTATTGCCTAGGCACTCGAGAGAGGGGAAGGGAGGGGCATGTTATCTTTTAAACAAAATGAGGATTATTTGTGAAATCATAACAGCTCATTTTTCTTTCTTTTCTCATCTTCCTCTCAACTCTTTCTTTCATCTTTGTAGTCATTGTTAAAGAGTTTACTTCATCATTCTTAAACCCCTTCTATTGTTGTTTCAAAGAAATTTCATCTATTTCATTTCTTGTGAATCATAACCATGAGTTTGAAGAGAAAAAAAAGATTTTTGTGTGTTCTGCATTGTATTGTAAGTTTCTTGTTGAGGTGATTAAGTTTCATGCCTTCAAGAAAGAAAAAAGCAATTAGTAAGGTTGACTATAACTTAATAACTAATTTTGATAAGGATCGTTTCAAGTCTCATGCAAATGAACATTTTAATAAGATTTTTTTTACTCGACCACTGGTGCAAAAAAGAATATTTAGTCTTCGCGAAGGATAATACCTTAAAATTCAAGATCAAATCAGAAGAAGAAATTGGACAGCTCTATGTGCGAGCCCTCTGGTAAGAAAAATGAATTTGAGAATTTTGTGTCAATGCGTATATTATGCCTAATGATGAGAAAGAAAAAAGTGAATTTAAGAGTTTTATTCAAAGGAAAGAGATTGATTTCACTCCACTAGCTATATATGCTTTCTTTGGTATAGAATATCAATACCCATATTTTTGTAGTTATTATACATAATAGAACATGAATAAAGATGGGCTAATATGTTCAGCGCACTATATGAGAATTGGATGCACATGAAAAACCTTTATATCTAAGGAAAGTTAATCTAACAATTCTATAAGTTTGGTGCACATTTGTTTAGTCAAGACTTATCACTAAGTTAAATCATTTAGAAGTGCACATGGAATAAGCAGTCCTCATTCATTGTATAATAAGAGGTACACAAATTGACGTGGGGGCCTAATTGCTTCATAGATACATAAAATGGCTCAAGCATCATATAGAAGTCTAGTTACAGTGTAGGAGAACAATAGTTGATATTAAAAGAGATATTTCATTATGACCAAAGAGGCTAATTATTGCAACTTCTATAATCCAAAAGACTCAAAAATCATGAACTCAATAAAAAGGACAAAAGCAACCACCATTTCCTACAAGGCTTAGTTGTAGTAGGCCAATGTATCCTCTTACCACTACACAAAGGTTAAAGTAATTGGAGAACTTTCAAAGGTTGAACATTCATCAAAATCAATATTGCATTTGAGTTATTCAAAGATTAAAAGTAATGGTAAGACAAATGATTATTGAACAATAAATAAGACTAAATGAACCATTACTATAAGATGATAATGTTTTAAGGCCAGTTGATATTGTGAAAGAGTAAGAGGCTAAAGAGAAGAAAAAGATGTTGGTAAAAATTAAAGTCGATAAGAAATGAAAAAGTTTATTATTATTATTTTTTTTGCCCTTTACTTTTAATTTATTTCTTTCCTATAAAATATCTTTTATGCTTAGTTTTATTTATGTTAGCATTGTGTGTTTGTAAAAAAAAAAAAATTTATTATATAATTTTAATTTTTTTTTAAGAATTGACTTAAGTGCTCAATGATTGAATAATATTTTTTTTTATATAAATTTAAGTATTATTAGCATAATACTTTTAATGGATCATAGTCTTATTCATCATGCTTATTATAACTTTGATCTAAGATGTATATTTTTTTAGTAATGGATCAAATTAATTTTTTTTAAAAATTATGTAATATACTTAAATTAAATTTTATTTTAAAAAATATATAAATTTATATTAAGGTGAAATTCTAAGATAGTATATCTTGATAAAATAATTAAAGTAACTTTTTTACCCTTTGAACTTTTCAAACTAACTTGATAATACATATCTTTACATCATATTTGAAACTAAATTATTTTAATAAAAAGTTATTTCTTTTAACTTTTTTTATTTTATATTTCTTTAAATTCTAAAAAAATGAAAAATAAAATAAAAATTTATCTTAAATAAATTTTTATTAAATTTTTTAAATGTTACATTATATATTTTATTCATTTTAAAGCAAAAGCTATACTGCAAATCTCACTTAAAAATATAAGTTAAAATAAAACAAATAAGTCATTAAAAGTATATTTAATTTATTTTTTAAAAATAATTTTTAGTTTTTAAAAATAAATTATAATATAAATTTATACTACAATTTATTTTTAATTAAAAATTAAAAATAATTTAAAAAATAAATTAAACATATTTTTAATGACTTATTTATTTTATTTTAAATATAAATTTATATTACAATTTATTTTTAAAAAGTAAATTAAAGATGTTCTAATTTCCTTTTCACATTTCTCAAGAAATCAAGAACTGTATTCTTTAACTCATTGTTGAATACGCTCAAGGCTCACAGGGTGAACGAAGAGTAACCCAGAATTGAAAGATCGTCTCTATCTAATAATCTAACAATGAAATAGTAGGAGTATTAGTATAGAGAGAAAGAGAGGAAATTAGAGTGATTGTCTGGGCTGGGCAACATGTCGACAACAAACAACGTGGTGGTTCTAGACAACGGCGGCGGCCTCATAAAAGCGGGGCTGGGTGGCGAACGCGACCCCTCCGCCATTCTCCCAAACTGCCTCTACCGTCCCCCAGCCTCCAAAAAATGGGTCCACCCAAACCCCCTGAACTCTGGCAACCAAGACCTGACCTCCGCTGCCGTGCGCCGCCCCATGGACCGAGGGTACCTCATAAACCCAGACCTTCAGCGCGAAATCTGGTCCCACCTATTCTCTTCCATACTGCACATAAACCCTTCCAACTCCTCTCTCCTCCTCACCGAACCCGTCTTCACTCTTCCCTCCATCCAACGCTCCCTCGACGAACTCGTCTTCGAAGACTTCAACTTCCGCTCCCTCTACGTCGCCCACTCCCCCTCCCTCGTTCACCTCTACCAGACCACCCAGAGGCCCAATGAGCTTCTCTCCAAGGCCCAATGCAGCCTCGTCGTCGACTCCGGCTTCTCCTTCACTCACGCCTCCCCCGTCTTCCAAAACTTCACCCTTAATTACGCCGTCAAGCGAATCGATTTGGGCGGCAAAGCCCTCACCAATTACCTCAAGGAACTCGTCTCCTTCCGCTCCGTTAACGTCATGGAGGAGACCTTCATCATCGACGACGTCAAAGAGAAGCTCTGCTTCGTTTCCCTCGACCTGCAACGCGACCTCAACATTGCAAGGTTTTACTTTAATCCGTCCTCCTCTTCAATTTCTCGCTTAATTGCATATTTAACTCTATTTTATTTTATGTTACTTTATCACAAAAATGCAATGATCTAAATAAAAGAATTATCGTGTGTGTTTTTAGGAAGAGTGGAAAAGAGAATCTCTTGAGGTGCACCTATGTGCTTCCGGATGGTGTTACCTACACGAAAGGGTTTGTTAAGTATCCGGATCAGGCGCGGCAATATCTTAAACTGGCGGAGGGTGGTGTTCCTTCTTCTCCCCCGGTGGATACCGACGGGGATACGAAAATGGCGGCATTTGCTGAGCAGCCGGAGGACAGGAACAGAGTAGATTTGATGAAAAATGTATTTGCAGATATTTATTTGAGGGGAAAGAAAAATATTTGAAACAAAGAAAAAATGGAAGGAGAGCAAAATTTGAATTTTTGTTTCTAAAATTCATTTTTTCTAAAGTCAAACAAAAGAAAATACTTTTCACCCTGCATTTTCTTTCCCTTAACGATCTTTCCATGACATTCTTTTGTGTCAATGATTCTAATGTTATGTTTTTACCTTGTGTGCTCTTAGGAATTTGACTTGACAAACGAACGGTTTCTTGTCCCAGAGATGATATTCCGTCCTGCTGATTTGGGTCTGTTGATACAACGTGATTTTGGTTGATGAGTTTCTTATGTGACTGTGAATGAGGATCTTAGTCAATTATGATTTTGTGCTTGTTATTATTAGTTATTTCTTCTGTTTTCTGCAAAATGCTGAACAAAAGGGTTTGCAGGAATGAACCAGGCTGGGCTAGCAGAATGCATTGTGCGAGCTGTTGATTCTTGCCATCCACATCTCCACCCTGTACTCTATGAAAGGTAAATAATTCATAGCATTTGATTTGATGGTCCTGTTTTTGATATTTGCATCTTCTTAATTTGAGTCACCTCTTTTTTTAATGCTCTGTGCATTATTTGGCAGCATCATTTTAACTGGTGGAAGCACCTTATTTCCTCAGTTTGCTGAGAGACTGTAAGTATTTTGTTTGGGCCACTGCACTTTGTACTGTGTGCCATTAAATTTTGCACTTTCCTAATCTATCTGTTTTGGCCTATATAGTGTGGTGTTAGTATTTAAATAATTGATTGATTCTAAATACTGTAGAGAGAAGGAGCTTCGGCCTCTAGTTCCTGATGACTTTCATGTGAAGATAACTACTCAAGAAGAGTAAACATCCTGCCTAGATGTTATGTTTTTTATCTTGATAATTTCCATGAAGGAACTTATGGTTCTTCTACAGTCCCATACTCGGTGTTTGGCGTGGAGGGTCACTGTTGGCATCGAGTCCAGATTTTGAAGCAATGTGTGTGACCAAGTCTGAGTATGAGGAGCTTGGTTCTGCTAGATGTCGCAAGAGATTCTTTCATTAACTATACATGCTGTCAGCATGGCTACCCTGATATAGTATGTAAGCCTAATCTGTAATATTTAGTTGTCAGGATTCATAAAGATGTCATTTTAATTCTCTTTCATTGCCTTTTTCCTACAGCTTCCTCACAATGGCACGAGAGAGAAGATAGTGGAGCCGGTGCAAGAAGTGTGCAAATATGGAGAAGATTGATTGATCCCACTGTACATTATTGCATGGTTGAGCCAATTTTCTGGCCTCATCTTTCCAACGGATTCTTAGTTGGAACCAAGGTGTTGATTTTGGATTATCATTGTCTCTGGGAAGTGTTTATTTGAGAGGCTATGCATACTGTTATATTGGATCGAAGTCCATAAGATGGTGATTTTTTTGCTTCATAAAGTGTGGCGTGCTTTTGAGTTGCTATCTAATGTAGTGTCGGAAGTATATATGTACAATATAAATGCCCATTGTCTAGACTCAAACATAGCTTTAATATTTCATTACATGCTTTTGGTATCTTCTATTGATCTTTTGAAGTAGATTCTTCAATTTAGAGTTAATGATCATGCAATTCTTTAGAATGTTCTTTCCAGGATGAGTAGTCTTCAAGAGCAAAATGTTACATAATTTTGATCGAGCATCTTTTGATATACTATCCTTCGTAATTTTCAGCTTCTGATGTTTGAAAGCATCTCATTGAGGTTATTTTTAATATTAAAGGATAATTTTTTGGTTTAAAATACAGAAAATAAGGTCAGTCTCAGCCCAATTCGACAGCGACCTTACTTAGTGGACCTCGAGGCCCGGCTCTGGTTTGCTTCAAGTCAAGTGATGAAGATAGCGAAGGGGCCTTTATCTTTTTTTCAAAATTTGTTGTTTTGGAAAAATTATGAAAATATGAGGAGTACTTTAAAATTATTTTTTTAATATTGTTACGGGTGATTTTTTATTTTTAATTTTGTTATACTTTTTTAAAAGTCATTCACGAGTTTTTATTTTTTATAATTTTTTAATATTTATTTTAAACAATTGTCAGTGAAAATTTTTAAATTTAGTAGTTTTTTGTTATTCTATTCGTTTTTATATAAAAAATTGTCATTAACCATTTTTAAATTTCATATTGGTGTTCCAAATCTTATATATAAAAAATTAAATCTCTTGTATAGAGCTCGCCACAATAGATACATAAAAAATTAAATAGAATAGCAACAAAAATTGTTATTAATCCCTTCCCAGAATGTGAATGATATGACATACAGTGACGGTCAGACTTGGAAGTAAAAATTTAGAACCGATTAAATTGATAATTGTAATAATAATAAGGACCAATTCTGACTAAATATTCTTCGGATTGTGCTGGCTTTAGAATATGTGGTCTTTAGATTTTTAGGGTGGGTTCCTGCTATTGCATTTTTATAGTGAACTTGTTTCCTCCAGATTTGTTTTACAGTTTTTATGGAAGAATTTTTATTTTTTTTCCTTTTGCACTTTTTGCTATTTGGATTAACTTGTTTCCTCCAAACTTAACCACATTTTTGCTTGCAAATCTACGAAACTAACAACAAAAAAGAGAAATAAAAATAAATGGCTTAACTTGAACAAGTTCAACTAACTTAGGAGAGCGATGAAATTAAGATTATGATTTTTAAGAAAATACTCCCTTTTATATGCTTTGTAGGTCAAACACTGTTGGGTTAGATTAACAAAACTGCACTCATTTGAATACAAATTATCCAAATTTAAAAATGAATTATACCGGACTCATGAAAATTTACTATTTTTCCGTTTAGTTGTTTTGGACTTCTCAGATTCAAACGGCCTAGTAAATTTGTTTTGCCCTAATGTCAACATGCAGTATCCACAACGGTTTTGTGTTAATTTTTTTTTCAAAAAAATGAAAGATATATATTTTAATATAAATTAATAGTCAAAATCTTTATATGCATATCTTAATGTGTTTAATAATTTAAAATGGTGCTGGCTGTGATCGTCTAACGTTTGAAGGAATATCTAATACTTTTTATACCTAATGTAATATCATTGGTTTATTTAATTTATATTTTATTATAATTTAAGAAAAACATTTATGTCCTTCAAATTTATATTTGTTATAGTAGATTTTATCATTAATTTTACTTGATTTTAAAATGACAAATCTTATATTGTGTATTTATCTTGATTATTATTTGTTGTTTATTTATTACTGATTGACTAACGCATAATCGATCATAATAGCAACGTAGATCTCTGTTTAAATTGATTTATTAATAAAAATAATTCATTTTTCATAGTTATGTTTTGCCGGACAAGTGCTCTCGGAATATGCATAATAAACATAAGCATATTTCAGATATGGCGAATTTTTAAGAATGAAGAAACTTTTGTTAATTTTTTTTAACTTTTATATTTCTGTGAAATATAAAAAACAAGTTACTTTAAATATATTAAGAATCATGATTTTGAAAATGCATATATAATTTTTCAAAAAAAAAAAAAGTACTTATTGCACTCAGTTAATAAAAGTATCAAAACTTTGACAAAAAAAGAAAACATCAAAACTATTTTTTATTTATTTCTTTTTAATATTTATATAATTAATTTGAAATCTCAATTTCCAGTGGACAAACATAAATATCACACTTTATTTGAGCTTCAATCTATTAAAATCAAATTTAAATTTTCTTCGGCTAACACAAAAATTGAAGGTATTAGTTTCATTTTTATTTAAACAAAAATAAATTCACTTAAGTAAATAAATTTTATTTACACAAAAATGAATTTTGCATAATCACTGTCATTCATGTACGCATAGTTTTTCAATTAAAAAAAAACAGGAAAGTCGATAAAAGTTAAAAAAGTTAAAACAAGTGAAAACAATGGAGGATGAGGGAGATTGTGTGGGGCACAGGGTGGCAGAGTGAGTGGGGAGGAGCAGAGGAGTTGGAAGAGTAGGGAGGTAAGGAAGAGAGTGTTAAATTTTTATTTATTTATTTAAATAAATCTATTTTTACTTAAAAAATTAATACGAGAAAGAATTCAGATTAATAAAAAATGTATGTGAATGGAAGAGTATTAAAGAATCCATACAATCTATTTAAAACGTTAAAATGACTAAAAATTTATAAAATAAAAATTATTTACAAAAAATTAAAAATTAAAAAATTTCAAAAGAAAATTGATTTAATTTTTAAACTATATATTCAAAATTAAACTAAATTGAATCAACCCACAAATGTACTAAGTTTATATTAAATTTTTACTGTATAATTATATAAATACCAACCTAAATATTTTTAAAATATAATTTATTATTTAAAAATTAAATTATTTTAAATTTTTATTTATAATTTATATTAATATGTGGTTTATAATGAGGTTTAAGAAAAGTTTCATATTTTATTATATATTTAATTTTTTGTTTAGTAAACATTGTCTTTTAAATAAAAATATATTAATTTTTAATATTTAGTTATATTTTTTTAGGATGTGCATAAAATATATAAATAAATCATAAAAATAACTAATCTTACTAATTAGTATTTTATATAATATTTTAATTTTAGTAATTTAAATATTTTATTTTATTTAAGTCTTTAATTTTTTAAATTCAACACTTTTTGTTCTTAACAATTATGTGGTTAATTAATAAACTGTAATGTGCTAGTTTTGTGAAGCCGCATGATCATTAAAAAAAAATGATGAATTTTAAAAAATTAGAGACTAAAATAAAATAAAATAAATAGAAAATGAAATCAAAATCTTAAAAAGAATTACAAAGTAAAAAAAAGTATTTAAGCCTTAATAATATTATTAGTTTTTAATAATATTTTAAGAATATTAATTAACCTTTATTAAAATGTTATATACAGTAGAGATTGCAATAAGTAAAGTATTTGATGGATACTTACAAAATTGAATGAGGATGAATACAAGTATGAGTACTTATGTGAGGGAGGCTTTAACCCAAAAGCTTATTATGAAAGGGAATTAATGTTAATACTTGATACTTTATATATTTAGCTAGATTCTCTTTATAATCATTAATAATTATATAATTATATGAGTTGTTTTACAACTTGCCCTATCAAGAGTTGTATTTTAGGAGTGTGACTTATAAATAAATATCTAACCTATCACTTCTTATAGGATTTAGAAATTAAGTTCGGCAACTTTCATATTAAGTAAATTTTTAACAAGTAAGCCTAAAATTTTGTTATAATAATTATTAGTATTTCTAATTATTTTATTATTTTAATTTCATATAATCTTATTTGAATAATTTTTTACTTACAATTGAACAATTAATAATTTAAGGAAAAAAAACCTAACGCACTTTTAGTTCTTAGAAAGTTTTTGTTGATACTTTTATAAAATTTTAGTCAAGGTAAAGATTTTACTATTTATTTTATATAATTTCATATCTTATGTTTTTTACTCAATTTAAAGTTCTTTTACAGGTCATAATTATTTTATTTATTAGAATGAACATAATTTTTATTTTGAATTTTTGATTAATATTATATTTTAATTTATAATTTTCTGTTTTTAAATTTTTTTTCTATGCAAAATAAAAGGTTAATATTTATATAACTTAAATAAAAGAATGCATATTTAAAGATATAAAAATCTATCTAATTAAATTTATTTTATAAGATTAACATAATAAAATATTTATCAATAAACTAAACTATAAACATAATTTTTTTTTCATATTTTGAATAAAAAATTTATTTAATATTTTATATCATTTAATCAAGCTAATACAATTTAATTATTACATGGTTAATATAAAAATTAATTCTTATTATGTATATGTATGTTCTAGTTGCTTTTGGTATTGTTGGATTAAAGTAATATGTAAACTTAAAAAATAAGTGTTTACTCTCATTTAGAGAGTCTAATTTTAATAAAGAGGTAAAATATTCTAACTATATCCATTATTGAATTTATAATAAGTAATTAACTAATGTTCTTTTTTTTTAGGTCTTGAAAAATGAGAGTACATAACTCTTAAGTTTGAGTTAGTTATTTTAAATAATCTTAAAAAATATGTGATATTTTTTTTTATAATTTTTAAATACTTTAGTTTAAAAAGTTAATGTATTAAAATACATGTAATATTTGACTATTTATTTTTTATATATGTTTAAATTTTATTTATAAATTACATATCAAATTTTTATATTATTATATTATTTATATAAAATTATGTGAATATATATTTTTATAAATAATTATTTTTTAAACAAGATAGAAGCAAATATAAGTATACGAGTATAAGAAGGTACGGATATGATAATTAAAATTACTATTCACGTGTATATAAAACCAGATATAGGTATTTTTTTAAAATACCGTCATAGACATGGGTATACCCTACCCATACTTTATACATTGACATCTCTAACGAACATGTTAAAATAGCGGAAGGTTTATGAATTACGCAATGGCAACGGATCATAGCTTCAGTGTAGCCTTATAATTTTGTACTTTAGAGCTTTAGAATCTGAAGTATCAAAACGGAACAGGGAACAGTGGCATGAGGGGATTACAATGGTACTGAATCGTTAGCTTTCCAAAGTACTGTGCATAAATGAAGAAGAGAGAGAAGTTGGAAGTGGGACGCTGAACGCCTACATGAAAGCTTGCGGAAAAGTTAAGAGAAGATTCACTTTGTGCAGCCGATGTCAAGAGTTGACGTGACATGAGGGAGTTGGGGAAGGCCCATTCGGCGTCAGTGTTGTGTCAAAGGCTGTTTTTGGCCTCCTCTGTGTGCTGTGTTGTTGTTATGCACATAACATAATCGGGATATTTAGGGTGCTCAAGCTAAATATATTTACCACTGCCCATCATTGTGTGCACTGCAACACTACAGTTTCAACGCATACATCATTAACAAATTTATTTATCACAATATATTTTATTTTTTATCAAGTATGTACACGTGTGAGGAGTATATAATTCATCATTTTTCTGAACTTATTTTCCCCCAAGCTCCTCCTACTCATGCATCTTCCTCAAATGGTATTTCTGGGTCATTGACGCTTCGTCGGAACAAAAATTGTATAAAGACATGAGAATTTTGTACAAGTTTGACTTGCAAATTACAATTTTGGGAAGCTTGAGAATAATAATATTGCTATAAAATATTTAAAAAATTAACGCAGAAGGGAAAAAAGAAAAGAAAAACAAAGGGTAAAAGTGGCTTAATAAAGGATGAATAAGAAGGAAAATGATCCAAGTGATGACGGTGAAATTTTCGAGAAGTAATAGCCAAATGTGTATGACTATTCAAGTTGCTGGCTAGCTGAATTTATTCGGAATTAGAACTAATTTTGGGTAATAAAAATTGTTAATAATTTTAATAAATACCTTGATTTGAAACATAAACTTTTCAAATTATTTAACTAAAATTAAAATTTTTAAAATAGTATTTATTTATTAATTTTAAACAAAAAGTAATTCCTTTTTGCTAAGTGTTTAAAAATTACATTTGCCAAAATCTAAAGCGAATCAATTAAGCGGATCCTTTTGGCTAACTTTATAAAAGAAGTTGATACTGGATAAGTTTTGTCATTTTCTATTCAGTGTTTCAGTGTTTTGGGTGTACGAAGGAGCAATAGCGGGGCAGGGGTAGAGTGTAAGTAACAACGTAAAGGAAAAAAATTATGGATCCACAGATGATGCATGTAACAACCCGCCCAAATACTCAATGCTGCTGCAAGCAATGCAGCTACTGCGAAAGCACTGAGAAGGGGAGATTTTAATGGACTTTATTATCCAGGTACTTTTTGCTGGTAACCCAACCTCTCCACTCTCCTTTTCCCAACAGGCGTGACCTGACCCCCACCCGAGCCCCCCCCTTACACACTACACACAAAGATAATTAAAAATAAAAAAACATAGCCCCCAGATCCATAAAGCAAACTACCTAATAACCTATTTCTGTTAAATTATTGCCAAAGACTCTCGAGTTAAAAACCCTTTCTTTCCTCCCCCAACTACACGACCAAAACTATGCCATCACAGGCGAGACCTTAATTCGAAACACTCCAAGCCAAAACCCAAGTTTAGCCCTCCCTCCTCTTCTCCCAAGAAAAAGTAATAAAACCCAAGACTCAATTATTCTGCTTCATTTTTAGTTGAAGATGCCAAGGCCAGGCCCAAGACCTTACGAGTGCGTGAGGAGAGCGTGGCACAGCGAGAGGCACCAACCCATGAGAGGTTCCATCATTCAACAGATTTTCAGGTTCTGCGTTCCTACCCCCTTTTCTCCCTCATTTAACTCTCTTTGCATTCTGTTATTTAGTAACCGCCCATCACGTGTTCGATTTAGGGTCTCCACCGAGGCTCACTCTCCCGCTACTAAGACCAACAAGGAGTGGCAAGAGAAGCTTCCCGTGGTTGTTCTCAAGGTCGAAGAAATCATTTACTCCAAAGCCAATTCCGAGGTTGTTCTTCCTGTTCAAACAAAATGCATGTCACCCACTTATTCTTAGATCTTTCTCCTAAAACCTTGTTTTCGTTTGGTTAGGCCGAATACCTGAACCCCGACACGCTCTGGGACCGCCTCAGCGATGCCATTGAGACTATCATACGCAGGGACGACACCAGTGAAACCGGTGAGCTTTTGCCGCCATGTGTTGAAGGTACTCAAGTCAATAATTGTTCACCTCCTTTCACATTTGCATTTACAAAAAATTTACAGTTTTGAAATGTGAGCAATTTATTTATCTTTTCTTTTTTAGCTGCTCTTAACCTTGGCTGCAAGCCACTGAGAACATCCAGGAGTGATAGGCATAATAACCCCAGGACTTACCTTACTTCTAGAAATCAACAGCATCCTCATTCTGTTTCTCCCAAAACTGTTGTGAGCAATCCCTTAAACTTTCTGCCAGTGCCGGATTCTAACCCTCACATCCACCAAAATGACTACACTTTTGCTGCTGTTCGACATCACCAACACTTGCCAGTGGAAACTAACACCTCCTTGAACTTGGGTTCGGTTTACCCGTTATATTATGGTTTTGAAGCCGGAAAGCCTCAATTAAGGACTAGCAACCAAGGAAACACTTGTTCTGACACAATCTTTGTTGGTAGACCGGTGGTTGGACCGGCGCTGGAGCCGTCTAGAATGGGTCTATTAGAAAATTTTTCCTGTAGAAGAATCCGTCATTTTCCAAACAGAATTGTGAAAGAAAGTGCTGTGGAGGAGGCAGGAGATAGGGAATGTGATTTGTCTTTGAGGTTGGGTATGTGTTTGCGGAGCAACGAAACAAGTTCAGCCTGTGAATTGGAAGATGTTGGGTTAAGAGGTTCTCAGGAGGGCATCAAATTTAGTAGCCGTTCATCTCAACGGAAAAATGAAGGGTACAGTTTTTACCCTAAAGGGACAGGTTATGATGCCATTTAGTGCGTGTTTGAAACTACTTATCTTGGGAAATAATCATTTTTTTACGCTCTCTCAAGGAGATAACAGAAATAAACGATTATTTCTTCAAAATAAGCTAAACCAAACATGCACTTACTGAAGTTCTACTGAGTGGAATATAGAGGGTGATGATTGGAACAGTGTAGGGAGTTTTCAGAAGTGCAAGGCGTCTTTAGGTAGGTAGGAGGATGGGCAATTTTGCCGGCAACTAGGGTTCCCGTCCTACCTGTTTACTGGTAGAATTACTGGATCAGGTTCGTAGACATGTTTCATCCTCTCATATGGATTCTCTCTCTATTTGTAGTTCTGCTTGTAAAAAAATTCAGCTGGCATTGAGTTGCTCATTGCATGGCTGCAAATGTGAACTGTACATAAAATCTTAGCTTGCTTTGGTTATTTTCAGCTTGGCTCAGAATAGATCAAATTAGAGAAAGGGAAAGCCAGACAAATGTGAGGTTTTGAAATGATTATCCTGGAAATGTCTTGAATGAATTATGTTCATATATCCCGGTAAAGATGTCATAATGAATTTGATGTGTGGCCCGAATCACTCACGTACTAAATTAAACAGAACCTATATAGCTGTATGGCGACATAGAACTGGTTTTGGAATGATTAAATATTCTTTCTCTTTAGCGGTCAACATGCTTAAATATATCAACGTGTAAGTTTGAAGTCAATCTGATCTGTTTATTGAAAGTGAGTTTCCAAATGTGCTTGAAAGGATAATTAGCTTTGATATTTCTCATTACCCGCAGCCTTTCAATTTTCGAGATGCACCCTGATCTGACAGGGCATTTGATGCTAACATTTTTGAGTATGGACATGTAACTCGTGAATGAATGGCGACAGTTGCTGGAGGAGAGGTTGACTGCTACATGGAATTAATTTTCGAATCCTCTGCACTGATGGTTAAGCAGCCTGTAATAGTCCACTTAAACCAATGTAGGAAAATTCTTTCAAAAAAGAAAAGAAAATAAGCATTTCACTCCCAAGAGGATGTATACATTCACTGGAAGGAGACAGAGAGAAGAGAAAGTGATAAATGCACTAGTAGTGAAAAAGCAAGGAAAATATATAAGAACATAAAATGGAGAGGAAATTGTAAAAAAAAAAAAAGTATAGAAAAATCAGAACTTTTAAAATTTTTTTAAGAAACATTCTCTTATATAATGAGAAAGAAAGTTGTTTAAATAAATATCCTTTTGTATCATGGTCACGGCTGACAAAATTTCACACAACTAGTGTGCAAATCGTAGACTTGTAATCTGTAACAAGCAAAGGTAAGCATAAAGCTAATTAAATCAGAAAAAAATAAAGACCTACACCTCCAATGTTAATTGAGCTTCGGTAATGAATTTATTTAAATTATTTTTTTGGTCGTAACATTACTTAATTTTAAACTTTACAATATGTTGCTAGTAGTAGTAGAACATTTATTGAAACGAAAACAACCCAATAAGCCTATAAGATCTACAGTGAATTTTAAAATAATACAAATAATGAAATGCCCTTTATAAAGTACTCAAAATACTAGTGCATAAGAAAGTATTTAATTGGTGCGGGTGAAGAAATACGCAGCCAAGCTGAAGAGAAATGCAGGTAAGAGTCCGAAAGATAGTGATGGAGGTGCAGAACCATGCTGAGGCGTAGGTGCTTCTGATTTTGAAGACTCAACGTTGATACTAAACTTCTGGCCTCTTTCACAATGGTTGCCAATGGTGCAGATGAAGTGGTAAGGCCCAGGTGTAGCAAGGTGAACTTGAAAAGTTGTCTCATTCAAATTGCTTCCAAATGCGCTTGTGACGTTTTTGCAATTGTTGTAGTCAGACTCTGATATAATAGCCACTGTATGCTCTCCGGTCCAGTTGAAAACTGATCAATTGACCACAATAAAGTAAAAAATTTGGAGCACTTATTGTAACATTGGAATGCGCTTTATGTGAACTGGTATGGGTATCAGATATGATAGGATGTATAGGAATATAGTCTTTTCTTAAAATAATTATATATTATTTTATTCCTTATAAATATAATTTCATTTGCTTTGATTTTAAGAAATTTTAAAAGTCATTATTGATTTTTATCATTATAAATTTAAATACAATTTCTCTTATAAATATGTGATGCTTTGACTTGGGTAATATGCCGTGTGTGTGTGTGTGTAATTTTACAATACTTTTTATTAAAATTATTTACTTACTAATTTCTCAATCACTGTTATTACACTTCAGAGTAAGATTTAACATTCTACGCAAACATAAAAAATTCCTGCATAAAACATTTCAAACGATATAAAATATAAAATTTGAAGATCAAGAAAGACTAGGTTTTAATTATTATAATATTGACATCTTTCCCTCATTCATTGACTAAACAATGCAAAAGTTAAAAAAGTCAGAAATTATTGCCTACCAAGCAACATCAGCCCCGGACCATGGATACACATTTTCGTGAAGTGAAACATTGTCCAATGGTTATAGAAAAGCTGAAATACTATGAATGAATGAATGGATATTAATGGAAAGAGAATGTGCAGAGATTAAAACTTACTCAGTTTGTCACCAATGAAAAATTCCTTAGCCCTAGCCCAATCTGAATAGAAGTTCTCATTGGTGGGAATGTTCCATCCGAAGCTATCACCAACCTTATAGTCTGTTGCCTCAGTTGCACCAATTATGAAAAACATTGCAATGATGGAGCACCCTATCAGATTCAAACCCATGTTTCTTGACATCATTTTTAATTTGTCTGTGCTCTGCAGATCGTCCCTGTTGGTACTCTGTTCTCAGTTGTTCTTTTTCTACTCTGAACTTTGGTCCAAGAGGATATTACAAATTGAGTTCCATGTAATGAGATTTTGATTGTAGATGTACATATATATAGAGAGGAGGGAGGAACTGCTCTCGAAATTAGAATTGTCAAATGAAGTATTCATTTTGAACAACGAATATATGTTGCTACAATATGTTTGAATTTCTCCCTTGGTAATTTTGTCAGCTTACGTTACGTGCAGCACTATGACACCTTGAAAGTTCTTTATTATTCTAAGAATTCATTGTATTGTGTTTGTGATTATCGACACACGATTTCTAATTTTGAGAAGAACAACTCAAAATACACAAAGTCATCCATGTGACACTAACCAGTTGCTTCTTTGAATTTTAAAACAATATCAAGTTAAGTCTCAGTAAAAAATCAAAATTTTTGAAATAATATTCATATTAAATCTTTTTTATAATTTTTTCTAGAGTTTTTCTCAGTCTCTTTTATGTCATCCACTATCTTTAATGATTTTATTTGCACTTTAATCGAATTTTTTGTGCATTACTTTAATATATTTGTATATATAATTTTTTTAATTTATTTTTTGCTGTGTTAATACCATCCATTTTAACATTCTTTCTCTGTTTTTTTTTTCAAGATGCGACAAAAAACTTATTTTGTACTTTTATCATCGAATTTAAAATATCTTACATTATTTTTGAAAGCTGAAACTCAAATCAAATTTAAATAATCTCTACCACCATAATTATTAGAGGTGTGTCACATTATTCATTAACTAATTACCGTTAAAAATTATTGATGTACTAAAAATTTTGTTACCCACGTCAGCTTCAATAAAATTGGGCAATTGATGACATGTATCAAAATCAAGATAAGTGCATTATCAGCGAACATAAAAATGAAAAAATAACTAAATAAAAACATAAAAAATAACTTTAATTTATAAATATTTCAATATTATTAATATCAATTTAATATCTTTTATTTTTTAATTTTTTCTTTGTATCACATACATCATATCAATCACTACTCTCTTTTTTATATTTATCTTTCTCAAAGTGTGAGCATTATCTAAATATCTTTTATAAAAAATATAAGAGATAGTACAACGTTATGTAAAGTTTGTGTAGTTAAGAGCCAACTCATCCATGTTTTCTGACTGCGTAATATTTCTTATGTCCGTAAATTGATTTAGTAACTTGTTACTTGAGCGTTAAAAAGCCTATTGATTGGTTATAATACTACGAAGACCAAAAAATTTTGTAAAGAAAAAAAATTTTGCTCGTAATTGATGTCTAATTATTACTATTATTAATAAAATAATATTTTATTTTAATATATTTCAATCTTAAAAAATAATTCTTTTATCGAGCCATAGATTGATGATTTAATAAATTTTGTGTTAAAAAATTTATAAAATAATGTGACTACATATTTAAATTATAATATTAATTTTTAATAACATTATAAAATAATAATAATAATAATATCTAATTATGAATCTCATGTGAATTTTTTTTTCAAAAAAAAGTCATGTGATCATTTAAAATGATTATACAACTTTTTAATTCTTATAATCTTGACCATTAAAATATTTTAATTCCTTGTTGAGAAGGTAAGAATGAGTAAGAGAATAAGAGCATGTTTGGTAAAGTTTTTCAATAGCTTTTTGAGATAAAAGAGTTGTTGATGCTTATTACAATTATGTTTGGGTAAAAAAAATTAAAAGTTGCATATTATTATTTTCTAAAGAAAAAAGTTGTTGGGTTAAAAGTTAAAAATTAGACATTCTCTTTGAAAGGTTTTTAGGACAAAATAAAATTTTTCATTAATAACCTTATCACTTTCTGTACAAAGAGTTTATTATCACCAATTGTCACACTCATAGTACTTTCTTTAAACAATAGCATTTATGAGCTTCTTTCATCTAACTTCTTCTTTCCATTATAGAGATTGTGCTCATATGAAAGGAATGTGAAGGATCACCAAGAAAATATGTGAGATCTACAGATCTACAAACGAGTTATGGTTTTCTGAATTTTTTTTTTTCTATTTGATTCCATAATGAGTGATTTTTTCTATGGGATTCCACTTTCAATTGATGCTATTTTTGGTTTCCCCATGCTGGGAAGGGAACCCTAGAGTATACACTAACATCTTTCATGGGTAAAAACTAAGCTTAGATTAATGGGTGTTTTTGTTCTTCATTATTACTTACCATAGGACGTTATGTTTTGTGACTTTGGTTTGATGTTTTGAGTATGTTTGTTGGTTGTGACTTTGATTTGCCCTTAAATGTCTCCAAGTTTATTATAGTTTGGATCAAGTGATATGTTTCTATTATAATTTCAATATGTTAATATTTGTTGCTTAAATAGTCAGTTTTGTTTAGTGATTAGTTTGTTATTAATAGTAGCTAAGATTATGGAATATGAATTTCCATTAGTTATTTTCTTTTTCTGTATTTAAGCATTTTCATATTCAACAATAGAACAGTCCAATTTGCATCCAACACTCGTATTGTATTTCTTTTATTCTCATTCTTTCATGAAAATCAACTATTACTATAATTAGTTGTTATACAAAGTTATGAACATTTAGAAAGAAATCAACTTGTTATAGGAATTGACCTTAGATTTCTTGGTTAATTATGCTATCCTTATGAATTGCTATTTATTCAAAGTGAACTTCTACTTATTAAAGAATTGGTCTCTTATCTTCCTTGTGCTTTCTCCTTAAACCAATTCATGTTTATTTTGTTTTGATCAATTTCAAGAATCAAAACTAATTGCAACTAAAATATCAATTACTAATAAAAATAAAAATAAAACAATTGACACAATCTGGGCATAGCAAATTATGTTAAAAATTATTTATTCAAACTAATTTATACCCCTTTTGGTAATTTTCTACAAAAGTCATCAATTTTATATTATTCAAACATAAAATATTATGTTAAAAATCACTTTTCAACGAACATACCCAAACAAAAATAGGTTCTATACATAATCGACTCTTTAAATAATATAATTTTTATAACTATTCCAAACGCGCTCTAAAAGAAAAGTTTTTAAGCTCTCTTAGTGAAATTAGTTGTAAGCTTATGGTGAGAGAGGTAGAAATTTGATATAAAAAAATTATCTTAATTCAATGAATTTATTCATGAAAAGATAAATCTAAATTTCTTTTGTTAGTGATAAAAATTAGATATTTAATTTTATTTTTGTTCAAATAATTTAAAGTTCGCTTAAGTATTTTTCAACTCAATTTCAAACTCTTTCTTCTCAAGTTTTCTTTTAGCTTCCACTCTCAGCTCCCTCTTTTAACCTTTCATTCTCCTTTGTTGATTCTCCTCTCCTCTCAACCTTTTCCTTCCCTTCTATTCTCTCCTTTCAGTCTAGTCTCTTTCTTACTATTTCAGCTAAAAATAAGTTAAAGTTGTATGTTATATTTTTATAGTTAAATTTAATTTTTATTTTTATAATTTTGATTGTTTTAATTTTATATTATAAGTCTACTTTTGCTTCTTCTTTTTTATTTTTGTTTAATTCATGCTTTCATTGTGACATTAATATTCCATTGAAAACACACTTAAAAATTTTAAAAAGAAAAATTCATTCATAAATTATTTTTAAATTTATTTATTTACTAATTATCAAATTTCACCGTAGAAGCCCATCTCCTTGCCAAACCAAATTGCCCATTTTGCCCTTCATTTTCTCGGTGGCACTTCACTACGAGGGACCAAGACTTTCACTTATTCCCTCACGTCCCTCGATGACTTGAGCTAGGAAACCTCACTCTCCCTCTCTCATTTTTGGCATTCAATACAAGACAAACCCAAGGCCAAACTCACTTTTCTCTCTCTCATCTCATGAGTTCCTCCTTCAAACCAGCAAGCTCAGCACCTCTCAAACTCACTCAAAGAACTTCCATTCCTCTCAGTATTGCAGATCACTCACGTGTAGCAGATCAGCTGTACGTATCGCACATCGTAAGAGTTATACTTACACATATACAGAGGTAGAAATCGGAGTGTTACAATCTCTACCTTTAATTATTGAAGTTTAATATAACTTTACACATTAATCACTGTATACAATTTGGTAATACAAATTCTTAAATAATAAAACTTGCATTGTATAAAATAAAATTAAAGAAAGATTATTTTTAAAATTTAAAAATAATTTATAAAAAATTCAAATTAATTTATATTTGTATCAGATAAGTTCCTATTCGGTCACACCCAATAATAAAAGGAATCGAATACCCTTTCTGCCTTATTCTAGGACGAAGGATACTACACCAGATAAGGCCCTATTCGGTCACTTCATAACCAAGTGAAACCAAATATCCTTTCAGCATTATCTTAGGACGAAAGATATTACTTACTCATTCGGCCTTGTCCCGCGATGAAGGGTATCAACTACCCCTTCAGCCTCACCTTTGGTCGGTTAACAACATTTCCATGGGAAGCGGAGTCTGAATCCTATCCGTAACATTTACAGATAAAGACTTCTAGGAAATTGGTCTAATACAAGGTGACCCTATGGTCATTAGTGTCAACATTCATAACTGTACTGTTCAAAAAATCCTGATAAATCAAGAAAGCTTAGCTGATATCTTGTATTAGAATACCTTTAAGTAATCGGGCATACTTGAGGAAGAGTTAAGAGAGTATGACGAGTTATTTATCAAATTCTCAGGTAAAAGGGTGGAGACCTGTGGATGTATAGAGCTATATACTCTCTTTGGTTTTGAGCAGGAAGAGAGGCGCATCAAGGTGACATATTTGGTCGTGCGTGCAAGTACCTCATACAAGTATTTGGTTGTGCATGCAAGTACCATATGGTCATTAGGACACTTTTACATGCTGAGGACACATTCTCAACACCTTGTGAGATAGACTTTATGATCTCTACATGTCAATTCAATTGTATTAGAGATTTGGAAGTCTTTAGAAGAAAAATACAATAATAAATGGTAAGGTACAAATAAAGTTATCATGTTGAAATACTTTAAATTTAATATGATTGATAATGTACCTATCATGGATCAAGTTCACGAGTTATAAATTTTTGTAAGTAGACTTTGTGATCTACAAGTAATAGTTCTTAAATCATTATAAGTTAGAGTAATTATTTCAAAATTGTCTTCATCTTAAATTGATTATAGGAACAAACTCCTACATCTTTGAGAAGGCATTTACGTATAAAAGAGAAAAATAAAAAATGTAATGTTGTGCATCTTTTTTAAGGTTCTAAAGTAAACCATGTTGGAGAAGTAAATACAAATAAAGACAAAAGAAAGAAATCTTTCGTGGATGACAAGCAAGAGATAAAGAGAATGTTACCATTGTTACAAGAAAAGGCATTATATCAAGGAACAGTAAAGTCAAACTTTACATAAGAAAAGAAGTTAAACTTGGTGAATGCATTTCATGTTCCAGATATAAGCAAGAACTTAGTCTCTACTAATCTCTTGTGTAAAAGAGAATTCAAAATTGTGATGGAATGTGATAAAATTATCTTACTTATGAATAATATGTAGGTAAGAAAAAGATATTATACTCAAGGCATGTTCAAATTTAATATTAATGATAAAGTGAATAATTCTTTGCATGTTGTTGATTCTTGTTAAAAGCACTTGCATGAAAATTAAAAAAATAATTTTTTTTTAATATAATTCAATACTTCTTATATGTGTCCATGAGCTTTTAATATAATTGTATTATTTTATGTTTTTTACTAAAAAATATTACAAATTATCTCATCATATAAATTTTGAGACGACAAGATTGCAAACTCTCATTTGATTTACAATTGCCCAAGCCTCTAAGTATATAAAGAAATACATGTTGTACGAGTAAACATAAAATAAATTTTTTTATTTATAATATTTTTTTTTTCAAAGTTTTTCAACATGAGACTTAAATGAATAGCTTACTCTAATCCAACCCAAAAAAAATAAATAAATCACTTTTTACATTAAAAAAAATTATTTTTAAGCAATATAGAAATAGTTAATGCAATAATGAACAATAATGTAAAGGAATCCCTTTCCTTGATAATAATGTAGGGATAACTCGCTCCCGAGTGTAGAGAATGATTTAATACTTTTACTCATTTAATTGCCGAGACTATTAATGGTTTATCCAACAGTATTTATATTGAATGTTCGTTTCAGGAGGAATGATTCAGCTTGAAGGTTTTTTCCTTCTTTTGTTTTATGGAAAAGAGCTTAAAGTTTAAAATAGTGTAAATACTTACCTGTCCTTATCGATTCTTAAATATAAAGAGAGGTATCAAGTGGGATTTAGCTTAGGAAGGTGAATTGAACTAGTCGTCTTGTTTAATTGGTAATTAATAAAGCGTGATCTATGTCATAAATATGTGGATGAAAGGTAACTTCTGATTCTAGGCTGTTTTGAAGTTCATTAATTTTTCTACAGTTGAACTTGATCGTTTTCCCAACTCAAGTCTGTTCTAATCAATATCAAATGCTTTTGTAGAAAACAAAGTCACTATTTGTCAAAATTAATCGGATTTTAATAATGTGACACATGATAATTTATTAATTAGTGACATTATTACTAAGAATTTAAAGTATTAAATTTAAAAAAAAATTAAAGAATAAAATTAAAGTCTAAAAAATATATTTAAACGATTATCATTTTCCTTTCTATATCCAATTGTCAGTTGTCACACACAAACTAACAGTCAAACGATTGAAATCTGTATTTTATGAATGGTCGGTATAGTTGGCAGAACTTGTAGAACATGAGAGTACATACCCGCGTGAACCTGTCTAGTTGTATTTTCTAAGTTACATCCAATTTCAAGAATCCAACCACTAAAGAAAAAATGTTTGTTAATTTTTTTATCAGCAGAAAAGTGGGACTTTCGTCTTAAATATATAAAATAAACATAGGGATCACGATGGAGTCCCCAATAGGCAACTTTTATTCATCCATATGCATAACCAAACAAACAAGTCCCTGCAGCTCGAAGAAGAGCAAATACATTCCCTTACATACAAAAATACCATCAAGACAAACAATGAAGTCACTCACCCTACAAGTGTACTATAATAATGAAAATTCAACATGACACAAAATAAAAAGAACTTCTTTAAACTCAAGTCTAAAACAATAAGTTAATGACAACGGTGAAGAGAAGAGAGAAAGTAGCGGCTAAAGAGGTGGCTGAGCCTGGGGAAGGAGGAGTTGCGCCTGGCTCAGTCGGGGGTGATTGAGTTGGAGATCCTTCGCTGGAAGGAGGGGTTCCAGAGGATGGAGGTGGAGCGTTTCTTGGTGCAGGGGAAGAGCCGTTGACTCTAACGCTTAGCTTTTGACCACTGCTGCAATGGCCTGGGATGGAGCATGCGAAATAGAATTCCCCAGTGCGATTAAGGGTGAATCTTACTGGTGATGTTGTGAATACTTGGATATTCTGATTCACGTTGCAACTGCCAAAGTTTGCCTTCGTAAGTTCCGCTACCGTGTGTCTTCCCGTCGTGAATCTGAAGACTGCAATCGCCGGGCACAATCAAAAGTGATCACACAATTACATAAGTATTTAAATCAATAATACACTAAATTACTCTCTAAAAAAATATTGTTTCAACTTTTAAATATAAGTTATTAAAATCTTTATTATTGAAATTTTAAAGATTAAAATAATCATCGTTTTATAATTTATAAATTAAAGTAATGTTTTTATAATTTTAAAAACTAAATTAATTGATATTTTTAATTTCAGAGATTAACCGAAGATCTTACTCGCATTTAGTTTAAAATTATGCTAACAAGGATTGATGAAAAAAATTCCAAAGTTATTTGGTTTTCTTGATTCATGTAATATTGAAAATGTTAAACAAATAAAAAGGATGTTAAATAAACATTATTTTGCTTGCATGGAGATTGTTGTACTTACCTAGGGTATCGTTTTCCCTGAATGTGATATTAGAAGCCCAGTTGGAATAAAAAGATGCTCCACCAGTGGGAGAACTTATCCAACCAGTGGAGTCCCCTACTGTGTAATCTGTAGCTTCTGTGCTCTGTAGAATTGCTGCAGCAACAGCAATTACTATAAGAATCGCCATATTCTTTAACTGAGGCATCTTGCTATTAGCCTTATGTGTGTATCAGGTCGCCCCTGTTTGATGTATCTGTTTTTGCCTTTCTTCTGTTTCCCAAGAAGAAAATCTTGGAAGTGCCTTCTATTGGTGTTGAATATATAGAAGATTTAGAGGCTGATACGGTATTCTTAAGAGAGGAACTTAGTCACAAGATGACTGGGTTTTTCTTGTTTTTTTTTTATAATCTAAAAAGTTGTTGGGTCATACTACGAGATCAAGTCCATGCATGGAAATGGTCCAGAAAGCTTCAAAATATATATTTGTTTCACTTCTATTCTCGCCTTCCCCACCCACCCCAATGTCAATAATCTGTAATTAAATAGATAAATACTCATACCGTTGACCAGATATAATTAACACAATAAGGATGCAATTTACATTCACATCATCATTATTTAAAACTATTACATAATTGCCCATTCGATTTTTATTTTGAACTCATATGTTTAGAATCTGAATGACAAAGATCAATCACTAAACTCTTATTTTAATCCTTCAAATTATAATTATCAATCACTTTAATTTTGTTCTAACAAAATTCTTATTTTAGCTCTTAAATTTATAAAATATTAATTAATTTAATTTTTTTATACTTTACTTCTCGTTATTGCTTTGCACTAAATTAAATAATGATATTTTGTAAAATTAAAATAAAGTTACAGGTCATAGTAACCGATGGTCAAAATTTTAGGAATTACAACGGAGTTTACCAAAAATTAAATTCTAAATTTAATCAAATAATTTCTTTTAAACATGTCGATAATTATCTTATGCAAAAGTTGTTTGACCGTAAAGTGTGAATATAAACAATAAAAATCAACAAACTACCTTTATTTTAAAACCTAATATAATATTTAATTAAAGAATGCCACGAAAGGAATTGAAAATCAAATGATTGAAGAGGGTTCAACCTTGACATGGTCTAGAAAACGAGCCTCTGAACCTTAAGAAGGCTTGCTTGGTATGCATAATAACCAAGTCTAAAAATATGTATCCTAATAAGATTTTAATGTGATAAAAAAAAAATATTATGTCTGACATAATATTATATTTGGTATATCCTTATAAAAAATCTTTTAATTAAAAGAAACATATTTATTACCGTTGGAGGTTGGTAGATTTTAAGTTCGAATTTTTGTTTATGTCAAAAATTTTCAGTAGAGTCATCTATTATGTCTAAGCACGCGACTCGAAATAATCTAGTAGACTATTTTATCTCTTTTTCCGTCTCTTAAGGGACTTGTGCTCAATATTTTGCTTCTAGGAGTATCTTTCTTTTGCATCACAAACAGCCTTCACGTAACTGAGGGTAGCTGCTTTAAAAAGACACTTCGACGTTCAAGCTAAACAAAATAAGCAAACAAACAAATAAAGATTACTATGGAGTGGATTGGACTATAAATATAGCAGCACTTCTAATGTATTGCTTACCTACACTTATACAAGGTGTCTTTATTATATTGTTTGCTCTATACCAATGTCATTTTTTGTCGGGCATGCTTCATATCTGTCTAGTGTTGAATTACAGGGTTTTAGACCTAGAAGGAAGAAAAGAAATAAAATAAAGATTGAATACAGTAAAATTGATATCGCTATGATTTGTTATATAATTTGATCAATCATAATCTTTTATTTATAATATTAATCCTACTTAAATAAGGGAAACAAATCATGAAACATCGAGAAGTATGAAAAAATAAAATAAAATAGAGAAACTAGGCCTGAGGGTGGATCTCTAAGGTACCCTAAGATACTGTAGGATACAATCTACATATTATTGGATGCTCTACAAAATAAAATATTAATATTACGATATATTCCAATATTTTTCCTTAAACAGAAGCTAGTTAATATTTAATCTTGCTATAAAAAAATAAAATATATTATGAGCCTTAAATGTGTCTAAAGTGAATGCTTGTTAAGTTTTAATGAGATATAGATAGAGTGGATTGAGTCAGATTTGGATTCTCTTCGTTTTGTGGTGCGAACTGGACATACAATTCCATTTTTACTTAATGGACTTGCTTAAGTAAAAATGCAGAAAATAATAAAAAATTTTATACAAAATTAGCTTAAACGAATTATTTTAACTTAAACGAATTTTGTTTATTTGAAGATATAGAAACTAGGTATGAAGGAAAGAAAAAATTGAGGATAGATTGAGATAAGGAGAGCAGGTAAGAATGATAGTGGAAGGAGAGGAGGGTGGAGAGTTGGATATGAAGGAAAGATGGAGAGATAAGTATGCGATAGGGTGAGAGTGAAAAAAGGAAGAAAGGAGTTGGGCATAAGATAGAGGGAAGAGAGAGTTGTGAGAAGAAAAGAAAAATTAGGTATGACAAAAGGAAGAAGGTTAAATATGAAGGCTAAAAAGTATTAAATATGTAAGTTGAGAAGGGAGTATTAAGCATGGGGAGAAGGAGAAGAGAAGATAAAGAGAAAAGATATAAAATTCGTTTAAGTAAAAAAAAATTACTTAAGTTAATTTTACATAAAAATTTTTGTTATTTTTTGCAAGTAAAAATAGAACTAAATATCTAATTCTTACCAAAATTAGAGAGAATCCAGATCTAAATTAAGTCTCGTTTGTAGATATGGATCTCTTATTTTTTGATGCCAATTGCAAAGTTCAGAGTTAGTATTCTTTTTGTATTTTGACAAATGGAAGGGAATCTTTTTTCTTCATTAGCTAGCTTGAGAGAACAAGATAACACTAATTGTTGATAATAAAAAATGAACTACACTCAAATTATTTCTACATTATATAATTAATATTAAAGCATAGAGTTTAAAAAAATTCACTTTTTAAGGTTAAATTTATAAGCATTAAAAATATGAAAATTAAAAATTTAAATATAAGTAGTTGATTGTAAAGATTGAACCACCATTAATAACAACAATTCAAATTATAAATAAATTCATACATAAAATTTTTATAATTATTGTGCCCTTTTAATACTAAAATTTTAATTTTAATTGTAACTAAAAATAAGATCAAAATTATATAAAATTATATTATATAATTATTACATAATTTTATGACATTTAAAATATACTATGTGTGTAAACATAAAATTTCACTTATATGAATGTCACATGTTATATACAATGTTATATGAAGCTACACAATTTTTTTTATGACCTATATTATATAATTAATTAATTTATTAACTAAATATTGTTTATAAAAATATCACGAGTAATCTTAATAAGTCATTAAACATTATAAAATAATTAAAAAATTAATAAATTTCATTATAAATTTTATGTAAAATTTAGTTTTAAAATGGAGCTACACAATTTTTATGACTTATATTATATAATTTATTAATTAAATAATTTATTAGCTAAATATTTGTTTATAAAATTGATCATGACTCATGAGTAATCTCGTCAAGCCATTAAACATTATAAAATAATCTAAGAAAATTTTAAAATTAATAAATTCCATTATGCTTAATTTTTTTTTTGGTAAACCATTACGTTTAATTTTACATGCACATTATTTTTATTATTATGTAGTATCAACTAGTTGGTGTATAATATTTTACACATTAAATTTAAATCACAGTTATTATTAATTTTCAAAATATTTGACAACAATAAAACACTTATTCTACTTATATATAATTAAAAATAATATAATAAAAAATTATCAAAACCAACATTAGTCTTATAATTCTTGTCTCCCAAACAGTTTTAACAACAATATTGCTTTCAACATCAGTATATTTTCTAGAACAACGTGAGTATATTTTCAAAAAATTATATTTAAAATTTTGTGTATTATAAAACATTTCATGATTTTTGTCAATGTAATTAAGCTTGAATATTGTTCATTATACTAAATTTATTATTATTTAAAAATAATAAGTTTATAATTTTTCATTGAAATATATTTTATATTTAAATTATAATTACTTTTAATTTTTTAAATATAATAATTAAATAGAAAAATAAACAAATTTGTGCAACTATAGACATAATAACTAGTTGAAAAGTTTTTTTTAAAAAAACATCATAATATATTAAATGGATGCAACTTCCATATAATTTTATGAAAGAAATTTAAAAGGTTTGGGAAGAGAAAATTTCAATGATTAAAATCGTAAAAAATTGAAAAAGAATAAGATAAAACTATTTAAATATATTTGTATTAAAAACAAAATTATTCTAAAATTTGTTTGGGAGTTTGAAGAGAATGAAAAATAAATATATTAAAGAATATGAAATAAGAGAAAAAGAAAAGAGAGTTAATTAAAAATCTTATAATTTTAAAAAACTTAAAATATGAGTTTGTGAGAGGATTTTGAAGAATAATTACTCCTCATATTTAAAATCTTTCTAACAAAATTATTATTAAATAAAATTTTTCTTCCTTCCTCTTTCTTAATTAAATTCCAAACAAAAAATAACCTTAAATTACCTTTTTTTTTATATATTTTTTTGTTTTTATTATAAAATTTTAAAGATATTTATCTATAATAAATTAAGGTCTCAATGTATTATATTATATTATATTATATTATATTACAACTTATTTATCTAATTTATACAAAATGATCCATTTTAAAATCTTAACTAAGAACATTTTACATTCAGTTATTCTATTATTTAAAAATAATAACATTTTAAAATATTATATTAAATTAAAATGCAAATTTACAAAAGTACTAACGTACGTAACAAATAATTCAAGTGAGGATATTGTCACTGGAAAAATAAGGACAAAAAAATACGTCTCATTAAATCTTATTTAAATAAACAATAATAAAAAATTACATAACTTTTTTAATAGTTATATCTTGATAATTAACGCATGATTATATGGTTTTAAATTTATATTTATTATAAAAAAAAGCGACCACCTATTTACCAAAAAGAATATTATCTAATTAAAATATAATTTAATTAAAATGTATCAACAATATAATTTATTATATTATTATTTAATTATAAATTATTATATACATAAAAATATAAAATTTTATAATAATGTATATCTACCATCTACCATATATTTAAATTAATATATTCAAAATAATTAACAAAAAATTCTTACATTACATCAATGTTAAATTTATTAGAATAACCACTAGTGTTAGTGAGTTGCTAGGTGCTAACACTAACTAATGTAAAATGATGGGAGAAAATATGTAAAATTGATCAGAATTACAAACCGTGTTTCACTCTTCATGGTCAATTTGGATCCTATATCTCACAAATAGAAGAAAATCCGTGACAATGGATGATGATGCTTACTTTTCAATATGACTGTAATGTCCCACAGGATCTTAAAAATGACTGGATCAGATTGCACAATCCAAGAACCTTATCCTCAAAAGGTTCAAAATTGTCGTGTCTTTGAATTTTCCTGGCCAAAATGCCTGAAAATAAAACAAAAAATAGAAAGAAAAGAAGAAAACAGAAATGGCTACAAACTTTCTTTCAACAGCAAAGCCCTTCTTACTACCCTCTTCATCCCCTTTCTCTTCCTCATCATCATATGTTTACTATCATCCCATCAAATGCACTGTGAAGAGGGAATTAAGTGTTTGCAATGCAACCAACCAACCTGTTCTACATTCTCCAATTCTAACAAAAAGAGGCTTGTCCATCAGCTTCTTCACCTGCTTTGTGCTTTCATTAGCTGGTAAAAATGTAAATGCAGCAATACTTGAGGCAGATGATGATGAAGAACTTCTGGAAAAAGTGAAGCGTGACAGAAAGAAGAGACTTGAGAAGCAAGGTGTCATCAATTCTTCCCGTCAAGAAACAGGTCCAATCTTGCAAACATCACTCTTTGCTTTTCACTTCATTTTGGGGGAATGTGAAAGCCTGTCACATTTTCACGTAAAGATGGAATGGTTCACTATAATACATTTATCCTATTATGTGTCTCTGTGAAATATTAAATTAATTTTCATTTTTTCAATTTTTTTCCCTTTTGCTAATGGGCACGGTTCACTAATCACCAGAATGCAACTGAATTTACGGTTAAATTGATTGTGTTTGAGGGTCCGCCCGCATTCTGGAGACAGTGTAATATATATTTTTTTCCATATCTTAAGGATTTCCGATCAACAAATTCGGATCATAAACTTTGTTTGTTTGTACTGTTGTATGCTTTATGCCAAATCAGAGGTTCAACGACATGTTTCTTCAACAAATCAGGAATATTATTGTTTTGTATGCCTGCCGGCAACGCAACTTAATTTGTCAGTTGGAACAAATTTGAGTATATGATTTAATTGTCTGCTTTAAGGTTGTCTATAACTCATTTACCATGCTCATATATTTTACACCCTTCCTTTTTTTGGAATTCTAATTCCATGGTTTTTTTCGGAAATTGAATTCTGGAATCACTTCTCTAGAATTAAATTTTCTAAATGTGTTATACTCTCGGACTCACCAAAAATAACTCCTAAAAATTAAATTTAGAAAGCGATTTTGGAATTTAATTTGTAGAAGTAACACAAAAATAAAAGTCATGGGGGCCAATATAAAAGATGGGAGGGGTGAAAAAAATGGGCCAAATGCACACTGTTTGCCTCTGTATCTGTTGGGCTTGTATTTAGGTGTAGGTGCATCATTAGTCAGTGCAAGTAATGTAAGGTACATTGTAATTCCTTTGCTACTTACTGAATGCTTGGTTGATTTTCTTTAGGCCTTTCTTAGTTATAATTTATGAATTGGATGCCTTCAGCTGGGGCCAGCTCCCAATGTGACTTAATAAATAAAACTAAAATTTGTAAGCAGGATATCTTCAGGATCTGGTTTACAAGCTAAGCGAAGTTGGTCAAGCACTCGAAAAGAATGATCTATCTACTGCTGGTTCTGTCCTTGGGGGAAGCACTGATGCAGATTGGGTCCTTAGAGCTAATATAGCCTTCAACAAGGTAAGTTTGGTTACTGAAATAGTCGAATGACTGTATTTATTAGGAATAAAATCATTATTAAATCTTTCATTTTGAATTCTAGGTAAAAAAAAAAAAGCTTGCTCTATATTAAGGTGATAGCCATAGCTGCTAGCTTCACTCAAACCATGAACCGTGAACAATTCCTGTGTATGAATTTGTCACAGTGTAAAAAGGTCTCAAGATCATAATAATTTCAGTAAGTGACAAACCATGGACTTCATAGCCCTAATTTGGATAAAATTATAATAAATACTTAGTAAAGAAAAAATAAAATAAATAAAATTACCGATTTTATGTCTTTTCAAAAGTTAAGATGCATAACTTAATTTTAATTTTTGGAAGAAGTTAGATTCAATTTACCTCTTTATTTGCTTCTCTTACATGTAGTATTTATTGAAAAAATTATCTAAACTGAGAAATGTTATATTAATCACATAACAGGTAGAAGTTATTTTCTTGATGTGAAAATTCTATTATTGCTGCATAAGATTTCGCTTTTTCAGAACGTGAAAAATAATGGGCTTAACAAATTTCTAACTCAGTACCTCCATGGGGGAATACACTAAAGATCAGAGCACACTCTTCTCCACTTGAAAGTTAGGAAATTTAGCTTGATGGAATTTTCATGTTTATCTTTTTCAATCCTTCCCTAATTGCCTCTCAAGGATTAGATGTCTCAATTTCTAACCTTTTAACAGCTGAGCTCCAGTCCTGAAGAGAAGAACGAGGTGGACACGTTCAATTCCTCATTAGCTTCATTGATATCATCAGGTGTGATGCATTTTACGTTGCAAGATGAATATGTTTTTGCCTCACATACAATGAAATGATAAACTTCAGAACATATGTTGACACTTACTCTTTTAAGCAGTTTCTAAGAATGATGTCGAGTCCTCCAAACTAGCCTTTGTGTCTTCAGCCTCTGCATTTGAGAAGTGGACATCCTTGACAGGGCTTGCTGCTCAGCTTAAGGGGCTTTGAGGAAAATTAATATACAAGAAATGTCATTGCATTTCATTTCAACATTTCGTGATCAATATAGAGAATTCCATTAATTTTCTGCCCCATGTCGCCTCATGGGTGTCTTAGAGCAGTCTCTTCGTAGCATTATGCACTACATAACGATCAACAAGCTCATTCTTTGCTCAACTAGGCTAAGTTCGGGATATGAACAGTCACTGAAATTTGCAATTTTGATGCCACTATTTAATAATGAAACGTTTGCTATTTTTCTCACCTAACATGTTAAATGAAATGGTATGCAAGTTATTTTAAGTTAATCTCTATATATTAAACCTGTGTAGCAGGAACTACGTGATCAATTGGTATGCTTTCCTAGCTCTAGCCTCTTGGCTTTCTTTTTTAATTGATTGTGTTAATGTCCCAAATTTAGCGCCGTTAGCTGAGGACCATAGGCCAAATAAAATCAACTAATGATAGTATATGATAAAACGGCTAAATAAGGCACCAGTCGAAATATATAGCTAATTTAATTACTATTAGGGATAAGAGGTTTTTGAGTTTTTTACTAACTTGAGACAGCATACAATATGTTTTCCATCCACTTTAAAGACCTAACATATTAGAAACATGTTTCTAGCTATATTTCGCTAAAATAACATTCAGAATAACACAATGGACATGTACATGGTACACTCACATAAAATACTTAAAGTTGTAAAGTTTGGTCGAAGATGGTTAGTTGGTGCAAAAAGTTATTGACTAAATGACTAATGAATTAGGAACATGAGTAAAATTTTTTTAAGTCAAATAACTACTTTGTGTATACTATATAAATTTCATTTGTACGTACTAATAAAGTGAGAGAGATCAATCAATCAAATACATTATAACTTATTTTTACTTTTACTCTTCATTTACTTTCTTATATTTTACTTTTATTTATAGTCATTTTCTTTATAATTTTAGTCTTTACATTTATATACACTATTATTTATGTTTATTTACAATCTTTTATCTTTATATTCTTTAGTTGATTATAATCTTTACTTTGAATTACACTTAATCAAATTTTTTTTTTGGATATCTTGAAAATGCATAGCTAGAAAATAGATTTCTTACTTTAACATAATTGTCTAATATCTTAAAAAGATCATTTGTGTTCAGTCATTAATTAATTTATATTAATTAATATAACTAAAAACTCTTTCTGTCATGTCAGCCCAATTTAAACTTAACCCAACCAGCCAACAATTTTTTACGATCGACATATTGTTTAATATTTTTTAATTTTAATGTTCACTGTTATTTTCTTTCTCGCCTTTGTCGTGCTGAACGCGGGACTGCATTCTAGTTGCAGAATTGAAGTTTTGGCGTAGGAGGATGGTTAATACAATTGGATTAATAACACCGCATCCATGTTTGACGAGTGAATCCTGTTTCCCTTCTACCTGACGACTATTGCAATCTGGATTCACACACGAGTCACACATTCATTGATTTACCTCCAAATCAACTTTACCTTATTGAGCTAAAAGACATGAAAATAACAGGGCAGTCAAATGTCTAGAATAAACCCATTCTTTTGTTTCTTTTACCCCCACCAGGACCCATATTTAGTCTATTGATTTTTCTCTACCAAAATATTTCCTATTTGTTTAGAAAATATTTTTTTAAAATTTTTTATTTTCACTTTTATTGGACCGTACTTCGTACTGGAGCAAACTACTTGACAAGATCTAACGTAATGGCATATGGTAAACAGAACTACTTAGTATCACTGGCTTTACATATATGATTACATTACAGGTCCATACCACATAATGTTTGCGTATGTCTTACAACATAATGCTACAACGGCACCTATAAGCTACACGTCTGTCCAAATACACCCGAGGATGGTACATTACAGGGCTACTCTATAATTGTATATAGTTTCAATAAACAATGAGATAAATAACATTAACAAGAGCTACAGTCATTTTCAAACAGATCTAAAAGGGTCAGGATGAGAGGAGAGCCACCGAGAGCTTATTAATTTATCCCTGCTCCAGGCTTTGATCTCACCAGTTCAAATCCCATGATTGCCATTTTCGGTCAACTCTGCTTCAGCTGTCTTGTTTATCTCTTCAAGCTTGTGATGTTCTTCACTATTCACTTTTGTTCCTTCTATTTCCTTGATATCTCCTTCAGATTCATGAGTACTTCTGTTGTGTTCCTCTTTATTCATTTCTTCCACGTCAACCGTTTTATTAGCAGTAGTGCATGTTTCAGGTTTCTCTGGCTCCTTAGATCCACAATATTTTTCTGTCTCTTCCTGTGGTTGGCCAATCTTTTCTTCATCTTTTCTCAGAGAAATTTCAGAACCCTCAGCTCCTTTGTCATCAACTTTATCTTTCAATGCATGTAGTTTTCCATCAGCAGTATTGGATTTCTTCACATCAATAGGTACCCCGACATTTTCTCTAGCTTTAGCCTCTCCAAAATGAGTGGATTTGTTGACTTGGGTATCCTCCACACTCTTTTCATCTAGATTTGCCTTTACAACATTCTCTTCCTCCTCTGTATCTTTTTCATTCTTGACGTTATCAGCTTCTTGAATTTGCATTTCCTTAGTCTCTTCTTTCTCTTCCTTGGAAGTTTCCTGTTTTGAAACTGATGATCTTTTTCCGCGTTTCTTTGGGGGCTCAAATTCTGGTGGAGGAGCTACCTTGGCCTTCTCACTGATTCTTGCTGATCTTCTTGGGGTCGCACCGGTGCCCCAATCAAATTCTGATACAGGCGGACCACCAGGGTATGCTTTCAAATATTGTTCCAGTTGCTTCTTGTTATTGATCTCCTCTCCTGTTGGTGCAGTAAAGACAATCTCATTTTTCTTTGGGGTACCAGCCTTCTTTGGGAAGAACTGCAATGAAACACACTGTATGATTAATCATCTAACATAAAAAAAGGCAAGAAAGGTTGAGTCATTATTGACTTTTAATGCCTAGCATGAAGAATGAAACTCTCTTCTCCTACTTTCACATCACAATTACATTGAAAGCCCTTGAATATGTCTTGCAAAAGAAATAACATTTATGATATGAATTGCATATACCTTCAAAAAGTCGAATAAAAATATTGTTTATTTCTCTTTTATTATCTTGTTTTAAAGTTATTAGATATGTCAGGCAAACTGTAGTGACTTTAATGGTTTCACAAAATTTGAACTATAAATCTTGATTTCACGTTCAGTTTCACCCATTACAGAGAAAAAATTAGATTTCATAGCTATGCAAGTTCTATACCAAATGTCAATTTCCATCCTTCATCTCTTTATTAATCTTTTTTTTATTTCAAATCATAGAGTACAAGTAACATCTTGCTATTAGAGGGCAGAATCATTCTTTCTGGTGTCTAGCCAAGTATCATTGGCTGTTACAAACTGTTTTTTCATGGGGGTGCCTCAGAGTAACAGTGTGGAAGAGACTGGTGAAGGTATTCAAGGCTTTTACTGAGATCAAGAAACCTAGAAAAGAACAAAACAAATGGACACATACGGAATAAAGTTATGAACTGTTTGTCACTCTAGGAACTGCAACAATTAATAATTAAAGGAAAAGAGGACTTAAAAGTTTTCTAAGAAAATAAAGTAAATTACACTGATTTTCTGTAAGTTTAGAAAACACACACACATCCCCCCTCTAGTTATTGTGCAGTCAAGGATTGTAGTTGATTTTTCAGGGGTATTTAAGTGTTTCTTGAAAATAGGGTTAGTGTACAGAGCTTGAAAGCGCTTGACCTCTACGCCATTAGATCACCATAAATATTATAATAAATTCTTATATATATAGTAATTGGAGATATCTTTAAGATAATGCAAGTAAATGATGCGAGTGCAGAGATAAAAATTCTTATATATAATCTACACAAGTTGTATGTCAATATATAATTAATATATAATCATTTTACAGTAAATAATTGCATCAATGTTTGAGGCACATAATTATTTTCCAATTTAAAATTACAGTAAACTATTTATTTGCTTAGTCTAATACAACTTGTTAAGGAGATAAAAGTCCCAAGCTCTCAACAGACATAACAAAAAAGGAAATCACATAAAGGGCGTTTCTTCACACATCATCACAAATCACAAAAGCCAATTTTATTGTCAAACTGATATACTCTGGCATTTCAGAAGTATATTACGGAAATCACTGAAGGAGCAAGCACCCAATTACAGAACACAGCAATAGAGAGATATGAGAAAGGTTTAATTAATAGAGAAAATATGGAAATTGTTTTTAAAAATTGATCACTACCAATAGTTAAAGTTATAATGGCATTAGACTTTTCAACGTTGTTTGGAGGTTTTTTTCATCTAGGTACCAAAAAGAGGCGTAGATTTATTGTGTATGGCCTAAAACTAAAAATAGTGTTGAGTATAAGGACCAAATTTTTAATTTAAACATCAGGTACCAATTTTAAACATTTTCTTTAAGTAGAGACAAAACATGTTTTGTTCATGTAAGGGACTAAAATGAAATAAGGGTGTTTGGTACAGGGGACAGTATTAACCTCTAAGAAAGAAGGAAGAATACAGATACAACAAATTGCTTTCCGTGTCCAGATTCTTCCTACCTCCCCTCTGCACCCTCTCAACACCCCCATGATGTCTTCTTGCATGATCCCAGGCTCTCCATCAATAACCCCTATGCTTCTCCAACTAAATGCTTATTCCCATTCCTGTCCCTGTTCCCTTCTTTCTCTTGTAGATTGGAGGCTCATCTGTTGTGGCCCATTACAAATTCTTTTAATGATGTGGCAATACATTAATAATGTAAACAACTTCAGACAAGCAGTGTGGCATACAGCACCCCTAAATGATTACTGGTGAGGCAATGACACAATGCATTAAAATACCAGAGTCAAGAATAGCCAGTTGAATGAATTGATGCCCTGTAAACTTTTTAAGATTGATTCAAGAAAGAGAATCAGATTTTTTTACTCACTATTGCAGGGCTTGCATAACATCTTAAAATCATTAATATTAAGAACAAAACATGACATGGCATTCTGTCACAAATAAGACACTAAACGATTCAAGATAATTTTTCTAACTTCTGCCACTTTATTTTTTTCACCTTCTTTTGAGAAAAGGAGCCATTAAGCAATAGGGAATGATAATATAAAAATAAAACAAGTCATACACCATGAAAAATGGAAATTTGCTAAAGATATATTGGAAAACATAAAACGATGACTTCACTCACAACTCACAAGCCTAATGTCTAACATCACCGGCTTAAAGGAGCTGATCTAGAATAACACGCAGCTTGCCTAAGATTTTCAACATAAACAGTTATGCAATTTATTCAAAATTACTAAATTTAACAACAGCATGACCTGCTGAATTTTTTTATGCCCAAAAATTTCATTTGAGATCAAAGCTAGAAAAAAATCAGATAATTTGGCCAGTATAATAGAGCTAGCACATAAGCAGAACATCTTAAAAGCACAACATTAGGAACCAGAACATCTAAGAAAGTCTAGACCGGTGACTTTACTCAAATGATTCCACTTAAACTGCTTTTTCATTCCTTTGAAAAGCTGTTCTACATGTTCATCAATCATTACGTAAGGGAAAACTTGGAACTGCCCCTGTATTTTGACCCATGTGCCTGTGCTTTGGTCCAATGCTGAACTGAAAGCGAGACTACTTCACAAAATATTACCAACTTCGAAATTAAAGGCATTATCTGTATCAATGGAACTATTAAATAAAAACCTCATAGAGTCGATCAAAACTCATTTCCTGATATAGAAAAATATGGGAAACGCCCATAAAACCCTAACTAATACTCCACACTCGTCTGCTAGATAACTTTTTAAGATATATTTCACGTGAATTTCAAAGCACATGCGTTCAACACGACACAATTGAAAACAAACTAGCCAAATACACAAAAGACCTAATTCTTGTATCGTCAGAAAGGCAATAATCACGCAGTAGAGACAGAAAATCGAAAATAAATAAATAAATAAAAAAGAAACTCAAGTGGACGTCAAATCAAGGAAGGGTAGCATATGAACAACAAATTGTGTTAACTTATGCAGAAACTTCCCACGAAATGAAATAGTCAAAGCGAAACAGTTCAAAACTAACAGAAGGATAAACAGTGGCGAACCTTCTTCTTCCAACCAGGTGGAGCAGGTAGCTCCAAAGAGAAGGTTTCGTCGCTCGCAGAACCTTCCTTCTCCACTGAGCTCGTCATTTTTAACTGCAAAATTCAGCAAGAAAATTTTCCAATATTTGTTAAAATTAAAAATATTGAAGAAAATGATAAAACAGGAACGCAGAGGAGAGGAGAAGAAATTAAACATTACTTATTATTTAATTATTCTGTTTTTCTATTTTCCTGGGTTCCAGGGGCATTGGGCTGTTGTAACTTGTAATGCTTGGTTTTGTGTTTCGAGTTCTGAGTAGGAGAGGAGAAAGAAGAATTGAGAAGCAGTTATAGCACACGTTGTGGAATCGCCAGAAAATATTAAAAAAATGTTGAGAAGTTCAGGTCGATTCCATTTGGGTGATGGGTACATAGTAGTGTCACGGCGCTTTCTCCTGCTGCCACCTGACCCCGGTAATACTGTTACTAGTAATTATTAGGTGCTCGCTGTTGTGTCTTGGCATTCCACGAAGTGTTTAATTTTTTTTCGATTTTAGGAATTTTTTTTCTTGTTAATTGATTTGATGAATTTTATTGTCAGATATTTTAAGTATAAATTAGATTGTTGGATTGTGAAATTCATATCATCTTCTTCTGTAACATTAGAGTTAATTTAATGGATAAGATAAGATAACATGATAACTTATATTTTTTTTTATATTATAAAAAATAATCATTTTCAAAATATAATTTAAATATTTATATCAAAAATTATATGAACATTTAAAAATTATATATTTTTATAAATTTATAATTTTATAAGAAAGTATATTTTTATAAAATAATATTTAATATTATTATTTTATAAGAAAATTATAAACAATAAATTTTAATTCTAAAAATTTTGAATAAAAGTGTTATAATTTAATATTAAATTTAAATATTATATGTACATGAAAATATTTTTAAAATTTTGATACATAAATATATATTGAAAAAGTGAAAAAAATAAATAAAATTTATTTTAATTTTAATAAAAGAAAAATTTTCATTTAAATATAATTTATATCTTATTTTATTATTTTTTATTTATCTCAAATGTTAAAAAATAATATAATTTTATATATTTTACTATTGCAATATACGTTAAACATAAGATAGAACAAGAACTTAATTTTCTTTTATCATATCTATCTTTATCAACTTCTATCCTATCATTTTATTATCCTATCTTTATTACTTTAGAGCTTGTTGGTTTTAGTGACTAAATATTAATCTAATTGCATGTTTAAAAAGAAAGAAGACATCTATTAACTAACTTTATCTATGATGAGAAAGACAAATTCACTATAATGAAAATTTGATTGAGCTCAATGATTAACTAATTCCTTGTAACATTTTTAATGGTGTATAAAGTAAATAACATAAATCCATATAGAAGACTCTTTCTTAAATAAAGATCTTACATCATCTCATATACAAAACTCACTTCTTATTTAAAAGTCAAAGAATAATCAACACATATTATTAAAATCATGATAATTAATAGCAACCTCTTCATCCAAAATTAAACAACTCAAATTTAAACAAAGAAAAAAAGTCACATTGCATCAAAATAAAAAAATCATATTGAAGAGTACATTAGCACCATTTCTTATAAGATATACACAATAGCAAGGAAGAGAAGATTATGATAACTGTGATAATAATGAAAATAGTCATCAATCTATTAGAGGAGGTTGTAGTAGAGGAAGAGGAAGAATTAGATGCAATTTTAGTAAGATAAATGATAAGAGATATGATAGTGTTGAATATTTCAATTGTCAAAAATATTATTGTTATTTTTAAGAGTGTAGAACAAATGTTGTAGAGAAAGATAATCTTATTGAAAAGAAAGAATAAGATGAAGAACCAACATTATTACTAACGCTTAGTAATAAATAGAAGGATGACAAATGTCTATGATATCTTGATAATAAAGCAAGTAATTATATATGTGATTATAAGGAAAAGTTTGTGGAGACAGTTAGATGAGATAGTGAAAGAGAATGTTTCTTTTGAAGATTATTCTAAGGTGTGAAAATTCAAAGAAAATATATTATTTTAATTTTTTTAAAAGATGATACTCATAAATTAATCATAAATGTTTATTATATTTTTAAACTACAAATTAATATTTTAAATTAAGATTAACTTGTTGAATGAGATATGAAATTTTTATAAAAAATTATTATTTATAGTTTAGAGATCAAAATTCTAATTTTATTACTAAAATGTTTATGTCATTAAATTTTATTGGGACCTAGATTTTCAAGGAGAAATTCAAAATTAAAAAAAATATTAACATTTTAATAAGTTTTTACCATACTGTTATTTTATCAATATAAATATATGATGTCATCAACTTTATTTTAAAGACACATAAAAATAATGAAGTAAAAATTATTTTAAAATTATGCAACTTAATAAATAATTAATATCTATAATTTAAATAAAATAAAATAAAAATATTATTTGTTTATAATTTGATGTAATAATTAATAACTATTAAAATTAACATATTTATTAATAATTTTTTAATGATATTTTGATATAGTCATAATTAAAAATCAAAGCACAAATTATTAACTCTTATTAATTAATAAAGAATTTTATTAGAGAGAAGGCAAAATAATAATAACATTATATAAAGGTGTGTTTCTAAGAGTGAAACTATCGTTATTCTTGACTATTGTCATTCTAGAGTGACAATAAGGCACTTTGCCCCTACTAAGACTCGCTCAAAAGGTCTTACAAAATAGTTTTACAAATGTCAAAGGTATGATAGCGTGTCTAGAAGACATAACATGCTCTTTAATAATATTATAATTTATGAGTTGTTTGATGTATGTGGTATAAATTTTATGAGACTCTTAACTAAGTCCTTTAATATATGTATATATTAGCTATGGATGATGTTTCTAAATGGGTGGAGACTGTGGCATTACCCACTGATGATGTTAGAGGAATTACAAAGTTATTTTTATATAGTTTAAAACCTTTAAAGCAATCATTAGTGATGATAGCACCCATTATTATAATAAATAACTTGAAAACTTTTTTGACAAAATATAATGTCATTGACAAGATTGATATCATATTAAATGATAGCTTAATTATATTTTAAAATAATAATATTACAATATCTTAAAACTAGCTTGTTAGGAGAGAAGATGATAATAATAATTGTATTTCTGCACGTATCCATATAAACACTTTTATTAGAAACTTATGTTGTAACTATGCTAGTAGGGAGAAGAGAATTTGGTCACATGTATGCTAAGGTTTAGCATCTAATGCTAAATTTTTAATAAAAAAATTAATAAGCATTAAGTAAATGGATGGAATCATACCTTATTAGTCTAACCCATTTATGCAAAATTCTACTTTAACTATAGTTTAACTTTACTAGTAGACTTGTTCATTGTATGTGAACCCATAAACTTTTCTAATATTGGGTCATGACATTAAATATAAATATTTTATATTTTATACTATAAATAATGATTAATATTTAATAATCCATTACTATTACGTGAACATTAAGAATGTCATTGATTTGACATAACTTATCTTAGTGATAATATATTATACGATTGATATTTGTCCAAATATTTAATTAAACACAAGACATGTGATGTGTTACCTTATCTAGTCTAATTTATTTCCATATACCCGAGTACACTTTTCCAAAATAAATATTTCATATTTGTCTTATTTAGTATGGTTATACATTTCATAGTTTAACTTTATAAAGAGGCCTATAGATAATTTTCTTATTTCATTGAAAAGACAAATTCCTTGTAGTGCACTCACAATCCTCAACATGATTCATTTTATATCCAACCTCTATCTTTATGATCACCTTGTTATAAATGATGTTTGATAAGATTAAAATAAAAACTACTCGTGTAAGAATCATAGTGACTTTTAGTCAAATAATTTTATACACCAATATTACATTGAGAACTTTTTATATGACTAATGAAACGATTCATATAACACTTGTTAGTGTATGGATTAGGAGCATTTATGGTTTGAACATACTATTTATATTATGATTTTTATTTCAATAAATAGAGACATTGTATATTTATTTCTTTTGAAAAGAATATAATGACGTCCTTGGAATATATAATAGATACAACTTTGTATAATATCAAGTAAATGATTTGATTATGAGATCTTAATTAATGTTATTGTTAAAATGTCTATGGTCAAGTCTTATATTAGGATAATGTAATGCATTAAGACTAGTGTGCAAGTGTACTAATGATTAAATATAAAAGGTATTGGATATAAAATATTAAGTCCTAAGGCACACAATTTAGAAGTAATGATATAATGTTGTATGTGAACCTTTGACCTAAAGTCACTATTATTCTTACATAGGGGTTCTATGTTCTATGAATCTTGCATGCCCTACTGCCTTATCATGCAGTTAACCCAACATAGAAACACCAATGTTTGGGTCTTAGTTTGAACACTAATCTTTGACATGATTATTAGGAGTTATGAGTCCATTTTTAGAAGCTGTGAGAGGTTGACAATACACAGTCACTAATTGAAGTCATTTTTGGTAAATAAAAATAAAAATAAAAATAAAAATAATGCATTACTAAATAAGTTAACCAAGGTTATGTTCTTAGAGACAATAATCATTAAACTAAGTTGAATTAAATGTTTCCTTTTTGTCAATTTTTTTGGCTTTAATCAACTCAACTTCATCTCATTCATCAAATTTTATATGATAATAATCTTTCTATCAAGCATAACTTCTATTACAAACAAGAGATTGAAAGTTGATTGATTATTATTAAAAGTGTGGAACAAAATAAGAAAATTAACAATTATGACTAATAGATTAAATTTTCATTCAATTTAATGATGAAGTATCATAGGTTATTAATTATTAAATTTGATATTAGATGATTAATTAAGTACTAACTAGATTAAATGAAATTTCCATTGTGAATAGCACACAAAATATCCATTGAATTAAAGTTAGTTAATCAAGTATTTTTTAATTCTAATTCAATTATCATTAATCATAGAAAGAGAATACAATCAGGAAGAATGAAAATGAGAACTAATGCTAGAAATTCAGATCTTGAATTCCATAATAACAAAGAAAAATGAGGGTAATTCAAAATCTAATTCAAAGGTATTGAAGAAGACAAAAAAAATAAGTTATTTATAGTAATCCTATTTAGGTTTAATCTAATTAATACAATTTCAAAGTATAATGCATTGCAATACAAAAGATTTCTCCGTGCAGGTGTAGTGGTTCATTGCATAAGCGATATATCTCAGCCCCCAAAGTCTTATTTCTAAGAAATTATCCATCATATTAAAGCCTTGGAACTGAACTTTCTAATAAAACCAAAGTCACCTCAAAATTTGATTTGTAATTTAAGATATCTTCAAAATATTAAACATAAGTAAAATATGCTAAGAATATGAAATTAGCATATTTTGATCTTTCAATTCCAATTAAGATCTTATCAATAAATGTAGTAAACTCAAAGTAATTAAATATTAGTATTATACTATTAAGTTGTTTTACAATTTAATATGTGTGATTAAGATATGATTCGTTAAATTCTCTCTCACTTAAGTTTCTGCATTTCCAAAGCAAAAGAAAAATTTAAGAATAAAACTTATATGTCATGAGAATAAAAGTGCATACAAATTATATTTAAAAACTTTCAAATGGATCTTAAAAATGTATAATTGTGAACAAAAGAAGGAAATTATAATCCAAATTGTTAAAGGAGATAAAACAATTAAAAGTCTATTGTAAAACACACAAGTAAACAAGAATTATAAACAAACCATATCATAGAGAAAAAAATATAGTAGAAACCTCTTAAAATATGTACTCCAACTCTTAAGTGTTTAGACTTGTACATACACTTAAATGCGCATCATCAAAATAGACACAATCATAAATTTGATAGGTCTCTAATTTCCTCTCCCTAGAGTACATATATATAAAGATTCAAAAAACTTTTATTAGGGTTTTTTGCCTGTATAGGGTTTAATCAAAAACATTTTATCCGTATGGGGTTCTTTGACAAAAAATTCCCTGTCTAGGGTGATTTGTGAGTGTCATCAAAACTGCTGGCGACACATGATCAGGTATCGGCTGAAAGAATGCCGACACAGGTGTCAGACCCGACTACTGAGAGCGGTTCAAAAGGAACCGCTCTCTAATATAGACATCTTAGAGCGGTTACTTTCAAACCGCTCTCATAAATCAATTTTAGAGAGCGGTTAGAAAGTAACCGCTCTAAGAAGTGAATTTTAGAGAGCGGTTGTTACGGAACCGCTCTCTAAAATGGACTTTAGAGAGTGGTTCAATTCGAACCGCTCTCAAAAGTCATGTTAGAGAGCGGTTCACACCAGTGTCGGGTTGTTCAGGACCGACACACACTCATTGGTCCAGGCCCTCCATCTTTGTTCCGTTATTCATCTTCTTCGGTGAAATTTTTTTGCAAACATACTGCAAACGCAGAGGTGGAGGTGGAGTGGAGAAGCAAGGCAGATAGATTGCATATTTTTAAAGCTTTGAAAGGTAAGAAAAAAACATTATAGTGTATATTAGATATAAATATAAAATATTTATTCTTGCTTCCGTTTTTGGTCCCAAGAATATTGCAATCGGTGGTGGTCCAGGGTATTGTGAGAGGGACTTTCGGTGGTCCAGATTCTTAGCAAAAGGAGGTTAGTAAAAATTTATATTTATAGTGATTTTGTTATGCATGTAAAAAATAGAAAAATAGGATTATAGAAAAATAGAAAAATAAAAAAATAGTTAAATTAAAATATATAATTTTCTTGTTACTTATGTAAAAATTAATTAAATAAGAAATATAAAAGAATTAAATTGAATAAATATATGAGGAAAAATTATGTGTGATTATTATTATAAGGTTAATAAAATATAAAATTATGAATAACAAAATAAAATTGAAATAATAAGAATGAAAAACATTAATTAATAAATTTATATTATAAGAATCTGCAGTTGTTAAATTTGTAATAATATTTCAACAAATATTATGTCACATAAATAAGAAATAGTAAATAAATTAAAATTGTGAAAGATTAAAATATAGTTATGCATCAAATAATTATAAATTAGATTAATTTAAAAAAAATTAGAGTAAAATATAAGGAATTAAGTGAAATAAAGATGAATATATAAGCAATGTAAGTTAAATAAAATTGAAAATATTATTTTAAAATATAAATGACTGAAAATAAAAATATTTGATCAATATTAATTTAGACATTTGAATATTTTAAAAAGTTTGTAGTTATTTAAATGATTTTAATCAATAATAATAAATTACAATTTTATGCATGTAAAAAAACAAAAAAAGGGAAAGAGAAAAATAGGAAAATAATAAAATTAAAATTAATTTTTCGTTTTATTTATGTAGAAAACTGTATTTAAAAGTAAAAATGATGATGATATTATTATTGTTATACAAATATTATTATCTTAAAATAACAAAAAAATATAATTAGAAAAATATTATTTGAAGGTACAAATTGTTTAATACTAAAATGATATTGTTTTTATTAAATTTGGTTGCTTATATTATAAATTTGAAGTTAATAGTTTACTTGTTTATATAGATTTTAGATGGCATCATCTTCGTCTCGTAGTAGGGTGTTAAATCCCGGCCCCGAGGATGGTTCATTACTGCGCTATCAGTCTATTCATGTTTCAGAGCATATTTAGGATGGTCGTGAACACCCAATATTGAGAGTGAGAAGAGGTCATTTCATACATGCTGGCATGGAGGGAGTACCAGTAGAGATTATTTCTCATTTGACAGTAGCAGGATTTGCTGGAGTAGCACAGTTGGCTAGTATTCCTATTGACCACCAATTGATTACAGCGTTGGTAGAAAGATGGAGGCCATAGACCCATACATTTCACATGCCCCCTGGAGAGTGTGCTATTACTCTCCAAGACATTGCTATTCAGATGGGTCTTCGTATTGATGGAAGACCAGTTATTGCCCCTACAGGAGGTGACAGGGCACAAATTGTTGAAGATTTATTGGGAATTAGACCACCTAATTCTGCATTTATGGGGAGCAGCTTGAAACTTACTTGGTTGGATGAGCATTTTTCCCATGTTGGGTTGCACAACCAAAATCCCATTCAGCTAACTCGCTTTGCAAGAGCATATATTTTAGAGATAACTGGACAATATAGTTGGGGAAGTGCAACGTTAGCCTTCCTATACAGAGAGTTATGCATGTCCACGAATATTGATCGGTCTGGTATTGGAGGATTGACTCCACTTGTGATGCTGTGGGCGTGGGATAGGTTCCCATTTCTATCTCCGGGTGATCCCCCTTACACACAGAATAATCTTCCTTATGGTGCACGGTATGTCTATAATATTAAAACTTTCATTCAATATTTACACAACAGTATTTTATTACAAACAGTCATGCTAATATTTATGTTTTTATAGGTGGTTAAGATTTCAAAATTTTAGGAAGGGGAGAAAGGATCTAGCTTACTTTAGGTTCAAATTTGATCATTTGAAACGTGATCAGGTATGCGTTATTTGTTTATGATATATGTTATCATCAATTAATAATTATGAATAATTACAATAATATTTTGTACACTTGCAGTTTGTGTGGCAACCATATAGTATAGATTTGATGCATACTTTGCCTGCCATATGCACTGAGGGCATGCATATATGGAGAGCTATTGTGCCGCTTATTTGTTTCCAAATATGTGAATGGCACCAGCCCGATCGTACCATGCGTCAATTTGGGATGGTACAACATATTCCTCATGGTCCTTATCAGCCAGACCAGTTACATGACATTACTCTTAGAGGGAAGACTGCTGACAATTGGGAGTCAAAGTTCAGGGGCGTACTAGAGCATTGGGACAGGAGATTAGATTGGGTTGTGAGTAATGAACCGCAAATTGGTCTATTGAGTTTGAACTCTGAATACATGCGGTGGTACCATACTTATACTAGACGGTGGATGAGCAGAGATGCTGCAGTGTTTGCATTACTTGTACGTATAGATCATTCTAGTAAACGATTTTGTTTGTTTAATAGAATCTAATATGAATCTAATGGTTATGCAGGGAGATGCTCATGAGAGGGCCTATTACTTGTGTAATGATGGGAGGGACACATTTTCATTTGAGGAGATGAAGGATTTGTGTGAGACGATGTTAGCCTTGCAAAATGAGCAGGAACGTATCTTAGAGCCTTCATCCTCATGTGATCCTCCTATCCAGAGTGGAAATCTAGATGAGCCTCTGATTAACATTGGTATTGGTGAACAACATCGGGAAGGCAAAGGTTTGCAACGTCGGCGAACGTCATTTCAGGTATTGTTACCTTATGCTTCATTGGGTCATTTTACTTAAATTATAACATGTTTCATTTGAACATACTTATGTGTTTAAAATTGCAGGCCACAGATTTTACATTGCCCCCTTTTCCCGAACGAGGAGATGGTGTTTATTATGTCCCACCACCTTTTCCGTTTCAACAATCACAATGGACACAGTCATCTTATGTTCACTCATCACAGCAATCAAACGTCCCTCCTGCATCTCCATTTTTCAGCGGTGAATTTTATGTTCCTGACGCTAGCCTTTTCATGACACCTCCTCCATATGAGCCTATGTTTTTCACACAGAGTGCACCCGGTGTAGGCACTCATCAAAGTGGATGTAGTGAGCAAACAACATCATTGGTACCTGGGCATGACTGTGGAATTGATCTTAATGCTGAATTCATTGCAGCCTCAGATGCAGCAGGAGCTGATGTGAGACGTAACCCTCACCGTGGAGCGCGAGATCGTCATCGACAGTGCATTCTCACACCTCATGAGGAGGGACCTCACGAGCAGTCATTGAATTCTGATTGAGACTATGTTATGATACTGTATTTAAAAACAAATAGATGATGTTAATGAATGTTTGCTTTTGTTTAAATGCACGACTCATTTATAATTTGCCACATTCTACACATTCGACATCAAACAAGATTAATCAAACAACATACATTAATAAGACAACATACCACAATAAGACAACATACATTAATAAAATCTAGCACACTTTTTACAATCATACGAAACTAGTCATGATTAATGTTAGCATTGCTTTGTTGAGTACAATGACGTTGATTATGACCTGGTTGTCGACATAACCTACATCGTTGTCGCGGTTGTGACTCAACCCAATCCATTTCATTTCTAATTCTACAAGCCTTTGGTCTTCCTTTACCTCGTGCTCTATCTTGATCAGGCAACAACTTCTATTCATCATTTTGTAAAATGTTTGCTTCATTTCCAAGCGGCCATCACTGAGATGAGTATGCATTCACAACATACTGCAGAGTATATACAGGATCAACATACTGCCAAAAGTCTATACTTACAGTAACACAAGCGGCTATGACATGTGAACAAGGGTATCGGTATGCCTGAAATTTGCCACATTCACATTCACGTGTAGATAATATCACACTCCACTTATGACCCCCCCTTTGTGTCATTGGATTAAAAGCCTCTTCAATCTCGAACCTTGTACTTTGTATGTCGTAACGACGAACCTGATGTGAAGATGCTTCTTCTTGATTTTTTTCTATAGCTTCAATTAATTTACGACAATACCTTTTACCATTGTTCATGTCATTGATTGCGCTTTCACCCCGTTTGACAAAATATTCGACCAATCTACTATAGGTTGCTTTCACAAGGGCAGTAATTGGGAGATTTCTTGCCCCTTTTAAAACTTTATTCATTGACTCAGACAAATTAGTCATCATGTGACCATAACGCCGCCCTTCATGATCATAAGTCAAGCTCCACTTTTCCTTTGATATGTTGTCAATCCATGTTTGAACTTCAGGAGAATGCGAACGAAATTTATTAAGACCAGCTTCAAATCTTTGCTTGCAAGGTGTATACGCTACATTTAAATAAGTTATATAGTTAATGGTGAAAAATAAATATATATTCATAGATAATGTAAAATGTAATAGTGATAACATACTTACCTAATTTCATAAGCATACTCTTCATTGCGGAATTTTTGAATCTTCTATTGAAATTGCTTGCAATGTGACGAATGCAATAAACATGGTAAGCATTAGGAGGTTGCCACCCAATATATGGATTAGACACAGCACTTTTAATACTTTGATGACGATCAGATATTAAACAAATTCCAGTTTTATCAGTAACATTTAGACGGATCATGGCTAAGAACCATTCCCATGTTGATAATGTTTCTCCTTCAACAATGGCAAATGCTATAGGAAGCACACTGTTATTGCCATCTTGAGTTGTACCAATAAGCAATGTTTGCTTATACTTACCATACAAAAAGGTACCGTCTACCTGTATTATAGGCTTGCAAAACTTGAAGGCTTCACGACATTGCCTAAACGACCAAAATACTCGATGAAAGACTTTGAATCTATTATCCATTACATTACCTCTCACATAATCATTGGTCTCAATTTTGTAAACTGACCCTGGAGCATGTAATTGCATGTATTCTAACCATCTTGGTAATGTTGCATAAGATTCATCCCAATCACCAAATATTGTCACAATTGCTTTTTGCTTTGCTTTCCATGCTTTTTTGTATGAAACTGAATACCCAAATTGGCCACTTATTCTCTCTTGGATTAATGAAACGGGAACAGAAGGTTCTTCTTTGACCATACCTGTCAATAAAATTAAACAATACATCTCAGCTAATGATCATATCCAAATCATTTTAAATACACAAATAAATATAATCTCAATTGAGTTTCACATACCAATAATGCATGAACAAATAAAATTTGAATCTAACTTTTTGTGGTCTTGAGAAATCATAGTATTAACGCAGGTATGCATACCACCCCATCTCGTAATTTTTCACTTATTTGAATTTTTGGGTAGCAATGCTCTTACTTTTCAAGGACACCCGGAAATATGATTCACACACTTGACAAAATGAGTTGATGCTTTTGACTCAACCACAAAAAATGTTTGATGTTTCTTCATTGCATAATGTTTTATCGCCATCTTTACCTCCTCTTTAGAGTCAAATAGTTGTCCAACATATAATGCATCTCCTTGTACCCATGATTGTGACGAATGCAACTCCAAAAAATCCAATTCTTGATCAGGATGTTCCCAATTAATAGCAGTGTAGTGTGAACTTATGTTCCAAAAAAGTGTTATAGAATCTGTATTAAACTCAAGAAATGTTAGTTAAAAATATTTAACAATTATTGTATTATATAAAATTATACCTGCAGATTGTCCTTGCATAATGTTATTTCTTTCAGTGTTTGGAACTGTCATCATTGAATCGAACCCATCTTCCAAATCAGTATCAGAAGAACTATCTAAAGGAATTTCTCCTTCATCTTCATAGTCATCATCGTACTCATCTTCGTCATCTGTAGATGCAGCAGCAAATACTTATTAATAAATTATAAAATTTTAAACATCATATAATTTAAATAAATATTATACATTACCTCCTCCAATTGCATACTCTTCTTCATTGTCACTAACAGACACAGTTGGGAGTGATACATTTAAACATAACAAACTTTCACCTACATGAGAAGTTTCACCAACCGCAATATCCACATATAACTCAACTACTCTTTCATGCCGTTCTTGACAAGCACTTATCATACAATCAATGTCTTCATCATCACATACATCTAAAATTGTGTAATTTCCACTCCTTGAATCAACTAAAATTCGTGAAATTAGTCTAGAAATTACATTACTATTGCACAATTTCAATTTTGTATATATTTTTTTTTCAACATCTCAAAAGTAATTCTACGTTCTATTTTAATCATTTTCTTATTCCCTTCAAATATGATACCCTCATTTTCTTCGTACACTCTTCCATTCCAGTATAAAATAACCACAATTTCAGTCATCCTGTGTATCAAATTAAAAAATACAACCAAAATTATTACAAAAGTTTACCTAAACAAATAGTAACAAAAATAATTACCACAATATTAAAATAATATATTTTTACATTTATATTTTCAATAATATTATATTAACATTAAATAAATTAAATTTATTACTACAAATATTTTTATTTTTATTTATTTATAATAATATTAAAATTATTAATTCAAATTTATTTACAATAATAAAAAAATTTAAAACAATAAATTAATAACATTCTAACCTTTTTTTTCCAGCAGAACAGCTCATAATTGCGTCTCCTCTCCTCACAATTGCGGAATGCAGCAGCAGAATACACCTCGGCGTTAGCCTCTATATATTAGGGTATGAGAGATAGTGTCGGCATTCTTTCAGCCGATACACAAGTGTCGCATAAATTTAACTGACACACATGACTTTTGAGAGCGGTTCAATTCGAACCACTCTCTAAAATGCATTTCTTAGAGCGGTTCAATTCGAACCGCTCTCAAAAGTCCATTTTAGAGAGCGGTTCCGTACAACCGCTCTCTAAAATTGATTTATGAGAGCGGTTCCTTTTGAACCGCTCTCAGTAGTCGGGTTTGACACCTGTGTCGGCATTCTTTCAGCCGATACTTGATCATGTGTCGTCAGCAGTTTTGACGACACTCACAAATCACCCTAGACAGGGAATTTTTTGTCAAAGAACCCCATACGGATAAAATGTTTTTGATTAAACCCTATACAGGCAAAAAACCCCTTTTATTAAGTATAAATGGAATTTAGATATGGGTGGATAAAAGAAAAGAATTATAGTTATGAACCAATGAAATCAAAGGAACAATGGGGAAAAAGTTTAAATAATTATAAAAACACACAAAAAAAATTATATATAATAGAGAAAAATAATAAATAATAAATAAATAAAAATAAGAGCATGATAAATGAAAAAATATTTATATCTTTTCAAGATGGACCACTTATCCTCACTATTTATTATACATATTTAATATAATATTAACATTAATTCCATGGGTATTAATAAATGCTTTCTATACTTGATCCTACATTGTAATTCATGAATGATAATTGAGAGTTTTAAGCTATTCATTGATAAAATTTTCTATTATTAATTTCATTTTATTCATATTTTAGAAAAAATGATCAAGAAGTGAAAGCCTTAAAGATGTTGAGAATTGAAGAAAAAGAAATCAGAGATATACACGGGCAAGTACATGCCCGTGTATATGAGCGTGTATCTTACTGGTCACGTCAATTGAAGTGTATCATCAAGACCAAAGATATACACGGCCAGATACATGGCCGTGTACATGAGCGTGTACTTTTATGGAAAGCTTTGAAAGGCGTCTATTAGAAAACAGAGATGTACACGGCCAAGTACTTGGGCGTGTACTTTTACGCGCGTCAGAAATTTAACTTTTACGAGAAAATTAACCCTAGGATAATTTCTATAAAAGGAGAACTGAACTCAAACCTAAAGAGAGGCAATTTTTGGAGACGAAAGACTCAGAGACGGCAGGAGGATAGGATCAAGCGTTTTAATTCATCTCTTTTGTAATTTTAATTTCAAGATGTTTAGGTTCTAACTTTCCTTTGAGTATCTAGATGTAATGAATCGTAATTGACTAAATTTTCTGGAATTCTTCTAATGCTATTTCATGTTCTTTTCTCTTGGGTTTAATTGAGTAGTATCAATTTTCTCTATCTTGTTTTCTTGTTTGAATTTGAGTAAAATTCCTGCATGAAATTAACATTGCTCAATTAAAAAGACTTGAATGTATTTCTAGAGATAGAAAGACGTGAGTTTTCTGTATTAGGATTAACCCTAATTATGGAATTCATAATGAACTTAATGCAACCTAGGGGTATTAATTAAGGAAGAGATTCTGATTAATCAACTGAGGGTTAGGAATCATTATCCTTGAGAAAGGTATTGATTTAAATTGGAATTTCCTGCAGCGATAAGGGTTTGGAACTAAGTAGAGGAAGAAGAATTTCAGTTATTTGGAGACTTAGGGGGATTTACAGTCTAGATACTTGCCTTTTTACATTGAATACCTTTAGTTAAAATTTTCTATAATTTATTTTCACTAGAATATCTGTTCCTTTTAATTTATTATTCTTTTACTTTTAGCAATTTCATCAACAAGGTTTATTTTTCATATTTATTAACAATTACGCAATTAAGGAAAAGTTTCTTAATAATAGTCCCTGTAGATACGACACTTGGTACTTTAATTTTAATTTCAATAATATTACTTCGACAACGGGTACACTTGCCCAGTAATTCAATTTTTACACACTAGGTATAAAATACCCTTTTAACCTTCAAGTTATTATAGAAATTACATTCTATCTATCTTTTTTTTTCTTTTTTTTTATTACACAAAGAAATATAACAATAATATCAATATCTAAATAAGAAAAAAAATAACAAATAACACTCTCGCACTTATTTTAAAACCTATTTCTGAAATAATTTTAATTTCTTTTATCCTTTGAGACTAATGTATCATAATTTTTCACTTTCTTCACTTGTAATGTGGAGATAAAAACTAAGAAAGGGTTATATAGGTTCAAAAGCTATAACAAATAACATAATTTTTTTTAAGATAGGTTAATATGGCTAAGTTATTTAAAAACAAAGAAGGCCTAAATTATCTCAATGTATAAAAATGTACAAGTAGTTTAAAAAAAGTCATTCTACCTAAAATTATCCAAAACTTAATTCTCAAACAAGACTTATTATACTCACATGCTAAGAATAAATTACATTAACAACAAAAAAATAAGAACAACATAATCCTACAAAAACAAAATAAAAAAATAAAAAAATAAAAAAATAGAACTATTAAATCTAAAAAAAACAGATATAGTAGACATGAAATAGAAATTTTGTAAAAATAAAAAACATAAATTATGAAAAAACAAAAAAAATTGCAAAAAGCAAATTAGAATTATAATTTAAAGATAATAAAAAATTATAAAAAACAAAAATCACACCAGAAAATCACCACCAACAACAACTATAAAAATTATAATTTAAAGATAATAGAAAAGTTTGTAGCATAAAAAAAATTTGTAGCAAAAAAAACAAGAATAGAAATCACCTCCCCTACACTTAAATCACACATTGTTTGCAATATAACATAAGTATAGAAAGATTAAAAAAAAAAAGAAGATAAGTGCAATAAAAAAAGAGGAAACGAAAAACTTTCACACTATGGTAACAAAACGGTAAACATTGCCAAAGAGATCTCCTTAATGTCTCTTTCAAGTGCAAGACTCCCATGTAAGGGCTTAAATATATATATGGTCATTTACCTTAAAACTCTTGTTAGCAGAGTTACTTTAATTTCAACAACAGTGTGAAAAAATTAGTAACAATAAGATGATTAATCCACTTAAAACAAAGTTTACCTAACAAATGTTAGTATTTCATGAGAATATATATATATATATATATATATATATATATATATGTGAGTTTCTTAAGTATTTCACAAATGCTATTGGTGTGCTAGTGTTAGATCTGAAAAGGGAGTAAGAATTGTTTTGGTAACGTGTTTTGCTGCTGGTGTAGTTGAATTAAGCTTTGGAGTATTTAAATTTAATATTAAATTTTAGAATTAAGAGTTAATTACATTATTCACATTGACTAATAGAGACGTATACAAAGTTCAATTATTATCAATAATGTGTGACTTTTGGAATTCAATACTAATTCCAATGGTACAAGGATTTTAGTTGTTTTGGACACGATCATTTATGTTAATCCCGTATCTAAGCCAAACTCTTAATTACTATGAATTTAAGTAGTTAATAATATAAATTTATTAAAGCTTAAATAATAATTTTGTTATTGTAAAAGCTGTCATATTTAAAATTACTCTTTAAAATGAAATTTGTTAGAATTTAATATTGAACAAATTAAGGTAATAATATTTTTTTTATACTTTTAACTTTTATTTATTAAATGCTAAGTTTGCTGATGAAATTCTAACTTAATGCAAATTATAGTCACATTTTTCAATTTACACAAATATTTAAAATAAAAACTTAAAAAAATAGTTTTTGTAAAATTTGTTTTATTTAATTTAATTTTTTTAAAAAATTATTAAGATTTAGTCACCTCCAAATAAATAAAATAAAAAATAAATTCCGACTATTTAATACAACTGATAGAGTTCAAACTTAACACTAACTTATGTCATAAACACAGGGCGCACTTATTCTAATGCAAACACACTTAGATTGTTTAAAATTATTTGACAAATTTTTTGGTAAACTTATACTAAATGGTAATTTAAAAAGTAAATTACGTTGTAGGGCCAGTAGGGGTGCAAAAGCTTCCCTTTCCTTTCTCACAAGTTTTACGGTTGCCATAAATATTATACATACGTATAACATAGCTCGGTATCTAAACAAGACTCGAGTTTGCTTTCCACATTGGCTTCTAACAAATTGCTAGGGAGAGCTTCTCATTTCTCAATCAGTTTCTTACAAATACGTTCTCCCACTTTCCCTTCTTTTTTTTTTCTTTGACAAAAACGAAGCTCGTGAGACATGTCAAGCTGCAGCATCGATGTTGCCCCTGAGCAACTCTGCTACATCCCCTGCAACTTTTGCAACATTGTTCTTGCGGTACCTTTGATTTCAGAAGCTGTATCTCTTATAATTTATTGAGATAGATCCACTTTTCATCTCTTGCATGCTAATTAACCCTCCTTATTTAAAATACACCTTCCTATTAATTATTGTCCTGCACATATATACAAACTTGATGTTCTTTCGCATCCAAGGAGAAAAGAATTCTTTTAGATCCTGAACAGGAATCTATGTATATATACTTTGTGTATTTTTTATGGTATTATTTTAATAAATTTCTATTCCCTCTTTTTTTTTTTTTTTTTTTTTTCTGGGCTTCCTTGTTTTTCTTACTTTACAGTCAAAGAAGTTTTCATGGCCACGCATACCCACT